TAGGGAGGTTATTAATGATTGATGTATTTTTACTCTTGTTGGAAGCCACCCAGAATGGCTGGGGAAACCTGTGGGTGAGTGGGTGAAATGTGGCTCCAACCGTGGGATCACGCCTCTCTCCCTCTGTCTTCTTTAAATATATGAGTAGCAGGAAACAGCCTTGTGAGGTGGTTGGACCCGTCAGTGACAAGGTGTGCTCCAGGAGGTCAAGGAGATGTGGCAGAGAAGCTGAATGAATTATTGGCCGTGGAAGATCTAGAGCAGAGCTCAGCACCTGAACTAACTTTTGCAGGAGGAACTGGGCCAGATAGTGGTGTTGAGAGTTGAGTTTCTGAGCCCGGTAGGCAAAATAAAAACTGACAAATCACCGGATTGGGATGCCTGATCCAGACGGCCTTCTGTGCCAACTTTTAAGCGTCTGCTGAAAACTTTTATATTCCGCAAGGCCCAAGCAGGCAATCAAGGATACATCCCCCACAACACCCTATGAATGTTTGTTTTTAATTTAGGTTTTTCAAACATTTTTAACGTTTTATGATTTTTTAGCTTGGTTTTATGTTTTTATATTGTTGTAAACCACTGTGGTATATTTTTTTATGATACAGTGGTATAGAAATGTTTTTATAAACAAACAAACAAAAATTATGTCACTTGTTCCTCAGCTCTGCCTCCACACCTGAGGACGGGAAAGTATCCTGCGTAACACCAATTTTTGAAAAGGTGTTTCCAAGGGCAATCCTGGTGGGAAGTATTGTTAAAGATAATATAACCAGGCATGTAGAAGAACAAGACTTAGGGCTCATCCACCCTTCATTTCCTGCCCTGCTTTCTAGCACAGCCCCAGGATTTCCAGGTCCGTGTGTATGTGTGTGATTTTATTATTACTTTTACTCTCACGCTTTACCTGGGAACACCTGCATTTTACTGCTGGATCAGAGCAAATAGCAATCTTTGGGAATCCCAATTGCCATTTCCTCCAATTCAGTGGTAAAATCTCGAGTGGAAAGAACCCGCTCAGATACAGACCTGGAAATCCCAGACCTGTGCCTAGAAATGCGGCACAAAATAAGGGTTTGTCCACACTTCCCTTTACTCCGGGCTTTCTAGGTGCTGTCCGTGCTTTAAAGCTCTGTGTCCCAGCTGAATCAGGGCAAGCTGCAATCTGCAGGAAACCTGAATTGTCATTTGTTGCACTTGGCTTTAAGTGCAGAGAAAGCTCAGGAGCAGGTAAAAGGGCACTTGGAAGCATTGACCTGTGCTCAAAAAGGGGACAAAAGGTAAGTGTGGATAAGCCCATTCCGAAGAAAAGCCAGCATGGCTTCTGGAAGGACAAGTCCTGCCTCATGAACCTATTAGGGTTCTATGAGTGTGTCAACAAGCATCTTGACGGAGCTGATCCAGTTGACATAGTACACCTGGGCTTCCAAAAAAGCTTTTAATAAAGACTGTCGAGTAAACTTAGCTGACATGGAGTAAGATAATAACAGTAATAATAATAATTTATTACTTATACCCTGCCCATCTGGCTGGGTTTCCCCAGCCACTTTGGGCGGCTTCCAACAGGTGATTAAAAATACATTAAAACATGAGTCATTGAAAAACTTCCCGAAACAGAGATGTCTTCAGATGTCTTCTAAAAGTCAGATAGTTATTCATTTCGTTGTCATCTGGTGGGAGGGCGTTCCACAGGGCGGGCACCACCACCAAGAAGGCCCTCTGCCTGTTCCCTGTAACTTTGCTTCTCGCAGCGAGGGAACCGCCAGAAGGCCCTCGTAGCTGGACCTCAGTGTCCGGGCTGAACGATGGGGGTGGAGACGCTTCTTCTGGTATACAGGGCCAAGGATGTTTAGGGGACCTCTTGCGGATCAGGAATTGGTTAAGTAGTAGGAAGCGGAGAGCAGAAATAAGCGGACAGCTCTGTAGAAAGTCGAGTCCCCCAGGGATCCATATTGGGAGCTGTGAGGTGGCCACGTTTGCTGATGATAATAAATTGTTCAGTACCGCTAAAACAAAAAGAGATTGCCAAGAGCCTCCAAAGGACCTTTCCAAACGGGATAAGTGGGCAGCAAAATGGCAAATGCAATTCAGTGCAAACAAATGGATTGCAGGGGTTGGACTAGATGATCCTCGGGGTCCCTTCCAACTCTATGACTTCATGATTCTAAGTATAAAGTGATGTCTGGTGATGCAAGAAATCTTCCTTTCACATATACGCTCACGGGGTCTGAACTGGAGGTGATAGACCAGGAGTCATAACAGATTGCTTGATGAAGACGTCAACCCAGCATGAAAAGGGCAATTTCCACTTGGGATCACTGGGAAAGGAACTGAAAATAAAACTGCTCATATAATAAAGCCATTCTACACATCTATGATGTGATTGCATTTGGAATACTGTGTACAAATCTGGTTGCTTCACCTTAAAATCTAGTAATAATAATAATAATAATAATAATAATAATAATAATTTATATCCCGAAGCTGGGCTCAGAGCGACTAACAACAGTAAAAGTAACACAGTTTACATAAAATCACAATCAATTAATTGAAATACATTCTAAAATCAATTCAGAGTCACATTAATGGCAACCATTGGGTTAGAGTTCTGTGAGGATTACAGAAGGAGAGAGGGGGTCAGACTGTGCCTTGGCCAAAGGCCTGGTGGAACAGCTCTGTCTTGCAGGCCCTGTGGAAAGATGTCAAGTCCACAGATATGCATGCCATCCAAATACATTATTAAAACCTTGTAAATCCAAAATGTCTGTGTTTTCAAGAAGCAGCCATTCTTTCAACCAGCAAAAAGTTGCTGATTCATAGTAAAGTTTAAGGTCTGGCAGGGCAAATCTGCCTCTTTCCTTTGCATCTGTTAGTATTTTAAATTTTATTCTAGGCTTCTTGCCCTGCCAGACAAATCTAGAAATATCTCTCTGCCACTTCCTGAAACAGTCCATTTTGTCCACAATTTGCAATGTTTGAAACAAAAACAACATTCTAGGCAATACATTCATTTTTATCGCAGCAATACGACCCAGCAGTGAAAGCTTCAAATTTGACCAGATTTCTAAATCTTTTTTCACTTCGGCCCAGCATTTTTCATAGTTGTCTTTAAATAAATTCCCATTTTTGGCTGTCATGTTAATCCCCAGGTATTTCACTTTCTTAACCACTGTTAAACCTGTCTCATTCTGAAACCTCTCTCTCTCAATCGGTGTTAAATTTTTCTCTAAAACCTTGGTCTTTAACTTATTCAACTTAAATCCTGCAACTTGACCAAATTCTTGAATCAGTTCTAAAACCCTTTTGGTACTAGATTCTGGCTCCTGTAACATCAATACTAAGTCATCTGCAAATGCTCTCAATTTGTACTGTTTGGCTCCGACTTGTATACCTTTAACCAACTGGTCCCTTCTAATCATATTCAGCAAAACCTCCAGGACCGATATAAAAAGCAATGGGGAGATTGGGCAACCTTGTCGTGTCCCTTTTTCTATCTTAAATTCTTCCGTCACCACATTATTTACAATTAGTTTAGCCTTTTGTTCTGAATAAATTGCACTTATACCGTTTTCAAAGCCTTGGCCTACCCCCATCCCCTGTAGGTTCTTCTTCATAAAGCTCCAAGAGATATTATCAAAAGCTTTCTCCGCGTCCACAAATATCAAAACAGCTTTAGTATTTATGTTCACTTCTAATTTTTCCAAAATATTAATTATATTCCTCAAATTGTCAGACAAGTGTCTTCCTGGGAGAAAGCCCGCTTGGTCTTTATGAATCTCTTCCATCAACACTTTTTTCAATCTCTTGGCCAGAATATCTGCAAAAATTTTGTAATCCACATTAAGTAATGATATGGGGCGGTAGTTCTTAAGCTGAGTCTTTTCAGTCTCTGTTTTCGGTATAAGTGTAATATACGCTTCTTTCCACGACTCTGGTGCCCTTTTCCCATCCAATATTTCATTGCAGACTTCCTTTAAAGGTTGTACTAACCACTCTTTCAAGGATCTATAGTATCTAGAAGTCAGCCCATCCGGTCCTGGAGATTTGCCTAGTTGCATGTTTTGAATGGCACCTTCTACTTCCTGTTCAGATATTTTATAGTTCAACATTAGTTTGCTTTCTTGAGAGATTTTTGTAGTCCATTTATCTTCAAAAATCGATCTATATCCATTTCTTTCTGTGGCCCTTGTGTATATAATTGTTTAAAGTACCTCTGGAAACAGTTTCTAATCTCAGCAGGGTTGTGTATGTTCTTTCCTTCCACTTCTAAATTTGTAATAGTATTTAATTTTTGTCTTTTTTTCATTTGCCAAGCCGAACCTGACTCTGTACTCCACCGGGAGCCAGTGCAGCTGGTGTAGCAGCGGGTGAATGTGATGGCTCTGCTCTGCCTTCCACGGTTGGAGGCATCAATGCTTCTGAATACCAGTTGTTGGAAACCACAGGAGGGGAAAGGGGTCCTGCTCAAATCCTGCTTGAAGGGTTCCCACTGAGGCATCTGGAGGCCCACTGTGTGAACAGGATGCTGAACCAGATAGGCCGCTGGCCTGATCCAGCAGGCGCTTACGCTCCCACAATCCTATCTGATTATGTTTCTGGAGCCCCAGGAAAAGAAAGCAATCTCTGTTTGAGTCCAGGTGTTATTGCAAATATCTCTCTAGTGCCCTGTTTGCACTGGAACGAAAGCAAAACTCATCTGTGGGGTTTGGAGCTCTGGGGCATGACCCTAGGTGTTGGTTCCCCTTGTACCAGGAGCAAGCGTGTGTTTGTCTCCGCTGTATCGCTTCCTGATAAATTCAGGTTGTCGTCAGGCAGTGCCCATTTTGGCTGCTTGCCTACTCTGAGGTGGGGTGTGTTACCTGCCCAGGTGAAAGGGCTCTGAGCACCAACCTCCCCAAGGAGCTGTTTATCTAAGAGGAGCAGCCACAAAACAAGGGCTATAAATAGCATTCCTTGTTTAGGTCAACACAGCCCAAGGGGTGCCAAGTGCAGGGACCCAGCGCATGGTAGAAGGTTACCTGCAGGGCAAATTTGCCACGGGGCAAATTCAGCCAAAACTTGATTCAGCCATGGGGCAAATTCAACCCAAACCAGACATGTTGGTGGTGGGGTTAATAACAGAGGAGAGAAAGCGCAGGTCTTCCTTCACGGGAAGTCTGAGATCCCCTTTTGGGGTGGCAGGAGGCCTGCTGGGTATATGAGCACAGCACTGTTCTGCAGCTCCCTCCCCAATCCCTAGATAAGACTCTAAGCAGGTTTTCTTCAGCTCCAAATTGTTTATTTAAGATTACATTGATGGGCCAAGATCGGTTGCACAGGGCGTGGCAAGGGGGACTCCTTGCAAGGCCTGATCGTGGCCACAGCGGTCTCAGCAGGCATGAAAGTGCTTGCTTTCCACCAATCCAATATGTGGGCCTTTTAGCCCAGCAGGAATGCCATTTTATCTGAGATACCACACCTGCACTCACCTCTGTGCATGAGCAGAAATGCAGACGCCTCGTCCTCCCATGCTCACACTCTTCCTCTGAGGCCACTTTCCCCCCAGAGGAAGACCCAGCTGACCACGCAACATAACCTTCAACCATCCCGATTTGAGTGGGACAGAATTGCAGAAGCCATCCCAGCTTTTGATTGGATCCTAGAATGTCCCATTTTTTGGTCTGGTGCTCTGGTGCAAGAAAGCTGACTCACGCCAGAGCGCCGACCAAAGGATGCTCGTTTTTTGATGCCGTGCTTTCATGCAAATCAGCTGGTTACCAAGAGAGCTCAGGACCAAAAAAACAAGCAACCCAATTTTGATCAGTGGGGTTTTGGAGGGTATGTATTGGCCTGGAGAAGGTGGGGGGGGTCACAAAGATGGGGATGGGGCAGCCTGAGTCCTCCAGGAAGAGTGGAGGGGACACACAGCAGGCCGGTCCACCCCCCAGGGCAGGACATTTGGGGTGAACAGTAGCCAGAGTCGGGAAGGGACCTGCCCTTAAATTGATCCAGGTTGTGAGTTAGGGCGCAAAGGAGACTCTTTCTCCATTGTTAAAGTAAGGGAGGGGTGGCATTCAGGAGTTTGGAAAGGGGACAGGACTCCTGGGTCCCTGAGAGCCACAATGGAGTGATTGAGCTGGGAGGGGGGCAGTCAGGGAAGAGGTGGAGGGCAGGGCAGGCTTGGCAGTGGGCCTCAGGCCTCACAGGGCAGGGTGCCAGCCAGGACTCCTGGGTTCTCAAGGAATTTGATGGCAGGGAGTGGCACTGAGTGAGTGAGGTCAGCACTTTGGCTTCCTAACGGTGCCGCTGAGTCATCCTGTGACCTCCGGATCAGGCCCTTTTCCTCTGAGCCAGTAGCAACTGGCACGCACAGGGGGAGAGTGTGGGCTTATGTGTTTGCCTCCTCTCCTTCTGCTGTTGACATGGCATGACTGGCAGAAAGAACTGGATGGCCCTCACCTGGGCTCTTGTGGGGCTGGGAAGCTGGCAAGGGGCAGTGGAGGGCAGGGAGCAGCTTTTGCCCACCTGGTGCCTAAATTTGTTATTAGACTGGGAAACAAAAGACGAGCTTGTCAAAGCCTCTATGACACACTGGGCAATAGAGATAGGACATACCATATGTTTCCGTGTATAAGACTAGGTTTTTCCCCTAAGAAATAAAGTCAAAAATTAGGGGGCATCTTATACATGGATACATCTCCCTCCCCCATTTTTTAAAATATGAGTCCCCCAAAATAGGGGACGTCTTATACATGGGGGCGTCTTAGAAAAATGCAACGATATAGATTTTAACCTCTAGGGGAAACTCTGGAGGAGCGATCTAAAGTTTACAGCATGTTATTTCCTGAAGGAAAACTACTTGAAAATGATTTATAGGTGGTATTTAAGTGCGATTAGACATGCTAAGATGTATAAGACTGAATCATTTAAGTGCTGGAGATGCAAAGAGGTCGAGGGCACGTTCTTTCATAGGTGGTGGACCTGTAAAAAGGTAAAAGAGTACTGGGAAATAATTTATAATGAATTGGAAAAAATGTTTAAAAGTACTTTTCTTTAAAAACCAGATGGGGATAATTCAGATTGAAAGGTGTGAAAAAAGATTATTTATGTATGCCACTATGGCAGCCCGTGTTTCGTTCGCCCAAAAATGGAAAACAAGCGAGGTCCCAATCAAAGAAGAATGGCAAAATAAGCTGTTTGAATATGCGCAGCTTGCGGACCTAACATATGGAATAAGAGAACAAGAAGAACATTCGTTTAAAGAAGATTGGGAAATGTTTATTGAATATATGGGGGGGGGATTGTGTAGGGCAGCATTAAGATAAATTCAACACTGGAAATAAGTTTTGATGGAAGTAATAATGGGATGGTTTACACAACAGAACAGTGGCATAGCGTTGTGGGGGCGATGGGTGGTTGCCTGAGGCGCAAAATTGTTAGGGGCACAAAATTTCAGCACTGGCTGCTGCCTCAATGCAGCTGTGTGTTGAAAACGGCTTCTCCATGCGAACCAGGGAGCGACCTCTCCAAACAACCGTTGAATGCCCCTGCATGCTCCAGGTGCCACAGAATGCTTGTTTTCTGCATTTGTAAGAATGCCTTTGGAACTCCCTGCCTCATGGCACCAGGCAGACACCTTCCCTGCACTCTTTTTGGCACCTGCTAAAAACATTACTGTTTAGACAAGCCTGTCCAGAGGTTTAGAAATCTGGTGTGAATCTTAATCTGTGTTTAGTCTCTTGCCATTTCAACTTTTGGAACCGTCGATTTGATTGCTTTATCTTGTGTAAACCACTTTGAGGCTTTTTAAACTATCCCTAGTGGTGTGCAAATTTTAAATTAAGCACGCTGGGGGCTGTTGCAAACCTAACAGCAGACAATTTTAGTGCACTCTCATGCAAAGCTTCAACCCTCCAGGTTTGCCATCTCCCTCCTTGCGGCAGCCACTCCTCATTCCCAACTAATCCTGGCTTGGCCTGGGTCTCTTTGTCTCTGCCCCGCTTCACTTCTTCTCGGCTCTCAGCGAGGCCCTCTCCTCCCTCCCACGTCACAAATATTTCCCACCGAAATTCAGATTTAAAAACTTCCCGTTTCCTCTTTCTGGCGAAACCTATCGCACAATGCTGCGCTGTGTTGATCAGAATTGGCTTGCGCTAGCCAGAGAGGGGCTACCTTTGAGCTGAGGCTTAACTTGCGGGCCGTGCCTCAGCGCCAAAATATGTCAGGTAAACACTGAGAATTGCATCTGAGAGGAGTGCTGCTCCCTCACGGCTTCGCACACAGCCAAGGCAAATAGGAAGTGCTTTACTTCCTTCTCAAGACAAGAAAGGCAGGAGGTGAGAATAATCCCCCTGTGGCCACCTGGGGAAACTGAGGCACACAACCCCTGCTTCACTTCCAGGTGGGTGCTGGGGCCCCACAATTTCAGCGGGAGAGACTCTTCCTGACGACTTGTCTTGGTGCACTCTGCGCATGGTCTCAGGAACAGTGTGTGAACACTATGCTTTTCTTAAAGCACATTTCTCTCCCCCCATCAGAGAGTTCTGGGTGCTGTGGTTCATTAGGGGCAGCTGTGGGAATTGTCATGGGGGGAAGCACAGGGCCTGGAATTATTTGAGGAGAGAAAGAATGCGCCTTAAATGCGCTGGGAGTACACAGCCTTGGGGTCCAATCACCAAGAGGGTTGGGCTAGATGACCCTCTGGCTCCCGACCAACTCTGCAATTCTATGATTCTGTAAGCAAGGAAGCAACAAAGGCTTCTCTTCTAAAACAAGCCTGAACAAGTCTTTTCGCAGCCTAGAAATTCCTCGTTGCCACTTCCGACCTTTGCGCATGGGCTGAATCCTTCTGGCTGCCTTAAGACTTCCAGAGATACTCTGCATTAAATCCCCACATTCAGCTGCTCCTGAGCTTCACCCCGTGTTGCCCAGTCAGGAAAAGGCCCCCCTCCCTGACTCCAAAATGGGGGGGGGGGGGCGCAAACAGCCTTTGCCTTATTTCCCCTGAGCTCTCAAAGCAAGACAAAGCCACATTCCCCTCCCTGCCCCAAAGGCCTTTGCAAAGATGCTCAGACAAACCTGCAAGAGGGACTTGGGGGCGCCAAAGACACCCACAAACAATTGGCAGTGCTGTGATTACTTTGTACGTTTTTATTTCCCTGACACCTGAGTGAGCTGGGAGTGGGAGTGTCCCGCTGAAGACCAAGAGGTCTCACTCTGCTCTTGGCTAAGGTGATGTGCAAAGTGGCGCAGCCCACTCAAGACCCACTCCTCATTTTTGCAGCGGGTACTGATCCGGCCTCTTCCTCTCCCTCTTCTTGGTGGGATCCAGACAGGCCACTTTCACATCTCAAAGGGGGCATTGACCACCTGCGCTAGGGAGCCCCCGGTGGACCAGCACCCCCAGATCTGGCCAGAGAGTTCACCCTGAAATGGAGCTGCAGACTCTGCTTCTTACACGCCTCACCTGTGAATGCTGCCGGAGTCACAACACCACACAGAGGCAAAGTCTTCAGGCGCATTGCAGGGGGCTGGACTGGATGACCCTTTGAGTCCCTTCCAACTCTACAATACCGTGAATCTATAACAATGGGAAGAGGAGGAGGCAGCCTTGGATGTGTACATGCGATAGTTTTAAAGCACATGCAAAGCGTGCGCACACCAAAGAATTCTGGGCACGTAGTTTGCCAACAGTTCACAGCTGGTTGGACTAGATGACCCCATTGGGTCTCCCTTCAAGTCAATGATTTGAAGAGTTGCTGGGGATTGTAACCCTGTGAGGGGAAACCCCAGTGCCCATAACTCCTTGGGGCGGGAGTATGTGCTTCAGAGGCCTTAGCGTCAGCTCCGTCTCTGCTCCGCCCCAAAAGAGGGTCTGCTCGTGTGGACGCTGCCGGCGCCCCGGGGGAACCGACGCGCTGCTGCCACCTGCTGGTCGTCGGGGGGACTGTTTGCAGATTCAGTCCCCTGGGACGTGTGAACTGGCCGGATGGGGGCGGGGGGGGGAAGAGACGTGGTTGTCGTTTGCGCGCGTGCACGCGCCGGCCGCGCGATCCCGCTCTGCAAGCCCCGCGCCTCCCCGTAACCGGATCTTTCTCCCTCCCCTCCCTCCTGCCGGATTCCAGGCGTCGCCGGCCAAAAATACCCCCGGGGGGGGGTCCATCTCTGCCGCCTCCCAGCCCTTGGCGGGTCCCGCTCGCTCCCGCGGCCAGCAGCGCTCCTCTCCGGGCCTCGCCCCGAAGGGGATCCCGGCCAGGCCCGGGCCAGGCCCGGCTTGCGAGGGGGAGGGGAGTGACGTCAGCGCAGCGCTGTCCACCCGGCGGAGGTGCTGGAGAGAGAGAGCCGGAACTCCTGGGTTCTTTCCTGAGTAGATGGGGGGGGGCGGGCGGGAGATATCTGGATGCGCGGGCTCCAGGCTGGTGGCCGGAAGGCGCTTTGCACGCGCTCAGAGGCACGCTCGTCCTCCTCCCCTGGAGCTGCCGCGAGGAAGGCCTTGCCGAGGGAGGGGGCCGAGGGGGTGTATGAGGTCATGAGAAGGAGAATTGGGGCGCGTGGCTGGGCGGAATTTGGAGAGCCCGGACTGTCGGGGTGAAAATCGGGCCCCATCCCTGCGAGGAACCGTCAGCCCCCTCCCCTCCGGACCGGACCCTCGGGGCTTGTGGCGCACTTGGCGGGCGGCTGCCGAGCCCTCCTGGAATCCGCTTCCCAAAGAGGCCGACGGTTCTCGGGTTCTCGGGGTTCGCCGTCGGGGTCCCGGGGTTTCGCACGTGCTGCCTTTGTGAAACAAAACAAAACCATCGCGAGGGAACTTTTACCGGGGTGGGAGAAGGTCCGTGCTCCCCCTCCAAGGAACCCAAGGCTAAACGGGTGGTCCCAATTCTGAGACCTACAGAAGAGCAGGATTGGGGGGGCTGGGGGCCTGGGGCGAAGCTCCAGAAGGCTGGCGTTGCGCACCTTTCGGGCGCTGGCCGGCCGGGGGTCTCCCGTCGGAAGCGGCGCCTGAGGGTCCCCGCACTCCGATCCCCGACGGGGGGACCCGCAACTTGCCCCACACGTGCCAGGCGGGGACGCGCCCGAAGCCCCGCCCAGGCCCGCCTGCTTGGCTGGAGGGGGCGTCTCCAAGGGGCCCCTGGGCTTCTGCCCCTTCCCCAGCGCGGGAGCGCCCGGCTTAGCCGCTGCCCCCTCCTCCTCCACGGGGAGCCCTGGGCTGGCGGGGGGGGGGGGTGAGGCTCGCGAGATCTGCCGCCTCTGGCCGCCGCCCGGCGGGGTGGGGAGGCTGGGCCAGCCGGGCGGGGCTGGGGGGCGCCTCTGCTGCTGCCGCTGCTGCTCCTCTCGCCCCCGCCAGCCCGGAGTCGGCAGAGGCAGCGGAGCCAGAAACAGCGGCGCCCTCGTCCTCCTCCTCCTCCTCTTCGGCCCAGGTAAGGGGCAGCTGCTCCCCCCCCCGCCCGGAGGGAGGGGGTCAGTGGAGCGAAGGACACCCCCAAAGGGCTCCCTCCTCGGCCTGGGCGCCTCTGACGCAGACGCCCCACCATCCCTTCTCCACCCCCCACAAGTCGTGTTTCCCCAAATCTGGTCCTCTCTCTCTTCCGCAAAAAAAGGCTGGGGCTGGAAAATGGGGGGGGGGAGGCCTGGAAAATTACCGCACCCCCTCCCCCCAGGTGGAGGTCGGGGCGCCCGTGACAGGCTGGCGCGTGCCGGGGGGGGCAGGTTCTGACTCTCCCTCCCGGGCCGCTGTTTTCCAAAGTCCCCCCCCCCGCGCGCCGTCCTCGAACGCGCAGCTCCCTCCGGCTCCAGCCCCATCTTTCCCGAGTCATCTCCTACCCCGACCCCGCCACCACTTCCCTGTTCCTTGTCTGCCCCCCCAGCTCCGCCCCCCCCCATTCTCTATCCCTCTTTCTCCATCGCCCCTTGCCTGCTCCCCTTCCTCAGCACCTGGCCTGTGTTGTGGGGGCTATCGAGGACATCCTGCCTGGGGGTTTTCCGAACCGGGGAGGCGGGGGGCTGAGCAAGGCCAGAATGTTTCGTTCGTGGGGGGGCTCGTGCTTGGAGGAAACACCTCTGAGAGTGTGTAGAGTGCATCCCCTACAAAGATGTAGAGCGTGGAGCTGGATATGCAGGGGAGGGGCATCTTCTGATGGAAAATTATTAGCTGGGGGGCGGAATCCTGGCTTCTCCCAGGTGGGGTGAGGCTGTCGGGAGATCCGGCGGAGGTGGGGGCCTGGGAACCTCCGTTGGTGCAAAGAGAGGGAGTCCTCTGCCTGTGCGCCTGCGCATCCACGCGCGGGGGGGGGGCGCTGTGAGGAGCAGCGGGTGGGTCGCAATCCAGCCGTGCGCTCATCCGGAGCCAGATGCGGCCCTTAATGCGCTCAGCTGCACTTGGCTGCTGCAGGAGGTGAGGGGGTCCGGCCGGGCGCATCCCCCCCCCCCGTCACATCAAGGCTGTCTCTATGGCCACCTCCCCCTTGTTTGCAAACAGAGCAGCTGCAGGAATCAAAGGGAGGAAGGAGGGGGAGGGGAGAGCTATTAAAAGCCTGGCCAGGCTGGGGGGGGCCGCTGGGTGTCCCAGAAGCATCCAGGCTAAATCTGCCCCTCTCCCAAATGCTTGGAAGGAGCCACAGTGGTGGGGAGGGGGAGGCATGTGCTCCCCCACCCAAGAGCATCTCAACACTCAGGAGACTTGCCACCCCCAGCCAGACATGCAGACTCGGTCTCCCACCCCCCAGCGGTGGCCTGATCCCACCCCCTCCAACATTTCCCCGATGAAGATAGGGACATCCTATTCCACATCCGGAAGCTTCTCCTGCGTTTGATCTCATTGCACACACAGATGTCATGCGCACACAGACGTCGGTCACCTTGAGCCAAGTGCAACCTCTCCACCTCACCTACCTCGCAGGATCGTTGTAGGGAGAAAATGTGTGAGGGGAAGGGATTGTGTGCAACACTTTCCACAGATAAATGGAAAGAAATAAAATGTTGGTGGTAAGCTGCCTTGAGTTCCTGTCAGGGAAAAAGGTGAAATAATAGTAGAAGAAGAAGAAGTAAAATAGACTTGAAAGAGAAGTTGCTGAATTTCAACATATTACTAAAATGAAAACCATGGAGAGACCTAGTCTGAATAGAGATATTGGATTCTTGTCTCATTACATATGCTAAAGCTATTTTTGGTCATTGCATACCATCCCTTGCTTTTTCCTGTAGGACTAATTGCAGTCGTTAACAGTCCTCAACAGGTTTACCATACCCATTGAGTCAATCACCCATCTCCCACTACCCTTCTGAGAAATACCCCACCCCACCTTCCCACTATATATAAGAGTCTGGTGACTTCTGTTTCAGTGTATCTGAAGAAGTGTGCATGCACATGAAAGCTTATACCCAGAACAAACTTAGTTGGTCTCTAAGGTGCTACTGGACCTTTTTTTTTTTAGTAATACTAATAAACGTTGTTTAGTCATTTAGTCCTGTCCGCCTCTTCGTGACCCCCTGGACCAGAGCACGCCAGGCACTCCTGTCTTCCACTGCTCCCTCATGCTGGTAGCTTCGAGAACACTGCTTCAGGATCTGTCCTTCCAGGGGGCACTCAGGGCTGATTTCCTTCAGAATGGAGGGGTTTGATCTTCTTGCAGTCCATGGGACTCTCAAGAGTCTCCTCCAGCACCAGAATTCAAAAGCAGCAATTCTTCGGCGATCAGCCTTCTTTGTGGTCCAGCTCTCACTTCCATACATCACTACTGGGAAAACCAGAGCTTTAACTATTCGGACCTTTTGAAGATGCTGTCTAGGTTTGTCATCACTTTTCTCCCAGTAATAAAGATACCAGAGAGTAAATCCTAATGAACTCAGTGGGACTTACTTCTGAGTAAAAATGCTGAGGATAGCAGCATCAGGCTCAGTTTACAATAACAGAATAAACAGTGCCTGTGTTTCCTAAGAAGCAGCTGGTTGCTTTTTAATTTTTTTTTTAAGTAACATTTTATAAGTTTTCCAAAAACACAAACACAAAAACAAAACAAAACACAAAGAAAAAAGAAAAGAAAAAAGATCATACGCAAGTTTTTAAAACCATATACTTTTTAGCTGACTTCCCTCCACTTCTTGGTTCCATTACATTAAGCTTATTTATGCACGTCCGTGGAACCTTATATTCTTAGGAATCCAATTTTAAAACCACCTTCATCTTATTACAAGTTACTTTTAAAAGTTATACTAATGTAAATGTCTAAACACAAGCCGAATAGATATTCTTTGAACATTTGCCCCTTTTTAAAACTCAAAGTCCTTCTTACTTTGGCTTCAGATTAACTAAGTTGTCCTGCACAGTTCAATAGTTTATTCAATAGTACATCTTTATCTTCTTTGGCGTGGGTTCTTCCTTAGGTAGGAACTGGATTCTCAAGTACAGGAACAAAGTCTTTCGCTCAATGAGTCCATTGAGTCCTGTCCATCTCCATATCATCACTTTGATTTTTTTTAACATTAATCATTTCCCACATACTCTTCAAATCTTTATACGTCTTTTCCCAGGCCTTTTAAATAAATTACACACATTGCCACCACAAATAGTAACCCCTTACGCATTTTGTCCTCCCTTCCTACTTCTTCTCTATCATGGTCAAAGCCTCCCAAATCTTTTCACATATACCATTTTTGTCTTGTACTCCTCTTACTTTCCCTTGTATTTTCCTCAAACCTCATCCCTCCACCATTTCCACCTTGGTGGTTTGTGTATTCGCCTCTTTTAATTGTCTCACAGCCTCTGCAAGTAAGTTATTATTTTTACAAATTTGAGAAGCTGCCTTATGAACGTCTTCTTTTACCTGATCAAACAATTCTCTTTTCATTTCGGAAAGAAAACCATACAATTCATCTCTTCTAAAAGAACATAAGAAGTGGCTGTCTGCCGAATCATCACAATTAAAGAATTTAAGGCAGGTTGGCAACATTTCCCTTCAAAATTATAGGAAAGGCTTCATACGCCAGCATCACTATTTTTTTAATCTGGTGCAGGAATTTTATTTTCAGTTCAAACAAGACTCTGTTTTTGCATCTACACACCACTTCCAATTGTCCTCTGAGATAAGGAGGGGAGGGGGAAAGGGACATTCCAGGATCAAATCAGTAACCGGGATGACTTCTGTCATTCTGGGACTGTTCCTGGAAAGTCAGGAAACTTGGAAGGTATGTGATCCTGTTCCTTGCGTAGGAAGTAAACACCTCCCATCCTTAAGCTTGACCCCTCTTGCAGCAGCACAACTTCCGCAGGGACAGGCAGAGTCTCTTTCCTGTTTGCCCCCCACCCCCTGAGAAAGAGGATTTCCCCGCTGTGTTTACAGAAAGCCCTTCCTCTTCCACTCTTAGCCTGGGCTGAGATGGAGACGCTCCAGGGATTCGTTCCAGAATCTCAATGTCTGGAATATGTATAGCAATGCCAGGTTGCCTCTGGGCATGTGCAGAGCACTTTGCCCTCAGGGAACAGGAGCCAGCCCCCACTCCACGCTCTTCTAGGCTGTAGGCAGGTTTGGCTTCCAAAGCAAAACTCTGTAGGAGCTCATTAGCTGGAGCGAGCTAATTTAAGGGGATCCACCTGGTTAGGCTGTTCTCTCGAAGACAAGTGGGTGGGTGGCTTTCTGTCAATCTCAAAGTAACTGAAACACTGCCTTGGTTGTAAGAAAGACTGTAAGCAGAGCTGGATCAGGCCAAAGGAGGCCCACCTAGTCCTGTTCTCACAGTGGGAATCTAGACAAACTGCCTCTGGACTTGGAGCTTCCACAGGAACATAAGAAGTGCCTGTTGGATCAGGCCAAAGGGGACCCATCGAGTCCAGCATTCTGTCCTCACAGTGGCTGAAGGAGATGCCCCAAGACAACGCAGGAGCTGGGGCCCCATAGCAAGTGACATTTGGGGCATGGTGCCCCCAATACGGGAGGCAGTACATAGCCATGATGGCTAATAGCCCTCCCTCCATGAATGTCCCCCATCCGCTCTTAAACTGGCAGACAACACTATATTAGGAAGAACTTTCCGACAGCAAGAGCAATTTGATGACGGAACAGACGCCTTGGGAAGGTGCTGGACTTTCTCCTTCATCATAAGCTCTTAAGCAAAGTCAGATGGCCGTTGAGCAGAAATTGTTTAGCTGGGATTCCTGCATTGCAGGGGGTTGGGCTAGATGACCCCCGGGGTCCCTTCCAACCCTGCAGTCCTCTGATCTTCTGGAATTCCATCATTTTCCTGACATGCTTAAGAGGCCCTCATCTGATCTGTCCTCCATCTCCCAGATTCCGTCCAACCCACACATGAAAGGGCCTCTTTCACGCACCCGATTCTAAAAAATTCCAGCCTCGTCAAGAATGCCAGCAAACACTAATGAAACTAAAGGAATGAGGGGAAGGCAAGCCTTGAGCATTCACATCCCAGCTCCCTTCCCACATTTCACAAACACACATCCATGCTCCAAAGTCGGATCATTTCCCCCCTATTGCCTTTTGATGCTGGGGCTTTGGTGAGGTCCCAGCGAGGGAGGAGCTGCAGACATGTGAGACAGCACCCAAGAAGGCCTCATCCTGAACACCAGGTGTCCTTAATGTGGCTCAGAGGTGGCGTGTGGCCAAAATGGAACCCATCAGAGAACAGCCACGAGGGACAAGGAGGCGTTTGCTCGGCAGTTCCAGTGTCATGCTTGTGATTTCCTGTTGTGAGAATCAGATGAAAGCAACACACTCTGCAACCTGCCTTGGGGCCAGGCGGCTTGGAAGAGCCTGTCTCCCTTTATGAACCTGCCCTGGGTGCTAAGACCCTCGGGAAACACCTTCTGTTGGTCCCACCAACATCAGAGTCACAGCCGGTGGTGGAAGGAGACAGAGAGAGCCTTTTCTGTCTGCTCCCAGATTGTGGCATTCCCTCCCAAGAAAGACCAGACTGGCTCCCTCCTTCATTTCCTTTGGAAACTAAGGTGCACTGCACTGTTAATTGCTGGTTCTAAATGTGCTTTGGTGTATTTTAATTCCTATTTTTAATTCCTATTGCTTTAGTCGTCCTGTCTCCTCTCCTTGAAAGTTCACTGTCTTTACCTCCCCCTCCCAGGCAGCCTCCTTTATTGCTGGCGTCCCTTATCTCCCTCCCCGATCGCTTGCCGATTAGCAGATTTGTTGAAACAAAGCTTTTTTATTTCAAAAAAAGCATGATCTGCTTTTTGCCCCTGGGCAATTCAGCTCTAGGGACCACGCATTCGCTCCATAAGACGCACAGACATTTCCCCTTACTTTTTAGGAAGAAAAAAGTGTGTCTTATGGAGCGAAAAATACGGTACCTTGTTTTCACAACTTTGATCCCCCATTTGGAAAAGGAACAAAAAACATTGGCAATACAGTCAAACCTCGGCTCCTGAACGCCTCTGTTTTGGAACGTTTCAGCTCCCGAACACTGAAAACCCAGAAGTAACTGCTCCAGTTTTCAAAAGCCAAATGGCTTCTGGGGAGGTTTTTTCTTTTTTCTTTTTAAATAATATTTATTGCTTTTATACCTTACAAAAAGAAAAAGGAAAAAAGAAGAAAGACAAGAAGAGAAAAAGAAGGGAAAAAAGCAAAAGAGAAAACAGTACAATACAATATATAAACAATACAGAATGCAACATTGACATTAACACATTAACCAAATAAGAACAAAAACAATTCAAAAAAACACACACCATACCATTTCAATATCCTCTCTTTCATTCCCTTGTTTCATCAACCTCCTCTCACCTCCCTTTTTGTATTCCATTTCTATTAATTGTTTCAGCAAATCCTTTCCATCTTTCTCTATTTTCTGTCATATAATTATCTTAGCATATTTTAACCTTATTTTCCATTAATACTATAATACTTATTTATACTTAATTACTTAAGATATTTCTACTAAAGCCATATAATTCACTTCCAACATTTTTCTAACACTCATTAATTTTACATTATTTCCATATATAGGTTTTAAACTTTTTCCAATATTCTTCCACCGTCTCTTTTCCCTGGTCTCGGGTTCTGCCAGTCATTTCCGTCAATTCCGAATAGCCCATCAACCTGGTGATCTTCTGTCTCTTAACTCTTTTCCAAGTCCCTTCTGCAGGTCTTCTTCATATTTATACATGCACTTTACTTTGTCTTCTCCTGATCTTGTTCTTATTTTCCTTCCTTTGATGCTGAGAAGTAGATCTCCGGGGAATTCCCATCTAGCAATGTTTTTATTCCTTCCCAACAAGTCAACCAAATCTCCATAATTAAAACTGAAATTCAAAAGATATTTCCAATCGTGTTCCAAAGTTCCTCCGAGTCTGGCAGTCCCCACAACTCCAATCTCCTTTTGACCCAAGTCCGGGTCCCAGAGGTCAATCTCCATTCCAATTCCAAGCGGGGCTCCAATCCTAGAAATCTGACTTTCTCTAGATTCAGTCTTGGAAGGCATCAACTTATAGTCATCCAATTGCAACTGAAAGGCTGGAGCTCTCTGCCTCACCACTTGTGCCACTTTAGGTTCCACAACGAAAACTTTCTCCCCTGCCTTCTCCTCGATTTGCCATGTCGAAATAGATCCCTGTATCGATTCCTGAGTAATTTCTGTATTAATATTGACTTTTTGTGCCAAATTAGTCACTTTTTGTTCCAAGTTATCAATTTTTATAGTCCTCGCATCCGTCTTCTTGAAAAGCTGTTCCAGTGAGTCGTTAATCTTGCAAAATGCAACCACTAAGGCTTCTTCTGTCAACATTCTTAACAAGTCAAGGTCAAATCCAATTTCTCACAGTTTTTATCTTGCAGATGGAAAATTCCCCCAGCTCAGCTCTTGTAACAATTTCAAAGGCTTCCGGACTTCCGGGTTAGCGCCATCAGCGAATGGCGGAGTTCCTCCGACTGGAGGAACTGGCTCCGTGGAAACTGGGTCTTCCCGCCGCGGCGAAGGTGGGGGCCCGCTAGAAATCCCAGGCGGAGGAAGCCTGGGAACATGGGGTTCGGCAGGGCACCAGGAGCACCTCCCCTACTCATGGGGAACCCCATTTCGGGGGTCCGGAGTGAAGTGGGGTGAGCGGCGCGGTGCTGCGAACTGATTGCTACTTTCACGGAGTGAAGCCGCATAGCCATTGCCGGAGAGCGCTGACTTTTTCCTGTGGATAATTGGATTTAAAACAAGTACCCGTGAGTAGAAACGGAAAATTGGATCAAGAAATATCCTAATTTGGCACCGAAGCGGGAAGGTTCAAAACAGGAAGTCCGCCTTCCGCTTTTTGTATATAGACTGAAGCAAAAACCTTGTAAGCTAAAGCCTGGAAAGTCGTTTATAAAAGTCTAAATTTCCTTCATTTATAACCACTAAAACCCCCTTGGAAGCAGGAGAAAAGGGGGGGGACTTTGTTTAAGCCTGCAGGAGGGAGAGGGAGTAAAGAAAGACAAGTTTCCACCGTCTCAAATCTGGGAACGGGGTGTCAGAGACAGAAATTGTTAGAGATGTTCATTGACTGTGAATGGAACACTTTGACAGATAGCTAAAAAAGAGAAATAAACTGATTCCACTGTTGCCTTTTGCATTCTAAAGAAACAAAATATCTGAAAAATGAAAGTAATTTTCCTTTGTTGGACTTGCCTTAAAAAGATGGATACAAATAGAAATTGTCTCCTCTAGAGGGAGCTTGTTAAATTGTTGCTGCAGTCTACTTGAGGACTAGACAGCTGTGAGATTAAGATCGTGGGACCAGTCCCTTTGACCTTGGACAAAATGTGCTGGGAGGAAGTTTTGGTGCTTGCTTTATGCAAGACAAGTGCTTTGTTGGAACAGATGCATGAGAAGATGGATTTGATGAATGAGAAAACGGATTTGATGACTGTTGTGGTCAATAACTGTGGACAAACAGGGAATACTGATACAGAAACCATTCAGGGACCAACTCAGGAACCTGTATTGATTGGGCAAGTGCAAGTGCAGAAGATAATGGAGGAGGTTGCGGTTGCACCTCAAATAATTCAAATGGAGAGATCCGAGGCCCTGCAGGAGCATAAGCCGCTGTTTTTGAAGATTGAAGTTGGAGTGGGCCAGGGGGAGTCTGGAGCTGAGGAGGTTCTTTACTTCGGAGGGACTTTGAAATATGCTCTTAAATACTCTTTGGATTACATTGATGACTGTGGGGAGTGGGACTGTGGGGAATGGGCTGGTTTGATGAAGGGAGATGGAGATAACTTTGGGCTGGAACCTCCCAGAGACCTACTCCTCAATGAGAAAGGAAAGAAATTAAGAAAGAGACTAACAAAAGACAAGGAAAAGTGCAGGTATAAACAAGAAGAAGAAGATCTGCAGAAGGGACATGGAAGAGACTTAAGAGCTTCGGACATAAGATTGCCAGGTTGATGGACTAGATGGAATGGACAGTAAGGACTGACATAACCCGAGACCAGGAAGAAGAGACGTTGGATGAAGATTGGAAGAAAGTTCTTAAAAATTTATTTCAAGAATTAGTGTAAAATTAATGAGTATTAGGAAAAATGTTGGAATGAAACTATTTGGCTTTAATAGAAAAGATATAAGGAGTTATGTATAAATAAGTATTAAGTTTTAAGGTATTTTATGGTAAGATAAGGTTAAAATAAATTAAGGTAAATTGAATGACAGAATATAGTGAAAGATGGAAAGGATTTGCTGAGTTAATTAATAGGTTAAATTATTAAGATAATTTAATAAAAATTGAGAAAGATGGAAAGAATTTGCTGAAATAATTAATTAAACTAGAATACAAAAAGGGAGGTGTGAGGAGGTCAATGAAACAAGCAAATGGAAGTTAAAGATATGCAATATGGGATTTGCATATTTTTTTTTTGTATTGTTGTATTGGTTTTTATGTTTTGTTTTGTTTTTCTTCTTCTTTTTTATGTATTGTAGTGTTGTTTTCTATTTTTTCTTTTTTTCTGTAATCCTGAAACTTTTAATAAATATTATTATAAAAAAAAAAAACCAATTTCAAAGGCTTCCTCTAGGGGGAAACAGTTTCTATTTGTATCAATCCTTTTAAGCACAGTTCAAACAATAAAGTTAGTTTCAATTTTCAGTTACTTTTACTCCTTTTTAAACGCAGAAGGAGACAATGAAAACAAGATATTTCCCTTCTTTAACTTACTGTCAGCAGACAATCTATTCACAGTCAATGAGCATATCCAAAACTTCAATGCTTACTAGCAGCCCGTTTCCAGGTTCAGAGCAGTGGTAATTTGACTTTCTTCACTCTGTCCTGCAGGCTTACACGATCTTAAATCTCCCCCCTCTTCTCCTGCTTCCAAGGGGGGTTTAGTGATTTAACCGATGGAAGTTTGATCTTTTATGAGAAACTTTCCAAGGCTTTAGTTTGCAGCCTCTTTGCTTCAATCTATTTACAAAAGGGGGAGGCGGACTTCCTGTTTGAAACCTCCCCGTTTCGGTGCCAAATTAAGACATTTAAAAATCCAATTTTCCGTTCTACTCACAGGTAGTTGTTTTAAGATCAAATTGTCCACAGGAAAAAGTCAGCGCTCTCCTGCAACAGCAATGCGGCTTCACTCCGTGAAAAAAGCAGTCAATTCAAAGCACCGCGCCACTCACCCCCACCTCGCTCCGGATCCCCGAAACCGGGTTTCCCCGCGAGTAGGGGGTGCGCAAAAAGTGCCAGCCGAATCCCACGTCCACAAGCCTCTCCCGTCTGTGGTTTTTGATGGGTCTCCGCCTTCGCCGTGGCAGCCAGACCCTGATTTCCACGGAGCGGATTCCTCCCGATCAGAGGAATCCAGCCATTGCCGGAGGCGCCTCCCCGGAAGTCCCCCCCCCCTTTTTCCTCTATTGACTTTGCTGATCGCCCTTTGAACCTTGATTGTCGAACGTTTCGGAAGTCGAACGGTCTTCCAGAACGGATTCCATTCGACAACTGAGGTTTGACTGTATCAGGATCACAGACCCAGTTTCTTTCAAACTAGGAGAGGAAACACAAACACACACCCCATTGTGGTCCTTTAGCCCCATACTGACCACAAACCAATTATCAAGAGTCTCTCGAAAGCCCTCCAAAACTACTTTAAAGACAATGACGTAGACAACATAACAACCCTTCTCCTCTGGGACGCCATGAAAGCAGTCACCAAAGGAGGTTGTATAAAAGGAAAGGCATCCCTTAAAAAACAAACCTCAAAAAGTAATTATGAGAGCCACCTTGAATCCCACCTTGTAAGACAAGCTGGATACAAATATATGAAATCATTATCATTGACTCATAGAATTGCTGATGGTCAACAGTTGACTCTCTTTCCACTGAAGGCCCCCAACATGTGATCACATCTCACAGTGCACGGAGCGCATCAGCGAGGGCCATGTGCCTGGAGCTGTGCCAAGACCAGCTTCTGGCCCTTATTTCTGAAGGTGCTATGAGCACCTTGTCTTCCCCTGCTGCTCCTGATCTCATCCTGTCCTCCCCGGAGTTTGCAGTCCCTCCTTCTTTTGTATCATCTGGAGTAATGTGTAGGCCAGAAGCAGACTTGCAGGCGAGAAACCAGGCTCCAAATTCTGAACCACGAAAAACCAGATTCTGTAATCATGTGCTTGCTCAGCTTTTGCTAGCCAGGGAAGTCGAGAGGGGCTGCTTTGCAAAGACTCAGAGAGCTCTGCATGCAGGAAAATGCTCTTCTTGAGCCCAGCCAAGGATAAGCCTCTAATAAAGGCTTCCAAGAGCAAACCACAAATATCACCTCTTTGGCTTGCTTCCTTTTGGTGGGTGGAGCTGGATAAGGTACAGGAAGGGAGTTGTAGGGGTATCGAGAGGGAGCAGTGACCCTAAAACAAGGGTCAGCAAATTTTTCAGCAAGGGGCCGGTCCACCGTCCCTCAGACCTTGTGGGGGGCCGGACTACATTTTGAAAAAAATAATGAACGAATTCCTATGCTCCACAAATAACCCAGAGATGCATTTTAAATAAAAGGACACATTCTACTCATGTAAAAACACCCTGATTCCCAGACCGTCCATGGGCCGGATTTAGAAGGCGATTGGGCCGGATCCAGCCCCCGGGACTTAGGTTGCCTACCCATGCCCTAAAACCTGACATTTTTAAGCCATGACTATTGGGAGGCGAGAATGACACGTTTCAGAAGCAGCTCCTCTAGTCCCCGGAAGCATTTTATGATATTCTTAGAAAAAGGCTCAGGGGAAGCCAGCTGAGACCCCTGCACGTGGCAGCTGGTGGATCTTGCAGAGTTGCCCAGCGCCTGCTCTAAGGACCACCCGCCTGTCTGTCTCTGCCACCCCATCCCTGCGGGCTACACGTGGCATTGGGCTGAAGGGTGCATGGAGCCCACAAGACACAGGTTCCCCAGCCCAGGATTACAGAACTATGGAAATGCACCCGTTTCTGCATGCCCCACATCCTTGCCATGCAGCCTCCAAGTACAGGCTCCTGGGAGGCAGTGGGCCTCCTACCCCCGGGCCCAGCCAGCTCCGGGGATTGCACCGGAGACCTTCAGCCCGCAAGGCATGTGCTGTTGCCACTCAGTGAGAAGGCCCATCTTGCCCCCCTCCCTTCCTTCTGCTGTTTATTTACTTATCAAGTCTGCAGATGACACAAAACAGGGAGGGGCTGCATGCACTTCTGGAGGACGGGATTAGAAGGCAACGTGATGAGAGTAGCAAGAAAGGAGAGCAGGACAGTGAGGTGTGACAATGAGGTTCGGGGAAGACAAACGGAAGCAGCAGAGCCAGGAGAGACAAGGCAGGTGAGAGGGGCAGGAGCAACTTCTGCCAAATTCCTTTGGGGTGCCTCATCAACAGGTGGCACCCTCCCGATGCTGCTGGGGGGCTGCAACTCCCACTATCCCTGGCCAGCCTGGGGACACTTTTTTGGGGGGGGTGTCATAATCCATAGCACCTGGAAGGCTTGAGGGTGGCAGAGGTCAAGGCTGCAGTCCTCAAGAAAGTGTTAAGGGCAGGGGGCAAGGAGCAGCACCCCCTCCTCAAAAGAGGCAGGGAAATGAGGAGGAGGGGAGGAAGAGAAAGACGGAAGCAGGGGTTGGGCTAGATGACCCTTTGGGTCCCTTTCAATGCTGCTGTTCAATTTTTCAGTGTCTGACTGGCAGCCGAGACAGGAGACACCTTTCTCCGAAAAGCAGGCGGGGAGCTCTCTCTGGGGCACAGACAGGGTGAGGGGCCTCCAACTGCCCCTGATTCCAGCTCCTATTTCAACTTTGGGGTGGGAGTCACAGGAGGGGAGGGAGGGAAGTGTCTCCTTCCCTGCTGAACTGCAGGAGCGATGGGGGGGGGTGCCAGCGTGAGCCCTGGCACTCGGATGACGGGTTTCAGTTTCCACTTGCTAATCCTTGGGCAGGAGACGCATTAGTTCCGGCCGGAGGGTTTCCTGACAGGCGCATGACGAGTGATGCAGATGGCACTGTCAGGGAGACTGACCCCCCCATCTCCTGTCATCCGTCCCCCCCCCAGTCAAAAGCCACAACAGAGACATTCTGCTGCAGCAGATCAACACCCAAATGCAAAAAAGGCTGTCATTGCAAACCTGGCTGCATCCTGGCAGGAAGACAGGGGTATTTTGCTCTGTGTCCCCCCCCCCTCGTGCCCCTGCTGGGAGAAGGGGAAACAAGTGTCCATTTTATGTGCAATGCCCCCCCAAAAAAACTCTAGGAACCAGACCAGCGTTGCCTCCCCAGCAGCCACAGGAGGGCTGATTCTGCCCTCCGCAAAAGGGGCACACATATGCCCTCACCCCACCTGCCAGAGCATCAGGATACCTAATGGGTCAGAGCAAATGATTCTACCCCCCCACCCCACCCCATGTACACACTCCCCCCCCCCCGTCTCCCCATATCACACACAGCCAGCTGGTTTATTTTTGACTCGGGTTCTTTTAATAGCCGAGCAGCTGCTGGGAGGACATCCCAGAATAGAAACTGCACATCCGAATCCCACCCCACATAACGCACACTTGGGGTCTCCATTACACTCCTTCCCTGGCCCCACATGGAACGGTGACCCCACCTCTAAGGTCCACAGGGGAGAATTTGGGTGGTAATATATATATTTTTTGAAAACCCTCTTCTGATCCACAAGGAAGCACAGGGACTTCCAGTGAGTTCACAGAACTGCAGAGCTGGAAGGGGACCCTGAGGGTCATCCAGCCCACCCCCCTGCAATGCAAGCTCTGCTTGAAGACCTCCAAGGAAGGAGAGTCCGCCACCTCCTCAGGGAGCCCATTTCACTGTCATGCAGCTCTTGCCACCAGAAAGATCTTCCTGACGTTGAGTCTCCTTTCTTGTAACTTGAAGCTGTGGGTTCGAGTCCTCACACAGATTTGCATTAACATTGCGATATCAGCAGTTTTATTTCCAGCTCATTTCCTAATGATCCCTAGCATGGAATTCGCCTTTTTCTCCACACACAAGGTCAACATCTTCGTTGAGGGGAAAGGGGCTTGGCTCCGTGGTTAGGCCTGGGAGAGACCCACTGGCGCAGGGATCCATGGTCTGACTCTGTACAATGCCTATGAGAAATCCCCTCACATTCCTGGGCTGTCTTTCTTCTTCTTTGGTGATCACTCATTTCTCCCTTGCGTCCTGAGTTCGAGTGTCTTCAACGCCCACAACACCTTTGGTCAAGGCTGCTCTCCAACTGGAGCCCTCGCAGGCCAGTGTTTCCCAGTTGTCGGTGTTTATACTGCATTTTTTTACATTTGCCTTGAGAGAATCTTTAATCCTCTTTTGTTGACCACCAGAGGGGAAAGCAGGCTTTACAATAAATATAGAATAATAATCAAAATCCTAATACTAATACACCGAGGGGTTGCTCAGAGATTCCTTCCAGGTAACCTTCAGGTCCTGCTTCCCCAGCGTCCATCTGAGGGGCTTGAGGCGTCTGGGGAAGAGTAAACCTAAGGAGCACCAGGACTGGAAGCTGAGGAAATCTTAATCTATTTCAGCATTTCAACTTTTGTATGTTTCGAAGTACACTTGTGAATCTCTGTTTTACTGCTTTCTCCTTTGTAAACTGCTTCGAGGGTTCTTGTTATTTTTTGCAATCAAGCGGTGTGTAGGTATAAATGAATAAAATAAATGGGTTGTTCCTGAGGAGATGCTTTTCCTCCTCCGAAATGAGACTCTTTCCTCAGAACGGGGACCCTTTTTCTCCTCAGAAGAGGCCGGGATATGAAGAGACGGAGCAGAGGCCAAGGAGGAGCCGGCCTCCCTCCTCCCTCCTCCCTCCGCCTGAGGCCTTTTCCCGCCTTTTTCTTCCCCTCAGAAAGTGCCAGAAGAGCGGCCCCTCCCCCTCTCTCCTCAGGCAATGGAGGCGACATCCCTTGCTCCCTCAGGAGGATTTTCTTTCCGTAATGGGGATTCCAAAGGGTCTTTCTTGTCCTCTTCCTCAGGGGCAACTTACTTACTTCATGACATTTATATGCTCTTGATTGTGAGGTGTGTGTGTGGCAGTTTGGGAACAAGGAGGTTAGGCCCTCATATCCATATGTCAACTTACAGATTTGAAAATAAGGGACCAGCAGCCAAAATAAGGGATCAACAATTACTTTGATAAAATACATATTTTGTTGCATGCAAATGGCTTTAGATACCTATTAGGTCCATAAATTACCATATAGCATATATTCAACACAAAAAAAGGAACAATTTGTTGTTGACAAAGGACAGCTGGACATAGAAAGGGCCCCGTTCCCTTCAGTAGCTTATTTAAGAGACATCATCAATAAGGGACAGCAGCGGGACATGGCGCTGGGATAAGGGACTGTCCCACCAAATAAGGGACGCTTGACAGCTATGCTCATATCCGGAGGCCTCCCAAACAGCCACAGTTTGAAATCCATTAATTCATGTACTGTATTTTTCCATGTATAAGACACCCCCTACGTTTGGGGACCCCAAATTTAGAAAATGGGCATAGGCACTTTCCGTGTATAAGACGCCCCCAGATTTGTAACCTTATTTTAAAGTAAAAAAAAAAACCCAGTCTTATACACGGAAAAGTACGGTAATTCCCTCAGGTGCCTATGAGGAGTTTTAGGGGGTCCCTGGCCAGAGGATGCCTTGGGATTCCCCTCCGGATTTGGCAAGCATGGCTTCCTCTTAGCACATTTCTCCCTTGCGTGCTGAATTTGAGTGTCTTCCAAGCCCAGGACACCTTTGGTCAAGGCTGTTCTCCAACTGGAGCGCTCACAGGCCAGTGTTTCCCAGTTGTCTGTGTTTATACTACATTTTTTTAGATTTGCCTTGAGACAGTCTTTAAACCTCTTTTGTTGACCACCAACATTACGCTTTCCATTTTTAAGTTTGGAATAGAGCAGTTGCTTTGGAAGACGATCATCAGGCATCCGCCCAACATGGCCAGTCCAACAAAGTTGATGTTGAAGAATCATTGCTTCAACACTGGTGATCTTTGCTTCTTCCAGTCCCCTGGCATTAGTTCGCCTGTCTTCCCAAGTGATGTGTAAAATTTATAAGTGGTCCATGTTTCACGTGCATACAGTAAGGTTGGTAGTACAATAGCTTTGTAAACAAGCATTTTGGTTTCCCTGCGAATGTCCTGGTCCTCAATCGGAAGAAAGCCGCACTCGCAGAGCTCAGGCGATGCTGGATTTCGGCATCAGTGTCAGCCCTTGTGGAACGATAACTGCCCACGTAGAAGTGGTTGACATTTTCCAACGCTGCACCACTGAGTCGGATTTGTGGCACTGCAGAGGGGTTGTTTTGTTCTTGTTGGTGCAGCACTTTGGTTTTTTTGCATGTTGAGTGACAGGCCAAGCTTTTTGTAAGCTTCTGCGAAAATATTTAGGATGGTTTGGAGGTCATCCTCTGAGCGTGCGCACACTACGTTGTCATCGCATACTGAAGCTCTATGACGGAAGTTACGGTAACCTTACTCTTTGCTTTCAGCCTGCTTTCCATCTGTTCGATATATGATTTCTACCCTATTGTGGAGTTTCCCTTCAACAAAGTGTAGAATCATGGCAATGAAAATAATGAATAGAGTTGAGGTGATAACACATCCCTGTTTAATACCCAATCGCACTGTGAATTTTCACTTTGAGAGCCATATGTTATGGATTGTTCCTGTCATATTATCATGGAGGAGCCGAATGATATTCACAAATTTATCTGGGCAGCCAATTTTTAAAAGGACAGTTCACAGGGCAGTATGATTTACAGTGTCAAAGGCCTTAGTCAGGTCAATAAACGCTATATACAGGGGTTGGTTTTGCTCTCTGCATTTTTCTTAAAGCTGTTGAGCAGTGAAAATCATATCCACTGTCCCTAGAAGGCTGAAAGCCATTTTGGGATTCAGGAAAGGTGTCCTCAGATATAGTTAGGAGACAGTTTGCTAAGATCCTTGCAAGAATTTTGCCATCCGTAGAGAATAAAGAGAAGCCTCAATAGTTTCCACAATCTGTTCTATCACCTTTTCTAAAGATTTTGATAATTTTGGCATCTCTAAATCTGCTGGGATCTCCTCTCAGATTTCTTCGATGAGCTTGTGAAGTTGTTGTGTAAGTTCAATTCCACCCACTTTGAAGACTTCAGCAGGAATCCCATCAGGTCCGCTGGCTTCGTTGTTTTTCATTTGGTTAATAGCTGTACACAGCTCTCCCAGATTTGGAGATACTGCAAGCTCATCTCTAATTTGTTAAAGCACTTGCTCTCCAGGTAGGCCTGGATGGATCCCACTGCCTGATAGATCTGTGGTCTGGCTCTGTACAATGCAGCTGCCTACGAGCAATCCCCTCTCATTCCTGACCCCGGGAGCATATACATGGAATATATTTTTGCCGTGATCTGCATCACTCATGCTTGCTTACTGTATTTTCGCTCCATAAGACGCACTTTTTTCTTCCTAAAAAGTAAGGGGAAATGTCTGTGCATCTTATGGAGCATATGAGCCGAATTGCCCAGGAGCAAAAAGCAGATCGTGTTTTTTTGTTTTTTTTTTAAGAGGGAAGTGGGTGTTGAAACAAAGCCACTGACTGTTTGCCGATCGGGGAGAGAGATAAGGGACACTAGAGATAAAGGAGGCTGCCTGGGAGGAGGGAGGTAAAGACAGCAAACTTGCAAGGAGAGGAGACAGGAAGGCTAAAGCAATGAGAGAGAAAGTAGAAGAAAAGGAGGAGCAAAAAACTGTTGCAGCTAAGGAAAAGACACTAAGGCAAACAAAAGGGAAGTGGGTATTGAAAGGAAGCAGCTGATCGGTGGGATCGGAAGAGACAGATAAGGGACGCTAGCGATAAAGGAGGCTGCCTGGGAGGGGGGAGGTAAAAGCCCATGGATCCTCAGGATTTTAGCATTGGGTCACCCCAAATTCACCACCAGATCACATAGCATGTCCATGGCTACAGCCTGCACCAAAAACATCATACATCCACTGTTTCGTTCAGAATTTTTTTTTTCCCTTGTTTTCCTTCTCAAAAACTGGGTGCGTCTTATGGTCAGGTGCGTCTTATGGAGCGAGAAATACAGGTACATTGAATTGCATCTGACATCTTGACCCCATTATTTGAGCAGTCCTTAAGCAATTTGGTATCACCAGCAAACCTGGCGGCTTCGCTCTCTATGTGTCTTATGAGCAAACCCCCAGCGGAGGATTTTAAGCAGAGAGTTGGTTGGCCATCTGTTGAGGTTAGCTAAGATTCCTGCCTTGCAGTGGACTGGACTAGATGACCGCTGGGGGTCTCTTCCAACCCTACAATTCTGCAATTCTATGATTCATCCCAATATCAAATCCTGGGGGACTCCACGCTCTCTGGAGAAATGCCCTATTTATTCCTATTTTCTGCTTCCTGTTTCTTAGCCAGTCACTGATCCGTAGCAGAGCCTCTCCTCTCCTCCCACGACTGCTAACCTTTCTCAGCAGCCTTTGGAGAGGCACTTAAGCAAAGAAAGCTTTCTGAATGTCTAAATACACAAAGGCTTGTCAACAGAGGACTCTGAAAGGCTAGCGAGAAAGGGGGGGGGACTCCCCAGGCCAGAAACCTATTACGTCCACAAGAGGAGGGTGGGACCACAAAAGCACAAGTCTTGGGTGTCAGAGGCCACACACCCAGGCATGTGCCACCCCCTCCTCTGTGGCGCTCTCACCCACCCCGGGTGGCACTACCCTCCCAGGAGACTGGGGGGGCTGAAGGAGGGGAAGAGGGCCTCTCAGATGGGGGCACTGAGGCACCTGAGAGTGGGGGTTTCTGGCTTCTTTTAGGGCAAAAGCGAGTCTTTTGACTCCCACGTTGGCATAACCTCCAAGTGTCTCGGTTTCTGATTGGCTCCCAGAATGTCCCACTTTTCCTTTTTCCAACCCTCCTTATTTTTGGAAAAAAATTAAAAATGGTGTTGGTGTGTTGGTGCAAAAGTCCTGTTTGAATTGACAATAAAATCCCTGCATCAAATGAAGGAAATAGTGACACTGGCATGTGAAACCTTTCCCATGATTTTGAAGGAGAAGGTCACCAATCTGCTTTAAATTCTTTAACTGCAAGGCTTCCACAGCCAGCCATTTCTTAGGAAACATGTGGAGTGTTCATTCCTTTATTGTAAATGGAGCCTTACACTGTCTACTACTCAGAAGTAAGTCCCACTGTATTCAGTGGAGCTTACTCCCAGGTAACTGGGTCCAGATTGGGCAGCCTTCCACTGCAATCCTAAGCATTTTTACTTAGAAGTAAGTTCCACTTAGTCAAATAGGATTTATTCTCTGGTATGTTATCGATCGTGGGACGCGGGTGGCGCTGTGGGTTAAACCACAGAGCCTAAGACTTGGCAATCAGAAGGTCAGCGGTTCGAATCCCCATGACGGGGTGAGCTCCCGTTGCTCGGTCTCAGCTCCAGCCCACCTAGCAGTTCAAAAGCACGTCAACGTGCAAGTAGATAAATAGGTACCGCTCCGGCGGGAAGGTGAACGGCCTTTCCGTGCGCTGCTCTGGTTCGCCAGAAGTGGCTTAGTCATGCTGGCCACATGACTCGGAAGCTGTACGCCGGCTCCCTCGGCCAGTAAAGCGAGATGAGCGCCGCAACCCCAGAGTCGGCCACGACTGGACCTAATGGTCAGGGGTCCCTTTACCTTTACCTTTTATGTTATCGATCATTCTCATGTTTCCGTTGTTGTTGTTGTTGTTGTTGTTACATCCTGTCTCTTTCTCTAACAGGGACTCAAGGCAGCTTACTGCTAAAATTTTATTTCGTTCCATTTATCCGTGGAAGGTGTTGCATTTGATCCCTTTCTTCACACATTTGTTCTTTACAACAATCCTGCGAGGTAGGAAACATGCAACATGCAGCTGTCCCCTCTGAGGATTGAACCTGCAACCTTGGCATTACCAACGCCACACTCTAACCAACTGAGCTATCCACACAGTTGATGGGCACAGCTGAGTGTCAGGCTCCCTGCCTGAGCTGAAGGCTCTGGGCCCGCTCCTCCACTTGAACCCAGGGCCTCGCCCTTCTCCTTCAGCCCCTGAATCGGAGGCAGAGAAGGAACCTGCTATTTTCCCCGCTTCCTCCCCCTGTGGCCTGGCCTGCGCTGATATCAGCCTGCGCTCCCTTTATCAGACAGCAGAAAACGGGCCGGGCCCTGACTCTGTGGCAACTGCAGGCAGCTAGGCAGAGGCCTCTTCTAACCCTCTCCCCTTTCTCCCACAGGTGCCCCCCAGGCAGGCTGGCACGATGCCCGCCTCGCGGCTGCAGCCCCTCTTCCCCCTCCTCCTGGCCTTCCTCGTCAGCTTGGCCCAGGCGGATGAGCTGCTGGTGGCCACCCAGACCGGGCGGGTGCGTGGCATCCGTGTGAGGGTACTGGATGGCCAGGTCTCGGCCTTCCTAGGCATTCCCTTTGCAGAGCCCCCCGTGGGCCCACGCCGCTTCCTGCGCCCGGAGCCGGTCAAGCCCTGGAGCCATGAGCTGGACGCCTCGTCCTACCGGCACGCCTGCTACCAGGTGGTGGACAACACTTACCCTGGCTTCCACGGGACGGAGATGTGGAACCCCAACCACAACATGAGCGAGGACTGCCTCTACCTCAACGTCTGGGTGCCCTCTCCCCGCCCCAAAAACGCCACCGTCCTGGTCTGGATCTACGGAGGCGGCTTCTACAGCGGCTCGTCCTCGCTGGACGTCTACGACGGGCGCTTCCTCACTTACACTCAGAACGTGGTCCTGGTCTCCATCACTTACCGGGTGGGCGCCTTCGGCTTCCTGGCCCTGCTGGGCAGCCAGGAGGCCCCGGGCAACATGGGCTTGCTGGACCAGCGCCTGGCGCTGCAGTGGGTCCAGAGCAACATCCAGTTCTTCGGGGGCAACCCCAAGGCTGTCACCATCTTTGGGGAGAGTGCCGGCGGTGCCTCGGTCAGCATGCACCTCCTCTCGGCCCAGAGCCGGCCCCTCTTCCAACGGGCCATCCTGCAAAGCGGGACGGCCAACGCTCCGTGGGCCACCATCACCCCGGCAGAGAGCCGCCGGCGCGCCACGCTGCTGGGCAAGCGGGTGGGCTGCCACTTCACCAACGACTCTGAGCTGGTGAGCTGCCTGCGCACGAAGCACCCGCAAGAGCTGGTGGACGAGGAGTGGTCGGTGCTGCCCTACAAGAGCATCTTCCGCTTCTCCTTTGTGCCCGTCATCGACGGGGACTTCTTCCCGGACACCCCCGAGGCCATGCTCAGCACGGGCAACTTCAAGGAGACGCAGGTGCTGCTGGGCGTGGTGAAGGACGAGGGCACCTACTTCCTCATCTACGGGGCGCCCGGCTTCAGCAAGGACAACGAGAGCCTCATCAGCCGAGAGGACTTCCTGGACGGCGTGCGCATCGGGGTGCCGCACGCCAACGACATCGCCGCCGAGGCCGTGGTGCTGCAGTACACGGACTGGGAGGACGAGGACAACCGCGAGAAGAACCGGGAGGCCATGGACGACATCGTGGGCGACCACAACGTCATCTGCCCCGCCATGCACTTTGCCCGGCGCTACGCCGAGCACGGCAACAAGGTCTACGCCTACTTCTTTGACCACCGCGCCTCCAACCTCATGTGGCCGCTCTGGATGGGCGTCCCGCACGGCTACGAGATCGAGTTCGTCTTCGGGCTGCCGCTCAACGACAGCCTCAACTACACCCCCGAGGAGAAGGAGCTCAGCCGCAGGATGATGCGCTACTGGGTCAACTTTGCCCGCACAGGGTAACGAGGCTGGCGGAGGGGGCAGGCGGGGGCAGAGAAGGGAGGAGGCTGCCCTCCAAGGGAGGGAGGAAAGGGGGCAAAGTTCCTCCCCACTCAGGGGTGGCGGGGTGCAGGGGAGGGCCTTCTCTGTGGCGGCCCCTGAGCTGCGGGACTCACTCCCCACAGAGGTACACCTGGCCCCTTCATTGCACAGCTTCCGGAGGATGCTGGAGACGCACCTCTTTGCCCTGCCTTTTGGCACTTGAGGTGCATAAAATAAGGTGCACCTTATTTTACAGCTGCTTTCTTGAACTGTTTTTAATCTTGTGTTTTAATGCTGAAATCTGCCCTGCGACCAGGGCAGGTATTTCATTAATTAGTTAATTAATTAAATGTTTGAAGAAGCTGCCAGTGGGGTCGCAAACAGGGCCCTGGGCATAGGTCAATTGGGAGAATGAATTTTGGAAGATTATCAGAATTCAAGTTTATTTGCAGGACTTGGTTAGATTTATTTATATCCCCCACGCACACAACTAGAAAGATGAAAAATGTTCCTAGTTATGGATGGTGTTTGATTGTCTGGCTGGTTTTAAGTGAGAATTCCTGATTGGGGCAATCAGGAATTGGCAATATTTCCTTAGTTTTGCTTTATATGTAGCAACCAGACTATTCTGTCCCTCAGTATAGATATTCAAATTTCAAAATGTTGACCCTTGACCATGATGAGAAAAACCTGGGTTTGAAATTTAAAATATACAGACCCACCACTTTTGATTTCTGCCCAGGTGTGTCTTGAGTCTGTGTGAGTTTGTCTGGGCAAACAGCAGGAAGAGAAGGGATTAATACAAATCAGTCTCTGAGCAGCAAGGGACTCCAGCCGCTTCCCCAGGGCTCAGTTTCCTTGGAATGAGGGACAGCAGACATGGTTTTAGAAAATGATGGAGGGGATCACAGTATTAAGACCTCAACGGATCTTGCTTCTCGGTTAGTCGCAGCTCTGCATTCTGCACAGAGCAAGCAGGTCTCTGTGTCTCCAGCTTCTGGGCTGCTTCCAGCTCGGCTCACACACCTTCTCTGGCTCCTCCTAGGTGAGGGGACTAGAGGAAAGGCCCACCCATCAGCCTGGAGGGCCCCTGCACTTAGTTGCAGCTCTTGCAACCTGGCCGGTTCTTTTGGGATGTTGAGGAGGACACTTAAGCGGCCAGCTGAGGTCGTTGTCATACAAAGAAACTTGTCTGACCAGTTCAGCAACAGAATCTGCCATGAAATTCTAACCCTCCCTGGGTCCTGGACCCCAAGGCTTGGAAGGGACTCGAGGCATCATCCAGACTGACCCTCCCCCCCATTATACCTCAAACCCACAGCAGGGGAAAGGAGGAGAGCCAGGACTTAAAAGAACAATGAAGCACTGAGCCAGAATACTGGGCTAGTCCTGGCCCTGTACTGCTGTTGTTGTTTTGTGTACAGTGGACGCTCGGGTTGCAAACGTGATCCATGCAGGATGCTCCTTCACAACCCACAGCATTCGCAACCTGTGTCTGTGCATGCGCAAAGCGCGATTTAGCGCTTCTGTGCATGCGTGACCGCCAAAACCCAGAAGTAACCCATTCCAGTACTTCCAGGTTTCAGTGGTCCGTAACCCAAAAAAATGCAACCTGAAGCAGCTGTAACCCGAGGTATGACTGTACCGCCCTCCGTCCTTGGATCTCAGGGCAGTTAACTGCATAAAAATACAAGATAAAAACACCCAAACTGCAACATCTGCTGCTAGCTTGACCCAAGCACAGAGGGCGGTGCAAGAATTCCGGGGGGGGGGGCTGGTGCAGAAACTGACCGCTCACTCTCTCTCCCCACGCAGGAACCCCACGGACCCCTCAGACAAGGAGGAGTCCTGGCCCGTCTACAACCTGTCCGATCAGCAGTACGTCAAGCTCAACACGCAGCCACTCAGCACCGACCGCAGCCTCCGGGCCCAGATCTGCGCCTTCTGGAACCACTTCCTCCCCAAGCTCCTCAACGTGACCGGTGGGTCAGGGCCCCTGGCGGGGGGAGCCTCCTGAGAGTGGGCAGGGACATTGGGGGGTGAGAAACAGGCAAAACACAACCCAGCCCAGGAATTGGGCCGCTCCATCGAAACAGATGCAGAAATTCCAGCCCCCTCCCCAGGTCTTCTTCAGGCGGCCCCTTGACCACCCCCCACCCGCCAAGTCTCCCCAAATCCGATCTTTTGCTTCCACCAAGAATGACCTGCTTCTCCAGCCTCCTCTCTATCTCTCTCTCTGTCTTGACCAAACTGACCTCTCACTACCACAGCAGAAGGTGATGCGTTTGTGGTCAGCCCGTGGCTGCTGCCTCCTCCCTCCCTGCACCATTGCAATCTGGGGGAATGGCAACTTTTCCAATGAGTGTCGAGACGGGCCTTGCACCCCACACACCCCTCTCTCCCCTATGCCCAAGGGTTTAACTCCTCATTCTCTTCTCCCTTGTAGAGTCTTCCAGGCATTGTGCTGAGTCCAGCTGGGGGCCCGGGGGGCCCTCCGCCCCACTGGTGGTCCTCTTCCTCCTCCTCCTCTTCCCCCCATGGCACCTCCTGTCCTGAGCGCCCCACGGATCCCACTGAGAGAAGGAGCAGGTGGAAGCCGCTGCTGCCTGCCGCAGACTGGCGGAGGGCTGGGCCTTGGCGGAGGGGGGCTCAGTCCAGCTGCTGCCGCTGCTGCTATGCATGAACCGGGAGGTCAAGAGGGGCGGCGTGGGAGCAGAAGGGCAGAGGGGTGGGCAGGAGGCAGGGACTCACTGGGCACGCAGCCCCACGGAAGCCCGCAGGCAGCAAAGACAGGCTGCCCTTTTGCCACTGCGGCGGATTGACTTTGGGAGACAAAGACCCGTGAGCGATCCAGCATGGATTTGAGGCGTGCTGCAAACTGGAATGCGCCGTCTAGGCAACTGAGCCCCGCAGTTCTTCCCGAAACCAGCATCTGGACCCGAGAGCCCAGCAGTGCTTCCCCTTTGGGCTTGGGGTAGAACAGATGGATTTCGGGAGCAGGACACACGAACGCAAATTCAGATTTCAGCAACTGAGTGGGGTGTTTCCACCCAGTTGCAGCAGGATGGAGTGGAGGGTGTCTCTGGTTTTAAGGGCAAAGCAGACAGACTGGGAGACACTGAGCCCCTTCCCACCTTTTCCCAGTCCACCCCCCTCTCAGCACCACTGCCTGCCTTTGGGAAAAGCTTGGGGAGGGGGAGAGTGGCAGGGAGGTGAGCCATTGTGTGAGGGAGCTCAGCACCCCCGACCCAGGCGCCCCAAACCAGACCTCCCACCCACCTTGCAGCAAATGTCTGGTTCAGGCACAGTGTCAGGATGAGTCAGGGTCTCTGTGTGTGTCTGTATAGCTCGTTTTCAATGGTTTTATGGTTCTGCTCCTGTCTGGTGTTTTGTTGTTCTCGTTTCATGTTCACATGCTTGAAACTTTGTGGGTTGTGTGTTCCTGAGGTCCCTGTTTGGGGGAATTGCAATAAGAATCAATCATTTCAAGCACACACAGTCTTTGGCGCTTTGCAATTTGGGGGGAGGCGAGGCACGCAGCAAGTGGGAGATCCACTCTTTCCATCCGCTCTCCAACTGCATGACCAGAGGGGAAAACAGAGGTGGGGGGTGAAGAGGAGGGTGTATGGGTGTGTGCATAATGTGTCTGCAAAGGGGGGTTCAGGGAAGGCCTTTTGGGGTCAAGGGAGAGGCTGCAGGAGGAAGCATGCTCCATGTTCTGCTGGACTTATAGGCACACAGATATTGGGGGGGGGGCTTCATTCCATGGTGGGTGATCCCTTTCTCAGCCTGGCTGTGGCCCCGGACCCCTTTTCACAGGGGCTTCTTGGGGGCCACCAAAATGCCAATTGCAGAGATGGCTGCAGCCTTGGTTGTGGGGAGTGTGTTATATGTGAAGTTTGGGGTCACCCATCGTTTAGCCAAGGAGTCAGGGCTGTAAGATGCGGTTCGGAGGCAAGGCACATAGATAGATAGATAGATAGATAGATAGATAGATAGATAGATACCGTATGTTCTGGTGTATAAGACAACTTTTTAACCCAGGAAAATCTTCTCCAAAGTCGGGGGTCATTTTATAGGTCGGGTATGGTTGTGGCGACGCGGAGCCACCTGTTGGGAAGGAGGAGAGGGAGCCGGTGAGCACAACCCGCCGCTTTGCTGGATGGCCGATCGGGGCTCGCTCACCTCGCCTCGGGCTGCTGCTGCTGCTGCGATGGCAGAGGCAGCGGAGGGGTGCGCGCACTGCCCCTGGCGGCGCTTGGTGGGCTTTAGGTTGGGGGGCTCCGGCCTGTGCCTGCTCCTCGCCTCGCCTTGCCGAGGGTCTGGCAGCTCTGGGCCCGTCTCCCTCGCTCCAAGGAGTGGCGAGCAAAGCGGCGTCCGGAGCCAGAGCTCGGGGTCCACGCTGTGGTCTGCGGCAGGGCTCGAGGGCGCACGGCTTTTCTTGGTGCACGGACTCACCACCTCGTCCCAAACCACAAACATGGCAAGAGGGACACGGAGTGTGCGGGGAGCCCGCCAGGGGCGCCACCAGGCCCGGCGTTGTGTGGGGTGGCGGCGGCAGCCGGCCAGTCCCCACCCCTTCCTCTCCGCCCCCACCCCACGAGGAAGACCAGAAACGGGTGGGGGTAGTCTTATACGGCGAGTATATCCCAAACTCTATATTTTAACTGGAAAAGTTGGGGGTCATCTTATACGCCCAGTCGTCTTATACGCCGGAAAATATGGTAGGTAGGTAGGTAGAGATAGATAGAGACATGTCCATCCTCCAGCCCAGAAAATAAATGGAGCTGAGTGATGAACCTCCAAGCTCCTGGACCGCAGATCATGCTCTTAACCGCAATGCTGCCGCAGCTGTCTTTAGCTTGCTAATGCTAACCATCTCTTTCTTACATGGGTGTCCTCAGTGCATCTCCCCCACCCTCAATAAATCTTCTGCCTGGTCCACCCAAAGACTCCCCTCCCAGCCCCAGAGCTCTGAGTCAAAATCAAACTGCCCCCCTTTCAGATCCTTCTAGGAAGCCACCCCAAGAGGCTTCCCACCCAGTGGCAATGCATTCCACAGGCTAGCGGCAGGTGCATGATGGAAGGGAAGCTACCTCCTGCCAGTGAGAGAGGTGCAGTGGTTACAGCACTGGATTATTATTATTTATTTTATTTTATTTATGAAATTTGTATATCGCCCCTTCATGGACTCTCCTTCGTTGGAGGCTTTTGAGCAGCGGTTGGGTAGCCTTCTCTCAGGGATTCTTCAGCTGGGATTCCTGCCTTGCAGGGGGTTGGGCTGGATGACCCTCGGGGTCCCTTCCAACTCTAAAATTCCAGGATTCATTGGAGGTTTTTAAGCAGAGCTTGGCTAGCCGTCTGTCAGGGATTCTTGAGTGGGGAGTCCTGCATTGCATTCCTAGCCATGAAGCCCACCAGGGTGACTTTGGGGCAGTTACTACGTCTCAGGCCAACTTTGTCTTCGTGAGGATAGAATTGGGGGCGGACAGAGTCAGGCAGGCTGCTCTGGAGAAAAGTTTAAAAAGGTGAACTTCACAGTGAAATCTCTGCTGGAGGAACCCACGTTCCCCTGTCCAATTTGTACACCGAGTCTCTGGGTTTCATGGAATTGTAGAGCTGGAAGGGACCCAAAGGGTCATCTAGCCCAACCCCCTGATAAAGCTACATTCATCACTGGAAATCATCACTTGAGGGGAAAAGGTCCCTGAGGCAGAGGTGCTGTGAGCCAGGCCACCTCCTCAATCGCAGCAGGAGAGACACAAATGTCCCCTCCTCTGCAAGGTAGAGGACGATGGAAGGAGGAAGAAGAGGCCAGCATCCCTAAGAGGTATCAGCCTAGTAGGAGGGAAAGTCATGGCGAGAGGATGAGGTCAGGAGAGAAGCTGGGGGGCTCCATCTCCCCCTGGCCACGCAGGGCCCACCCCCCTCAGTGGAAGCCGAATTGCACCCTTAAAACTCCCCACAGACAGAGGGACAAGAGAGATGGAGGAATATGTCTCCGTCTGACCCCAGGTGTGGAGTCTGGGGCTCTGCAGTGGGGAGGGGGCTTTGGAGCCTGGTGAGTCTGCATTCCCCCCCCCCCCCCCCGCAAATGCGCTTTGGCCTCTTGGCAGCTCTTCCTGCCGCTTAACTCTATTTCCTTTCTCCTCCTTTCTCTCTCCTTCCCTTCCGCCCTTCTTGCTTCCCCCCCAGACAACATCGAGGAGGCCGAGCGCCAGTGGAAGCTGGAGTTCCACCTCTGGAGCGCCTACATGATGCACTGGAAAAGCCAGTTCGACCACTACAGCAAACAGGACCGGTGCTCAGAGCTGTGACGCAGAGGGGGAGACGAGGGAACGGCCCCTCAGCCCCAACTCAGCCAAGCAGCTCATGGAAACCCCCCAACTCACCTCCACCCCAACCCACCTTCCAGTGCAGCTGGATCCCAGCCGATCTGAACATCCCTAATGGACCCCCCCGGTCCAACTTCCCTCTCCCCTGACCACCTGACCACCCGTCCAGCCACCCAAAGCCAAGAGTTGTGCCCATCAACGCAAGCCAACCGATCCAAGCAGCCCCTCCATCAATCTAGCTGGCCCAGCCTGCCAACACCCCCACCCCAAATCACCCCCACCCCCAGAAACAGGAACCGGGCAGCAAGTTGATCTACTGCTTCCGTACTAGGGTGGGGGACACAGCACCCGGCCTTCCCAAGGCCCCTCCATGGTCCCCGCGGTCACCAGTTCCCAGACCCCCCCACCAACTGGCCCCCCCATCGTAGCACCCCAAACTCATTGAACCCACACCCCCTGTGGTTCCTCCCCTTTGCTGTTTGGGACCCCCCCCCCAACTCCTGACTCTTTGCTGTGATTTGTATATAATGTTTATTTAAAGGGGGGAATGTGATAAATAAATAAATACACACACATATATATAAATATAAATATAAATATATATCTATATTTGGACTGTATAGCGACCGGAGCTACAGGGAACACTCCCCGCACTCCACACGCATCGCCCCCCCCCCCAAATCATTCACTCTGATTTCCCCACACATGTCACGAGGCACCCCAAGGGAATCCACCCCCCAAGCCATCCTCAGAGCCCACCCCCAAATACTTATTACCGTAGAGCCTTGGCCAGATCCAGGGCCTGGCCCCCCCCCCTCAAAGCAACCACTCTCCCAAATCCACACCCCCCCAGACACCTCAAAAGTCCTACTGACCTGCTGTCCCTGTTATCAGCCCCGACCTCCGGACAAGCCCCGTGACTCAAGGGCGCCTTCGGAAACAGAGAGAGAGAAAGACCCACTGGCAGACCCCTGGAGAGCTGGGTCCCCCGCCAAGTCAGTTTGCCCCCCTTCCCTGCCCCCAGCCTCCCACCTCTTCCGCCTGCATGGCCAGCACCTGTGGAACTCCGACCTGTGTGTGAACTCCTGCAAAACCCAATAAAAAGAGTTAACCTGGCGCAGTGTCTGTGTGTGTCTTTGATGGGCAGGGAGGGCAACGGGGGCCGGAACCGGGGAGGGGGCGCTGGGTGGGCAGGCAATATGAGGCAGCAACGCTCAGCCAGCGGGAAACCAGCCAACCTCTGCTCGACTTGGAGAAAGTACTGTTGCGTTCTGAAGGCAAAGGAAGGACTGGACCCTGATTAATACAATGGACACGAGGCTTGACCAGCAAGACTCTGGGAGGACGTGCACATCCCACTCCCTGGCCCAGGTCGTTTAACACAGCGTTTGTAAGAACGCATCAGATTTCCTCTGAGCATTTCAAAAAATCCCCATGTGGAGACAAAGTCAGATCAGAGGAAGCCTCTCTGATCATAGAATCATAGAGTTGGAAGAGACCCCAAGGGCCATCGAGCCCAACCCCCTGCCAAGCAGGAAACACCATCAGAGCACTCCTGACATATGGTTGTCAAGCCTCTGCTTAAAGACCTCCAAAGAAGGAGACTCCACCACACTCCTTGGCAGCAAATTCCACTACAAAGAGCTATTTGCCATTTGAGCATGCATACATGTTCAGGCTAACTAAACAAGAACCAAGGAGGAATGCATTTAGTAAACCCCGGCAGTAATAAACCCATAGGAAAGACAGGCATTTTACCACCTCCATGTGAACTCTGTTCCTGGCCCTAAGATCTACCTAAAGATTAACAAAAGCTACATCAAAGCTTCCTTCTTATCTTTATGTACCCAGGATGCCTGGTAAGCAACTGGTCTGTGTCAGAATGCTTTACACGTGACCGTCAGGCATAGAGAAAACGGGGCAGAGACGCAGAGGCTTGTGGGATCGATCAGAAATCATGCCAATGACCCAAACCCACTCAAAGCGATGCTTTCACCGCTGACACAATGGCTTGCTCCATCTTTCATAATTCCTCATAGCAATCCCACCTGACCACTGCAAAGTACGAGATCATTCTGAGAGATGATGCAGAAAGAGTCGTTGCACAGCAGGACGGACTCTCTGGGAAGGCGGGGGTCTCTCCTTCTTTGGAAGCTTTTAAGCAGAGGTTGGGTGGCCGTCTGTCCGAGGTTCTTGAGCAGGGATTCCTGCATTGCAGGGGGTTGGGCTGGATGACCTTTGGGGGCTCCCTTCCAACTCTACAAATCTATGATTCTATGGGAATGTGAAGAGGCACCCAGCGGATTCAGACTAGGGCTGGTCGATATCTTATTTTCAGCATCTCAATATATCGCCAGCTAAACATTGTGATATCTAGTACCAATATATTGTGATGCCTGAAATAAGGATGGAGCTATGCAGAGGCTCAGCACCCTCTTTCTCAGAGTGGCTGAGCAGACAGCTTGCCGTATTCCATGGGGTTCATACCTTGCCTTTCAATATACCTTTCGCCTCTGGGAAGCCCGCAAGAAGAACTCCACTCCCTCCCAAAAAGTCCTCTCCTGTGGCTCCTACACAGAAGTAAGTTGCTGGCTTGTAGGAACATAAGAAGAGCCTACTGGATCAGGCCAAGAGCCCACCAAGTCCAGCATCCTGTTCTCACAGCGGCCAACCAGAAACTTACAAGCAGGATCCGAGTTCAAGAGTAACCCTCTTCCCTCCTGTGGTCTCCAGCAGCTGGGATCCAGAGGCTCACAAATTCTGGCCAGCTTTTCATGGGTAGTAGCCATCGATTGCTCTCTCCTCCCCCTCGAATTTGCCTGATCCTCTTCTACAGCCAAGTTGCTGGCCTTCCCTGCCTCCTGCGGCGGCAGGGAGTTCCACAGTTTCTGCTCTGCCTCTGCACTTGGAAGGCCCTCAGAGCAGCCTATTCCCAACCTGGCGCCCTCCACTTTCAGACTACAACTCCCATCAGCCCCAGCCAGTAGGGGTCACATGATGGGAGTGATGTAAGAAAAATGAAATAAGTGCACTAGGTACAAATAAGTCCATTAAACACACATCCAGAATCAGAAAACCCAGAAAACAAACCCATAGGAGCTTGCAAAACCCACACCTTAAAACAGGGTCTCTAGTTTTACTTTGACCGGTGAGCAAACATTGAAGGTGTGTAAGTCCTTTGATTGGGTTTGAGCTGAAACGGTGATCCCTGTTTTTTTATAACTGCTTTGGCGACCATGAAGGGACTTTCGGTCCACCTGTTTTGGGGGTGCCAGAGATCCTGACAGCCCAGCATGCGCCTTTTGAGAGGCTGCCCCCTCTCTCCCAGCTGACGCGGGAGGAACGCGGATAAAATGCCATCCCTGCATGACGACCAAGACAGGTGCCTCAGACAAATAAGTACCCCACCTTCCCCACCTGTGGTGGGCACATGTACGGATGCTCCTCAGCGCCCGACTTAACAAAGCAGAAAGAGGCGAAATTCTGGCTGCAGCAGGAGAGGTCAAAGGCAGCCAAAATGCCCAACAGAAAAATCTCAGGACGAACCACAGTGGAATCACAACACCCTTGTTGCAGGAATTTGTGTAAAAAGGGGGGGGGGTTGCCCCTCCAGCAGATTTCATACCCATACACACACACACCAACTACCAAATTCAACACTCCTGCAAATGTCCCCACAAAACACTTCATCAGTTTTTTCCTATCTCTATTCAAAAGGGCCTGAGCTGCACATTACCAAATGTAACAATGCACTGATAAATGTATTTATGTCCTGATTTTTAGAAAGTCATATAAAATCGCTCCAGTATCGGATTTGCATCTTTCCAACTTTGTTCTGCTCAGGAAAGGAATGGCTACTAAGGGGGCAGCCTGGGATGTGGGCAGCCGTAATCCTGAAACCTGAGATCAGGTACACAGCAGCCTCTTGCACAAGAGACAATCACTGGCATCCTGGCAAATGGGTGCCAGACAGGTAGCCATCCTGTGGACAATAGCAAACCATCCTGGAATGGGTTAGGTTCTTGGTGGGGACAAAGAGGTGTGATTAACTGGGGGGGGGGACACCAGGAACTTGTAAATATTTCTTTTGTCTTCCTTGATGGGTTTGAGGTGGAGGTCAAGAGGAGGATGGGGACAACCCTCATGCTCAGGTTTCTGTCACCAGACCCTCCCTATTTGTGGTGTATTTGTGATTGTGGTGCCTTTTTAGGGGTGTTGTGGGTATCTTTGTAAAACTGATAAAAGTGGGAGCCACCCTTTGTTCTGGGCTTCTTCCTGCTTCTGCCATGTGGTGGGTGGAAGCCCTGTTGCAACAGTCATTGGAATAAAGACCAGGCCTACTGGCTGCTGCTTTGCTCCTATTTCCTTTGCTGGTGTCTTTGGCAATCCAAGTGAGCCCAAGGATTTTCCTATAACACCCTTGAAGGTGCTGGAGTTTTAAGAAAGCAGTAGGAGACAGAATTAAACCTGCAGGCAGCGGTGGAGGAACCCTCTATGGAACCCGGGGTGGGATGCCAAGGGGCGGGGCAAACCGCCCGGTGATGCACGCATGATGTCCGTACAGGCTGCGCATGTGCGGCATCCCGTACGGTCGCCATGCGAGAGGCAGCCTGTACGGATGCCCGTATGGACGGCACACGAGAGCGGCAGCGTGGCATCCGTACAGACTGCACGCACCCTCAGCCGCTCTACAGCTGGGGGGGAGGCAGGGGCCATCTTGTCACCCCCCAGAGTGGCACCCGGGTGACCCACCCCCTCCACCCCCCACTTCGTACGCCCCTGCCTGCAGGGCAGCTATCCATCAATCAGACTAACATTCAAGCAGTCATATGAAAACCCAACAAGCGTCCGTCCAAATATTATACCCGTTTGTGCTCAGCGATAAAGATTTGGGGAGGACAAGACCCTGAGAAGGCAGACAGTCAGCTCACCCATAAAATTTTCTTTAAAGATCAATCATCCCCTGACACCGAAAAGGTCAGGAGTATCCAGCTAGGCTATGACAGGAAGCTGATCTTTCCAAAGCAATGTCCATCTTTAACAGCAGAGATCTAAGGGGAAAGGAGGAGATTAAGGAGGACGGGGAGGAGGAGGCAGCAGCCGCAGTTCTCACAAGAGGAGGAGGAATGGCAACAGCAGCCTCCGCTGGTCATGGACTTGTTGAAACCAGGAACAGGGGGTGGGCAGGTAAACGACTCCCCCAAAATCCCAAGTCCCCACCACAGCCTCTAACTAAGGCCAGGACAAGGACCATTGACACAGGCACCAGACACACATAACAGGAATAAAGCTCAGAAAAGAAAACTGTAGCAAGAAGTGAATACCATGTATTGTACTGTTCCCCCTGACTATCCAATATAGAATCAAATAATTCGCCAAAACTCAATGGTTTGCGCCTTCCTTTTCAACACTGCGATGTATCGTCCTTTCAGAATATTTAGCTGCTGACACATCGCGACGTTGAAAAGCTGGTCGCACCCGGCCCTACTCATGAGATAAAGGTAAAGGGACCCCTGACCATTAGGTCCAGTCGTGGCCGACTCTGGGGTTGCGGCGCTCATCTCGCTTTACCAGCCGAGGGAACCAGCATACAGCTTCCGGGTCATGTGGCCAGCAGGACTAAGCCGCTTCTGGCGACCCAGAGCAGCGCACGGAAACGCCGTTTACCTTCCCGCCGGAGTGGTACCTATTTATATACTTGCACTTTGACGTGCTTTCGAACTGCTAGGTTGGCAGGAGCAGGGACCCAGCAACGGGAGCTCACCCCATCGCGGGGATTCGAACCGCCGACCTTCTGATCGGCAAGTCCTAGGCTCTGTGGTTGAACGCACAGCGCCACCCGTGTCATGAGATAACTGGGGCCAATTCCATTGGATGTGTCGTTTCTCTCCACATTGGTAACACCCCAATGAAGTCTGTTGCGGAAAAATTATGGGTGCAGGTTTACTCCGCTGCTCAGTTCGTTGGGCTGCCCCTCCCCACAGGTCTTGTCAGCAAAAGAAGGAATTTCCAGCCAAGTACAGTGGTACCTTGGTTCTCAAACGCTTTGGTTCTCAAACTCCAAAGTAAGTGTTCCGGTTTTTGAACATTTTTCGGAAGCCAAACATCCGATGCGGCTTGCAGCTATTGTTTCCGGGGCAGCTGCACCAATCAGAAGCTGCACCTTGGTTTTTGAACCTTTCATAAGTCAAATGGACTTCCAGAACAGGCTAAGTTTGGCGCTTTTGTTTCTGCTATTTATTTTGCTGCCTTTTTTTTTTTTTTTTGCTTTTTAGTTTAATTTGTTTTTGTGACTGTGTGGAACCCAAATTTTGCCACCTTTCCTCCTAGCAGGATTGCTCCATCCCCTCCATATCCTTTGCCATCTGTTCCTGAAGCTTTCCCAACTCTACAGTATCCATTTTAATTTTTTTTTAAGTTGTATGCTGCTGTGCCCTTATATGCACGGGGTGCTGCTGTTTATAATAATAAATGCAAACAATAAAAAACATATAAAAAGTTAAAGTCAGAAATCAGCGAACCTTTGTGGAGCGACGCCTTGCCTGCCTAGGCTTGTCGGAACAGAAACCTTCCCAGCAGGTGTTTGGAAGTGGATACGCTCTCCAGTGGCCGGGAGTTCCACAGGGGTGGGCAGGTTTGTGCCCCTTGCCAAATGAGCCAAGGGCAAGGGACTCCGCTGCAAGGCAGGAAGGGCGGCCTTCAGAGGATGCCTCCCGGGGGGGTCTCGCGGGGGGGGGCTCCGCCACACTCCTCTCTTTGCCAGGGACCTTTCTCCCGCGCGCCAGCAGGGGGCGCCCCAACCCCGCCCTGCCCGCTCCGTGGGGAAGGGGTTCCTTTTCACGTGCAGGTGTGTATGCATGCGCGCGTGTACTCTGGGGGTGGGAAGGAGAAACCCCCCTCCTCCCGGGCACTTCCTTCCCGCGACCACTGGGGGAGGAGGGGGCGGAGTCTGCTCGGGGGCGGGGCTCCCCTAGGGGCGGCTCCCCCCCCCCCGCGAGGAAGTCTTTGCACTGAAAAGAAAGGGGAGCCGCCAGAAGAGCCCCCCCACTTCGCGGCTGGCCCGCCGCCTCTTCCTCGGGGGGGGGGGCTGGGATGCGCCGCGTCGGGCTGGGGGGCCCCCCATGGAGCGCATGGAAGTGGAGCCCAGCGGGGCGGGGGGGGCCCTGCGGAGGTCCAACAGCGCCCCCCTCCTGCCGGGGTCCTGCGGGTAGGAGAGGGGGGTCCGCGGGGGGGGCAGGGGGGTCCCGGCGCAGCCCCTGACGCAACTCACCCCCCTTTCCTTCCTCGCAGGACCCCCCCGCGGAAGGAGGAGCCGGCCGGGCCCCCCCGGAGCCGCCGCAGCAGCGTCTGCCTGGACAGCGGGCTGGGGGTGAGCGCCCCCCCCCCAGCCGCATTGCAAGAGGGGGCTCTGCGTGTGGGCCCCCCCCAAATGAAAGCCCCGCTTGCAACGCTCATTGCCCTTTCCCTTTTTCTCTTGCCAGGTTGAGGCCATGAGCGAGACGCTCCCCAGAGTGGGGGGGCCCCCCAGCAGCAGGTGAGGCTTTTCTTTTAGGGGGTGCAAAATGGGGGGGGACCTGGCCCCGCAGCTCCAGCTTCAGCTTGTCCTGCTTTTGCAGGGCGCCCCCCGGCGGCCTCCACGGCAGCAGCCCCGGCCCGGGGACCAGCTATGGGGTGAGTGTGGGGCGCAGAGGAGAGCCGGGGAGGGAGGGGGTTCGCAGGGGCAGGGCCCCCCTAATTGTTTCCCTCTCTCTCTCTCTCTCTCTCCCAGTTTTCCAGCCCCCCCAGTGCTGTGACCCCCCACGCCTGGCATCTCCAGAGGTGGGTTGGAGGGGGGAGGAGAGGATTGCAGGGGGTTGGGATGGATGACCCTGGGGTCCCACCTCTGCCACTGCAGGCTTCTCTAGGTGAACTGGCATGACCTTTGCCCCCCCCTCTGCTCCCCTCTTCCAGGCGCCCCTCCTCCCCCAGCACAAGGACCCCCCCAAGGCTGGAAACCCTGAAGAGGAAAGGTAGAAGAAGAAAAGAAAAGGGGGAAACATGGAAGAACGTGGGCATTGCCGGTGGGAGGGGCCGCTCTCATTGGTGGGCAAAATGGGGGGGTACCTGGGAGGGGGCACAAGACTGATTCTCTGCCCCTCACCCACATCTCTGCTTCTCCTTGCAGGAGGACTGGACATCGACTCCCCCCCGAAAAAGCTCTTTGTGGCGGGGGTCCCCCTCACGCCCCCAGCCCCATAGCTGACCCCCCCAGGCGGCGGCAAAGGGCGCTCCAGCTCCATTCCTTGTGTTGGGGGGTTCGCATCAGGTTGTGCTCGGAGCTGGTCTTCGTTGGGGGGGGGGATGCCCTCCAGCAGGAAATAAGGATGGGGGGGTCAGGAAAGAGGTGCAGCGGATCCTTTAATTAAAAAAAAGGCACCCAAGGATTTGGGGGGGGGAGAGGCAGAGGTTTCATTTAGTGGCTTAATGGGAGGGTCAATTTTGCAGGAGCCCCCCCATGCTTTAAACTTCCCTCCCAACATCCCCACACAAGGTGGGGGGCACCCTGGGAGTTTCTCAGGTGGGGAAGCCCAGGAGTGACTTTGTGGGTGGGGGGCATAAGTGATATTCCCTGAGCTCATTGGGACAAGGATGTCCTTCCCCCCCAGCAAGAACTGTGTACCAAGATGGACTGAAAGGGGTCTCTTATCACATCCCCCACCCTTCTGCTACCGAATCATGTACTGTATAAACCATGTTTTTCGGGGGGGGGGGGCATTTGCAGGATTATTTTTCTATTCTATGTATATATATATCATTTGTACATATCTTCTATAAATATATAATATATATTTTTCTGTTAGGGAATCGGGGAGGGGGGTTGCCCTGGGAATCGGGGGGGGCATTGCTTGAAACAGGGCACCCCCCCCTTGCCACTCCTGGTGGATCTGCTGTGCATTTTGCAATTCTGTAATAAAAGGACCTTGAAGCAAGGACCCCACTGGCTCCTTATTGGCTCTGCATTTTTTTGGGTGGGGGAGTTTAAAAATGCCTGCAGGCAAGAAGAATGTGCCCCACAAGGTGGTTTGTGGGGGGGGGCGAATTACAGGAAATGAAACCCCAGCGGAAGAGGAGGAAGAGGCCCTGCCAGCTGGGGGGGGGGATGTCATCTTGCAAAACCAACCGAGGCTTGGAAAGGAATCCTGTTTCCCAACACATACAGCTGCCCCCCTCAAAAAAATAAATAAAATTCCGCTGCTGCCCTAGCAACTGACTAGCTGCCCCCCCCCCCGCACAAAAAAATCATATGCGATTGGTGGGCCCAAATCCACAAGCAAAAGAGGGGTGGACTAGATGTCCCTTGGGGTCCCCACGCTACAATTCCATGAAACGCAGGACCCCCAGCTCCCCTCCAGCAAGGACTATTGGGGCTCCCGGCCTTGGAGAAAGCGCTCTGCGCGCGCACAGAAGCCCCCTGCCCGCCGCCCTTTGCTGCCCGCAGGTTGATTGACACTGCCCCTCCCCCGCCCTGGGCCAGGCCTGGCTTCTGCAGAGGTCAAACGGAGGCCGTTGCCCTTTGACCTCTCCTGCTAGGGGCGGCCAAGCAGCTTTGGGGGGGGCTGCTCTGAGATGAAGGCGGGGAGGGAGGCTGCTTGCACATGGGGAGGGGGCCTGGGGGAGGGAGGGGGTCAGGGGTGCCCCCCAGCCCCTGCCTGGGAGGGGGCGCGTGCCCTGTGCCAGGGGAGGCCTGCCTGCCTTGCCAAGGCCCCGTTTTGGGCAGGGGGGGGCTTTGGCGCTGCCCGGTAAAGCCGGCTGGTGTTTTGCATCGGCAGATTCAACAGCCTCGGTGGCAGGAAAGCGAGAGGCGCACACAAACACACACACACACAAACACACCGGCCTGGCTTGTGGAGAAAAGCACACTCACACGGGGGGGGGGGGGTTGGGGGGGCTGCAAGGCCGAAGCCTGGCCCCGTGCCGTGGGGCGCCCTCCGTCCAGGGAGGGGGGGGGGAGGCAGCCAGAGTGGCCGTTTGAAAAGCTGAGCCGCTGCCAAGCCAGCCTTGCAAGTTGGCACCGTGTCAAAGTCAGCTGGGGACGTTGAAGCTGGCGGGAGACGGAGCCGCTCAAAAGCTATTTTTTCCCCGGGGAGCGCCTGCCCGGATCCGCCCCAAACTCCGCACGCCGCCAGTGGGGCACCAAGGCTCCCCCCTGAATTTTTTGCAGATTTTTCCAAGCGCCCCAAAGGGGCTTTTTCAAGTGTAGAAACTTGCGTAGGGGGAAAAAGGACCAGGCTTTTCTCGGTTCACCCCTGCTCTTTTTTTCTCTCTCTCCCTCTCTCGTTGCCTCCACAATCGCACGGAAAAGGGCTGGCAGCTCCTGGGGGGGCCTGCTTTGGGAGGGGGCCCCTCTTATTTTCTTTTATTTCCTTTTGCCCCCCACACCCTCCGAATCTGGACTCCCTGGAAAAATCTGAGAGTGGGGCGAGCTGGAAGGGGGTCCCCCGATTCTGGGACCTGAACAAAAAGCGGGGGGCCAGTTTTTCCTCCCTTTTGCAGGAGGGGGGGCCACACGCACACAAACCCCACGCGGATCCAGAGCGGGCAGCGTGCCAGGACTGGGTGGCAAAGGCTTCAGGCCCCCTCTTGCTATCTCTCCGTGGGTGTAAAAGTGCTTTTTAAGGGCTTCTGGAAAACTCGCCCCCCCAGCGCCCGGATGGGGGCAATGGGGCAGCAGAGGAGGTAAGTTGGAGGTGCCCAGGGAGGTGGCGTGGGGATCGGGGCCGGCTCAGGACTGTCCTTGCCCCGGGAGGAGCTGGGTGTGTTCCTTTCCACGGCTGCAAGCTGGGCAGAGTGTGGTGCAGGCAGCTCAGAGGCCTGGCAGGCCCCAGGCAGGATCCAGAAAATCCAGGAGGGGGGCAGCCCCCAGAGGACACCCCAAAATTGGCTTCGTAGGCCAAAAAAGGGGGGTGGGGGTCCGATCCTGAAACAGAGAAGGGTGAAACCTCACCTCACCAAAACAGCCCCAAAGCACACCCTGTGTGGTTGGAAAACAGCAAAAAGAGGCTCCCAGGACAACAAAGGCTCGGATCTTGCGGGGGTGAAGCCCCCGGGAACCCCAGAATTAGACCGCAAGACACCCCACAATTAAAAGAGAGGAGCCGGGGCCCCCCTGCGGACCCCCTCCTTTAAGAAGAAACCCGTCATTTACAGAATACACCACATCCTGCCCTCAAAGGCGTCAGCCTCTTCCTCCCAAAGGAAGGATCGGGCCCCGGACGCCTCTTGGGTGTCTCACTGCAAAACAAAGGGGTGGGGTTGTTGTTTTCCAGTGGTGGGGGGGATCACGCCACCCCCCACCCGAGAATCCCGAAATTTAAGGGCACCCACCACAAAAAAAACAGCAGCTGGACACCTCTGAAGCAAAACAGGTTCCTTTTTACTCTCCCTCCTCCACAATAAAAAAATAAATCAAGCCCCCCCGCCAATATTTTGATCCCTCACCCCACAAAATATGTATATAAGCTTTCAGAGCCTCTAACCCTGAAAACCAGGAAATATCGAGAGCCAGGCTTGGGCCCATCGATGATTTGACTGCCATCCGCCCCACTGCCAGTCCCTGTACCCCAAAAACAGCATTTTGTGGGTGTCCTTTCAACTCATCGCCCACAAATGAGCACCCCCTGCTCCGAAAAAAACCACAAAACCCCACACCCCCAGCCCTCCAGGGACACCCCTCTCCAATTCCTCTAATTTCCCCGGTTTTCCTTTTGAGCAAATCACACCCTTTGGCTCTTGAGGAGGAGGCCGGCCAGGCAAAGGCACCAGGCGCCTCAAAACTCCTCTTCGGCCATTTGCAACGTTGGAGAAAATAGGTGGGGAGGGTGGAGAGACGGAAAATGGAGGCGGCGAATTCGCTCCCCCACTTAAAAAAGAGTTTGGGGGTCACTTTTTGAGGGGGTGGGAGAATGAGATACCCCTGCAAAAATTAATAATAATGGAATTAAAGTGAACACTTCATTTCCAGTTAAAATGGAACATGGCGAAACGGGGGGGGGGGGAGCAGTTTATTATTATTATTATTATTATTATTATTATTATTATTAATTTATTACTTATACCCCACCCATTTGGTCAGGCCTCCCCAGCCACTCTGGGCAGCTTCCAACAGAATATTAAAAAAACAATAAATACACCAAACATTAAAAACTTCCCTAAACAGGGCTGCCCAGCATGTTGGGGGGGGTGGCGGTAGTTTTACAGGACAAAAATGCTGTTTTATTTATTGAAATAAGGTCTGCAAAAGAGATTTCAGGAATAATGGGGAAGGCAGGGCTTTGTCCCAACTACTCACAGACCCACCGGCTCTCCACAAGGGGGGTGGGTCCCACGTTCTTAGGCGTCGGCCTGCCCCATCTATCAAATATCTTACCTACCCCCAATAGGGAGGAACGGGCTCTTTTGGGGAGGACAAATGCCCCCCCCCCAGACCCATGGCCTTTTGAGGGTGCAGCCGGATGTGTGCACAATTGCATGCCCCCCCCACCGCCACCCAGTCCCTTGGCATGAATTGCTTGTGTGCAAATTGTGGCGGGGGGGGGGGGTGCTGCCACTTGAGCAGCCAGGAAGGGGGTGCTGGGCCTTGCCCTCCGCCCGGCCCATTTCCTCCTGCTATGCCACTGCCCTTGGGGGGCTGCAAGGCCTCCTCCTTGGGGAGGGGGCACCCTGGCTGCTCCGTGTTCCTCGTGGGGTGGGCGAGCCCACCAGCTACTTCGGGAAGGGGTTTGGGGTGGGGGGACACAGGGACACGTTTCCCGAAATGCAGACCTTGCACAGAACTGCCGAGCCAGGCAGGGTCCCGGGGGTCAGCTAGTCCAACCCTCCGCAGTGCAGGCACGGGTTCAAGACTGGCCAGTTGGCAGGGGTACAAATAATAAAATTATTATTCGTTATTATGATGAAGATAAGAGAGCCCCCCTACCTACCAACAAACACACACACTGGTATTTTTATCCCAGTTTCACAAGCTCCTTCCTGACATCCCCCCCCAAGATACAGGCTCCCTTCTTCCCACCCCTCTTCTCTCCACCCCCCAGGAGTGGGAAATGGCACAAGCGAAACCGAAGGTGCTGAGGTTGGCAGAACTGAACTTGCAAGGTGAGCGTGTTTTGGGGGGTGGGGGGCAGAACAAGCAATGCTCCAGAGCCCCCAGCACTGACTCCCCACCCCACCCCCCCAACAGTTCTGGACCGGATCCCTGCTTCCGCCCAAGCAGCACAACATGGTTTGTTTGGTGGTTTGGGAATCCACAAACCGTCTTGTGGTGTTGACGCGAGCGCAGACAGGACTTCGAGGGGGGAAGAGAGTGGGGGGGCTCTCCAGCCCCCACACATGATGGAAAGCAGATGCCCCCTCTGGACACACCCCCAGCGGACCGCGCCCCCCCCACACACTGAGGCTCGTCCCGCCGTAGCAGCACAGAAATATTGGCACTGCCTTGTCCAGCCAGTATTGCTTGCGCTGCTCCCGTGGGCCTGGCACACACATGGGGGGGGTGAAATGGGGGGGCTGGGGAGATGGGGGGCACGTAAAAAAGAGGCTGGGGAGAGGAAATGGAGAGGGGGGGGACAGAGACGTCCTGCTCTGCTCACCTTCTCAATACAATACAGTATTTTTATTGTCATTGTCCCATACAGAACAATGAAATTCTCCCACCAAAGGACTCTCCCTCCGCACCTGCCAGGCCGCCCCCTCTTAGCCCCTGGCTCCCAAATTGCTGGGGGGGAGGTCTGTGTGTCATCAGTGCCCCCCAATCCCTGGTGCTGCTGTCTCAAGAGGCCTCGGGCGCAAGACGGGATGCTCAAAGAGACAGGAGACCCGGGAGGGAGGCAGGAGGCTTTTATTGCTACCATCATCATCATCATACAAAAAGACAAAACCGCACTTGGGGGGGGGGAGTGGGGTGAAGCTAAGGAGGGCCCCCCCATTTGCAGAGGAGTCCTGCCCCATGGGGCACAGCGAGGGAGTCAAGGGGGCCTCCGTGGGTCAGCAGGGACTGGGGGCAGCCGCATCCATCATTACAGGGCAGGTGAGGAGTGGAGCATGAGCACGCCCAGGTGGGGAAGGAGGGGGCAGCCCCCCAACTCCTCAACCTCTCCTCTCCCCACTGGGGGGGGGCAAAGATCCAGGAGGAGGGTGAGGAGTTGAGATAGATGAACTCCCCTTCCCGGAGACAGGAGGACCAGAGGAGGAGGACCAGTCCTTGGCCTGGAGTGGCAGTGCTTGCATGGGGGGCCACGAGATCAGGGGGGGGGAGGGAGAGAGAGCCCCCCCACCGGAGGGCAGGGGCAGGTGGTCCATCAGCGGGAGAGGAGGGGCAAGTCTGTGCCAGGGGTCATGAGGAGTCCAGAGTCCAGATTCAGGCTGTCTAGAAAGAGAAGAGAAAGGACCAGGGAGCTGGAGGGAGGGGGGAACGGGGGGGGGGCACAGTCCAATCCACCCATAAGGCCCCTGCCCCACCCAGCAGGGGGAGCCCAGCCCCCTAACCTGGGGACATTTAGCACCCGGCACCTCTCACCCAGCCCACCAACCAAACCCCACAAAGTAGGTGTGAGGAGCCAATTCCCCATGGGGGGGGGGGAGAAAGAGAGGGCGGGAGGGGCCCCCCAGCACCCACTCGGGACCCCCGAGTCTTTACCCTGGTCGAAGTTCAGCTTCTTGGCAGGGGGCGCGTCTCCCAAGCCTTCAATGTCCACCAGGTCGCTGTGGGCGTCAGAGTCGTTCAAAGCGCTGAGGGTCACGTCTGTCGGAAGGGGGGGGAGACCCTGGTTTAATGGGGGGGTGAGCACGCAGACCCCGGCTCCTGGTACAGAGAGACCCCCCCAAGAAACAGAGAGAGCAACCCCCCCCCGGGTGCCACTCACCAGATGCCTTCTGCTTCTTCGCAGGGGGAGCCGAAGGGTCGGGGTGGCCGCCCGCCCCCTGGGTGGAGGGGGGACCTTGTGGCTGCCCCTTGCGGGCCCCCTTCTTGGGGGACTCCGAGGGGAGGGGCAGCCCGCTGTCCTCGTAGACCTTCCGCTTGGCCGCCCCTTTCAGCTGGGCCCTGGGGGTTGGGGGAGAGGAGAGGTCAGATTCCCTCAACAGGAGCGCGGTGGAGTGGTTAGAGAGCCGGACGCCGCCATTCAAAAGCCACAGGGCTGCTGTGAGGAGAGCAGGAACAGGACAGGACGCAAAACGGAAATAAAGAAGCTTGGCGCGTCCAGCACCTGTTTCCTACGCTGCCCTGTGGAACGGCCTCTCTGGAGCTGTGCAAGGACCCCCCGCCCGCCCGCCCCCCGCCTGCCCCCCACAGCCCTTACACAGTCCGGTCTTTGATGAGAGCACTGATGCGGTTAAGGTCATCTCCAAAGCGCTGGACGGAAGCCCGGAGCAGGGAGATCTCCGCATCGGTCCATTTGGCCCTGGGGGGGACAGTGGGGAGTGGGGGGTCAGGATCCTCGCACCGCTGCTACCTGCTCCTTCTCCTCCTCCCGCCCCTTCTGCTGCCAGGGATGCCCTTCAAGCAACATTCCCCCACCCCCAAAATGCAAAAAGGGGCGTGCAACCTCTTGACGCCCCCGCACAGGGAGAGCCTATGGGTGGGAGGGTTTGGGTGCTGGGTGGGGTCCGCAGTGGGGCCCAACGGCGTTTCCATGGCACTTGGGACCTCAGAACTGGTGCTGGGCCATGTAGTGATCTGCATGTTCTTAATACAATATATAAGATATATTTAACACTGTTCTATACGACACACACCTAGATCTATATGGCGCCTTGCAATTTATACATATAGTATAGATGGAATCACAGGCCCGTGCACAAGCACGTCAGTTGGGCACATGGAAAATGGTCTCCCCAGGCTATGTGATGATTTTAGTGCTCAGAGGGGGGGCACACCTAGGGGCTGGTGCAAAAACTAGGGCCAGGGCCTTTTCAGCACTGGCCCCGACGTGGTGGAACGCTCTGTCCCAAGAGACTAGGGCCCTGCGGGACTTGCAAGACAGAGCTGTTCCGCCTGGCCTTTGGTTTGGACTCAGTCTGACCCTTAGGTTTCCCTCCCCTTACAGTTTTGATCTAGGGGCTACTTTTAAAATGAGGCTGCATTTTAAATTGCATTTTCACCTGTATTTTAAATTGGTTGTTTTTTCCCCTATTATGTTTTTACTGTTATTTTACTGGTGTTAGCCGCCCTGAGCCCGGCTCTGGCCGGGGAGGGCGGGGTATAAATAAAATTTATTATTATTATTTATTATTATTATTATTAAAAACCACTGCTCTCCGCTGTGGCTCGGAGCGGCTAGGAACCCACCAGCCCACCTGCCCCGTAAGAGGAGCGTTGTTCACCGGCAGAGCACAAAAGTTGACAAAATGCAGCCTTTTTGAGTTTCTGGTCCATGGTGAGGGCGCATTTCCTTGCCAAGGTGCAAGGGAGCCCAGGGACGCCTCTGGGGGCAGCCTGTGGAGCATGCGTCCCACCTTGCCCCCACCCCTTGGAAGAGATGGGCAGCCCCCTGACTGAGACCACAGAAGCCGCGGTGGGGGGGGGGTCTCCCTCCCTCCCTCCTTGGGGCTCACCCGGCTGGCGAGGAGTCGGCCACAGGGTGCAACTGCATGGTCAGCTCGCCCAGCTTGGTGAAAGCGGCGCCAGCGGCAGAGAAGATCTCGCCCACCTGTGGAGGGGAGAGAAGTTTGTTGAAGAAGGCAGAGGGGAGAAAGGGTGGGCAGGGGGGTGGGCCACTGCAAAGCCCCCTTGCTAAGAGCCCTCTTGCCCTCCACAAAAGGTGGGGAGGGGGGAGGCATGCAGATCACCCCCCCCACACACACAAAAGCCTGCCAGGAGGCGTGCTTCTCTGGGTGCCTCTGAGCATGCACAGAGTACGTTATTTATTTATTCACTCGTTCGTTCATTTATTGAATTTGTATACTGCCCTTCGTCAGTAGATCGCAGGGCGGTTCGCAACATCAAAACACAAAATAAATAGCTTAAGGGAAAACAAAACAATAACCAAGGGCTTTTTTCCGGCCGGATCTCAGCTCAGGCCCCTCTCAGGTGGTGCCACTGGCATGCTAAGAGAACAAGGGAGAAGCTTGCGGTGAGTTCCGGGGCCTCTTTTTCTAGAAAAACTGCCGATAATCCCAAACACTTTCGGAAGGCCAAAGGCCTGCGAGAAAAGAAATGCTTTCTGCCTGGTGCTGAAAGGAGGTGGCAGGCAAGTCTTCCGCCAACGGGGAGCCACTGCAGAAAAGGCCCCGTAGAGGGACGCGAAGAAGGGCCTTAGGCGAGGAGTATCTCGGGGGCCGGGTGGGGAGAGAGGCGGCCCTGGAGGGTCCCGGCCTCTTTAAGGCTTTATAGCTCAAAACCAACACTTTGAATGGGGAGCCCGGGCGGAAGGGCCAGGATGGGGGTCCCGGCTCAGACCCTCTGGCGACCTGAATTCTGCCCCAGCTGAAGTTCCCGAACCGCACGGAGCCGCGTGGGACCCCCAGGGGTCATCCAGCCCAACCCGCTGCAGTGCGGGAAGGTGCGGGCGACGTGGCCTCTTCTTCCTCCCCCCGTCTCCCTTGGGGGCGGCGGAAGGGCGAACCAGCCCCGGGAGGGAGCGAGCTCTGCCCTCCTGCTCCCCCTCCTCCCGCCGCGCGGCACTCGGCCCATGCTCAGAGGCACCCTCCCCCCTCCCAGAATCCTTGGCGGCGGCGCTTCCCCCTCCCCTCCGCGGTACCTTGGTGGAGGCGGACGTCATGGCGACCCCGCCGCCGCCGCCGCCTCCGCTGCTCCGGGAAGGCGACCCGGCCGCTCTGCTGCCTCCCCTCGCCGACACTCTATGCTCCCGCCCTCCCCCGTCTCCATGGCGACCGCGCTTCCTCTCCGCCCTTCTAGCCCTCGCGCGCCTCTGTGCCGCGGACCTGGCGCTGCCAATGGAGAGCAAGGCCTCGGAGGAAGGGGCGGGACTTCGGCATCGCTCTGGCGGGAAAAATAGGCCCCTCTGGCCCGAGGAGGACCCGAGGCTCTATGGGCGCCCTGCCCGGCCTCTGAAGCACGTGACACCCGCCCCCAGAAAGCAAGGGAACCTTAAGGCAAGCCCTTGCCACTCTCTTGCTCCCCCGCCTGCGGAACTCCCTGCCCCGAGACATGCCTGGGCTCCGCCGAACCTCCAGCCCCGAGGGTCTTGCCATGAAGGCGTCTTCTCTGCTGCAGTTTCCTCTTTCTTCCCACTTCCTCTCTTTCTTCTTTTCCCCCTCTATTTTTTTTATATTAGATTGGTTTTTATTGTATCGTACATTGAAAACTTTCAATAAAAAATTATGTCTGTATACAAATGAGTCTCATGCTCTACTGCTGGAGCGATTCCATATTGTGATAGAGGGGGAAAGAGAGGCTTCCTTCACTGCACCCCCCCAGAGGCACAGGCCTCCATCACCTCCCGGGACAGGAGGATGCCGGCAACATTTACAGCTGGGCAGCAACAATGGAGAATGGGGACTTTGAGGTGTGTGGTGGGCACAAGCTCCCCCCCCCCCCATGACTCAGTGGGGTCCAAAGAGCGTCCTGCCCTTTCTGCGTTTGAGTCTTGGCATCCTTCCACCTTGCTTGGACCTAGAGGCCCCACATGAATGGTTTCAACTGGGATTGACGGGTTCTTGTATTTTTGACAGCTTCTTCTTAACTGGAGCCTCCTGTGAGCCTTTCCTGCCCCAAAGTTTTGCTAGATTTGCAACAAAGCACAAACGTGCTTCTGCGTGGAAGCAACCGGCAACTTCAAGCAAACTGAGGCAGAAGGCGGCAATAGATGGTGAACAGCCACAATAGCCATGTTCTGCCTCCACTATCTGGGCAGTGAATGCCTCTGAGTAGAAGTTCCCAGGGAACGTGTGGGGTGAGTTGCTGCTGCACTCAGATGCCCCCCTGTGGGCTTATTGCCTCTGGGGCACCGGGGTGTCCACTGTGAGGACAAGATGCTGGACCAGATGGGGCCCCCTCGGCCTCATCCGGGAGCCAGGATCTTCTGGTGTCCTTATGGAACCTCCAGGTCCAGAGGCAGTCTATCTTCATTCCTAAGACCTTTGGGCTATTTGGCCACTGTGAGGTCCATAGCTCCCCACTGGCCTGATCCAGCAGCCAGGACCTTCTGGTGTTTTTATAGCATCACAGGCTTCCCTCTCTCCCTGAAAGCCAAGCACAGAGAATGGGGCGGGGCGAGGGGGGGAACCGAGGAAGAGGAACAGAAAAACAAAGCAGCGCACACAGATCAAACGCTGTTTATTGCACAGGTGACCAAATGGAGAGAGAGGAGGACAGCTTTCAACACGTTAGTCCCCTGGGTGCACAACCAGACCCCCCCACTGCACCCCCAACTCAGAGCCCCTCCCTCCCAACACCACATCTGGATCGAGGGAGTTGCTCAGGGGACACCCCGTCGTACAGCATACAAGCATTCCACTCTCAAATCCGCAGCTCTGAGCAGCCACCTCCAGGCCAAGTCTGCAAGTCAAGTGTGATGGGGCAACTGAGCTTGCAGCCTCATGCGCCAGCTGGGGGGGGGGCTGTTGGCAACAGGGGCAGAGACTAGGGCAAGTTGCCTGGCCACGCCTTGGTCCTACAACAAGAAGAGAGTCAACGTCTGCACAACAAACACTGGGGAAGAAACACCCAAGTTCTAGGATCGAGACACAAAAAGGACTGGGACTGGAATGGGCCGACTCTTTCAAGCACTGTGCTAACCTCCCCGGTTAAAGAGACAACAGAGACTTGGAAAAGAAGAGGTGGGGGCTGTTTTCACTGTACACATACTGCGGGGGGGGGGGCGCCTTGTGCTATTTACACAACAACCCTGGCACAGAGGTCCTGCCAGCCGAAACCAGCCCTTGCTGGTCTTTGATGGCAAGAAGAGGCCATCGCAGGGAGGGCGTTAGCAGGCAGAACTGGGCCAGGTGATGCACTGGGGGGGGCAGGGGGGGAAGAGAAGGTGCAGTAGCCAAGAGCAGCCCTGGATATGTCCCTTTCGTAAACTAGGTGCTCCAGACCAAGTTGGGAAACTGCACTTTACCCGCACAAACACACACGGATATATATATGATTTAAAAGGAAATGTTCCCCCCTCTCTCCCCACCCACCAGCCCCCTTTCCCAGCCGCCAGACCCTGGACTTGGGGCGACCAGAGGATCCGTTGCGTGGAGAACGAGGGCTGAGGAACCCCAAAGCAGGGCCCCAATGTCCAAAGAGGGAATAAATATCAGAGGCAGAAGGAGAGGTTGGGCCATCCCCACCGGCAGGAGGCTGGAGCCTGGGGGCTGGGCGTGGGGGGCGCCATTAGCGGACCATGTACTCCTTCCGTTTGTTGAGGCGCACTTGGCAGAAGGAGAAGCCCCCCAGGAGGACGTAGAGGCCGGCCGCAATGAAGCAGTTGTAGCTGACTTGTTCATACAGGGCGTAAATCTTGTCTGGACCACCTCTGGGGGGCAGAGAGAGAGGAAGAGGGTGGTCAGGTTCCCAGCTCTCACAGGACACACACACACACACACCCAGCCCTGCCCCACAGTTCCTCCAGAATCCCACTTCACAACCCCCTTTCCCTCCTGGAGCAGCAGCTAACCCAAGGCAGTGGCGGGGGGGGGGGGTTGTGTATGTTTGGCACCCACCAGGTGTGGGTAGGTGGGTGGGAGATGGGAACAAGTTCTCCTTCCCTCCTTCCTGGCTGATCCTCCCCCCTTGCCAGCCACAAGGCTGCTGCCACTGCTGCCCACCGCCCCACAGGAAAAGAAGGACCCCACCCTGCCCTACTCACGTGAAGTCATCTTCGTTGGTGGGGACGTCCTCGATGAGGACCGCTGAGTGGACGTTGAAGAAGATGCCCAGCAGCACCTAAAGGAGCAGAGGAGAAACAGGGGTAGTCTCTCCGGAGAGTGGAGGGCAGGGGGAGCCACAGTGGCCACCCCCCTACAGTAGTTGTAGTACTAGTAATTCTTATTACATACATTCATTCATTTATGCCCCACTCATCTGGCTGGGTTCCCCCAGCCACTCTGGGCAACTCCCAACAGAATATTAAAAACACGATAAAACATCAAACATTAAAAACTTCCCTAAACAGGGCTGCCTTCAGGTGTCTTCTAAAAGTAAGATAGTTGTCTATTTCCTTGACATCTGGTGGGAGGGCGTTCCACAGGGAGGGCGCCACCACCGAGAAGGCCCTCTGCCTGGTTCGCTGTAACCTCGCTTCTCGCAGGGAGGGAACCGCCAGAAGGCCCTTGGAGCTGGACCTCAGCATCCAGGCTGAAGGATGGGGGTGGAGACACTCCTTCAGGTCTACTCGACAGAGGCCATTTGGGGCTTTCAAGGTCAACACCAACACTTCAAATTGTGCTTGGAAATGGACTGGGAGCCAATGCAGGTCTTTCAAGACCGGGGTTATGTGGTCTCGGCGGCCGCTCCCAGTCACCAGTCCAGCTGCCATATTCTGGATTCAAAGGTAGCCCCAGGTAGAGCACATTGCAGTAGTCCAAGCGGGAGATAGCTAGAGCATGCACCACTCTGGCCAGACAGTACACAGGCAGGCAGGGAGGGTCTCATCCTGCGTACCAGATGGAGCTGATAAACAGCTGCCCTGGACACAGAATTGACCTGCGCCTCCATGGACAGCTGAGAGTCCAAAACGCCTCCCAGGCTGCGCACCTGGTCTTTCAGGGGCACAGTTGCCCCATTCAGGAGGAGGGAGCGCCCCAGACCCACCGTCCCACAGAATTGAGAGGAGAAACCAGCCCAGATCTCCTTTTGCAGCAGGCACAATCTAAGCCTGAGGAACCCAGCACCCTCTGCAGTGGGGTGGCAAGCCCCTCCAAAAACAGACCCCAAACTACATGCCAGCTGCTTGCTCGGGTCTCCTTTGCCACCTGCCACCCCCCAAAAAAGATCGCCCAGTTCTTCCAACTGCACATGAAGGAAACCCTGATCTCCCAGAAGGAACCCTACCTGATAGGAGTCCCACCCCTAAAAAGCCACTCAGGTGTCCCCCCTGAAGGTATTCCTGCCCTCTGGCCAGTTACCTGCTGCTCTCTGCACATGCTCCGTAACCCCACCTCCTCCTCTGCTGTTTACCCAACATGCCTCTATTTAGACAGGCCTGGTTTTTCCCCGGGCTGTGTGCGTGTGGGGGGGGGGGGAGGATTCGCCCTGGTGCCCCCCTCGCCCAGTGACTGACACCCGCCTGAGCCACAGTCACCCTTTCCAAGCCTCTCATGGGGAAGCTGGAGGAGGAAGTGGAGGGGAAGGACTGTCAGAGGCCAAGGCGCCAGAAAATCAGTTCAATTACTAAATTCGTGGGAGGGGGCACCTCTCCCCATCACCTCCCCGCCCCCCATTCTGCCCTTGCTTCCAAAGATTTGCCCCCCATGTCCCCAAAATCCATCTTCCCTTCACTGCACCCTCCCCGCAAAAAAGGGTCCTTGCAGTTCCGGCTGCTGCTCCTGCTGCACGTCTGAATCAGCCGCTCCGGGTGCAGCAGCCCCGGATCAAGGGGCGGGGGCCAAACTCGGATGGGTTAATGGGGGGGGAGAAGAAGACCAAGGGCTGTCAGCCCCCGCCCCCCGCCCCGACACGCATCTGGGCGTTCGCACACACACGCTTCGCTCCTCACCAGCATGATGACTCCCCAGGCGCTGAGCACGATCCCGCAGGCGGCCATCTTCGGCCCGCAGCAGAGGAGGGAGACCATGGCTCCCGTGAAAAGCCCGGCGGAGGGACGGAGAGCGAGCGAGCGAGCGAGGAGCCCCTTCTTCGAGCTGCTGCCTGGCCGAGCCGACGCAGCAGACTGAGCGCGCCCCCCCCCCCCACGCCCTTGGCGGGTCAGCTGCCGGGCGCCACCAATCGCGCCAGAGGAGGAGGGGTTTGCTGCCGTCCCCCCTCCCGCTGAGCGGAGCAGTGGAAGAGGCCGGGGGCGGGGCCGGCGCTCGGCGCAGGCGCAGGCGCTCCTTGGGCTGGGCTTGGCGCGTCCCATTGCAAGGGGGGGGGTCTGGGCGCAGCCAAGAACGGGAGGAGCCTTTCGAGCAAGCAAAAGCTTTCTATTATGAAATAAAATTAAAAGCAGCTCTTTTGGTGGGAGGCAGGTTGCCTGCCTGAGCTGCTTGGAGGCTGCAGGTTCCTGCATTGAGGGGGCTGGGCTAGATGATCCTTGGGAACCCCTTCCAATGCTACAATTCTGTCTAGGGAGACAATGGGAGAGTGCACATTTGGGGGTGAAGTCAAACCCTTGGAGAGTCGCAGCGCCTGCTGTGGCTGCAGAGACCGATGCAGGAGAGACATGTTTTGTTGCAGCCGGGGCAGAAGAAGACGTACAGTTGTGCCACTGCAGGTGCACCAGGGCGTTTCTTCAATCTGCACTCCTCCCCGCAGTCCCAGTGGTGAACATGCTGGGAATGTGGGCTTGGGAGAGCACACCTTTGAGACTCCGTCCTGCCATGTAAGACCCAAATCCTCCTGACGCAGCACATATTGAGGTGTGTTGAGACGTCACTCCTGGCAGGTATAAGTTGCCCACGACTCACTTCCATAAATGCTCCGCATGCAAGCCTCGTAGACCTTCCTCTTGGTGTTGGACTTTAGCATCACGTTCTCCCGTACCTTTTTGGAGAGGTGAGTCGTAGCTGTGGCTGCCTTGCCAATGCGCTTGTCCAGCTCAGCACTGCTGGTTATGGTGGAACCAGTGTGTGGTCACCAATGCTGATGGCGATGTCCTGATCAGAGATGTTGGTCTTCTTCAAGCCAAACTCCCTGCAGGTTTGGGCAAGAAGGTTGAGGAGTCGCTGTAGGCAGGCTTCCTCTGTGGAGTACAATTCCACAATTCTATTATTGTTTCTCTGTTTGCGGGTGTGGCTGTGTGTTGTGCTACAGCACATGATCCAAGGAAGAGGAGCTACTGCCAAGAGGAAGCCAGGATGAAGGAGGAAGTGAGCTGCAAGAGGAGTTGGTAGCCAGCAGCAGTTCTACTTGGCTGACTGCAGCCTCTGGGAGCTTGTGACCAGGAGCTTATGACCAGAGGAGTTTGAGGGAGAAGAATGTTCAAAACTATATCTGCAGCCAAGTGCAAGCTGGTTGCCTCAATGGAAGAGGAGGCACAGGAACTAGAGGCCTTCCTATCCACATTTCGAGCTACCTGGCAAGATAGCTACCTGGCAAGTGGACTGTGCTGGAACAGCACCACAGGTGGCCTGCCTCTAGGGAGGAGTAAGATCGCCTATTGCAAATGGACGAACCCCTGGAGAAATCTGACACACAGAAGTAGAACTGTCAGGAGCCATGCTCCGTCACTGAAGCTGCAAAATCGATTCCATGCTCTCACCTCAGACACTGATTCTGGGCCAGAGAAGCTAGGACAGCAGCTGCCAACCTCGGAACACACCCAGGGGGCTGTGAAAAAGACAGCATACAGAATGATTCCTGCCACTCCCCAGAGGAGGAAGAGACATGTGGTGGTGATAGGTGACTCCCTACGAGGGGGACAGAGGCCACAAGGTGCAGAGGTAACAGGATGTCCTGGGAGGTCTTCCAGGAGCAAAAAATCACAAAGTGACAGAGAAATTGCCAAGTCTTATAAAGGCCACGGACCACAACCCCTTCCTTCTGAAACCTGGCGGGATGAGACTCATGACTGGGATGTATCACCTGGGGGGGGGGCATAACCTGTTCAAAAGGAATAGACCAAATGGGGAGGGAGGAGTAGGGGCATTATACGTAAAGGATGTGTATGCTTGTGAAGAGATCTGTGACATGGAGCATGGAAGGCAGACTGACAGTATCTGGGTAGAAATTGTAGGAGAGGGAAACAACAGTGGCCTTACTGTGGGTGTATTCTTATCCACTGGCCCAAAGGTGGGTTCATGGGAGTGGTTTGGTGCAGTATGCTAAAGGAGGATGTCAGAAACACCAGAGTGTTCAGTTCTAGTGCTTTATTGTAAGAAAGGGTAAGCTTACAGTAAATCAGCCTGCTAGATCTCGCTGCCATTACAGACGCAAAACGGACACCACATCAGCGAGAGGTCGCCATAACTTGTCTGCTCTCAATCAAATGTTGATGCACACTTTAAGCACTAAGCAGCATAGGTCAGTCTGCCCAGAACCTCCTGTCACACCTGGCTGGTGAGGCCACAGGTGGCAGCTGTCCAAATGATTTCCCCTCTCCGGGGTGAGAGCCCAGCACCCCAAGGCCTACGAATAAAGACAGCATCAAAGCAAGCCAATTAGCATCTATACAAGCAAGAAAACAAACAAACGAGCTCATTCTCACAATTAACAAATATTTTTAGGGTTATCTTGACTACCAAGATGGTGCTTGCAGGCCCTTCCGGGACATTTCACTTTGGTTCAACACAGGGATCTCCAAGCCAGACTGAAGACTTGGGTAATGCCTTCCTAGAGCAGACTAGCAGAGATTCAAACAGGAGAGAGTCATGGGTGACTTTGACTACCACCATATCTGTTGGGACTCCCAACTCTGCTAAGAATGTACAGTCCAAAAATTCCCCAGTTGCTCGCTGGCCATTTCTCAGAAGGGGGAAGAAGCAACAAGGAGACCATCTATCTTGGACCTGGTCCACACCAACTGATTGATAAAGTGGAAGTGCCAGGAAACTTGGGAGGAAGTGATCGTGTCCTTCTGGGTTTCACAATATAGAGGCAAGGGAAAGTTGAGTGTAGTCAGACATGCACTCTGGACTTTAAGGCAGCCAATTAAAAAAACCTGAAGAAGCTACTGGGTGAAATCTCATGGGCTTGTTGTTGTTCAATGTCTTTATAAATGACTTGCGTGAAGAAATTGATGCTCATCCAATGTGCAGATGATACCAAAGTGGGAGGACAGCTAATGCCGCAGAAAACAGAATCAGGATTCAAGTTGACCTTAACAGATTGGAGAACTGGGTCAAAACTTACAAGATGAATTTCAAAAAGGACAAATGAAAGGCATGTCAGGGGTTTCCTGACATTCATAAGGCATGAATAACCAAATAAAAGATGCACAAATATTAGATGAAGAGCACCTGGCTTGTCAGTAGTACATGGGGAAAGGATCTTGGTAGACCACAAGCTTAATATGAGTCAACGGTGTGATGCTATCCTAGGCTGCATCAACAGAAATAGAATTTCCAGATTGAAGGAAGTAAGTTCTTTCTATTTTGCCTTTGTCGGACCACACCTGAAGTACTGTCTCCAGTTCTGGGCTCCACAATTTAAGAAGAATATTGACAAGCTGGAATGTATCCAGAGGAGGGTGACCAAGATTATCAAGGGGCTTGAAACCAAGCCTGGTGAGGAACGGTTGAAGGAGCTGGGGAGGTTTAGCCTGGGAAAGAGGGGACTGAGAGGAGATAGGAGAGCCACCTTCAGATATCTCAAGGGTTGTCCCATGTAAACTTGTTTTCTTCTGCTCTGGAGGCTAGGACCCAAACATGGCTTCAAGTTACAAGAAGGGTGACTCCTCAAACCAAAATATCACGAGTTCATTTTCTTTTTCATGCAAGAAGTCTGCAGTTTCCAATATTTAGTAAATGTTGACAATGACTTTTCTCTGATTAAACAGGTCAACTTCGACATCTCAGCTAAATCCAGTAATTTTAACAACCATTCCTCCATTGTAGGTAATGGGTCTTCCCATCTTTTTACATATAAAAGTCTCACAGCTGTAATCGTATAGTGAAATAAAGTTCCATAGTCTTTTCCTAATTGTATATCCCTAACTTCCAACAGGAACAATTCTGATTTCAGTTGAAAATATCTTCAAAATTCTCTGAATCATTTTAAAGCTTTTTATGCATGTCCACCAAGCATGATGAAATGTCCCTTCATGTTCTTTACACCTGCAACAAGTATTTGGAACATTTTTATACATTTTATATAACCTCAAAGGAGTTAAGTGCCAAGGATACATCATTTTGTACATATTCTCTTTTAAATCATAACACAATGTATATTGTAATTCTTTGGTCCACATATGTTCCCACTGTTCCCTCTGTATATAACCCAATTTTTCCTACAAATGTAATCATGTATTCTTTAAGATTCAGGTAGGTAGCCGTGTTGGTCTGACGCAGTCGAAATAAATAAAACAATTGTCCAGTAGCACCTTAGAGACCAACTAAGCTTGTTCTGGGTATAAGCTTTCGTGTGCATGCATACTTCTTCAGATACACTGAAACAGAAGTCACCAGACTCTTATATATATAGTGGGAGGGTGGGGTAGGGTATTTCTCAAAAAGGTATTGGGAGATGGGTGATTGACTCAATGGGTATGGTAAACTGCAATTAGTCCTACAGGAAAAAGCATGGGATAGTATGCAGATGACCAAAAACAGCTTTAGCATGTGTAATGAGACAAGAATCCAATATCTCTATTCAGACCAGGTCTCTCCATAGTTTTCAGTTTAGTAAAAGGTAAAGGATAAAGGGACCCCTGTCCATTAGGTCCAGTCGCAGGCAACTCTGGGGTTGCAGCGCTCATCTTGCTTTACTGGCCCAGGGAGCTGGCATACAGCTTCCAGGTCATGTGGCCAGCATGGCTGTCAGGGAACTGCCATCGGAGCTAGAGGCGGAGGGAAGGCTCCAAAGGGATGCAGGAGAGGGTCCCAGTAGGGAGAGAGGCAGCCCATCTGCTGGGGAAGGAAATCAGCGTAACACCATGGAGAAGGGGGGCAGGTGGGGGAATCGGGGAGGAGGCTCCAAGACTCTTCGCTGGAGACCAGCGGAGAGAGTACGGGTACTCCGCTGCCCACACCCTCCCTGCGCAGAAGACTTCCGCGCAGGGAGAGTAGGAGGAGACTTGGGGTCAAACAACTTTTATGCTGGAAAAGGTTTAAGAAACGCCCACTGACGGATTCTGCCAGCGACTGAGACAGTCACGATGCTGGAGGCTGTTCAGTCAGAAAGGGTTAACCAGGTAACCTAGCCAGGAGTGGCGGCAACTTGCGCACGAGCAACCCCTAAACCCATTACAATGGCGAACCAGAGCAGCACACGGGAAACACCATTTACCTTCCTTCCAGAGCAGTACCTATTTATCTACTTGCACTTTGACATGGTTTTGAACTGCTAGGTTGGCAGGAACAGGGACCGAGCAATGGGAGGTCACCCCGTCGCGGGGATTCGAACCGCTGACCATCTGATCGGCAAGTCCTAGGCTCTGTGGTTTAACCCACAGCGCCACCCACGTCCCTTCAGTTTAGTAATAAGTGGTGTCCAGTTCTGGGCACCACAGTTCAAGAAGGACACTGACAAACTGGAACGTGTCCAGAGGAGGGCAACCAAAATGGTCAAAGGCCTGGAAACGATGCCTTATGAGGAACGGCTAAGAGAGCTGGGCATGTTTAGCCTGGAGAAGAGGAGGTTAAGGGGTGATATGATAGCCATGTTCAAATAGATAAAAGGATGTCACATAGAGGAGGGAGAAAGGTTGTTTTCTGCTGCTCCAGAGAAGCGGACACGGAGCAATGGATCCAAACTACAAGAAAGAAGATTCCACCTAAACATTAGGAAGAACTTCCTGACAGTAAGAGCTGTTCGACAGTGGAATTTGCTGCCAAGGAGTGTGGTGGAGTCTCCTTCTTTGGAGGTCTTTAAGCAGAGGCTTGACAACCATATGTCAGGAGTGCTCTGATGGTGTTTCCTGCTTGGCAGGGGGTTGGACTCGATGGCCCTTGTGGTCTCTTCCAACTCTATGATTCTATGATTCTATGGTAATTCAGCCACTTCTCTTCCAAGTCTATTTCTGAAATTCTTCTGCTGTAGGACTAATTGCAGTCGTCAACAGGTTTACCATACCCATTGAGTCAATCGCCCATCTCCCACTACCCTTCTGAGGAAAACCCTACCCCACCCTCCCACTATATATAAGGGTCTGGTGGCTTCTGTTTCAGTGTATCTGAAGAAGTGTGCATGCACACAAAAGCTTATACCCAAAACAAACTTAGTTGGCCTCTAAGGTGCTACTGGACATTTTTTTATTTATTTCAAATATATTCTTGAATTTGTTCTTCTTGCATTTCAAATTTCAATAAAAGCTTATGGTGCTGGAGGAGACTCTTGAGAGTCCCATGGATTGCAAGAAGATAAAACCTATCCATTCTTAAGGAAATCAGCCCTGAGTGCTCACTGGAAGGACAGATCCTGAAGCTGAGACTCCAAGACTTTGGCCACCTCATGAGAAAAGAAGACTCCCTGGAAAAGACCCTAATGTTGGGAAAGATGGAGGGCCCAAGGAGAAGGGGACGACAGAGGACGAGATGGTGGGACAGTGTTCTCGAAGCTACCAGCATGAGTTTGACCAAACTCCGGGAGCTAGTGGAAGACAGGAGTGCCTGGCATGCTCTGGTCCAGGGGGTCACGAAGAGGCGAACACGACTAAACGACTAAACGACTAAACAGCAACAAATATTTTCACAATAACATATTTTGTCTGTACACAACTATATTTCAAAACCTGTCTTTTTTCTGTACCCAAAGTCTTTTTATCCAACTTAAATCTTTGTTAGTTGTAATAAGAAAACCACTAGAATCTATAAACTTCCCTTGTTTGTTGTTCCCTTGTTTTAATTTTATAGTCTCCTTGACTCATTAGAGTGGAGTTTTTCAACTCCTGATAAGTTAACCATTTCTCTTTGCCTATTGCCTCTTTTCTATGAATGCTTCTTGCACTGAAATCCATAAAGGTATCTTCAAGTATAACTTAGGTTTATATCTATTGCAAATTCTCAATATGGTATGTCTCAATAAATAGTTTTTGAAATCTACATTAACTTTGACCTTATCATACCACAAATATCCATGCTTTTAAACCATGACCTTCTAATTCCAGAAGTCTCTTTATTTCTCAATGTCACTCTCTTCTTCATCCACACTAAACAACGGGCTGCAAAGGCCAATTTCATATCAGCTAAACCCAATCCTCCCCTTTCATTCTCATCTTGCAATATTTCATTTTGACTCATGGTTTTTTCCCTTGACATAAAAACTTTGATGAATCTCTTTGTCATAGTAATACCCAAGTATTTAACTTTTCATTCAATTTGAATGTTTTCTCCATCAAAACTTTCCATATGAATTCTTTGATAGGAAGTGAAACTTTTCTTCCAGGTAATTTCTTTCCGCTTTCAAAGCACTGATATGGTTTCTACCCTGTATGAATTATTTGATGGGAGGTGAGACTTTCCTGCTGAGTGAAGCTCTTTCCACATTCGATGCACTGGTATGGTTTCTTCCCTGTATGAATTCTTTGATGGGAGGTGAGACTTTCCTTGTGGGTAAAGCTCTTTCCACAGTCCAAGCACTGATACGGTTTCTCTCCTGTATGAATTCTTTGATGGGAAGTGAGATTACTCTTCCAAGTAAAGCTCTTTCCACATTCTAAGCATTGATACGGTTTCTCCCCTGTATGAATTCTTTGATGGGAACTGAGGTGGCCCCTCGTATTGAAGTTCTTTCCACATTCAAAGCACTGATATGGTTTCTTCCCCGTATGAATTCTTTGATGGGAATTGAGAGAGGAGATTTGACTGAAGCTCTTTCTACATTCCAAACACTGATATGGTTTCTTCCCTGTGTGAATTCTTTGATGGGAAGTAAGAGTTTCCTTGTAAGTGAAGCCCTCTCCACATTCCAAGCACTGATATGGTTTCTCCCCTGTATGAATTCTTTGATGGGAAGTGAGACCTCCCTTCTGAGTGAAACTCTTTCCACATTCCAAGCATTTATATGGTTTCTCCCCTGTATGAATTCTTTGATGTAAAGTGAGACTTCCCTTCTGAGTGAACCTCTTTCCACATTCCAAGCAGTGATATGGTTTCTCACCAATATGAATTCTTAGGTGTAAGGTGAGACTTTGCTTCTCAGTGAAGCTCTTTCCACATTCCAAGCATTGATTTACTTTCTCCACTGTATGAATTCTTTGATGGGAAGTGAAACTTTTCTTCTGAGTGAAGCTCTTTCCACATTCAGAGCATTCATATGGTTTCTTCCCTGTATGAATTATTTGATGGGAAGTGAGACTTTCCTTCCGACTGAACTTCTTTCCACATTCCAAGCACTGATATGGGTTCTCTCCCGTATGAATTCTTTGATGGGCCATGAGATTAGTCCTTGCACTGAACCTCTTTCCACATTCTAAGCACTGATATGGTTTCTCTCCTGTATGAATTCTTTGATGGGCTATGAGATTGGCCCCCACACTGAAGCTCTTTCCACATTCAGAGCACTGATATGGTTTCTCTCCTGTATGAATTCTCTGATGGTAAGTGAAATTTTTCTTCCAGATGAAGCTCTTTCCACATTCCAAGCACTGATATGGTTTCTCTCCTGTATGGATTCTTTGATGAGCAACAAAATTGGTCCTCCCACTGAAGCTTTTTCCACATTCTGAGCACTGATATGGTTTCTCCCCTGTATGAATTATTTGATGGGCTGTGAGATTTACCTTCCAGGTGAAGCTCTTTCCACATTCCAGACACTGATATGGTTTCTCCCCTGTATGAATTCTTTGATGGGCGGTGAGATGGGCTCTCTGACTGAAGATCTTTCCACATTCCAAGCACTGATACGGTTCTTCCCCTGTATGAATTCTTCGATGGGAAGTGAGACTATCCTTCCGGCTGAACCTCTGTCCACATTCCAAGCACTGATAGGGTTTCTCCCCTGTGTGAATTCTTTGATGGGAAGTGAGCTTGGCCTTCTGACTGAAACTCTTTGCACATTCCAAGCACTGATATGGTTTCTTCCCCACTGGGGTTCTTTTATGGGAAGTGGAATGGGAGCTCTCAGCCACCTCCAAATATGTATGTGGCATTTCCACTTTCTTGATTTTGGCGTTGTCCCCTTTGTTCTTAATCTCCAAATTATCACCACCTGCAACAAAGATAGAAACAGATTAGATCCTCAGGAAGAGGTAGAATCCCAGATTACAGAACAATGCTAATCAACACTTGTGATAGAGGGAGAACCAAAGAGAGTTAGAAGTGAGGCCTTACTACAGGGTTCAGTGCCTTTTTTGTCTGCCAACTTATATTTGTGCCTTTGGTTAGGCAGGAATAACATCTGCAGAAACAAGATAGGGAACACCTGGCTTGCAAGTGGTACATGTGAAAAGGTGCTAGGGCTCTTAGCAGACCACAAGCTTACCACGTGGCATAAGTGTGATGCAGTAGCAAAAAATGCTAATGCTATTCTAGGCTGCATCAAGTGTCCAGATCAAGGGAAGGAACGGACCCACTCTATTCTGCCTTGGTCAGACCACACCAGTTCTTGGCACCACAATTTAAGAAGGATGTTGACAAGCTGGAATGTGTGTGATCAGTCTGGAAACCAAGCCTTGTGAGGAACAGTTGAGGGGATTAGGTATGTTAGCCTGGAAAAGAGAAAACTGAAAGAAGATATGACAGCCATCTTCAAATATCTAAAGGGTTGTCATATGAAAGATGAAGCAAGCTTGTTTTTTCCTGCTCCAGAGAGTAGAATCCAAGCCAATGAATTCAAGAAAGGAGACTCCAACTAAACATTAGGAAGAACTTTCTGACAGTAAGAGCTTTTCGACTGTAGAACGTCTCCAGCAGGAAGTGGTAGACTCTCCTTCATGGGTAGTTTTCAAGCAGAGGTAGGATGACCACCTGTCATGGATGGTTTAATTGGGATTGCTGCACTGTAGGTGGTTTGCCATGGACTGGTTGGACACAGCAGTGATACAGGAAGAGAGTTAGATTCACAGACATATTTATGGGAAGCTGAGATTTGAAAAGTCTGGCTGTTTTGGGGGGCAAACTTTGTTTGGCCCAATCATAGAATCCACTCCATCTCCAATGTCTGTCATCTGTTTAGTCAACCAAAAACGGACAGAAGCAAACTTACAATTCTATGATTCTATGAAATAAAAATACCTGACAGAAGCTACTTCAGTTTCCCTAACCACGCTGAAGGCTACCTTTAAAGGGCCTGGCCAGTTCAGACCAGCCTGACGCATGCTTTAAAAGGCAGAATTGGAGGAAGAGTATTCACAGACAAAACACTTGATAGCCTTCCATTCAAGGTGTGCTGTAGGGGTGTTAGAATCCCAGATGTGGTAGGTAGCGCTCTTGAACATCAAAATATTGGAGGTTCATCACATAGAGAATTTCAAAACAGAAATTATGATCCAACAGGGAGCCTTACCAAGAGAGTCTAGGATCCCACGATTCTCCCCCATGACTTCCTTATGCAGAGTTCTCTGGTCAGGATCCAGCAACGCCCACTCCTCTTCCGTGAAATGAACAGCTACATCTTCAAAGCACAATGAACCCTAAAAGGAAAAGGAAAAGTTCCTCCACTTAGCATAAAGATCATCTACTTCACCCGGGTTGGCGCCTCTGGCAATGGCGGATTTCCTCCGATCGGGAGGAATCCACTCCGTGGAAAACAGGGTCTGAACCGCCACGGCGAGGCGGAGACCCATCAAAAACCACAGGCGGGAGAAGCCTGTGGACGTGGGATTCGGCTGGCACCTTTGCGCCCCCTCCACTCGCGGGGAAACCCGGTTTTGGGGATCTGGAGCGACATGGGGTGAGTGGCGCGGTGCTTTGAATCAACTGCTTCTTTCACGGAGTGAAGCCGCATTGCTGTTGCCGGAGAGCGCTGACTTTTTCCTGTGAACAATTGGATTTCAAACAACTGCCCGTGAGTAGAACGGAAAATTGGACTGTGAAATTTTTTTTAATTAGGCATCGAAAGCGGGAAGGTCTAAACAGGAAGTCCGCCTTCCGCTTTTGTAGATAGATTGAAGCAAAGACACGGCAAGCTAGAGTTCAGAAAGTCATTTGTAAAGAACTAAATTTTCATCATTTAAAGTTACTGAACCCCCCTTGGAAGCAGGAGAAGAGGGGGGAACCTTTTTTAGACTGTTTAAACCTGCAGAAGAGAGAGTAAAGAAAGGTAATTTTCCACCGTCTTGAACCTGGAGCGGGGTGTTGAGACAGACGTTTTGGAGAAGTTCATTGACTATGGACAAACGTCTTTGACAGTTATTTAAAAGAACAGAAACATATTGATTCCATTGTTCCCTTTCGCTTTTAAAAGGAACAAAACTTTGACAAAATATCTGAAAAAGGAAAACTTTGTTGCTAAATCTGCCTTTAAAGAAAAAAGGAAAAAAAGATGGATACAAATAGAAATTGTTTCCCCTAGAGGGAGCTCGGGAAACTGTTATTAAAGCCGAACTGGGGAGTTTTGCAGCTGTAAAAGATTAAGATCGTGGGACCAGACTTCAACCTTGAACAAGAATGTGCTCCGAAGCTCTGGTGCTTGCCTTTTGCAAGACAAGTGCTTTATTGGAACAGTTACATGAGAAAATGGATTTGATGACAGTTGCGATAGGAAATTTTGGACAGTCAGTGGGTACCTATATAGAACCCACTCAGGAATTAATCCAGGAATGTGCTTTGACAGATGAGATGAGGGAGGAGGCTGTTGCTGGACCTTGGGTGGCAGAGATGGAGGGAGTTGTGGCCCAGCAGGAACATGAGTCGTTGGATTTGATGAATGAGCCTGGAAAAAGTCAGATTTGGAGAGAGAGAGTTCTGCTTGGTTTGGAGATGGGGGGCTGGATGGACCCCCCTATGCAGAGATGTTTTGATTTTTCAAGTCCGGCTTTAGGCTGGGGGGAGCTCGGAGTTGTGGGGGCCCCTAATTTTGGAGGGGCCTTGAAACATGCCTTTAAATACCACATGGATTTCAGTGTTGACTATGGAAAAGGGGCTGACTTGTCGAGAAGGGACAAAAATATTGTCAAGTTGGAGTAACCCAGAGTGAAAGGAGAAGAAGACAAAGTAAAGTACAGGTATAAACATGAAGAAGACCTGCGGAAGGGACATGGAAAAGACTTAAGAGCCTCGGATATAAGGTCACCAGGTTGATGGACTAGATGGATGGGATAGAAAGGACTGACAAAACCCAAGACCAGGAGAAGAGACGATGGATGCAGATTGGAAGAAAGTTTTAAAAAATTATTTAGAAAAGTATCGCAAAATTAATGAGTATCAGAAAAATGTTGGAATGAAATTAATTGGCTTTAGCAGAAATGTTAAAAAGAATTATGTAAGAATATGTTATGGTTAAAAGAATTCGGTATAAATAAGTTTTAAGTTTTAAGGTTTTTTATGGTAAGATAAGGTTTAAAATAGATTAAGGTAATTTAATGACAGAATATTGTGAAAGACGGAAAGGATTTGCTGAGATAATTAACAACTAGAATACAAAAAAGGGAGGTGTGAGGAGGTCGATGAAATAAGTTAATGAAAGTTAAGGATTTGGGAATATTGGATTTGTTTTTAAATTTGTTGTATATTTTTGTTTTTTGATTGTGTTGCATTGTGTGTTTCGTTTTTTCTTTTTGATTGATTTGTATTGTTTAATTGTTACTTTTATCTACTCTTTTCTTTCTCTTTCTTTTTTTTTCTTATTTTTTCCTTCTTTTTTTTCTTTGTAACCTGAAAATTCTCAATAAATATCTTTTTTTTAAAAAGAAAAAGATCATCTACTTCACATTGCGCTTTTGTTTCCTGCCTGTTAATTGCTCTGTTGTTTTCATGGGATTGTTTTCCGACATATTTTAAGAATAGATGCTCCTTTCAATATCTTAATAGAATTGTTTTCTTGTGTATTTTATTGTGTACATTGGTGGGGGGGGGCCCTCCCAATGCCCTAAGGCCAACTTCAAGGGGTACATAGGGGCACAAGGAGGAGAGGGTGGGGAAAGCCGTATTTTCCAAGAGATGGGGCTGGTAAGGGTTAATCCTGGTTCCTGTTCTTTACAGTTTGTAAATTGGTGAGAAGTGTATTTTAGTATTTCACAAAAAATAAACAAATTAAACTGCAACAACTGATAAATTAGCAACATTCAGAAGGAAAGTTAAAGTGAGGTGGCCGTTCATTAGTTTTGTTGCAGGAAACCCCCCCTCCAATCATTCAGTCTGTACAAACTTCACACACACTCACACACTACATACGCTACGCTTCTGTTATAAATTCATAGAAAAGCAACCATACATCGGATTTGCACTGTTCCACTTTTCTTTTACTCCATGAAGGAAGGACTACAAAATGGGGAAGGTTTGATACAGGCCACCATAATCCCTTGAACATTCCAGCACATCCACAGGAGCCCTGCCCAGTTGCTATGCCAACCCTGATGGTCCTAGACAGAAGACAATCAAGATCACAAAGACACTTGCATATGGGAGTGGATTCAGCATGGACTGGAACAAAGGACAATGATCAGATCTTCCCTCTGGGGGCAGGAAACTGCAAACTCCCCTCTGTCACCTGGAAAGTACTCATGGGGAGGGGGAAAGGGGGAACCAGCCAGGTGACAGGACACTCAGGTTACCACCACAACTCCTCCCTCAACCTCTCCTTTCTGTGATGTATGCATGATGTTTCTGGGGGTTGTCTTGATCTACAGGGTGGGAATTTCAAAAGTTTTTATAAGGCCTTGCACACCATTTTTCTGTGTCTTTCCTCTCTCCTGCAAGTGAGGGGAGCACCCTGTTGCAACAGTTCAGTAAAGGCCAAGCCTACAGGCTGCTGATTTGCTCCAATTTACTCTGGTTGGTGTCTTTACTTTTTGTCCAAGGGAGCCCTCGGATTTTTCCGGTAACAGTTTCAGCAGATAAACCTTCTCAAATGGCATTTTTGGACTTTTTAAGGGCAGTTGTGACAGAAGCAAAGAGGAGGAGAGTGATTTGTTTGGGTCCAGAGGCACCCTGGCTGCCCCACCTCTCAGCCTCTTTGCCCACAAGGCTCTTTCTCCCTACCTGATCTGGTTCCACAGCCGCTACTTGCACTTTGCCACCATGGAAAGAAGGATGAGAAGGTCTTGCTGGCATCCTTCTGTCACCTGCAAGAGACAAAGGTAAGTGGGAAGCCAGGAGTGCATGGTGTTTCTCTCAGAGGTGAAACAGTGCATCTCTAACTACAGGTGGGCCTTAGAAAAGTCTTCCCTGCTGAGTGCATTTTAGCATTTCTATCCAATTCATATTTTAGTAGTGCAAGAATACATCTCCCCTCCTCTGGTCTCTTGGCTTCAGATATCTTTCTGGAAAAGATGAAAAGAACCCACAGATTAGTTTCAAAATCCACAGAATGTGAAAAAACCGAGAAAAAAATCATTTATCGCTTGGAAGGTAGTGGACTCTCCTTTCTCAGAGGTTTTCAACAGAGGGTTTTAATTGGTTGTGGATACTTTAGTTGAGAACGATGGCATTGCAGATGGTTGGACTAGATGTCCCTTGGGCTCACTCTTCCAACTCTACAATTTTAGGGTTCTCTGAATGTCTCCCCAGCTGAGTCCACTTCAGTGTCCCAACCTATTTCATATTCTAGTTGTGTAAAAATACATCTCCCCTTCTCTGGGCCCCAAGTGCCTTCCACTAAAAGTTGGAAAGAATCCACAGGGTAGATTCAAAATCCACAGAATGTAGCAAACAGAATCAAAACTCCTTCCTTACCCAGCAGCCACTTCCTGGGGACCAATGGAATCCTCTCTGCCTCAGACGAATCAGGACCCATTTCTGCAAACAGATCCTTTCCCTGAAAGAGAAACAAAGATTTCAGAGAGTTTTGCAGAGGCAAAAACTTTAGGAGTATCCGATCTTATTCCTTGGATGCTTTCCAAAAAAAGGATCTTCTCCCTCCTGTTTGGAGCCCTTTGGAAGCATCCAGAGGAAAGTCTCTCTCACCTGCTGCTTCTCCACCTGCTTCCTCTCCTCTGCCTGACTCAGGAGGAAACCTTCGGCCAGGGCCACTGCCTGGGAACTGGTCTCCGCTCCGCATTCCCTCACCCAGCTCTCCATCTCCGCTGGAAGGACAGCCAGGAACTGCTCCAAGATCACCAGGTCCAGCATCTCAGCTTTCGTGTGCCTTTCTGGCTTCAGCCATTGATGGTCAAAGCGGTAGAGTTGGCTGCAAACTTCTCGGGGTCCTTCAGCCTCCTGGGAGCAGAACTGCCTCAACTGCTGGCTCTGCGCCTCTGAGCGAAGGGTGTCCTCCTCTCCCAGGATCTTCTGCATGGAGCTTTCCCAGAATCCCCCACTGCTCCCAGTGTCAATGCCATGGCCTCTTTCTGCTCCAGGACCAGCTGAGTCTTGCTCATCCATCTGTGCTCTCAGAAAGTCCCCAATAGATCAGAAGGAATTGCTTGGTCCTCTGTCAAGTTCTGTCCATCCAAACGAGAGACGGTGGCAAATCCTACAAAGCAAATACATTATTCTGTTGTAAAATTTAAACACCGTCAGGAGAATTAAATTTATTAATGGCATTTCTATCCCGCTTTTTTCTCCAAGGAGATCCAGGTGGCATCCATGGGTCTACCCCTCCCCAGCAAATCCCCACAACAACTCTTGAGAACACTTTTAATTCCTATTTCAAAACAGCTGCCTTGTTGGTCAGTTCCTTTCTGGGCCCAAATCAAGATGTTCACATGAGGAGTTTACTTAGGCTTCCAAATATCTGAAGAACCGCTTCCTTCCCTACAGGCCCTCCTGGGTTCTCAGGTTAATGTTGGTGGAGGGAGCCCTCTTGCTAGTTTCACCACCCTCCATGTTTTGGGTGAGAAATGGCTCAAGAGGGGGCATCCTGGGGGCAGTTCCTTGGTTGGGGAATTCCCTCCCCACAGAGGCACCATTCAAAACTTGTTTTCAGGACCCACCCTATTCCTGTGACTGTCATTTGTTCTAACTCTTTTTAAGAATGAATTTTAAAACGGTTGTAACCCGCCCTGGGTAATCAATGTAGTATTATTATTATTATTATCATCATCATCATCATCTTATTTTTTGTTTTTGTTTACCGCCCTTCATCTGAAGGCCATAGGGCAGTTCACAACATAAAAATACAGAATGAAAATGCAAAATACATAATAAAGCCCAAACAAAAGCAAAGAAAACCAATAACCACCACCCTTTCCACTGACACATTTAAACCGCCATATAATATTGATCAGCCAAATGTCTGGTGGAAAAGGTTTCCTCTGTTGCCTAAAGATTTGCAATGAAGGCGCCAGGCAAATCTCCTTGGGGTAGCAGCAGTAGCTCCTTGGTAGCAGCAGTAAGATCAATAAGACTAACAACCAGAACAACAGTAACGTAAAGCCTCAAGTCTGGGGGTGGAAAATTAAGCTTCAACATACATATGGAACCTCAAGAAAGTGAAGAGAGCATCTTCAAAGCAGGATCAGTCCACTTTAAAGAGCCATGGCCTCCTCCAAAGAATCCTGGGACATGTAGTTTGTTAAAAATGCTATTTGGGGCAGAAGGGGCTGGTGGGAGAGGGTCTCCCAAGCACTCTCAGCACTTGGGGGGCGGCCTATTTCACCCCTCCCCACACCACAGGTTTGTTTCCTTTCAGTAGAAACGGAGCATTGTGGAGTTGGATGGGACCCCAAGGATCATCTAGCCCAACCCCCTGCAATGCAGAAATCACAACTCAAGCACTCTTGAGAGGTGGCCATCCAAGTTCTGTTTAAAAGCCTCCAAGGCAGGAGAGTCCGCCTCTTTCTGAGGGAGTCCTTTCCTCTTTCCACAGGGACCTTTCCAGCCTTGGATGGTGAGACCTCCTGTACCTCTCAGCAGGTGTAGCAGACCCCACCGCCAGCCCCCAATTGAAATGTGGTGGACTCACCCCCCAAGTAACCTCAATTAAATATAGTGGACCCACCACACGGTACACCAATTACAGAAATTCCTACAGTTTACCACAAGCTATCTTGTGTGTGGGAAAACCTAGTCTCAGGCAGAAGTGGAACAAACAAGTTTTATTTACAAAAAAGAGGTTTGTGAAACAAAATTGGGTTGGGAGTTGCATTGTTTCAGGTAGAATAATAATAATAATAATATCTTTATTGTCATTGCCCCCTTCGGGGACAACGAAATTACTTGACTGCTCCATAAAAACACTAATTAATCAATACAGTATAATACAGCAAGGAAGATTAGATGACTTTCAAAGTCCGGGCTTCCCATTCAGAAGTTAGGTTATTAAAGTAAATATAGGAATGTCACAGGCTTAAACACAGCAGGATATGCACACCTTTCCTTAAACTTCAGTTGCTAAAATGAGCTGTTACACTTCAGATAAATAGATGTTCCTGTTTCTAGACGAGGTGGGAAAATGCTCATTTCGGTTTCTGTTACTTTTCTCTTGCTCCTTAGTTATGGCAGGTGTGGCAGTTCAATCCTTTTGACCCAGACCAGGTTCCTTTCCCTCAGCCTCCCTCTCTCAGCAATGCCCCTCCTGAGGTGTTTTATTTTGGACGCCAGACCCCGGGGATCCCTCGGCCCTCTTCTTTCCCCCCCGACTCAGCCCCTCTTCCTCTCTCCTTCTTCTGGCCCCCGAGATTCTCCTCAGGCCAGAGCCACTTCTCCCTCAGACTCAGCCTCTCCTCCTCCTCCCTTCCTCCCATCTCAGCTCCAGCCTCAAAACTCCCTCAGAAAAGGCTCCTCATCTTGCCGCCAAAAGGGCTGGCTCCGCCCCCGCCTCTGGCTGGCAGTCTCGGGAGCCAATCAGAGAGAGGCTCCATCCCCCTGGTGGCGTTTCTGAGGGACTGCAGCTCCAGACTCGGCCCGGGCTCAGCTGTCCATCACAGCAGGGCTTTCTGTTCAGTCTCCAAGGATCCTCTGTACATCGAAGTGGTTGCATGTCTGAACGGGCACACGAGTGTCACCCTGGAGTCCGGATAACACCCAGGTCTGATTCATGGGTTGTGTTGGGGAAAGCTTTACTTCCAGGACAACTGAGGAGCTCAGCATCAGAGCAGGAGAGGAGCCCTGCAGGATTCCCCCCTCCTGTACCCACTGGGGCCTGAATGGGAAGCCCCCCAGCAGGATGGGGCGCAAGAGCCCCTCTCTCCCCCTGCGCTCCTTCCAGCAACTGGGATTCAGCAGCATCTCTGGGGAGACAAGAAGCCAAGCAGAGCCCCTCCTCCTCCTCCTCCTCCCCGCCCTGCTCCCAGCCTGGCCTCAAGTGGCAGGGAGTTCCGCAGGCTGGACTCTGCCCCGCACCAAGAAGCGCTTTCTCTTCTCTGCCCTCCATCTTCCCACAGACTTTATTCACTTATTGCATAGGTCAGGTTTTCCTTTTTATTTTTTGCTTATATTTTACGTAAAATTATTTCCGTCCGGCTACAACCTCGGCCTGATTGTCCCCACAGAGGAAAGCAGCGCATGGATCCAAAGGAAGACTCGAGTTGCAAGCCTGTGACCTCGCCCCCAACTCGGTCTTCGCGAAGAGGAGGGGGGCAGGAACCTTGGATGTGATTTGGGGGTCTCTCCAGGCAGGAGCTCAGCAGCCCCCCCCCCGCATCCTCCCCCTTCATCCCGGGGTCCCCCCTTCTCCCCATTGCACCCTTTGCAAGAAGAGAGAAAAGACTCACCCGAGCCCAGAAGGGGCAGAGAGACAGCTGCCCCCCCCTTGCAGAAGGAGCCCCCCAGGCTGCTCTTGCAGAGGAGACAAAAGCCTTGCAGGAAGGACCGGGCAGCCAGCGAGGGAGGGGCTCCGGCTCTGGAGGACCTGGCTCTCCCCCCTCCATCTCTCCTTCCCTCTCCAGGAATGCAACTCAGTTCCTTTAACCCTTGGCAAGCCCAGCGCACCCAGTTCCCCCTCCTCTCGCTTGGTGGTCCCTCCCCCCGCCCCTTTATCAAGTGGGATCCCAGGAAAACCCACATTCCGAGCACCGATTTGCTTCCTCCCCTGCACTCTTGCCACTAAAGTGGTTTCTACCTGTGTGAATTCTCTGATGGGAGTTGAGACTTTCCTTCCGACTGAACTGAATGTCCACATTCCACGCACTTACATGCTTTCTCCACTATATGAATTATTTGATGGCAACTGAGGTGGGAGCCACAGTGGAATCTCTTTCCATGTTCCAAGCACTGATATGGTTCCTTCCCAATGTGATTTCTTCGATGGGAAGTGGAATGGGAGCTCCGACTGAAGCGCTCTGCAAACTTCCCATTGTTCTGATTTTCCAATTCGTCACCACCCTTCTCTGGGGGAAGCCATGACAGTTCGAAGTGTGTCTTGCCAGAGACACATCTGGAGTGTGGTGCCAGGTTTGGAAGGCAGAGTAAGGTGATTACTATCTTGATTTGATTGGTTTTAATGGCACCCTTCTCCGCCGGCCTGGTCCTTAAATGGCACCCTTGCCTGCCCCATTACTACCCTTTTCCTAGCTCGTCTTTCCCCTCATATCCTTTTGTGGGCCCCTCACTCCTTTTTCAGGCACACAGGCAGAAAACCCACTCATGGGGTGGGTTTGAGAAAGACAGACAGAGAGATGGACAGCTGAGCCAGGGCCGAGTCTGGTGGTGCGGTCCCTCAGAAACACCGCCAGGGGGCTGGAGCCTCTCTCTGATTGGCTATCCAGACAGACAGCCAGAGGCGGGGGCGGAGCCAACCCTTTTGGCGGGAAAATGAGAGGAGCCTTTTCTGAGGAAGGGATGAGAGGCTTTGTCTGAGGGAGAAGTGGCTCTGGTCTGAGGAGAATCTCTGGGGCCAGAAGAAGGAGAGAGGAAGAGGAGCTGAGTCTGGGGGGAGACAGGCTCTGGGGGAGAGAAAGAAGGGGGCTAAGGGATCCCCTGGGTCTGGCGCACAAAATAAAACGCCTCAGGAGGGGTATTGCTGAGAGAGAGGGAGACTGAGGGAAAGGAACCTGGGCTGGGTCAAAAGGATTGAACTGCTACACCTCCATAACTAAGGAAAGGAACGAGAGAAAAGTAACAGAAACCGATTTGAGCATTTTCCCACTTTGTCTAGAAACAGGAACATCAATTTACCTGTAACAGCTCATTTTAGCAACTGAAGTTTAAGAAAAGCTGTGCATGTGCTACTGGTCCAACTTATTGGAATTTTAAAAAGGTTTGTTTTTATGGAGCACTTTGAAAAACGCTTCAGAATGTACCATGGAGAGGTTGTTTCTCTCCCATGTTGCGCCCACCCCCTCCTGCTCCCTCTTCCCTCTGCATTCAAGGGGCACAGCTGGGCCTTTCACCAAACACCCCCCCCCTTATTCCCACTGCCACCCCAGAACTCTGACCTGAACACTTCACCCCCAACGTAGCGAAGAATGAGGTGTGAGGTGGAGTACAACTGATTTATTTAAAAATAAACGAGAAGTTCAAGGTAACAGTGTACAATAGGGAGCCAGTGTGGTGCACTAGTTAAGAGCGGTGGACTCGTAATCTGGTGAACCTGGTTCGCTTCTCCGCTCCTCCACCTGCAGCTGCTGGGTGACCTTGGGCCAGTCACACTTCTCTGAAGTCTCTCAGCCCCACTCACCTCACAGTGTTTGTTGTGGGGGAGGAAGGGAAAGGAGAATGTGAGCCGCTTTGAGACTCCTTCGGGTAGTGATGAGGTGGGATATCAAATCCAAACTCTTCTTCATAGCTGTATGGTTTCAAATCTTCAGTTTTCTTTTCTTTTGTCACTTTATTTGTACTGTAACAATGGGTATTGGAAGGCTGTTCCTATAGTACTGAGTTCATCTTCTGACTTTTACTGAAGAGCCAGAAGCCATCTTGGCTGTGAGTCCTGGAAGACCTTCTGCTTTGCAGGCCTTTTCCCATGTGGCCTAGGAGAGTCCAGACTGACTCCAGCTACAAAAGCTGAGGCTGCTGAAGAGTACAGGGGCTATAATGACTAGAAAACCAGGAAGTCCAGAAGGTACTAACTTTGAATATGACTATTTTAATTATATTTGTTTGTTTGTTAATTATATTTTATACCACGTTTCATCTGAAGATCTCAGGGCAATTCATGGCATAAAAACACAAAACAGAAATACAAAATGCATAATAAAAATTGGAACAAGAACAAAGCAAACCAATAACTCCCCCTTGCCAAAACTATTTACAATCACATATATTGTTGAATTACTCCAACCCGTTTCCAACTCTCAGCCAATCAACACTCACCTCTCTCCCGCTCCCTAGCTAACATTACCTTAAATCTACGATTATACTATCCTCACCACAATTATTTTGGTACATGTGCATAAAACTTTGAATATAAAGACCAGAATATTGCACTTAATGTTAAGCAGAGGCACATGCATGCACACTTTCTGAGTTTCAAAACGGAGCTAGTGTGATATAGTGGTTATGTGCCAGACTATGACCTGAGAGACCTGGGTTCAAATCACCACTCGGCCATGAAGTTAATTGGGAGACCTTTGAGGCCAGGTGATGCTTCAGAGCCTAGTTTACTTCATAGGGTTATTGTCAGCCTTAAATGAAATTGTGGAGAACCATGTAACACCACCTTGGAGGAAAACGTGGTATAATTATTGTCAGCATTAAATGAGATAGGGAAGAACCGTGTAACACCCCCTTCAAGGACAGGGTGTTATAGGAATGCAATTAAAGAATTTCAATAAGGACAAATGTCAGGATGTGCATTTAGGCAGGCACAACCAGCTGCACAAATATAAGATGAGGGACAACTAGCTAGCCAGTAGTACACATAAAAAGCATCTAGGGCTCTTATGTCAACAGAGGGAAGCACCAACAAAGAAAGGCTAATGCTATTCTAAGCTGCATCAAGACAGGATAAGAGAATCATAGCGCAGTAGAGTTGGAAGGAGCACAGAGGGTCCTTTAGTCAAACCCCTTGAAATGCAGGAAAGATATGTTGCAAACATGGCGGGAAAGGAGGTTTCAGCTTCCTCTCAGTAACGCAGTTAATGCACTTCACTACGGATGGTGCATTTTGGATTACCTCCATCCCTTTTGCAAGATGCTTCCTGTGTATCTCCACAATGGCTTTGATGTCTCTGGGGCCAAACCTTTTGTGCCAGATTCTGAATGAGCTTCAACCCTGATGAGCTGGAATGGGTGCAGAGGAGGGAGACCAAGGCGATCAAGGGTCTGGAAACCAAGCCTAATGAGGGACAGTTGAGGGAGATGGGGATGTTTATCATGGAGAAGAGAAAACTGAGAAGGAGATGTGAAAGCCGTCTTCCAATATCTAAAGAGCTGTGCCATGGAAGAGGGAGCAAGCTTGCTTTCTCCTGCTCCAGTGGAAGGACCCAAACAAATCCATTCAAGTTACAAGAAAGGAGAATCTGACTAAACATCAGGCAGAACTTTCTGACAGCAAGAACTGTTTGACTGTGGAACAAACAAGTTCACGTGGTGGTGGACTCTTCTTGAATTGAAGGATTTTAAGCAAAGGTTGGATGAACATCTGTCATGAATTCTTTTGTTGAATATCCTGCATTGCAGGGGGTTGGAGAAGATGACTCTCACCATCCAATCCAATGCAACAATTCAATGATTCTGGGACACTGTGATTCTCCCCGCTATGAGTTCTTTGATGGGAAGTGAGGTAGGAATACTGACTAAAATTCTTTCCACATTCCAAGCATTTATATGGTCTCTCCATTGTATGAATTATTTGATGGGAAATGAGATAGGAGTCCTGACTAAAACTCCTTCCACATTCCAAGCATTTATAAGGGCTCTCCCAGGAATGAGTTCTTTCATGGGAAGTGAGACATTCCTTACGAGCAAAGCACTTGCCACATTCCTCACACTGAAATGGTTTCTCTCCAGTATGAATTCTTTGATGGGAAGTGAGATCACCCTTCTTACCGAAGCTTTTCCCACATTCCTCACACTGAAATGGTTTCTCCCCTGTATGAATTCTTTGATGGGAAGTGAGAGAGTTGCTCCATGTGAATCTCTTTCCACAATCTAAGCACTGATATGGTTTCTCCCCTGTATGAATTCTTTCATGGGAAGTGAGACATTTTTTCTGAGTAAATCTCTTTCCACATTCAACACACTGATAAGGTTTCTCCCCTGTATGATTTCTTTGATGGAAAGTGAGACTGGCTCTTACATTGAAACTCTTTCCACACTCCAAGCACTGAAATGATTTTTCTTTTGAATGAATTCTTTGATGGGAAATGAGATTGGACTTCTCACTGAAGCTCTTTCCACATTCCAAGCACCGAAAAGGCTTTTCCCCTGTATGAATCCTTTGATGGGAAATGAAAGAGTCGCTCCGAGTGAAGCTCTTTCCACATTCGAAGCATGGAAAAGGTTTCTCCCCTGTGTGAATTCGTTGATGGGAAGTAAGGCTGGACCTGTGACTGAAGCTTTTTCCACACTCCACACACTGATATGGTTTCTCCCCTGTATGGATTCTTTCATGGATAATGAGATGACCTCTCCGACTGAAGCTCTTTCCACATTTCCAGCACTGATAGGTTTTCTTCCCAGTGGAATTTCTTTGATGGGAAGTTGAATGGGAGATTTGACTAAAGTTCTTCCCACATTCCAAATATTCGTTTGGTTTCTCCCCTATGTGAATATCATCATGCTCTCCCTTGATCTTCATTTCCAATTCATCATCGCCTGAAGAGAAAAGTAAAATGGATTAGAGCCTCAGCAAGAAATGGAGAACCCTAATTATTGAACAATGCTCATTAATGCTTGTGAGAGAGGAAGAATAGAAAGGAGATAGATGAGAGGTCTTCAGGGTTCACTGGCTTTGTTTACTGGCATTCAGGGATATGGGAACCTGAGATTCCAAAAGCCTGGCTCTTTTCTTGAATGGATTTTGTTTGGCCCAATCACCAAATCTGTTCCATCTCTAATGTCAGTCATCTCTTTGGTGAAGCAAAAGGGACAGAAGCAGTGACTTCCAGGGTGGGGGACGCTGGCTAGTTCTTGGCTGTTGCCGCTCTGCCAGCAGAGATTCTTATGTGATGATTTATGATAGCCAGGGCAAAGATACCAGTATCACACTCTGCCTCTGAAGATTTGGAGATGAATTGGGGTGAACCTCACATGCTCTGAAGGAGCCGCTTTTCATACTAAGATAAGAAGTTTGTTTTCAGGGGTTTCAGTATCAATGTTTACTAAAAGTGTTCCATTTAGGATACAATGAAAGGCAAACTAAATGAAAATGAAACATAGAGGATATATAGAAAAAGAAAGTAAACTGGATAAATAAAAGATGATGATGATGAAGAAGAAGACGCAAAAGAAAAGGAAAATATAAAGCCCTGTGTCAAGGTTACCAAGAGAGGCCATGATTCCACAATTCTCCTCTATGACTTCTGTTCTCTGGTCAGGATCCAGCAATGCCCACTGCTCACCCGTGAAACGAACAGCGATGTCTTCAGAGGACAGTGAACTCTTTAAAAAAAGAGAGAGAGAGAAAGGTCCTCCTCTTAGCCAGTATAATGATTATCTACTATGAAGAAGAGAAGAAGAAGAGTTTGTAAAAGGCGAAAGATTTATACGATCTGAAGAGAAACCAGAGTATGGATTTGATAGAGTCAAATTTGATATCCCGCCTTTCACTCCCTTTAAGGAGTCTCAAAGCGGCTAACATTCTCCTTTCCCTTCCTCCCTCACAACAAACACTCTGTGAGGTGAGTGGGGCTGAGAGACTTCAAAGAAGTGTACGAATTGTTTTGTTGTTTTCTGCGTTGTCTTCATGGGATTGTTTTGCTGCACAATTTAAGTATGGATGCTTCTTTTAACATCTTAATGGAATAATTTTTATGTCTTTTGCTGTGTGCATTAAGAAAGCTCCAAGGGCACATGGGGCACAAAGGAGGGAGGGTGGGGAAAGTCCCATTCTGCAACAGATGGGGCTGGTTAGGTGAATCATGGCTACTGCTCTTTATGGTTTGTAAACTGGTGAGAAGTGTATTTTAGTATTTCACAATAATTAGACAAATAAAACTGCAACTAGTGATAGGGACATTCAGAAGGAGAATTAAGGTGAGGTGGATGTTCCTTATTCTCAGCACATCAACCTTCTTGAGTAATGTTGTCAATCTTTGTTAAGGGCAGTTTTGACAGAAGCCAAGAGGAAGAGGCGAGAGATTCCTGGGACTACAGAAGCCCCCTGGCTGCCCCACCCCTCCGCCTTTTTCCCCACAAGGCTCCTTCCCCCTACCTGAGCTGGTTCCACAGTCGCTGCTTCCTCTCCGCCACCAAGAAAAGATGGATGAGGAGGTCTTGCTGGCAACCTTCTGTCCCCTGCAAGAGACAAAGGTAAGCGGAAAGCCAGGAGCGCACGATGCTTCTCTCAAGAGGTGATGCACTGCCTTTCCAACTGCAGATGGGCCTTAGAGAAAGTACAGGTGTCACTCAGGGATTTCCAGAAGGACAAATGTTAGATTCTTCGCCTAGGCAGGAAGAACCAGCTCTACAGGTGTAAGATGGAGAATGTAGGAGTATTAGTAGACCACAAGCTGAACATGAGTCAACAGTGTGATGCAGCAGCAAAAAAGGCTAATGCGATGCTAGGCTACAGCCAGATCAAAGGAATTCACAGCACCACTCTCTTCTGCCCTGGGCAGACCCCACCTGGAGTTATGGGCAGCACAATTTTGGAAGGATATTGGGAAGCTGGGAAGTGTGCAGAGGAGGGTGTGGAAGCCAAGCCTTATGAGGAATGGTTGAGGGAGATGAGAAAAGAGGAACCTGAGAGGACGGGAATTGACTCAATGGATTCAAGGAGCTTCTGTCTAAACATCTAAGGGGAAGGGCTGTTTGACAATGGAACAGATTCCTGGGAAGTTGACATTCTTGCATTTTACAGGGTTGGGCTAGATGACCATAAGGATCCCTCCCAACTCTACGATTCTAGGAGTCTCCTGTGCTGAGTGCATTGCCCTCTACGTGGAGCTGCCTTTGAAGAGGACTCGGAAACTGGTGCCAAACGCTGCACCAGATTATGGACTGAGCCCCCTCCCTTTATTTATGCCACTTCTACGCGCGCGCGCCCCCCCCCCCCGCTTTTTCTCCATATTGCCCAGCATTTTAGTGGAGATTCTTGCATTGCACAGATTCCTGCCTTGGACTCGAGGCCCCTCGTGGTTCCCTTCCAAGTCTCCGGTTCTGAGGTTCCACAGCTGCAAACCTCCTGGGATCTCGCCCCTCCCTGGGTTTGCAGAGAGGGAGGGGGCAGGGGGGAGCAGCTGCAGGGGAGGACCCTCTGCTTCCCCACTTCGCGGGGGGAGCCCCCCATGCACCCTGCCCGGCAACCCTGGGACCCCCTTCTCCCCACGGCACCCTCCGGAGGGAGAGAGAGGAGACTCACCCAGCGGAGAAGCTCCGCGAAGGCGACCAGAGCCCGCTCTTCCGGGAAGGGTGGGGCTTTGCCTCCGGAGGTCCCGCCCTCCTTCATCCTATTTCCGGTCCCCTCTAGGAATCCAGCTCCGCTCCCCTTAACTCTTGGCCTGCCGAGCGCGCCCCAGAGAGGGCATTTGGGGGACCCTCCGGGCTGGCGAGAGGAGCAGGAGGAGCAGCTGGCGGGGAAAGGGCTCTGCCAGAAGCAGGGAGCCCCGCCTGGGGAATCTCAGCAGAAGCAGCCACCGCAGGGGGCTCTGCAAGCTCGGAAACCTCAGCTTCCGAAGGAGCCAAGGGCGTAGCCAGGATGGGGGGGGCGGAACCTCTGCTGGCTCTGCATTTATATGGGTTGTTACTGATTTGGGGGGCAGTGGCCCCTCCCTGCCTCCTCTTTGCTACGCCCGTGGAGGGACCCCCGGCATTTCCTTGCAAACTGCGTCTCCGCCTCCATCGTCCTGCCCGGACACGGAGGGCCCTCTGGCGGCTTCCCCCCTGCGAGAAGCCAAGCTGCAGGGAACCCGGCAGAGGGCCTTCTCGGTGGTGGCGCCCGCCCTGTGGAACGCCCTCCTGTCAGATGTCAAAGGGAAAAATAACTACCAAACTTTTAGAAAGCATCTGAAGGCAGCCCTGTATCAGGAGGTTTTTAATATTTGATGCTTTATCATGTTTTAAATATTCTGTTGGGAGCCACCAAGAGTGGCTGGGAAAATCCAGCCAGATGGGCGGGGCATAAATAATAAATTATGATCATTATCATTAACCTGTATCCATTATTTTGGATCATCAAGAGAGCCCCAGATGAAACCTCAATCCCTTCTATTTTTGAGACTTGGTCTATAGTTTTGCAAGATAATCAGCGCTTAGGGAAAAGTTAAATTAATGGACAAGGGAACAACAGGAAAAGCTCCTTCTGAAAGAACAAGGTTTAATTTCGATGGAGCAAATCTCATTGCAGCCATTAAAAAGCCATCTCCTCCATGGGTTGCTTTCTCTCTTCTTCTGACTACCCATCCCTCACAGCAACTCCCTTCCTTCTGCCCCAGCAGTGAGGGCAAAGTCACAGGCACCTTTCCAGCTTAAGGCGGCAGACATAGCTCAGGGCCCCCTCCAGAACAGCCCCACTTTAAAGTCAGTTTAAGAAAGCAACAATGATCAAAGGCTAAAAAATCAGGACCTAGGTGTCAATAGACAGAAAAAAATCAGACTCTGGTGGGGGGCAAGGAAGAAAGTCCCGATTCACACCCTTCTCCGCTCTCCATCCATTTTCTTTAGCATACTGCAGTACTGGACAAATGATACTGGTCCACCAGTTGTCAGAGTTTGTTTTTATGAAGCGCTTTTAACACTTTGGAATGTCCCTTGAAGAAGTCTAGTTTATCTCCCCACGTTATGCCCCCTTTGCCATCCCTCAGAGGTGCTCTGGCAGTGCCCACACCTCCCTGCACCACCTTCCCAATTTTATTCAAGGGGCCTTTCACCAAAAATCCCTTTCATTCAAGGTGCCAACCCAGAGAACTCCTATTTGAACACTTCTCCCCCAACATAGCGAGGAATGACGTCTCTGGTGCAGTATAACCGTTTTATTAAAGAATAAAAATGGAAGTTCAAGGTAACTTTGTGTACATAAGCATGTGCTTTCAGATATGCCTGATACTTTTATTAAAACTGTAAAAGGTGGCTTTATTATGCTGTTCCTCTTCTACTGATCTAACCAACCCTCCTTCACAATTCCCACCGCTCTCCCACCCCACTCTGACCTCCAACTGTCTCTCCTGAAGAGACCAGAAACCTAATGAATGTTAGAATGATGTTGGATAGAAATTAAGTGGTTTCCAGCTGTAATGCTTTAAGGGATTATGAAAAATGGGTTGTTAATAGGTAAAAATTTAACGTTACTATTTTAAGACTAAAGATTAGGATAAATAAAGAGGGCAAGGATTTGCTGAACCAACAAACTGAATTGGAATACAAAAAAGGGAGTTATGAGGAAGTCCGGGAAACAAGCTAAAGGAAAATAAGTAATGGAAAATCTGTGTGTTTTTAATTATTTTTATTTTGTATTTTTGTTATTTTTTTCATTTTTATTGTAATATTTTAAAAAAGCTTAATAAATATCTTATAAAAAAAACAAACAGAAACCACCTTGGCTGCGAGTCCTGGAAGACCATCTCCATGCCTTGCAGGCCTATTTCCACATGGCTAGGAGAGAAGGGCCAAGTAAGATGGATGGAAAGAGAGACTCCAGCTACAAAAGTTAAGGCTGCAGAGGGCGACCAAGGTGATCAAGGGTCTTGGAACCAAGCCTTATGAGGAACGGTTGGAGTGGGGGATGTTTATTATGGAGAAAAGGAGATGGAGAAGGAGATGTTATAGACATCTTCCAATATCTAAAGAGCTGTGCCATGGAAGAGGGAGCAAGCTTGCTTTCTCCTGCTCTGGTGTATTGAAGAAAGGAGATTCTGAGTAAACATCGGGAATAATTTCCGACAGCAAGAACTGTTTGCTTGTGGAAACAATAAGTTCAGGTGGTGGTGGACTCTTCTTGAATTGAAGGATTTTAAGCAAAGATTTGATGGCCATCTGTCATGAATTTTTTTGTTGAATATCCTTCATTGCTGGGGTTGGAGAAGACGACTCTCACCATCCAATCCAATGCAACAATTCAATGATTCAAGGGGATTCTGATTCTCCCTGCTGTGAGTTCTTTGATGGGAAGTGAGAAAGGACTCCTGACTAAAACTCTCTCCGCATTCCAAGCATTTATACGGTCTCTCCATTGTATGAATTATTTGATGGGAAATGAGATGGGAGTCCTGACTGAAACTCCTTCCACATTCCAAGCATTTATGTGGACTCTCCCAGCTATGAGTTCTTTCATGGGAATTGAGACTTCCCTTCTGACTGAATCTCCTTCCACATTCCAAGCACTGATAGGGTTTCTCCCCTGTATGAATTCTTTGATGGAAAGTGAAAGAGTCACTCCGAGAGAAGCTCTTTCCACATTCCAAGCAATGATAAGGATTCTCCCCTGTGTGAATTATTTGGTGGGAAGTGAGCTTGGCCTTTTCATTGAAGCTCTTTCCACATTCCAAGCAATGGTAAGGTTTCTCCCCTGTATGAAGTCTTTGATGGGTAGTGAGATTGGCCCGCTGACTGAAGCTCTTGCCACACTGCACACACTTGTATGGTTTCTCCCCTGTATGAATTCTCTCATGGACAGTGAGATGAGCCCTCCAACCAAAGCTCTTTCCACACTCCAAGCACTGATAAGGTTTCTTCCCAATGGGATTTCTTTGATGGGAAGTTGAATGGGAACTTCGACTGCTCTTTCCACATTCCAAATTTTTATATCGTTTCTCCCCTGTGTGAATTTCATCATGGTCTCCCATGTTCTTCATTTCCAATTCATCACCACCTGCAGAGAAAAGAGAAATGGATTACAGCCTCAGCAAGAAATGGAGCCCCCCCCCCAATTATTGAACAATGGTCCTTAACGCTTGTGAGAGAGGAAGAACAGAAGGGAGATAGATGGGAGGACTTACTTTAGGGTTCATTTAATTGGTTGACTGGCTTTCGGGGGCATCTTTATGGGAAGCTGATATTCCAAAAGCCTGGCTCTTTTCTGGCATGGATTTTGGGATGGATTTTGTTTGGTTCAATCATGAATCTGCTCCATCTCTAACGTCAGTCATCTCTTTGGTGAAGCAAAAGGGACAGAAGCAGTGACTTCCAGGGTGGGGGACGCTGGCTAGTTCTTGGCTGTTGCCGCTCTGCCAGCAGAGATTCTTATGTGATGATTTATGATAGCCAGGGCAAAGACACCAGTATCACACTCTGCCTTTGAAGATTTGGAGATGAATTGGGGTGAACCTCACATGCTCTGAAGGAGCCGCTTTTCATACTAAGATAAGAAGTTTGTTTTCAGGGGTTTCAATATCAATGTTTACTAAAAGTGTTCCATTTAGGATACAATGAAAGGCAAACTAAATGAAAATGAAACACAGAGGATATATAGAAAAAGAAAGTAAACTGGATAAATAAAAGATGATGATGAAGAAGAAGAAGAAGCAAAAGAAAAGGAAAATATAAAGCCCTGTGTCAAGGTTACCAAGAGAGGCCATGATTCCACAATTCTCCTCTATGACTTCTGTTCTCTGGTCAGGATCCAGCAAAGCCCACTGCTCACCCGTGAAACGAACAGCAATGTCTTCAGAGGACAGTGAACTCTTTAAAAAAAGAGAGAGAGAGAAAGGTCCTCCTCTTAGCCAGTATAACAATTATCTACTACGAATTGTTTTGTTGTTTTCTGCGTCGTCTTCATGGGATTGTTTTGCTGCACAATTTAAGTATGGATGCTTATTTTAATGTTTTAATGGAATTATTTTTATGTGTTTTTTGCTGTGTGCATTAAGAAAACCCCAAGGGCACATGGGGCACAAAGAAGGGAGAGTGAGGAAAGTCCCATTCTGCAACAGATGGGGCTGGTTAGGTGAATCATGGCTACTGCTCTTTATAGTTTGCAAACTGATGAGCAGCAGTGGAAGACAGGAGTGCCCATCGTGCTCTGGTTCACAAAGAGTCGGACACGACTAAAGGCCTGAACTACAACAACAAAACTGATGAGAAGCGTGTTTTAGTATTCATGATAAATAGACAAATAAAACTGCGACTACTGATAAGGACATTCAGAAAGAGAATTAAGATGAAGTGGATGTTCCTCATTCTCAGCACATGAACATTCTTCAATAACATTTTCAGTCTTTGTTAAGGGCAGTTTTGACAAATGCCAAGAGAAAGAAGCGAGAGATTCGTTTGACTCCAGAGGAATCGTGGCTGCCCCACCCCACCCCCTGCCTCTTTCCCCACAAGGCTCCTTCCCCCTACCTGAGCTGGTTCCACAGTAACTGCTCCGCCACCAAGAAAAGATGGATGAGGAGGTCTTGCTGGCAATCTCCTGTCACCTGCAAGAGACAAAGGTAAGTGGGGAGACAGGAGTGCATGATGCTTCTCTCAAGAGGTGATACATTGCCTTTCTAACTACAGATGGGCCTTAGAAAAAGTACAGATGTCACTCAGGAATTTCCAGAGGGACAAATGTAAGGTTCTTCACTTAGGCAGGAAGAACCAGCCACAAAAATGTAAGATGGAGAACATAGGGGTTTTCGTAGGCCAAAAGCTGAACATGAGTCAACAGTCTGATTCAGCAGCAAAAAAGGCTAATGTGATTGTAGGCTGCATCCACAGAGGTCTAGAGTCCAGATCAATGAAGTAATAGCACCACTCTATTCTGCCCTGGGCAGACCCCTCCTGGAGTTATGGGCACCACAATTTAGGAAGGGTATTGTGAAGCTGGGAGATGTTCAGAGGAAGGCGACTAGGATGATTGAGGGTCTGGAAGCCAAGCCTTATGAGGAATGGTTGAGGGAGATGAGAAAAGAGGAACCTGAGAGGACAGGAATTGACCCAATGGATTCAAGGAGCTTCTGTCTAAGTATCTGAGGGTAAGGGGTGTTCAAGAATGGAACAGCCTCCCTGCGAAGGCTGGTGGACTCTCCTTCCATGAAGGTTTTAAAACTGTCCTGGATGCTTTAGTTGACATTCTTGCATTTTACGGGGTTGGGCGAGATGACCGTAAGGATCCCTTCCAACTCTACGATTCTAAGATTCTAGGAGTCTCCTGTGCCGAGTGCATTGCCCTCTACATGGAGCTGCCTTTAAAGAGGACTCGGAAACTGGTGCCAAATGCGGCACCCAGATTATGGCCCTTTATTTATGGCACTTCTGATTCTGAGATTCCACAGCTGCAAACCTCCTGGGATCTCGCCCCTCCCTGGGTTTGCAGAGAGGGAGAGGGGCATGGGCGTAGCAAAGGGGGCAGGGAGGAGCAGCTGCAGGGGAGGACCCTCTGCTTCCCCACTTTGCGAGTTGTGGGGGGAGCCCCCCATGCACCCTGCCCTGCAGCCCTGGGACCCCCCCTTTCTCCCTACGGCACCCTCTGGGGGAAGAGAGAGGAGACTCACCCAGCAGAGAAGGCGACACCGAGGCAGCTCTTGCAAAGGCGACCAGAGCCCCCTCTTCCGGGGAAGGAGGGGCTTTGCCTCCGGAGGACCTTCCCTCCTTCCCTCCTATTTCCGGTCCTCTCTAGGAATCCAGCTCCGCTCCTCTTAACTCTTGGCCTTCCGAGCGCACCCGGATTTGCGGGGCAGTGGCCCCTCCCTGCCTCCTCTTTGCTACGCCCATGGAGGGACCCCCAGTATTTCCGTGCAATCTCCTTTCTTCTCCTTTTAATCCTTTAGTTTGGATCCATTATTTTGGGTTCCAGGTGAAACCTAAATCTATTCTACTCGAGACATGGATCATAGTTTTGCATGATAATACGTTCCCGTGAAAAAGTTATATTAAGGGGGAAGGGAGTTTTGTAGCATGTACTGTTTACAGAACTATGCAAATTTTCGTTGGAACACATTTCATTGCATACATTCATAAGGCATTTCCTCAATCGGTTGTTTTCTCTTTTTTCCTCTTCTATGCTTGAGACATGGATCATAGTTTCTACAAGATAATAAGCTCCTGATAAAATCTTTTGAAACATGAAAAGTTCCTGCTGAAAGAACACGATGAAATCTCATTGGAACAAATCTCGCGGCAACATTTTACGAGCCATTTCCTCCGCGGGTTCTTTTCTCTCTTCTTCTCTTTGCCTGCCCCTTCCTTCTGCCCCAGCAATGAGAGCTCAGCGCCCCCTCAGAGCAGCCCCACTTTCAAGGCAGTTCCAGAAAGCGGCAGGGGTGCAATACTAAGCAGTGGGTCGGGGGTGGGGGAGAGAGATGGACAGCTGAGGCCGGGCCGAGTCTGGAGCTGCAGTCCCTCAGAAACGCCACCAGGGGGCTGGAGCCTCTCTCTCTGATTGGCTCCCGAGACTGCCAGCCAGAGGCGGGGGCGGAGCCAGCCCTTTTGGCGGGAAGATGAGGAGCCTTTTCTGAGGGAGTTTTGAGGCTGGAGCTGAGATGGGAGGAAGGGAGGAGGAGGAGAGGCTGAGTCTGAGGAGAATCTCGGGGGCCAGAAGAAGGAGAGAGGAAGAGGGGCTGAGTCGGGGGGGGGGGGAGAAGAGGGCCGAGGGATCCCCGGGGTCTGGCGCCCAAAATAAAACGCCTCAGGAGGGGCATTGCTGAGAGGGAGGGAGGCTGAGGGAAAGGAACCTGGTCTGGGTCAAAAGGATTGAACTGCCACACCTGCCATAACGAAGGAGCAAGAGAGAAGGAACAGAAACCAAGTTGAGCATTTTCGCACCTCGTCTAGAAACAGGAACATCTACCTGAAGGGTACAAACTGATTTTTAACAACTGAAGTTTAAGGAAAGGTGTGCCTATGCTACTGGTCTACCTTATAGGAATGTTATAAAAGTTTTTTTATATTAAGAACTTTGAAATGTACCACACGGAGGCTGTTTCCCCCCCATGTTGCGCCCACCCCCTCCTGCTCCCTCTTCCCTCTGCATTCAGGGGGCACAGCTGGGCCTTTCACCCCACCCCTTATTCCCACTGCCACCCCAGAACTCTGACCTGAACACTTCACCCCCAACGTAGCGAAGAATGAGGTGTGAGGTGGAGTACAACTGATTTATTAAAAACAAACACTAATTTCAAGATAACTTGGTGTAGATAAGTTAGGGCTGCCCAAGTCCAGATTTTCCTGGATTTTAGCTAAATCAATGAAAAAATCATCTTATTTTGGCATTGTCATAAAATTGGGGGGGGGGGGTCCTTTAAAAAGCACAATAGTGTTGGGGTCTTCCTTAAAAAAAAAAGCCATGGCTTTTTACTATTTGAAATAAGACAACCCTAACATTGTGTATGGTTTCAAATCTTCTGGGGTTTTTTTCCTTTCTTTTGTTACTTTATTACTACTGTAACAATGGCTACTACTGTACAAGGCTATTCCTCTACTACTGAGCTCAACCTCCAACTGTTTCCTTGCAGGTTTTCTCCACCAGCCTGAGGGGGCCAGATCCAAGGTGATGAGCAGATGGACTCCAGCTACAAAAGCTGAGACTGCGGAAGAGGACAGAGACCATCCTGGCTGTGAGTCCTCTAAGACCTTCTCCTGCCTTGCAGGCCTTTTCCCATGTGGCCTAGGAGAGTCCAGACTGACTCCAGCTACAAAAGCTGGAGCCGCTGAACAAACACCTGGGCTTAGCAGGTTTGTTGTTGCTACAGGTTTTTCTTTCTTTATTTTAGATCTTCTCATGATTTATGTGGCTATTTTTCAGTGTGGTTGTGTATTTTAACGTTCTATTTATTGTTTGCTATTTATTTATTTAATTTTTCCCATTTGTATGATGACTTTCACCTGAAGATATCAGAGTGCTTCACAGCATAAAATTACAAAATAAAAACACAAAAGACATAATAAAAACATGAATCAAAACAAAAGAATAACCACCTTCCCACAAACACATTTGAAAGGACATAGATGGTTTAAGTAAATAAAGCCCTGGTTATTATGCTATAGTAACTCAGCCCCCCCCCCCTTTCTGACGCTCCGTCAATCAACACTCACACGCAGCAGCCCAAACTTTCCCTTTCTGCCTTTCTAGCTAACAGTACCTTAAATGCACCAGTGTTTTTTTTCTTAAAAAAAGGTTTAGGTGTGCTCTCATTTTGACTCAAGAAAATCACCATTTTATAGTTCAAATCAGGAAAAATAAATACAGTAAATGGACAAAAGTAAAAGGATTCACAAAATGTTTAGGGGTATGTGTACCCTGCGTACCCCCCCCAAAAAAGCACTGAAATGCACTATTATATTATTCTGTGTACAGAAGGTTTAAGTACAAGAACCGGAACACTGCGCCTAAACGTGAAGCAGAAGCGCACAAAGGCACAATTTCTGACAGTCTCATGACAGAGCTAGTGTGGTATAGTGGTTAGAGTGTCAGAGTATGACTTGGCAGACCTGGGTTCAAATTCCTACTTGGCCCTGATGCTCACCAGGTGTCCTTGGGGGCCAGGCACTGCTTCACATTCTGACCAACCTCACAGGATTATTGTCAGTATTAAAAGAAGAGGGGGAGAACCTTGGGGGAAAAGGGGGTATTTGAATGCAATAAATGAATTTCAGTAGGGACAAATATCAGGTTCTGCAAGTAGGCAGGAATAATCAGCAACACATATATATGAAAAGGATCAAGGCCTTTTAGTAGACCACAAGCTTGTAGTGAGTCAACAGTGAGATGCAGCAGCAAAAAAACCAAACCCAACTAATGCTATTCTAGGCTGCATCAACACAGAATCATACAGTTGGCAGGAACCCCAAGGGTCTTCCAGTTCAATCCCCCGCAATGCAGGAATTTTTTGTTGCACACACTGAGTCTCCACAATGGCTTTGAAGCTTCTGGGGCCAAACCTTTTGAACCAGAGTTCTGGATCTGCTTCATCCCTGACAAGCTGGAATGGGTGCAGAGGAGGGAGATCAAGGGGATCAAGGCTATGGAAACCAAGACTTTGGAGAAATGGTTGAGAGAGCCGGGATGTTTATTATGGAGAAAAGGAGATGGAGAAGGAGATGTGATAGACATCTTACAATATCTAAAGGGTTGTGCCATAGAAGATTGAGCAAACTTGCTTCTTCCTGTTCTGGTGTAAGGAGGACCCAAACCAATGCATTCAAGATACAAGTAAGGAAAACCTGATGAAACATCAGGAAGAACTTTCTGACAGCAAGAACTGTTTGACTGTGGAACAAACAAGTACAGGACTATTCTTGAATTGAAGGTTTTAAAGCAAAGGCTGGATGAACATCTGTCATGAATTCTTTTGTTGAATATCCTTCATTGCAGGGGCTTGGAGAAGACGACTCTCACCATCCAATCCAATGCAACAATTCAATGATTCAAGGGGAATCTGATTCTCCCTGCTGTGAGTTCTTTGATGGGAAGTGAGAAAGGACTCCTGACTAAAACTCTCTCCGCATTCCAAGCATTTATATGGTCTCTCCATTGTATGAATTATTTGGTGGGAAATGAGATGGGAGTCCTGACTAAAACTCCTTCCACATTCCAAGCATTTATATGGGCTCTCCCAGGAGTGAGTTCTTTGATGGGAAGTGAGACCTGCCTTCTGTGTGAATCTCTTTCCACATTCCAAGCACTGAAATGGTCTCTCCCCTCTATGAATAATCTGATGGGAAGTGAGCTTAGTGCTCTCATTGAAGCTTTTTCCACATTCTGAGCACTGATAAGGTTTTTTATGAATTCTCTGATGGGCAGCAAGGGTTGCACTCTGATTGAAACTCTTTCCACATTCCGAGCACTGAAAAGGTTTTTCGCCTGTATGAATTCTTTGATGGACCGTGAGTAGGTCACTCCGACTGAAGCTCTTTCCACATTCCGAGCACCGATAAGGTTTTTCCCCTGTATGAATTCTTTGATGTGAAATGAAGCTGCACCTGTGACTGAAGCACTTTTGACATTCCTCACACTGATATGGTTTCTCCCCTGTATGAGTTCTTTCGTGGATAATGAGATGACCGCTCCGAGTGAAGCTCTTTCCACATTCCAAGCACTGGTAGGGTTTCTTCAAAATGGGATTTCTTTGATGGGAAGTTGAATGGGAGCTTTGATTGAAGCTCTTTCCACAATCCAAGTATCGAAAAGGTTTCTCCCCTGTATGCATTCTTTGATGGAAAACGAGGCTGGACCTGTGACTGAAGCTCTTTCCACATTCCAGGCATTGGAAAGGTTTCTCCCGTGTATGAATTCGTTGATGGGAAATGAGCTGGAACTTTTGACTGAAGCTCTTTCCACATTCCAAGCACTGATAAGGCTTCTCCCCTGTATGAAGCCTTTGATGGGTAGTGAGGCTGGACCTGTGACTGAAGCACTTTTGACATTCCTCACACTGATATGGTTTCTCCCCAGTATGAATTCTTTCATGAATAATGAGATGACCCCTCCGACAGAAGCTCTTTCCACACTCCAAGCACCGATAAGCTTTCTTCCCAATGGGATTTCTTCGAGGGGAAGTTGAATGGGAGCTTTGATTGAAGCTCTTTCCACATTCCAAATATTTACTTGGTTTGTCCTCTGTGTGGATTTCGTCATGGTCTCCCTTGTCCTCCATTTCCAATTCATCATCCCCTGCAACAAAGAGAGAGATGAATTAGAGGCTCAGCAAGAAATGGAGCCCGCTATTATTGAACATTGCTCATTAATGCTTGTGAGAGAGGAATAACTGAAGGGAGTGAGATGGGAGGACTTACTTTAGGGTTCACTGCCTTTGTTGAGTGGCATTCAGAGACCTCTTTATGGGAACCTGAGATCCCAAAACCCTGGCTCTCTTCTGGGATGGATTTTGGGATGGATTTTGTTTGGCCCAATCATGGAATCTGTTCCATCTGTAATATCAGTTGTCTTTGACAGAAGCGGTGACTCCAGTGTGGGGGAGGCTGGCTAGTTCTGGGCTGTCGACACCCTGCAGTAGAGATTATGTGATGATTTATGACAGCCAGGGCAAAGATACCAGTACCACGCTCTCCCTTTGAAGATTGGGAGATGAATTGGGATGAACCTAACATGCTCTGAAGGAGCCACTTTTCACACTGAGATAAGAAGTTTCTTTTCAGGGATTTTCAACATTAAATACAATGAAAGCCAAACTAAATAAAAATAAAACAGAGAGAATAAATGGAAAAAGAAACAAACAAATAACAGAAGAAGAGGAGAAAAAGAAAGAAGCCCTCTATCAAGGTTGTATCTTAACCGTTATTCTGGAGCAAAGGAATGGAGCCATGGACAGAAACACTAAGAAACATTCTGTGATGGCAGAGAAAGAGCTCGGAGAGACATGATCTTTTGTTCAAACTGAAGTAAACTCAGGGGGAAAAGCCACCAAGCAGCTGGTAACTTGTCTGGAGGGGAAAAAATGGAAGAATTGGAATGGAAGGACTTTTAGGCTTCTGGTCAACACCCACATTCAAGGGTGGCAGTTCTTTAGAACCCCTCTGGGGATTGTGAATAAGTTCAGGCAGAGGGAGGGAGAGAATGAAGCATGTCCTCTCCCAGACGTCTCTGGGAAGAATCAGAGACTAAGGTGCATGTAGATGTTGGCTGACCCCATGACTGCCTCCATGGAAGAAGAAATGAAGGGGACGCTGGGAGTGAGTTCTCTGCCAAAGAACCAGCCTCCAGAGCCTTTTTCTGAAGCGTGGAAAGATTCCTCCTTCAATCTGGCTAATTGGATGAAACTAAGAGCATTCTCTGGACAAGATATGCAACGCAGGTTGCGACTTAACCAGCTGTCGTGTAAGAACTGGAATTTCTGAAGATACCTGCAACAGACTTGAATAGAGAAGGAGGGGGGCAGACTGTTTTATGTTACACTATTTCCCCCTGTACTTTCTCTGCCCTCTCCTGATTAATGAAAAGACGCAAGTGTTGGGAACGTGGGACTTTTGGCTGAGGAAAGCAGACGTTTTTATGTTTTACTAGGAATTTGAAAAAGTCTTACTATGCCTGCCCTCCTCTGACTAAGGACTGACTGATTGGTCATTCGATTTGTGTTTACAATCATCTCTGTGCATTGTTTGCTGTTTCTGGAGGGAGAAACGTAGGAATTGCATTTTACGACTCTTCAGACTAGCAAGAATGCAGTCTACTCTGTTACTATGGAAGGAACTCAGGCCATGAAGAGGTTGAGAGGAGCGTGATGCAGCTTGGCATAGAGGCGAAACAGGTGACCTGGAGGTACTGGACAGGATGTGCCTGCTGTGTGTTGGAGAGGGACAGAGACTCTAATGGCGGGGCTGTTCGATAAATTATCCTGTTTGAGAGCCAGATTTATCTCTGTGGAGGAATATCTGAAGTGACCTTGGGCAGCATGAGCAGGAACATAAGAGATGCAGTTAAGCAGCAAAAAACTGGATCTGAACAAGGAAAATGCGGAGGTACAAGTTGGAAGACAACAATGCACTCTGAAAAATGGAACTTATTAAAATTCAAGCAAATGTTTAAAGGGAAGATGGAGTAATAACCACAACAGCTGTCACTGAATATATATACAGGGTGAGTCTTATTAAGGTTCACTTTTTCCGTATGCAGGGATGTAAAGGAGCAGCTGATGTATAATGATTTTGGTTAATACTAGGGACGCGGGTGGTGCTGTGGTCTAAACCACACAGCCCAGGGCTTGCCGATCAGAAGGTCGGCGGTTCGAATCCCTGCGACGGGGTGAGCTCCGGTTGCTCGGTCCCTGCTCCTGCCAACCTAGCAGTTCGAAAGCACGTCCAAGTGCAAGTAGATAAATGGGTACCGCTCCGGCGGGAAGGTAAACGGCGTTTCCGTGCGCTGCTCTGGTTTGCCAGAAGCGGCTTAGTCATGCTGGCCACATGACCCAGAAGCTGTATGCTGGCTCCCTCGGCCAGTAAAGTGAGATGAGCGCTGCAACCCCAGAGTTGGCCACGACTGGACCTAATGGTCAGGGGTCCCTTTACCTTTAGAGGATGTTATCTAGAGATTAACTGAGAACAATAAACAGCAATAGAGGTTCATCTTGGACATATATTATACGTGGAATGGAAAGCCGGTTTGGGAAAATTATATGAAACTGAATTAATTGGTTTGCAATTGATTTGCAGCAATTTGGAAGAACAAGAAAAAATAAATGAAAGAAGTGGAAATGGAAGGACTTTTCTTCCTAAATCAAGGTGGGACATCATGGCCAACAGGAGAAGGGATTGGGTACAAATTAATGAACATATAATAAGTAAAGAATTATTTATTATTATCATCCAGATAAGAAACATTTGTTATACTGGACTGGAGGAAGAATTTTCTTGATAGCTAGTGATAATAACAACTGGACTTTTTGCGTGGAAAGCAAAATGAACGAATTTGAGGTGTCTGGGACTGATGATCGAGAAAACACCGCCTAGCAGATTGAGGAACAGCTGGGCACTCTCTTGCAATGCAGCTGGATATTATCCTGGAGTGAATGCTTTGAATACTTTGAACAATCTGAATACAGTGGTACCTCGGGTTACATACGCTTCAGGTTACAGACTCCGCTAACCCAGAAATAGTACCTCGGGTTAAGAACTTTGCTTCAGGATGAGAACAGAAATTGCGCGGCGGCAGCAGCACGGCAGCAGCAGGAGGCTCCATTAGCTAAAGTGGTGCTTCAGGTTAAGAACAGTTTCAGGTTAAGAATGGACCTCCGGAATGAATTAAGTACGTAACCAGAGGTACCACTGTATACATAATGGGAAGAGGAAGAATAGGAAGTCCTCTCTATTTATTTCCTTTATTTCTATTTTCCTTTTTCAGTGATACTTACTGTAGCTTTACTCCATTTTTTTTTTGTTAGTTCTATTTTTGTCCTTGTTTTATTTTGTATTTTCAAGTCCTCGACGCTGGTCTGATGAGGATATTCACAGAAAGCTGCTGTATTACTGATGAAGGACCCTGCGGGAGAGGCAGGGAAGGGATCATCTCCCAGGGAAGGAGGTTGGGAGAAGAAAGCGAAGTTCCCTGGTGAGAGCTGGGAGCATTGATCCCATTTTTTGTGAGATGAGGGTTAAGATCTACCCCTGGTAGAGGGCACTGTATTTTATTTTTTCTTCTCTTTCCCCTATTCTGTTTTTCTCTCTTTGTTACTGTTCTTTTCTTCTCTATGTTTATATAGATCAGTTGGTTTTTAATTCTATTGTATGTTGAAAACTTTCAACAACAACAACAACAACAAGCTACTTCAATTTCCCTAACCACTCTGAAACCTACATTTAAAAAGGACTGGGCAATTCAGATCAGCCTTGTTTTAAAAGGCATAAGCGGTGGAAGAATATTCACAGGCAAAACAGACAATAGCCTCCATTCAAGGTAAATTGTGTAGGTGCAAGAATCCCAGATGCTGTAGGTGGCGCTGTCAAAATCCATCAAAATCTGGGAGGTTCGTCACATATATATGCATGGAATTTCAAAACACATTAATCCAACGGAGAGCCTTACCAAGAGAGGCCATGATCCTACAATTATCACCTATTATTCTCCTCTATGACTTCTGTATGCAGAGCTTTCTGGTCAGGGTCCAGCAACGGCCACTCCTCACCCAGGAAACGAACGATGGCGCTTTCAAAGCACAGTGAACTCTAAGAAAAAGAGAGAGAAAGGTCCTCCTCTTAGCCAGTATAAAGATTATCTCCTATGAACTGATTTGTTGTTTCCCACCTGTGCTGTTTTAATGGGATTGTCTTGCTGCACATTGTAAGTATGAATGCTTCTTTTAACATCTTACTGGAATTATTTTATTTTGTGTTTTGTTGTGTGCATTAGGCCAACTTCAAGAGGCATATGGGGACACAAGGTGGAGAGGGTGGGGAAAGCCCAGTTTTGCAACAGAGGGAGCTGGTTAGGTAGAGGTCAGCAAACTTTTTCAGCAGGGGGCCGATCCACTGTCCCTCAGACCTTGTGGGGGGCTGGACTATATTTTGAAAAAAAATATGAACAAATTCCTAAGCCCCACAAATAACCCAGAGATGCATTTTAAATAAAAGCACACATTCTACTCATGCAAAAACATGCTGATTCCCGGACTGTCCATGGGCTGGATTGCGAAGGCGATTGGGCCGGATCTGGCCCCCAGGCCTTAGTTTGCCTACCCATGTGGTTAGGTGTATCCTGGCCACGGTTTTTTTATGGACTGGAAACTGGTGGGAAGCATATTTTAGTATTTCTACTATTTAGAAAAATAAAACAGAAACTACTGTTAAATAATGCTAGCGACATTCAGAAGGAAAAATAAGGGGAGGGGGCTGTTCCTTATTCTCAGCAATGGAACACCCTTCCTCGGAAGGTGGTGGACTCTCCTACCATGGAGGTTTTTAAAGCGTCAGGGATGCTATTATTGAAATGGCTATATTACCGTGGTTTTGACTGTCCCTCAGGGTCCCTTCCAACTCCACAATTATATTAAAGTCTCCTTTGCTGAGTGCGTTGCCCTCTACGTTAAGGTTACCAGACGTCCCCGTTTCCCGGGGACAGTCTCCAGATTTACAAATCAGTCCCCATACAAAATCCATTGAAGTTGAAAAGTGTCCCCGGAGTAACTGAAAAAAATCTGGTAACCTTAACTCAACGTGGAGCTGCCGTTGAAGAGGACTTGGAGACTGGTCCAAAATGCAGCAGCCAGATTACGGGCTGAGCTCCCACACTTTATTTATGGGATCTCTATCCCCCCCCCTTTTCTCCAAGGAGATCCAGGTGGCATCCATGGGTCTATCCAGGGACGTCTTTTCTACTGGGCGTAGTGGCGCGGCGAGCCAGAGCGCCAGGCAGTGGAGGGCGCCAGGCGGAGAGTCCGGGGAGGGGAGAGCGGGGAGGTATGCGAGGCGGAGCGGGGGCTTGGTGCCTGCGTGCCTCCAGCACCTGTCGGAGGCAGGAAGGCTCTGGATGCTTTCCTGCAGTCTGGAGCTCTCTCCGCTGGCTCCGAGACACACCACCTTGGCCGCGTGGTGTGTGCTTGCATCCCAAGCTCTGCACATAATAAACTTGACTCTACCACCGCTCCCCCCATCCACTCTACCTCAAATGATCCCCGCGCTCGAGGCTACATGCTGCAACTGCTGCCCCCAGCACCCCTCCCTCCTTCTCCACCACCTTGCACGGAGCCTGCCTCCTTCCGCTGCCCCCACCACCTTGGCACTCCTTCACACGAACCTTGTCATGCTTCTCTGCTGCAGCAATGCAGACTCGCTTTGCCTGTCCCTGCCCGAACGAGACCCCCTGCCTGCCTCCCGTGCCGCCCCCATTGCGCCTGGCTGCCCAGCCCCACACCACGATCTCACCACGGCAGCCGATGTCCGGCTGCATGCGAGGGTGGGAGCAGCCTTTCCTAAAAAAGGTCAACTTTGGGTCCCCCCCCTTTAAAAAGGTCAAAATGGGGGGGGGTGCCGGAGGGATCTTTGCACCACTGTGTCGGGTATGCTTAAGATGGCCCTGGGTCTACCCCCTACCCATTTGGCCCAACATTTTAGTGGAAATTTCTGCATTGCACAGGGTTAGACTAGAGGACCCTTGTGGTCTAAACCACTGAGCCTCTTGTGGCTGCTGATCGTGAGGTCGGTGGTTTGACACAGCAGAAGGGAGGGAGCTCCCAGCTCCTGCCAACCCAGCAGTTCGAAAGCATGCAAGTGCAATAGATCAGTAGGTACCGCTGCAGCAGGAAGGGAAACCCCGTGCGCTCTGGCCCTCGGCCCGGTGTCCCGCGGCGGGACAGAAGCGGGTTAGTCCTGCTGGTCACCTGACAAGGGCCGGCTCCCGCCAATCAGGATGAGCGCCGCACCCCATCATCCCCTTGGACTGGACTTACCTGGGTCCTTCCCCTTTGACCGTGCCTGGGGGAGGGGGGTCCCACGCTGCATGGATTGGGAAGACCCCCTCCGCCCCCTCCCCTTCTCCCCACCAGACCCCGGAAGAGGCGGAGCAGAGAGCCGGAAGGAAGGCGCTGCGGGGGGAGGGGCTTGGGCTCGGGAGGACCAGCCGGCTTCGCCTTCCTTTCCTGTCCGCTCTAGGAAGGCAGCTCCGCTCCTCTTAACCCTTGGCCAGCCGAGCGCCCCTTCTCTCCCTCTCCAAAGCAGGAGGATTGGGGGGGGCGCCTCTTGGCTGGCGAGCTGAGCTGCTCCCTCCCTTGGAAACGGGGGGTGGGGGGGACCCCCTTCCTGCGTGGGTTCTTTTCTCTTTCCTCCCCTCCGCCCGTTCTGCATAGCAATTCCCTTCCTTCTGCCCCAGTAAGAGGGCAATGTCCCCGGCACTTTCCCAGCGCAAGGAGGCAGACAGAGCGCAACGCTCCTCCCAGACACCCCCACTTTAAAACCAGAATTTTGAAAAGCCAAAACTATCCAATCCTATAAAATCAGCACCTAAACAGGTTCGGCAGATGCCGGAGGGCCCAAGAGAGGTGTCACTAGGCAGCAAATATCCGAATGGATTGTGTGTGTGACGGACCGAGTCTGGCAGAAAGAAGGATCCCCAGCCAGGGAAGGGCGCGGAGGGATCCCCTGGGTCAGGCGCCCAAAATGAAACGCCTCAGGAGGGGCATTGCTGAGAGAGAGGGAGGCTGAGGGAAAGGAAGCTGGTCTGGGTCAAAAGGATTGAGCTGCCACACCTGCCATAACTAAGGAGCAAGAGAAAAGTAACAGAAACCAAGTTGAGCATTTTCCCACCTCGTCTAGAAACAGGAGCATCTACCTGAAGGGTACAAACGGATTTCTGATTTTCAGCAACTGAGGTTTAAGAAAAGTTGTGCATATGGTACTGTGTTTAAGCCTGTGACATCCTTACATTTAATTTAAGTAATAAGCTAACTTCTACCTGGAAGTATGCATCTCCTGAACCAACTGTTTCACCAACCTCTTTTTTGTAAATCAAACTTTTCTTATTCTGTCTGAGACTCCCATAGTTGAAGTTTCCCTCACACAAGACCCCCACAAAAATTGCAGAAATTCATTTAATTGGCGTACCATGCGGTGGGTGTGCTAAATTTCACTGGGGGCAGTTAGCAGAGTGAATCCGCTACAGTGTGCAACTTGCAGGGAACAGTATCTGACTTACACCCCTCCCCCCCCTTCTCTTCAACCTCCTGCATTATTTGGGTAACACTACTGGCCCACCTTTTAGGGGTGTTACAAGAGTTTGTTTTTCTGCAGCACATTTAAACATTTCAGAATGTACCATGCAGAGGCAAAGTTTATCTCCTTGTGTTGTGCCACCCTCCCCCCTTTGTTCTGGCAGTGCCCACACACTCCTGTGCCACGTTCCCAATGCATTCAGGAAGCACAGCTAGAAGATGGGACTTTATTGGGCCTTTCTAGGCTTGCCATATGTCCTGACGTCTTGGTTTCTGGGTGTAAAATTGGTGTCAAGGGGGAGTTTTGCCAAATTGGCAAAATGTCAGGCGAAAACCAGATGTATGGCAACGTGATGGAAAAAGCAGTGGAAAAAGTTCAAAAAGTTAAACATCACTATGGGGGGGGGGGGAGAGATTTCCGTAAAAAAGTCAACAAATTCAACAAATTTGCAGGTGTCAGGAATCCTACTTGACTGGCAACCCTACCTTTCACCAAACACACCCTTATTCCCACTGCCACCCCAGAGAACTCCTATCTGAAAACTTCACCCCTAATGTAGAAAGGAATTACAAAGCTGGTGTAGTATACCTGTTTTAATGAAAAATGAAAAATAAATTCATGTTTGTGTACATAAGCATGTGGTTTCAAATGTTCCTGCTTCTTTTTTACTTAATTACAATGGTAACAACGCGCATCTTTATGCTGTTCCTCTACTCCTCTACTACTGATCTAACCAACCCTCCTTCACAACTACCACCCCCTCTCTCTTCACCCCATCCTCCATCAGTCTCTCCTGAAGAGGCCAAAAACCATCTTGGTTGCCAGTCCTGGAATACCATCTCCTTGCCTTGCAGGCCTTTTCCCACCTAGACTGGGAGAGAAGGGCCCAGTGAGATGGATGGAAGGAGAGACTCCAGCTACAAAAGCTGAGGCTGCTGAACAGACTCTTTGGCTTAGGATATTTGGGGGGGGGGTTGCTGTAGGGTTTTGAATATTTGTTTTAGATCTTGTTGTGGTTTATGTGGTTATTCTTCGATTTGGTTGTGTATTCTACTGTTTTATTGTTTACGACTGCTTTGCTATTTATTTGATTTATTACACTTGTATGATGGCTTTCACCCAAAGATCTCAAAGGTTGGGTGGCCATCTGTTATGAATTCTTTTGTTGAATATCCTTCATTGCAGGGGCTTGGAGAAGACGACTCTCACCGTCCAATCCAATGCAACAATTCAATGATTCTTGGGGAATCTGATTCTCCCTGCTGTGAGTTCTTTGATGGGAAGTGAGAAAGGACTCCTGACTAAAACTCTCTCCGCATTCCAAGCATTTATACGGTCTCTCCATAGTATGAATTATTTGATGGGAAATGAGATAGGAGTCCTGACTAAAAGTCCTTCCACATTCCAAGCATTTGTGTGGGCTCACCCAGGAATGAGTTCTTTGATGGGAAGTGAGACTTCCTTTCTGAGTGAATCTCATTCCACATTCCAAGCACTGATAGGGTTTCTCACCTGTATGAGTTCTTTGGTGGAAAGTGAAAGAGTCACTCCGAGAGAAGCGCTTTCCACATTCCAAGCACTGAAATGGTTTCTCCCTGTATGAATTATTTGATGGGCAGTGAGTTTGATGCTTTCACTGAAGCTCTTTCCACATTCCAAGCACTGAAAAGGTTTTGTATGAATTCTTTGATGGGAAGTGAGATTATATTTCCAGTCAAAGCTCTTTCCACATTCCCAGCACTTATATGGTTTCTCCCTTGTATGGATTTTTTGATGGGAAGTGACATAGGCCTTTGTACTGAAGCGTTTCCCGCATTCCAAGCACTGATAAGGTTTCTCTCCTTTATGAATTCTTTGATGGGTAGTGAGATTTTGTTTCATGTTGAAGCTCTTTCCACATTCCAAGCACTGATAGGGTTTCTCCCCTGTGTGAATTCTTTGATGGGCCGTGAGATGGGACCTCTGATGGAAGCTCTTCCCACATTCCAAGCACTGATACATTTTCTTCCCAATGGGATTTCTTGGATGGGATGAGGAATGAGAGCTCTCTCCACACTCCACATATTGATATGGGTTCTCCACTGTGTGGATTTTGTCATGGATTCGCTGGTTCTTAATTTCTAACTCATCACCACCTGCAGCAAAGAGAGATATGGATTTGAGCATCAGGAGGAAGGAGAGTCCACAATTATTGAATAAAGCACACCACTGCTTCCGTTATAGGAAGCCCTATGGGGTCTTAGATGGGAGGTCTTAGTAAAGGAACCACTGCCTTTCTGGACTGGCATTCACTGAGATATTTAGGGCAACCTGACTCAAAAGGCCTGGCTTTTTTGTGGGATGTACTTTTTTGGCCCTATCATGGAATCCACACCATCTCCAAGGTCAGTAGTCTCTTTGGCCATCCAAAACTGACAAGCAGAAACAGAAAATCTGACAGTCCAGCTAACCACATTGAATCCCGAATTATTCCAGCCAGCTCCAGTGATTGGCATTGCAGGAAGTTTCAAAGAATGGCAAAGAGATATTGGTTTCTCTTTCTTTTTGGTTTGTTATTTTCTTCTCTATGTTTATTTAGATTAGTTTGGTATTTATATTATGGTGAATACTTTCAATTAAAAAATAAAACCTGACAGAAGCTATTTCCATTTCACTAACCACTCTGAAGTCTACATTTAAAAACGACCGGGCAGTTCAGACCAGCCTGCTCCTTGCTTAAAAAGGCATAAGTGGTGGAAGAATATTCACAGGCAAAACAGTCAACAGTGCACCATTCAAGGTAAATTGTGTGGGTGTGAGAATCCCAGATGCTGTAGGTGGTGCGGTTCAACTCCATCAAAGTCTAGGAGGTTCACCACATAGGTATATATATGGAATATCAAAACAGATATTAAGTTCCAACAGGGAACCTTACCGAGAAAGGCCATGGTCCCACAGTTCTCCTTTATAACTTCCGTATGCAGAGCTTTCTGGTCAGGATCTAGTAATCCCCACTGCTCTCCCGTGAAACAAACAGCGATGTCTTCAGAGAACAGTGAACTGTTAAAAAGAGAGAGAGAGTGAAAGGGAGAGAGAGAGAGGTCCTCCTCTTAGCCAGAATAACGATTATCTGCTATGAATTGTTTTGTTGTTTCCTGCCTGTTAAGTACTGCACAGTTTTAATGGGATTGTTACCGCACTTCTTTTAATGTCTTAATGGAATTATTTTTGTGTGTTTCATTGTGTGCATTAGGCCACCTCCAAGGGCACATGGGGCACAACGTAGTGGGGGTGGGAAAGTCCCATTGTGCAATAGATGGGGCTGGTTAGGTGAATCATGGTTACTGTTTTTTATGGTTTGCAAACTGATGAGAAATGTATTTTAGTATTTCACAATAAGTAGACAAATAAAACAGCAATGATCAATAAATAATGGTGACAACATTCAGAAGAAGAATTAAGGTGAGGTGGATGTTCCTTAATCTCAGTACATAAATCTTCTTCAGTAACATTGTCAGTCTTTGTTAAGGGCAGTTTTGACAGAAGCCAAGAGGAAGAGGTGAGAGATTCGTTTGACTCCACAGGAATCGTGGCTGCCCACTCCCTCCGCCTCTTTCCCCACAAGGCTCCTTCCCCCTACCTGAGCTGGTTCCACAGTCACTGCTTCCCCTCCGGCACCAAGAAAAGATGGATGAGGAGGTCTTGCCGGCAATCTCCTGTCACCTGCAAGAGAGGGACAAATGTAAGGTTCTTCACTTAGGCAGGAAGAACCAGCTACACAAGTGTAAGATGGAGAACGTAGGGGTTTTCGTAGACCAAAAGCTGAAGATAAGTCAACAGTGTGATGCAGCAGCAAAAAAAGGCTAATGCGATTCTAAGCTGCACCCACAGAAGTCTAGTGTTCAGATAAAGGGAAGTTATAGCACCGCTCTATTCTGCCTTGGGGAGACCCCACCTGGAGTTCCATGTCTGGTTCTGGACACTGCAATTTAAAAAGTATATTGACAAGCTGGAAGGTGTGCAGAGGAAGTCAACTAGGATGATCAAGGGTCTGGAAGCCATGCCTTATGGTGAATGGTTGAAGGAGATGAGGACAGAGGAACCTGAGAGGAGGGGAGTTGACTCAATGTATCCAAGGTGCTTCTGTCTAAACATCTGAGGGTAAGGGGTGTTTGACCGTGGAACAGATCCCCTTGTAAGGTGGTGGACTCTCCTTCCATGGATAGTTTTTAAGTGTCATGGATGCTTTGACATTCTTGTATTGCAGGGGGTTGGACTAGATGACCTTCAGGGTCCCTTCCAACTCTACAATTCTAGGATTCTACTAAAGTCTCATTTGCTGAGCGCACTGCCTAGCTGCCTTGGAAACTGGTGCCAAATGCAGCAGCCAAATTATAAACTAATTATGGGCTGAGGTCCCACTCTTTATTTATGACATTTCTATCCCCTCTTTTTCTGCAAGGACACGCAGGTGGCATTTTAGTGGAGATTCCTGCACTGCACAGGGTTGTCCTGGGGTCTCTTGAGCTTGTTGATGGGGAGGTTAGCAGTCCAAATTTGCGAGCCGGGCTGAGCTCCCGTGGCTCCGTCCCAGCTCCCAGCAACCTAGCAGGGTTGAAAGCGAGTAGATAAATAGGTACTGCTGTGACTCATCACGGTGTCCCGCTGCGCCAGAAACGGGTTAGTCCTGCTGGCCCCCCGACCCGGAAAGCTGTCTGCGGACCAAGGCCGGCTCCCGCCAATCAGGATGAGCGCCGCACCCCATCATCCCCCTGGACTGGACTTACCTGGGTCCTTCCCCTTTGACCGTGCATGGGGGAGGGGGGTCCCACGCTGCATGGATTGGGAAGACCCCCTCCGCCCCCTCCCTTTCTCCCCAATGCACCCTCTGGCGAAGGGAGACGAGGCTCACCAGATCCCAGAGGAGAGCGGGCAGATCCCTTCCTCTCGAGGAAGGAAGGCGCTGCGGAGGGCGGGGCTTGGGCTCGGGAGGACCAGCCGGCTTCGCCTTCTTTCCCTGTCCGATCTAGGAATGCAGCTCCACTCCTCTTAACCCTTGGACAGCTGAGCCCGGGCCGAGTCTGGAGCTGCAGTCCCTCAGAAACGCCACCAGGGGGCGGGGCCTCTCTCTGATTGGCTATCCAGACAGACAGAGGCGGGGGCGGAGCCAGCCCTTTTGGCGGGAAGATGAGGAGCCTTTTCTGAGGGAGTTTTGAGGCTGGAGCTGAGATGGGAGGAAGGGAGGAGGAGGAGAGGCTGAGTCTGAGGGAGAAGTGGCTCTGGCCTGAGGAGAATCTCGGGGGCCAGAAGAAGGAGAGAGGAAGAGGGGCTGAGTCGGGGGCGGGGGGAAAGAAGGGGGCCGAGGGATCCCCTGGGTCTGGCGCCCAAAATAAAACGCCTCAGGAGGGGCATTGCTGAGAGAGGGAGGCTGAGGGAAAGCATTAGGCAGTGAAGGAAGCTGGGCTGTGCAGAGGCCGAGCTGGCTGCTCTGGCACCTGGAGCAGCACACAAGCTGTGCACCTGGGGGCAGGGCTAGCCACCCACAGGGGCGCTACCTGCAGCAAGTGTCCAGGGGGCAATGTCACCCCCCCCAGAGATGACACTCGGGGCCGCCCACCCTCACCGCACCCCCCTTCCTCTAACAGTGGGGCTGTTTCAAGAGTATTTAACTGCAACACCTGCCATAACTAGAAGACAGTGAAGCAACAGTAGCATCATTGGGGTAATGCTACCAGTTCACTTCACAGGTATGTTGTAAGAGTTTCTTTTTATGAAGCATTTTGAACACTTCAGATGCAGAGGCTGCGTTTATCTCCCCATGTTGTGCCGCTACCACCTTCGCTCTGGCAGTGCCCACACCCTCCTGCGCTACCTTCCCACTGTATTCAAGGGGCCCAGCTGTGAGCTCAGTCTTTACTGGGTCTTCCACCAAACCCCCCTTTCTTCCCGCTGCCACCCCCATGACTCTTATCTGAACACCTCACAACCAACATACCAAGGAATGATGCGTCTGGAGTGTAACTGATTTATTAAATCATAAACAAGAAGTTCAAGGTAACTTTGTGTACATAAGCATGTGCTTTCAGATGTTCCTGTTCCTTTTTTTTACTTTATTAAAACTGAAACAAGGGGCATTATTATGCTGTTCCTATTTTACTGCTCTAACCAACCCTGCTACTACCCCCTCACTCCCCACTCCAAGTGTCTCTATTGAAAAGGCCAGATACCATCTTGGCCGTGAGTCCTGGAAGACCTGCTCCCTGCCTTGTAGGCCTTTTCACAAGTGGCCTGGAAGAGTAGGCCCTAGAGTGACTGGTGGACAGACTGACTCCAGCTACAAAAGCTGAGGCTGCTGAATAAACCCTTGGACTTAGGAGGTATGGTCGGGTGTTCTGAGGTTGGTATTTGTATCTTTATTTTACATCTTCTTGTGATTTATGTGGCTATTCTTTAGTTTGGTTGTGTATTTTTTATGAGTTATTTCTAACGACTTTAATTTTATCTATTTATTTGGCTGTTTGTAAAATGTTATACCACCATTCAAAGATCTCAGGGCGATTCATGGTGTAAAAATACAATATAAAAATAAAAAATGCATGCACACTTTCTGAGAGTTTCATTATAGAGCTAGTGTGATATAGTGGTTAGAGTGCTGGACTATGACCTGGCAGACCTGGGTTCAAATCCCCACTCAGCCATGAAGCTCACTGTGTGACCTTGGAGGCCAGGAACTGCTTCACAACCAAACTTACCTCACAGGATTATATAGTCAGCATTAAATGAGATAGGGAAGAACCGTGTAACAGCACCTTCAAGGACAGGGTGTTATAGGAATGCAATTAATGAATTTCAATATGTCAGGATGCGCATTTAGGCAGGCACAACCAGCTGCACAAATATAAGATGAGGGACAACTAGCTAGCCAGTAGTACACATAAAAAGCATCTAGGGCTCTTATGTCAACAGAGTGAAGCACCAACAAAGAAAGGCTAATGCAATTCTAAGCTGCATCAAGACAGGATAAGAGAATCATAGTGCAGTAGAGTTGGAAGGAGCACAGAGGGTCCTTTAGTCAAACCCCTTGAAATGCAGGAAAGATATGTTGCAAACATGGCGGGAAAGGAGGTTTCAGCTTCCTCTCAGTAACACAGTTAATGCACTTCACTACGGATGGTGCATTTTGGATTACCTCCATCCCTTTTGCAAGATGCTTCCTTTGTATCTCCACAATGGCTTTGATGTCTCTGGGGCCAAACCTTTTGTGCCAGATTCTGAGTGAGCTTCATCCCTGATGAGCTGGAATGGGTGCAGAGGAGGGAGACCAAGGCGATCAAGGGTCTGGAAACCAAGCCTAATGAGGGACAGTTGAGGGAGATGGGGATGTTTATCATGGAGAAGAGAAGATTGAGAAGGAGATGTGAAAGCCGTCTTCCAATATCTAAAGAGCTGTGCCATGGAAGAGGGAGCAAGCTTGCTTTCTCCTGCTCCAGTGGAAGGACCCAAACAAATCCATTCAAGTTACAAGAAAGGAGAATCTGATTAAACATCAGGCAGAATTTTCTGGCAGTACTCTTCTGGCAGACTTTTCTGGTGGACTCTTCTTGAATTGAAGGTTTTAAGGCAAAGACTGGATTGCCATCTGTCATGAATTCTTTTGTTGAATATCCTTCATTGCAGGGGTTTGGAGAAGACGACCCTCACCATCCAATCCAATGCAACAATTCAATGATTCTGGGAGACTGTGATTCTCCCCACTGTGAGTTCTTTGATGGGAAGTAAGATAGGACTCCTGACTAAAACTCTTTCCACATTCCAAGCATTTATATGGTCTTGCCCCTGTATGAATTATTTGATGGGAAATGAGATAGGAGTCCTGACTAAAACTTCTTCCACATTCCAAGCATTTATATGGGCTCTCCCAGGTATGTGTTCTTTCATGGGAAGTGAGATTGCCACTATGAGTGAATCTCCTCCCACATTCCCTACACTGAAATGGTTTCTCCCCTGTATGAATTATTTGATGGGAAGTTAGACCTCCCTTCTGTTTAAAGCTCTTTCCACATTCCAAGCACTTATAGGGTTTCTCCCCTGTATGAATTCTTTGATGGGAAGTGAGCTTGGCGCTTTCCCTGAAACTCTGCCCGCATTCTAAGCACTGATAAGGTTTTTCTCTTCTATGAATTCTTTGATGGGAAGTGAGATTATATTTCCAGTTGAAGCTCTGCCCACATTCCAAACACTGATAAGGTTTTTCTCTTGTATGAATTCTTTGATGGGAAGTGAGAGTGGCACTTTGACTAAAGCTCTTTCCACATTCCAAGCACTGAAAAGGTTTCTCCCCTGTATGAATTCTTTGGTGGACCATGAGTTGTTCCCCCCGAATAAACCTCTTTCCACATTCCATGCACTGATAAGGTTTCTCCCCTGTGTGAATTCTTTGATGGGAACTAAGGCTGCACCTGTAACTAAAGCTCTTCCCACATTCCAAGCACTTATATGGTTTCTCCCCTGTATGAATTCTTTCATGGATAGTGAGATGACCCCTCTGATTGAAGCTCTTCCCACAGTCCAAGCACTGGTAGGCTTTCTTCCCAGTGGGAGTCCTTTTTTGGGAACCTGAATGGGGGCTTTGACTAAAGCTCTTTCCACATTCCAAATATTTACTTGGTTTCTCCTCTGTGGGGATTTCATCACGGTCTCCCTTGTTCTTCATTTCTGATTCATCACCATCTGCAGCAAAGAGAGAAATGGATTAGAGCCTCAGCAAGAAATGGAGCCCCCAATTCCTGAAAGTGTTTTCTTTTCTTTTTTGTATTTTCCCCACGCCCTAAATTAAGTTTTTTCTAATAACATGGTTGGTGAAGGTTTGTCGTCTTCCCACTTTGCCATACCAGATTCAAGCATGCCAGCTGTGTTTGACATCGTGACCCTCCAAGTCTAGGAGCTGTGTGTTTTCCAGCAGTATCTAGTCTTTTATCCAACACAGGCAGGCAGCTTCAAAATACAATTCCAAATATGGGAGTGCAGACCCTCCTCTGTCTTTTCTATCAATGAGAATCTTATGTTTTATCCTACGTTTATTCCCCCTCAGAATAAACTTAAACAGGTCTTTTTTGTCAATCTTTTAGGCATCGTGTGTCATTAAGTATTGGGATTGTTTGGAATAAAAATAGAATTTTTGGGAGAATATTATTGCCAAGATTCTCCCCATTGCATTCTGTCTCACGTATCTAAATCTTTTTAATTCCCCCCCAAAAGTTTTCGCATTGATATCATTATGGACAATATGATCCTTTGTCGATACCCACATTCCTAAACACTTCACTTTTTTCTCTATTTCCCAGCCGGTAATTTTCCCTAAATTCATTTTAGCTTGGTTACCCATGTTTTTAACTAACATTTTGGTTTTATCTTTATTTATTTTAAAACCCGCCAATTTTCCAAATTCAATTACCTCCTTTAATAACTCTAATATACCTTCTAGAGGTTCTTCCAGGGTTAAGACAATATCATCTTTTGTTTTATAATTTTGTTTGCCGACTTTTATTCCCCTGTTTTTGTCATTATTCCTAACATTTTGCAGTAATATTTCTAAGGTAAGGATAAATAATAACAGAGAGAGTGGGCACCATTGTCTTTTTCCTTTCCTAATGTTACATTTCTCTGAGACAACATTGTTTATTATCATCTTTGTCCATTGTTCCTTATATAAAGCATTAATGCCTCTTAAGAAGGCATTACCTGGTTCCATCTTCTCCGTTTTTATGATACTTAACTTTTCTCTCTTTTTCGTTTCTGTTGTTTTCTTCTCTATATTTATATTAGTTTGGTTTTTGTTGCATTGTATGTTGAAAGCTTTCAATAATAATAATAATAAAGGACAGAAGCTACGTCCACTTCCATAACCACTCTGAAGCCTGCTTTAAAAAAAGGCCTGGGCAGTTCACACCAGCCTGATCCTTGTTTAAAAAGGCCTAAGTGGTGGAAGAATATTGGCAGGCAAAACATTCAGTAGCCTCCATTCAAGGTAAATTGTGTGGGTGTGAGAATCCCAGATGCTGTAGGTGGCGCTGTCAAAATCCATCAAAATCTGGGAGGTTCACCACATATATGTATGGAATTTCAAAACAGATATTAAGCTTCATCAGACAGCCTTACCCAGAGAGGCCATGATCCCACAATTCTCGACTATAACTTCCCTTTGCAGAGCTCTCTAATCAGGATCCAGCAATGCCCACTGCTCAAGCAGGAAACAAACAGCGACGTCTTCAAAGGACAGTGAACTCTTTAAAAAGAGAGAGAGAAAGGTCTTCCTCTTAACCAGTATGAAGATTATCCTCTATGAATTGTGGGGAGTTTTTTCGTTTCCTGCCTGTTAAGTACCGCCCTGTTTTAATGGGATTGTTTTGCTTCTTTTAACATCTTAATGTAATTATTTTATTGTCTGTTGTGTGCATGGTTCTCCTAATGCCCCAAGGTGAACTTCAAGGAGCACATGCGGGACAATGTGCAGATGCTGGGGAAACAGATGGGGCTGGTTAGGCGAATCCTGGTTAGGCCTGGATGCGCACCAGTGGGACATGGGGCTTGCTCAGCTGGGGAGCGAGAAGACCCAAAGAAGCCCTCCTGCCCCCCAGCTGAGCCTCACCAGTCCCCCTTGCCTGTCTCAAGGCAGTGGGTGAGAGTTCGCCCGCCTGCCTCACCCATTGCTGCTTTGAAATGGGCTCCTTTCCAATATTGTGATATATCGCCCTAGTGTGGTGTTTAGCTGGCGGTACCTTAGATGTTGAAAAGCAGTTATGGCCCAACCTTAGTCCTGGTTACTGTGGGGTTTTTTAATGGTTGGTAAACTGTTGAGAAGCGTATTTTAGGATTTCACAATAAATAGACAAATAAGGCTGCAACGATTGATAAATAACGGTAATGACATTCAGAAGGAGAATTAAGGTGAGGTGGAGGTTGCTTATTCTTAGCACGTAAACCTTCTTCAATAACATTGTCAGTCTTTGTTAAGGGCTGTTTTGACAGAAGCCAAGAGGAAGAGGCGAGAGATTCCTGGGACTCCAGAGGCCCCCTGGCTGCCCCACCCCTCCGCCTCTTTCCCCACAAAACCGCTTTCCCCTACCTGAGCTGGTTCCAGAAAAGATGGATGAGGAGGTCTTGCTGGCTATCTCCTGTCACCTGCGAGAGACAAAGGTAAGTGGGAAGCCAGGAGTGCATGACGCTTCTCTCAAGACGTGATACACTGCCTTTCTAACTAAAGATGGACCTTAGAGAAAGTACAGATGTCACTCAGGAATTTCCAGAGGGACAAATGTAAGATTCTTCACTTAGGCAGGGGGAACCAGCTACCCAAGTGTAAGATGGAGAACATAGGGGGTTTTGTAGATTGTAGGCTGCATCCACAGACGTCTAGAGTCCAGATCAAGGGAATTCACAGCACCACTCTCTTCTGCCCTGGGCAGACCCCTCCTGGAGTTGTGGGCCCCACAATTTAGGAAGGACATTGGCAAGCTGGGAGGTGTTCAAAGGAGGGCGACCAGGGTGATCGGGCTGCCCCACCCCTCCGCCTCTTCCCCCACAAGGCTCCTGCCCCCAACCTGAGCTGCTGCCACAGCTGCTGCTGCTCCTCCGCCCCCAAGATGGATGAGGAACCTTCCCCCTCCCTGAACGGTTCCACCTTTGACCGTGCATGGGGGAGGGGGGTCCCACGCTGCATGGATTGGGAAGACCCCCAACGCACCCTCTGGCGAAGGGAGGGGAGGCTCACCAGATCCCAGAGGAGAGCGGGCAGATCCCTTCCTCTCGAGCAAGGAAGGCGCTGCGGAGGGCGGGGCTTGGGCTCGGGAGGACCAGCCTGCTTCCCCTTCTTTTCCTGTCTGATCTAGGAATGCAGCTCCGCTCCTCTTAACCCTTGGCCTGCCGTGCACCCCTTCTCTCCCTCTCCAAAGCAGGAGCCTCGCCATCCCTGCCAGGGAGGATTTGGGGGCCCCTCTTGGCTGGCGAGCTGAGCTGCTCCCTCCCTTGGAAACGGCAGCAGGAGGGGCAGCTGGAAGGGGGAAACCCCAATGGGGAATCGGGGGGGGGTTGGGGGATCCCCAGGGTCATCTAGTCGCACCTCCTCCTGCAATGCAGGAATCTCAGCTGAAGCATCCACGACGGATTGTCATCTGTTTAAAGACCTCCAAGGAAGGAGAGTCCGTCAGCTTCCAAGGGAGTCCCAGTAATTCGTGGAATCTCCTTTTCTGTCCTTTTAATCCTTTGGTCCAGGGGGATGGATGTGCAAATGGACTCCAGCTACAGCAGCTGAGACTGCGGATGAGGACAGAGACCATCCTGGCTGTGAGTCCTCTAAGACCTTCTCCTGCCTTGCAGGCCTTTTCCCACGTGGTCTAGCAGAGTCCAGACTGACTCCAGCTACAAAAGCTGAGGCTGCTGAACAGAGACTTGGGTTTAGCAGGTTTGGGGGTGGGGTTGTAGCTGTTTGTATATTTTAGAACTTCTCGTGATTTAGGCGGGTATTCTTCAGTCTGGTTGTGTATTCTAAAGTTTTATTTATTGTTTATGACTACTTTGCCATTTAATTTATTACATTCGTATAATGACTTTCACCAGAAGATCTCAGAGTGCTTCACAGCATAAAAATACAAAATAAAAACACAAAATACATAATAAAAGCAAGAATCAATACAAAAGAATAACCATCTTCCCACAAACACATTTGAAAAGACATACAGTGGTACCTTGGTTCTCAAACGCCTTGGTCCTCAAACAACTTGGAACCCACAAGGAAGGAAGTGTTCCGGTTTGTGAACATTTTTCGGAAGCCAAACATGCTCTGTTTCGAGCGTTACGCTTCTGATTTGAGTGCCCCACTTCCATTTTGAGTTCCCCAGTTTCATTTTGAGTGTTATGCTGAGGTCTGTCCTGTTTTTGCTATTTATTTTTGCGGCTCTTTTTTGTGGGTGTGACTGTGTGGAACCCAGTTCAGTTACTGATTGATTGTGTGACTGCAGTACACGATTTATTGCTTTCATTTTATGGATCAATGGTGTCACTAGTAGGAAAATTCATGTTAAATTGCTGTTTTCGCTTGTTGTTTTTTTAAGTCTGCAACAGATTAATCCACTTTGCATTACTTTCTATGGGAAAGTGCATCTTGGTTTTGGAATGCTTTGGTTTGGGAACGGACTTCCAGAATGGATAAAGTTTGAGAACCAAGGTACTACTGTAGATGGTTACTCACCCTTTCTGCCCCCCTAGCTAACAGTACCTTAAATGCACCACTATATTATTGTTTTGACACATGTGTACAGAACTTTTAAGTACAAGGACCTGTACCTAAACGTGAAGCGAAAGTGCACACATGCACAATTTCTGAGTCTTATGACAGAGCTAGTGTGGTATAGTGGTTAGAGTGTCAGAGTATGACTTGGCAGACCTGGGTTCAAATTCCTACTTGGCCCTGATGCTCACCAGGTGTCCTTGGGGACCAGGCACTGCTTCACATTCTGACCAACCTCACAAGGTTATTGTTAGTATTAAAAGAAGAGGGGGAGAACCTTGGGGGGAAAGGGGATATTTGAATGCAATAAATGAATTTCAGTAGGGACAAATATCAGGTTCTGCACATAGGAAGGAATAACATGCATATACAGTGGTACCTTGAGTTACAGACGCTTCAGGTTACAGACTCCGCTTACCCAGAAATATTACCTCGGGTTAAGAACTTTGCTTCAAGATGAGAACAGAAATCGTGCAGCGGCAGCAGCGGGAGGCCCCATTAGCTAAAGTGGTACCTCAGGTTAAGAACAGTTTCAGGTTAAGAACAGACCTCTAGAACGAATTAAGTTCTTAACCCGAGGTACAGTGGTGCCTCGCAAGACGAAATTAATCCGTTCTGCGAGAGTCTTCGTCTAGCGGTTTTTTGTCTTGCGAAGCAACCCTATTAGCGGCTTAACGGATTAGCGCTATTAGCGGTTTAGCGGCTATTAAAGGCTTAAAGGCTTAGCGGATTAGCTGCTAAAAGGCTATTAAAGGCTATTAAAGGCTTAGCAGATTAGATAAAGGGGGAAGCGAAAAAACCCTCAAGACTCGCAAGACATTTTCGTCTTGCGAAGCAAGCCCATAGGGAAATTCGTCCTGCGAAGCAACTCAAAAACGGAAAACCCTTTCGTCTAGCGGGTTTTCCGTCTTGCGAGGCATTCGTCTTGCAGGGCACCACTGTACCACTGTATTGGAAAATGATCAAGGGCTCTCAGTAGGCCACAAGCTTGTAGTGAGTCAACAGTGAGATGCAGCAGCAAAATAAAAAGCTGATGCCATTCTAGGCTGCATCAACACAGAATCATAGAATCATACAGTTGGAAGGAACCCCAAGGGTCTTCCACTCCAACCCCCCGCAATGCAGGAATGTTGTGTTGCACACATTCTGTCTCCACAGTGGCTTTGATGCTTCTGGGGCCAAACCTTTTGAACCAGAGTTCTGGATCTGCTTCATCCCTGACAAGCTGGAATGGGTGCAGAGGAGGGAGACCAAGGGGATCAAGGTTCTGGAAACCAAGACTTTGGAGAAATGGTTGAGGGAGCCGGGATGTTTATTATGGAGAAAAGGAGATGGAGAAGGAGATGTGATAGACATCTTCCAACATCGAAAGGGCTGTGCCATGGAAGAGTGAGCAAACTTGCTTTTTTCTGTTCCGGTGGAAGGACACAGCAATGCATTCAAGATACAAGTAGGGGAATCTGATGAAACATCGGGAAAAACTTTCTGACAGCAAGAACTGTTTGACTGTGGAACAAAAAAGTTCAGGTGGTCGTGGACTCTTCTTGAATTGAAGGATTTTAAGAAAAGGTTGGGTGGCCATCTGTTATGAATTCTTTTGTTGAATATCCTTCACTGCAGGGGGTTGGAGAAGATGACTCACCATACAATCCAATGATTCAAGGGGATTCTGATTCTCCCTGCTGTGAGTTCTTTGATGGGAAGTGAGAAAGGACTCCTGACTAAAACTCTCTCCACATTCCAAGCATTTATGTGGACTCTCTCCCAGATATGAGTTCTTTGATGGGAAGTGAGACTTCCTTTCTGAGTGAATCTTTCCACAATGCAAGCACTGATAGGGTTTCTCCCTTGTATGGATTTTTTGATGGGAAGTTACATAGGCCTTTGAACTGAAGCTCTTCCCGCATTCCAAGCACTGAAACGGTTTCTCCCCTGTATGAATTATTTGATGGGTAGTGAGATGGGACCTCTGACTGAAGCGCTTTCCACATTCCAAGCACTGATATGGTTTCTCCCTTGTATGAATTCTCTCATGGATAGTGAGATGGGACCTCTGATTGAAGCTCTTCCCACAGTGCAAGCACTGGTAGGGTTTCTCCCTTGTATGAATTCTTTGATGGGAAGTGACATAGGCCTTCTTACTGAAGCTCTTCCCACATTCCAAGCACTGATAAGGTTTCTCTCCTTTATGACTCATTTGATGGGCCGTGAGATGGGCCCTCTGACGGAAGCTCTTCCCACATTCCAAGCACTGATGCTTTTTCTTCCCAGTAGGACTTCTTGTATGGGATGAAGAATGAGAGCTCTCTCCACACTCCACATATTGATAGGGGTTCTCCACTGTGTGGATTTTGTCATGGATTCGCTGGTTCTTAATTTCTAATTCATCACCACCTGCAACAAAGAGATACGGATTTTCAACATCTATATGCAGCCGCTGGGAGAGATCATCAGGGGGTTTGGGCTGGGTGTTCATCAGTATGCAGATGACACCCAGCTCTACCTCTCTTTCAAATCAGAACCAGTGAAGGCGGTGAAGGTCCTGTGTGAGTGTCTAGAGGCGGTTGGAGGATGGTTGGCGGCTAACAGATTGAGGTTGAATCCTGACAAGACAGAAGTACTCTTTTGGGGGACAGGAGGCGGGCGGGTGTGGAGGACTCTCTGGTCCTGAATGGGCTAACTGTGCCCCTGAAGGACCAGGTGCGCAGCCTGGGAGTCATTTTGGATTCTCAGCTTTCCATGGAGGTGCAGGTTAATTCTGTGTCCAGGGCAGCTGTTTATCAGCTCCATCTGGTACGCAGGCTGAGACCCTACCTGCCCGCCTGTGTACTGTCTGGCCAGAGCGGTGCATGCTCTAGTTATCTCTCGCTTAGACTACTGCAATGCGCTCTATGTGGGGCTACCATTGAAGGTGACCCAGAAAGACAAACAGGTCAAATCACTGATGATACATTGAGCAATGGATATATGATATAACATTGAAATGGCAGCATGGGAAATATTGTGGAATGGAGAACTGAAATTTACAGCATGTTATGAGTTAAAAGAACACTATAGGAAAATGATGTATCAATGGCATTTGACTCCTAGTAACTTAGCTAAAATGTACAAGACCAAATCAAATGCCTACTGGGAATGTCAAGTGAAGGAAGGTACCTTTTTCACATGTTGTGTTCTTGTAAAATAGTAAAAGTCTTTGGGGAAATGATTTATAATGAGTTGAAAAAAATGGTGAAAATAACCTTTTTTAAAAACTGGAAGCTTCCCTTTCAGGTATAAGAGGGAGAAGGTACGCAAAGATGAGGGGGGAAACCTGTTTATGTATGCTACCACAGCTGCCTGAACGGTATAGGCCCAAAGATGGAAAGAAAAAGCAGTACCAACAAAAGAAGATTGGCAATTAAAAAAGGCTCCCTTTACCTTTTATAAGAATGAAGCCTCCTTTTAAAAGGTTTGGGCAGTTCAGACCAGCCTGATCTCTGTTTAAGGTAAAGGGACTCCTGACAATTAAGATCTCTGTTTAGAAAGGCACAATTGGAGGAAGTATATTCCCAGACCAAACAGTCCTCCATTCAAGGTGACTTGTTGGAAGCCCAGCTGCTGAAGGCAGCGCTATTGAGTTCCATCACAATAGAGATATATGTATGGAATTGCAAAACAGATCTCATGATCCAACTAGGAGCCTTACTGAGAGAGGCCAGGATACCACGATTCTCCTCTGTAACCTCCTTATGCAGAGCTCTCTGGGCAGGATCCAGCAACGCCCACTCCTCAGCCGTAAAACAAACAGCAACATCTTCAAAAGAACCTGAGTTCTGAAAGAATAATATCCTTCTCTTAGGCAGCATAAAAATCATTTCCTGCACGTTGCTCTTTTGCTTCGTGCCTGGATTGTTTAAAACAGATTGATCTGCCACACATTCTGATTATTTATGCTTATTTTAAAGCTTTAATGGAGTTCTTTCATAGTGTATTTTAATGATGGGTATGAATCTTAGTGAAAATGGGTGGAACTCCACATTGTTTTATTCAAATCAATTTGTCTGTGCAAGCTTTTCAGTTTGCCAAATGGAAAAATTCCTCTCTCCTCTCCCTGCGTGTTGCTCTGGGATGGAAAGACTCTCCAGATGTCCTAAAGACAATTTATAATGAATAATTCTAGTGACAAGAGGAGGGGAGAGATTTGTTCTGTCTAAGAATCCCCTGTCCCCCCTCATTCTTCCCCCCCCCCCCAAGGCTCCTTCCCCGCACCTGATCCGGTTCCTCAGCTGCTGCTTCCCCTCCACCAGGATGAAGAGATGGAGGAGGAGGTCTTGCCGGCATCCTTCTTTCACCTGTGAGAGACAAAGGGAAGTGGGGAGACAGGAGTGCAGGATGCTTCTCTCAGAGGTGCATTTGGGAGTTTGTCCCCATTTCATATTTTAGTTATGCTAAAGTACATCTCTCCTTTGGGTTCTTGGCCCAAGTGTCTTCCCCAAAATATTGAATGAACCCGCAGATTAGTTTGAGAATTGCCAGAATGTGACCACACAGAGGAAAAACTCCTTCCTCCTTACCCAGCAGCCTCTCTCTGGTGTCCAATGAAGTCCTCTCTGCCTCAGAGGAATCAGGACCCATTTCTGCCGACAGACCCCTTTCCTGAAAAAGCAACAAGAATTTGTAATAGAGAATGTGGCAAAGGGATTGAGAAGGAATGGCTGGGGCAAAAACTTGAGGGGTATCCAAAGTCATTCCAAAAAAAGGATGGGATTTAGGGATCTTCTCCCTCCTGTTTGGAGCCCCTTGGGAGCATCCAGAGGAAAGTCTCTCTCACCTGCTTCTCCGCCTGCTTCCTCTCCTCCGCCTGACTCAGGAGGAAACCTTCGGCCAGGGCCACTGCCTGGGAACTGGTCTCCGCTCCGCATTCCCTCACCCAGCTCTCCATCTCCGCTGGAAGGACAGCCAGGAACTGCTCCAAGATCACCAGGTCCAGCATCTCAGCTTTCGTGTGCCTTTCTGGCTTCAGCCACTGGCGGCAAAGGTGGTGGAGTCGGCTGCAAACCTCACGGGGTCCTTTGACTTGCAGATAGCAGAACCAGCTGAACTGCCGGCTCTGCACCTCTGAGCGAAGGGTGTCCTCCTCACCCAGGATCTTCTGCACAGAGCTTTCCCAGAATCCTGCACTGCTCCCCGTTTCCATGGCCTGGCGTCTTCCTGCTTCAAGGCCAGCTGAGTCTTACTCATCCATCTTCGCTCTCGGGAAGCCTCCAAGAGACAGGAAGGATCCCCTTGGTCCTCTGCCAAGTTCTGTTCGTCCAAATTAGAGGCGCTAGAAAATCCAACAAAGAAAAAACCTTGTTCTGTTATAAAATCACAATACGGACAAGAGGAGAAAAATATTCCCTGAGCAAGCGAGGATGAGTCTCGCTAGGAACCAAGGCTGGACTGCAGCACTGGCCGGACTTTGAGCTTTGCTTAAGAAGAGAAAGGAGAAGTAATGCTCTTGCCCTCCTAGAAGGAAAATGACCATCCCAGATGTGCAGGGAAGTGAAGGGATTTCTGTGAAATGAATCCTGCCTTAAGGAAACTGAAGGTACATTCTTTCACCTTTGGTGGACGTGCCAAAGGATTAAGGCTTTCTGGGAGATAATTTATAATGAAATGAAAAGGGTATTTAAATATACCTTTCTGAAGAAACCAGAGGCCTTTCTCCTGGGCATGGTCGGCCAAATGGTGCCAAAGAAGGATAGAACTTTCTTTATGTATGCCACAACAGCAGCAAGAATACTTATTGCAAAGTATTGGAAGACACAAGATCTACCCACTCTGGAAGAATGGCAGATGAAGGTGATGGACTACATGGAATTGGCGGAAATGACTGGCATAATCCGAGACCAGGGAGAAGAGTCGGTGGAAGAAGATTGGAAGAAATTTAAAGACTATTTACAGAAATATTGCAAAATTAATGAATGTTAGAATGATGTCAGAATGAAGTTAAGTGGTTTAAGCAGCAATGTTATAAAGGTGTATGAAAAATGGATTATTAACAGGTGAGAACTCAAAGTTATAATATATTAAGTTAAAGGATTAAGATAAAAACAAAGAGGGAAATAACTTGCTGAATTAACTAACTGAATTGGAATACAAAAAAGGGAGGTGTGAGGAGGTCAGGGAAGCAAGGATATGAATATATGACATGGAAAGATTGATGTGTTTTCTTTTTAAATGTTTTTTATCTTTTTTCTGTATTTTGTATTTTTTTATTTTTATTTTTGTCTTCTCTTCTTTTCTTTTTATTTATGTAATTTTTTTTCTCCTTTGAAACCTTAATAAATATCATTAAAAAAAAAGATCCTGCCTGTCAGTGTTTGCAGTCAAGGAATAAAGTCAGAACGGCGATTGACAAGTGAGTCATTCATACCAAGTGTAACATGGAAACCAGGCTATAGCGAGGAGTTCCCACCTCCTCAAGACAAACTACTGAGATGGGGTCCTTTTTCCCTTGTTCTGAGGGCCAGATCCTCATCTGGGAAATGCCCTGAGGGCCAAGTGGGTGAGGCCCAAGGACAGAACCCAGAAGCAGGTAAAGTAGGACCTACCTTCTTTCTGTGATTGCAACTGTTTTCAAGGTTGTGTTTTAATCCGGGAATTTGCCCTGGGAATTCAGGAGGGTGGCTGTGTCCTTCATAATGTGACACAGCGCAACCCCCACATCTGCGTGGGGTACTTCTGGATCCAACATAGTCCCTTGAGTGTCCACTTCAACATCCCACTAGTGTGCCAGCCTCAGTCCCTTTGTGGCCAGGGGACTCCACGCTCTGCTTCTGGTGGGATATTTGCAATGCCCTCCATGCGAAGCTGCGCTTGAAGATGACTCGGAAAGCGATGGAAAGCAGGGACCAAATTATGGGCTGGTTTCCCTCTCTTTATTCACGGCATTTCTATCCACCTTTCCCCCCATGAACTCCAAAAGGCAGCCATGGGTCTCGCTCATCCGTATCCTGACCAGCATTTGAGTGGCGATTCCTGCATTGCTCATCTTTGGCCTAGGTGACTCTCGTAGTTCCCTCCCCACCCTAGAATTCTGAAATTCAATTCAACCCCCCCCCCCGGATTCTTTGCAGAGAGGACCCTCTGCTCCCGGATTTGGGGGGGTCTCCCTGCACCCTCCCCTTCCCCCCAAAGCACCCCAGGCAAGAAGAGAGACTCACTCGATGCCGGAGGCGCCTCCGAGGAGACAACAGCTGCCTCTTGACAGGAAGGGGCTGGGGAGGGCGGGGCTTGGACACCTTCATTTCTGGTCCTCTCTAGGAATCCAGCTCAGCTCCTCTTAACCCGGCTGAAAGACCCAGATGAAATCTCATTGGAACAAATCTCGCGGCCACATTTCACGAGCCATTTCCTCCGCGGGTTCTTGTCTCTCTTCTTCTCTTTGCCTGCCCCTTCCTTCTGCCCCAGCAATGAGAGCTCAGCGCCCCCTCAGAGCAGCCCCACTTTCAAGGCAGTTCCAGAAAGCGGCAATACTAAGCAGTGGGTCGGGGGTGGGGGAGAGAGATGGACAGCTGAGGCCGGGCCGAGTCTGGAGCTGCAGTCCCTCAGAAACGCCACCAGGGGGCTGGAACTTCTCTCTCTGATTGGCTATCCAGACAGACAGAGGCGGGGGCGGAGCCAGCCCTTTTGGCGGGAAGATGAGGAGCCTTTTCTGAGGGAGTTTTGAGGCTGGAGCTGAGATGGGAGGAAGGGAGGAGGAGGAGGAGAGGCTGAGTCTGAGGGAGAAGTGGCTCTGGCCTGAGGAGAATCTCGGGGGCCAGAAGAAGGAGAGAGGAAGAGGGGCTGAGTCGGGGGGGGGGGAGAAGAGGGCCGAGGGATCCCCTGGGTCTGGCGCACAAAGTAAAACGCCTCAGGAGGGGCATTGCTGTGAGAGAGGGAGGCTGAGGGAAAGGAACCTGGTCTGGGTCAAAAGGATTGAACTGCCACACCTCCATAACGAAGGAAAGGAGTGAGAGAAAAGTAACAGAAACCGAAATGAGCATTTTCCCACCTTGTCTAGAAACAGGAACATCTGTTTACCTGAAGTGTAACAGCTCATTTTAGCAACTGAAGTTTAAGGAAAGGTGTGCCTATGCTACTTGTCAGGGAACTGCCATCAGTGCCAGAGGGAGAGAGCAAAATCCAGAGGGATTCCGGAGAGCGTCCCGGGAGTGGGAGAGGCAGCCCATCTTCTGGGGAAGAGAATCAGCGTAACACCAGTGGAGAAGGGGGGCAGATGGGGGGAGCAGCGAGGCGGTCCCATGACTCCTTGCCGGGGACCAGCGGGGAGAGTAGAGGTCCTCCGCTGCCTACGCCCTCCTTGCGCAGAAGGCTTTCGCGCAGAGAGAGTAGGAGGAGACTAGGCATCAAAGAGCTGCTTTGCTGGAAGAAGTTTAAGAAACGCCCACTGACGGATTGAGACAGCGATTGAGACAGCCACGGGTGAGTGGCTGTCCGGACAGAAAAGGTTCACTCAGGCAACCCAGCCAGGTGTTTGCACCTGCTTACGCACGAGCAACCCCTAGAACCACTACACTACTGGACTACCTTATAGGAATGTTATAGAAGTTTCTTTTTATGAAGCACTTTGAAAAACGCTTCAGAATGTACCATGCGGAGGTTGTTTCTCTCCCCATGTTGCGCCCACCCCCTCCTGCTCCCTCTTCCCTCTGCATTCAAGGGGCACAGCTGGGCCTTTCACCAAACACCCCTTTATTCCCACTGCCACCCCAGAACTCTGACCTGAACACTTCACCCCCAACGTAGCAAAGAATGAGGTGTGAGATGGAGTACAACTGATGTATTTAAAAGTTTGATAGCTCAAAATAACTTGGTCTAGATAAGTTAGGGCTGCCATAAGTCCAGATTTTCCTGGAGCTTAGCTAAATCAATAAAAAAATCATGTTATTTTGGCATTGTCATAAAATGAGGGGAGGTGTCCTTTAAAAAGCACAACAATGTTAGGGTCTTCCTAAAAATTGCTCAACAGCTTTCAGGGTGTCCTGGATTTTACTTTTTGAAATATGGCAACCCTAACATAAGTGTATGGTTTCAAATCTTCCAGGTTTTTTTCCTTTCTTTTCTTACTTTATTACTATTGTAAAAATGGATATTACAAGGGTATTCCCATAGTACTGAGTTCAACCTCCAACTGTTTCCTTGCAGGCTTTCTCCACCAGCCTGAGGCCCGGCCCCCTCATCCTGGCTGTGAGTCTCCTTTTCTGTCCTTTTAATCCTTTGGTCCAGGGTGATGGATGTACAAATGGACTCCAGCTACAGCAGCTGAGACTGCGGATGAGGACAGAGACCATCCTGGCTGTGAGTCCTCTAAGACCTTCTCCTGCCTTGCAGGCCTTTCCCTATGTGGCCTAGCAGAGTCCAGACTGACTCCAGCTACAAAAGCTGAGGCTGCTGAACAGAGACTTGGGTTTAGCAGGTTTGGGGGTGGGGTTGTAGCTGTAGGTTTTTGTATATTTTAGAACTTCTCGTGATTTAGGCAGGTATTCTTCAGTCTGGTTTTGTATTCTAAAGTTTTATTTATTGTTTATGACTACTTTGCCATTTAATTTATTACATTCGTATAATGACTTTCACCAGAAGATCTCAGAGTGCTTCACAGCATAAAAATACAAAATAAAAACACAAAATACATAATAAAAGCAAGAATCAATACAAAAGAATAACCATCTTCCCACAAACAAATTTGAAAAGACATACAGTGGTACCTTGGTTCTCAAACACCTTGGTCCTCAAACAACTTGGAACCCACAAGGAAGGAAGTGTTCCGGTTTGTGAACATCTTTCGGAAGCCAAACATGCTCTGTTTCGAGCGTTACGCTTCTGATTTGAGTGCCCCACTTCCATTTTGAGTTCCCCAGTTTCATTTTGAGTGTTATGCTGAGGTCTGTCCTGTTTTTGCTATTTATTTTTGCGGCTTTTTTGTGTGTGTTTTAGGGGTTGTTTTTAAAAGTCTGAAATGGATTAATCCACTTTGCATTACTTTCTATGGGAAAGCGCATCTTGGTTTTGGAATGCTTTGGTTTGGGAATGGACTTCCAGAGCGGATAAAGTTTGAGAACCAAGGTACCACTGTAGATGGTTACTCACCCTTTCTGCCCCCCTAGCTAACAGTACCTTAAATGCACCACTATATTATTGTTTTGATACATGTGTACAGAACTTTTAAGTACAAGGACCGGAACACTGTGCCTAAACATGAAGCAGAAGCGCATGAATGCACAATTTCTGAGTCTTATGACAGAGCTAGTGTGGTATAGTGGTTAGAGTGTCAGAGTATGACTTGGCAGACCTGGGTTCAAATTCCTGCTCGGCCCTGATGCTCACCAGGTGTCCTTGGGGACCAGGCACTGCTTCACATTCTGACCAACCTCACAAGGTTATTGTTAGTATTAAAAGAAGAGGGGGAGAACCTTGGGGGGAAAGGGGATATTTGAATGCAATAAATGAATTTCAGTAGGGACAAATATCAGGTTCTGCACATAGGAAGGAATAACATTCATATACAGTGGTACCTTGAGTTACAGACGCTTCAGGTTACAGACTCTGCTTACCCAGAAATATTACCTCAGGTTAAGAACTTTGCTTCAAGATGAGAACAGAAATCGTGCAGCGGCAGCAGCGGGAGGCCCCATTAGCTAAAGTGGTACCTCAGGTTAAGAACAGTTTCAGGTTAAGAACAGACTTCTAGAACGAATTAAGTTCTTAACCCGAGGTACCACTGTATTGGAAAATGATCAAGGGCTCTCAGTAGGCCACAAGCTTGTAGTGAGTCAACAGTGAGATGCAGCAGCAAAATAAAAAGCTGATGCCATTCTAGGCTGCATCAACACAGAATCATAGACTCATACAGTTGGCAGGAACCCCAAGGGTCTTCCACTCCAACCCCCCGCAATGCAGGAATGTTGTGTTGTACACATTCTGTCTCCACAATGGCTTTGATGCTTCTGGGGCCAAACCTTTTGAACTAGAGTTCTGGATCTGCTTCATCCCTGACAAGCTGGAATGGGTGCAGAGGAGGGAGACCAAGGGGATCAAGGTTCTGGAAACCAAGACTTTGGAGTAACGGTTGAGGGAGCTGGGATGTTTATTATGGAGAAAAGGAGATGGAGAAGGAGATGTGATAGACATCTTACAATATCTAAAGGGTTGTGCCATAGAAGATTGAGCAAACTTGCTTCTTCCTGTTCTGGTGTAAGGAGGACCCAAACCAATGCATTCAAGATACAAGTAAGGAAAATCTGATGAAACATCAGGAAGAACTTTCTGACAGCAAGAACTGTTTGACTGTGGAACAAACAAGTACAGGACTATTCTTGAATTGAAGGATTTTAAGAAAAGGTTGGGTGGCCATCTGTTATGAATTCTTTTGTTGAATATCCTTCATTGCAGGGGGTTGGAGAAGACGACTCTCACCGTCCAATCCAATGCAACAATCCAATGATTCTTGGGGAATCTGATTCTCCCTGCTGTGAGTTCTTTGATGGGAAGTGAGAAAGGACTCCTGACTAAAACTCTTTCCACATTCCAAGCATTTATACGGTCTCTCCATTGTATGAATTATTTGATGGGAAATGAGATAAGAGTCCTGACTAAAAGTCCTTCCACATTCCAAGCATTTGTGTGGGCTCACCCAGGAATGAGTTCTTTGATGGGAAGTGAGACTTCCTTTCTGAGTGAATCTCATTCCACATTCCAAGCACTGATAGGGTTTCTCCCCTGTATGAGTTCTTTGGTGGAAAGTGAAAGAGTCACTCCGAGAGAAGCGCTTTCCACATTCCAAGCACTGAAATGGTTTCTCCCCTGTATGAATTATTTGATGGGCAGTGAGTTTGATGCTTTCACTGAAGCTCTTTCCACATTCCAAGCACTGAAAAGGTTTTGTATGAATTCTTTGATGGGAAGTGAGATTATATTTCCAGTCAAAGCTCTTTCCACATTCCCAGCACTTATATGGTTTCTCCCTTGTATGGATTTTTTGATGGGAAGTGACATAGGCCTTTGTACTGAAGCGTTTCCCGCATTCCAAGCACTGATAAGGTTTCTCTCCTTTATGAATTCTTTGATGGGTAGTGAGATTTTGTTTCATGTTGAAGCTCTTTCCACATTCCAAGCACTGATAGGGTTTCTCCCCTGTGTGAATTCTTTGATGGGCCGTGAGATGGGACCTCTGGTGGAAGCTCTTCCCACATTCCAAGCACTGATACGTTTTCTTCCCAACGGGATTTCTTGGATGGGATGAGGAATGAGAGCTCTCTCCACACTCTACATATTGATATGGGTTCTCCACTGCGTGGATTTTGTCATGGATTCGCTGGTTCTTAATTTCTAATTCATCACCACCTGCAGCAAAGAGAGGAACAGATCAGAGCCTAAGAAAGAAATGGAGTTCCCAGTGTTCGAAAACCAAGGTTCAGCTTCCGATTGGCTGCAGGCGCTTTCTGCACTCAAGCAGAAGCCACGTCGAACGTTTGGCTTCTGAAAAATGTTCGCAAACTGGAACACTTCCGGGTTTGCAGCGTTCGGTAGCTGATTTGTTTGGCGACTAAGCCATTTGAGAACCAAGTTACCACTGTTTATTATGCCTTTACTGGTTAAAGGAGTGGTTAACATTGAGAACTGTTCAGATTTTGTAGTTAGAAGAGCATGATCATAAATTGGGCTGGTACGCATATTTGTGGGATGGAAAAGCTGAAAGGCATAAAGCTTTCATGAATCATGTTATTAGGAAAAACATATATATAGTTTGGGATAAATGTAAAAACTTGCTGGGAAATAGAAACCATAATGGCAAAATATTATTAGAATGGTAGAGAAAACACGAACAGGTCAAATCGCTGATGATACATTGAGCAGCGGATATATGATATAACATTAAAATGGCAGCATGGGAAAGATTGTGGAATGGAGAATTGAAATTTACAGCATGTTATGAGTTAAAAGAAAATGATGTATAGATGGTATTTGACTCCTAGTAACTTAGCTAAAATGTACAAGACCAAATCCAATGCCTGCTGGGAATGTCAAGTGAAGGAAGGTACCTTTTTCACATGTTCGTGTAAGATAGTAAAAATCTTCGGGGAAATGATTTATAACGAGTTGAAAAAAATGCTGAAAATAATCTTTGTTAAAAACCCGGAAGCTTCCCTTTCAGGTATAATGGGAGGAAGGTACCTGTCAGGGAACTGACCTCGGAGCTAGAGGCGGAGGGAAGGCTCTCAAATGATGCTGGAGAAGGGCCCAGGAGGGAGAGAGGCAGCTCAGCAGATGGGGAAGCAATTCAGCGCAACACCAGGAATAAGGAGGGGCAGATGGGGGAATCGGCGAGAGGGCTCCAGGACTCTTCACCGGACACCAGCGGGGAGAGCACGGGTCCTCCGCTACCCACGCCCTCCCTGCGCAGAAGACGTCCACGCAGGGAGAGTAGGAGGAGACTGGGTGTCAAACAACTTTTATGTTGGAAGAGGTTTAAGAAACGCCCACTGACGGATTCTGCTAGCGACAGAGGCAGCCACGAAGTGAAGGGCTGTCCAGACAGAAACGTTTAACAAGGCAATATAGCCAGGAGAGGCGGCAACTTACGCACGAGCAACCCATACTCATTACAGCAATCCGTCAGTCCCTGACGTCGCTCGTGCACAGCGACAGGCAGGCAGCATCATGAGCAAGACCGGAGAAGCTGGCGCCACGGAGGGAGCAGCTGGAGTGCAAAATCTGGTGGAGAGGAACCGAGATTTGGAACAGCATGTGGCTCTTCTGACGGCGCGGCTGGACGAAAGGCGGGCTCAGGATGCTCAGGTCAGACCCACCCCCGTAGCAAGGAAGGTACCGGGACTGGTACACAAGTTTGGAGGGAAACCCCAGGACTACAGTGCGTTCCGAATGGAAATAGAGTACGCTTTGGAACTGCAACAGAATGATTTTGCAGACGATGGGGAGAGGGTTGCCTATATTGTCGGACATCTGCAGGATGGGGCCAGAGAATGGATCAGGCCGCTAATGGCAACGCAGAATGCCGCCTTGAAAGACCTGAGGAAATTCTTCCAGGCGATGGATGCGATGTATTCCAGTGATGTACAGCAAAGTGTGACTCGGCGGGAACTGATGGGCTGCAAACAGGGGAACCAGTCAGTTAGAGACTACTGGTCACGCTTTGCCATGTTAGTCCACCGGCTCGGGTGGGAATTGGACCCTGAACCCATTCAAATGCTGTTCGAGGAGGGGTTGTCCCCAACGGTGAAGGACGAGCTTTCCCGCGCACCCCGCCCGCAGTCGATGGATCAGCTGACCAAGGCTGTGCTTGCGATTGGTGTAAGGCAGGAAGCGCGGGCCCAGGAGAAGCGGGAAGGGAGAGAGCAACGTTACCATGACTACCGCATTCCTGAAATACCAAGGCAGCCTTCCCCGCCGGCAGAGCCAATGGAAATAGATGGGGCGCGCGCGCGGGAGATTTCGAACTCAAGTGAAGGTCGCAAGAGGGAGGGAAAGGATGGGAAAACCACCAAGAAGTGTTTTCTCTGCCAGTGACCAGGACATTTTGCCAGGGTCTGCCCGCAAAGAAAGGCCTGGCAAGGGATGGTGGGAGCTGCAGGGGGTGAGGAGGAGATGGTAAAGGGGCAGGAGCAGGGAAACGCCAACGCTTGGCTGCCACTCAGCGGGCACAGCAGCCAGGCCAGCAACCAAGAGAAGTGCCCCAACCAGACCCCCCCAGGGCGGCTATAGCCATAGAAGTGGTGCTAGAACTCCCAAATGGGCACCCAGTCAAGGTGAAAGGGCTGTTGGATTCAGGCAGTTCCTGCAATTTCTTCAGCAAGGACTTTGCACTAGAGCACCAGCTCCACCTGCTGCCCCTGGCTTTCCCCTTGCAAGTAACCACCATTGATGGCAGGGAGCTTCTGGGAGGGGAAGTGACGCACCAGACCCCACCAATGAGAATGAGGGTTTCCAGGCACACGGAGACCATCGCCTTTCACGTAGCCTCACTGGCAGGGCTCCCAATAATATTAGGGATGAGCTGGCTAGCACAACATGATCCAGTGGTGGCATGGCATCAGAGAACGGTCACCTTTGGGTCCGCTTACTGCTTGGAACACTGTCTAGGGGGGGAAACCCCAAGAATGACCGTGGCCAGGGTGGCTGGGATAGCTGTGGAGCCAAAAGGGGAGGTGCCACCACAATATGCTGACCTGCAGGAGGTCTTCAGCGAGAAGGAGGCAGATAGACTACCCCCACATAGGCCCTTTGACTGCCAAATCAACTTGCTCCCAGGGGCTCAGCTACCGGTGGGTAAACTGTATGCCATGTCGGACAAGGAGATGAAGGAGCTGCGGGAATTTATTGACAAGAACCTGAAAAGAGGCTTCATAAGAGAATCAAAAGCGGTAGGGGGCAGTCCAGTGTTCTTTGTGGACAAAAAGGACACTAATCAACCCAGGCTCGTTGTGGACTATAGGGGGGTCAATTTGGTATCGGAACCAGTGACCTTCCCAATGCCCAGGATTGACGACATTTTAACACGGGTGAGGCAGGGAAAATTTTTTACCAAGCTTGATCTCAGGGGAGCATACAACTTGATTAGGATGAGGGAGGGGGACGAATGGAAGACCACAATGTTCACACCCCTGGGGGCCTTTGAGTACCTAGTTATGCCTTTTGGATTAGTCGGGCTCCGCCGGTTTTCAAGCTTTCATGCACCACGTGTTGGGGTCCCTGTTGTACAAGAACTGCGTAGCCTTCTTGGACGACGTCTTAATCTATTCGGACAATGAGGAGCAACATGTCAGAGACGTCAGGGAAGTGCTAAAACGACTGCAGAAGCACCAGTTGTGGGTCAAGCTGGAAAAATGTCAGTTTCACGCCAGAGAAGTCGAGTTTCTGGGGTACAAGTTGTCAGACAAAGGCTTAGCGATGGACCCAAGCAAGGTGCAGGCAGTGCTGGAGTGGAAGGCTCCCAAAACCCAGAAGGACGTGCCGAGGTTCCTAGGGTTCAGCAACTTCTACAGGAAGTTCATCAAGAACTTCGCCCACTTGACAGCACCCATCACAGATTGTCTCAGTAGCAAAAGGAAGTTCGTCTGGACAGAGGAGGCCCAGCAATCCTTTGAAAAACTGAAAAAGGCGTTCGCATCGGAAGAGCAGCTCCTGCACGTGGATCTGGAGAAACCCATGAGGCTAGAGACCGACGCGTCCGACAGAGCCATTGGGGCGGTTCTTTTGCAGCCAGGGAGGAGCAAGCAGGAATGGAGACCGTGTGCCTTCTTCTTGAGAAAGCTGAACAAGTCGGAGCAAAACTATACGGTGTATGACCGCGAACAGCTTGCGATCTATGCGGCGTTTCGTCGATGGCGACATCTACTAATAGGGGCGCAGCACAAGATCCAGGTTTGCACAGATCACAAGAACTTGGAATACTGGAGGACCGCACGAGTGCTCAACCAAAGACAGATTCGATGGGCACGGGAGTTCTCCAAGTTTTCCTTCGAGATCCGATACGTGCTGGGAGAGGAAAACGTAAGAGCAGATGCTCTCTCCCGGAAGCCGGAGTACTTGGAAGGAGAGGGGCCGCCAGAGATACGACACGTGATCCCCGAGGACCGATGGGTGTGTGAGGGAACCTTGTGTTCGCACAAACTAAAATCCGGGAACTCCGAGACGGTAGAGAAACCCAAGGAGGGTTTGAGGAGAAGGAAGGGGTGCTGTACTATAAGGGGGCGCTGTATGTACCGGGGGAGACCCTACGGGGGAAGGTACTCAAACAACTCCACAACAACCCTACAGCTGGGCACTTTGGACAGCACAAAACCATGATGCTCGTCACCAGGCAGTTCTGGTGGCCCAGGGTGAGGGAGGATGTACGGGAATATGTACGGGGGTGCGACCGCTGCCAAAGGGCAAAGGGGGAGCGGGCTGCCCCCGCAGGATTACTGGAACCCTTACTCATGCCGGGGAAACCGTGGGAGGTGGTGTCCATTGATTTTATGACCGATTTGCCCAAGTCCCGGGGGAAGACAGCGGTCATGGTAGTGGTCGATCTACTAACAAAAATGTGCCATTTTATAGCTTGCTCACATGCGGTCACGGCAGAGGAAACAGCCAGGTTGTTTGTAGATCACATCTTCAGGTTGCATGGGGCTCCTTCGAGGGTTATCTCCAACCGCGGGAAACAATTTACTTCCCGTTTCTGGAGGAAGCTCATGAGCTTGCTGCAGGTCGAAGTGGGCTTCTCAACGGCGAGACACCCGGAAACCAACGGGCAAGCAGAAAGAGCGAACAGTATACTCCAGCAATACCTACGCTGCTACGTCAGTGAGAGGCAGAACGATTGGGTAGAGAAACTAGCGCTGGCTGAATTTGTGTACAATAACGCTGAACATGTGTCCACGGGAATGAGCCCGTTCATGGCCAATTATGGGTGTCACCCCAGGGCCTTCCCGGGGAGTGGGGAGGAAGGTTGGAGCGTACCGGCGGCAGAGCAGTTTGTGGAAGAAATGGAAGCCCTGCACCAGCAACTTAAGATGAACTTGGAGCGGGCCAAGGAAATTTACAAGAGGCAGGCAGACAAGCGCCGTAGGGAAGGGGAGACCATACGGGTGGGAGATCGGGTGTGGTTGTCAACCCATGGATTACCTTTTAAGGAGGGGTGCAAGAAGTTGCAGCCCAGGCGTCTGGGACCGTTTGAGGTAACACAGCAGGTGAACCCCGTGGCATTCAAGCTCGAATTGCCTGACAGCATGAAGATACACCCGGTATTCCATAGGTCCCTACTCTCACCGTACAGGGAAGGACGGGGGTTCCTGGGGTGAGAGGGGGAAGTCACCACACACCCGCAGGTAGAAGAGAGGGAGCACCGCAATTTGGCCACGGAAATACTTGATTCAAGGTGGCGAGGACGCCAGGTGGAGTACTTGGTGGCTTGGGAGGGAGAACCCGGGTCGGAAAACATGTGGGTTCCCGCGGAAGCAATCACTGACGGGTATCTGGTGGAGGAATTTCACCGCCTGTTCCCGGACAAACCCAAACCACTAGCGAGATTCTGGGAGGAGCAATTTGGAACCACAGACGATGAAGAGGATTTTGTGGGGTTTTCTGCCTCCGAAGGGGAGGGAGAAGAGGCTTCGGAGGAAGAAGAATCAGACTGGGAGGTCCACCCCGAGGGAAGGGATCAGAGCGGGGGGAAGCGGGTTTTGAATCCTCAGAGGATGACGACAGCTCCTTCCGGGGGTTCCCCGCATCGTCGGCCGAAGAAAGGGACGAAGATGGGTCAACAGGTTGGGCCGGGGGTGGAGGGGGTCCTGGGGGGGAGGTGGATGTCAGGGAACTGACATCGGAGCTAGAGGCGGAGGGAAGGCTCTCAAATGATGCTGGAGAAGGGCCCAGCAGGGAGAGAGGCAGCTCAGCAGATGGGGAAGCAATTCAGCGCAACACCAGGAATAAGGAGGGGCTGATGGGGGAATCGGCAAGAGGGCTCCAAGACTCTTCACCGGACACCACGAAGTGAAGGGCTAGACTCTTCACCGGACACCACGAAGTGAAGGGCTGTCCAGACAGAAAGGTTTAACAAGGCAACATAGCCAGGAGAGGTGGCAACGTACGCACGAGCAACCCATACTCATTACAGTACCCAAATATCAGGAAAAAACCTGTATATGTATGCTACCACAGCTGCCTGAATGGTATACACCCAAAGATGGAAAGAAAAAGCAGTACCAACAAAAGACGACTGGCAAGTAAAACTGACGTAACATGGTGAGATTGCGAAACTTGCCAGAAGAATAAGAGATCAACGTGAGATACTTATTTTTAACAGAATGGGGAAATTTTGCTGAATATATAAAGATCAATTGAAAACGTTAGCAGGATTGACATAAATATGAGCAATTAGAAGTAAGTTAAAGGAAGTATAAGGATACATTTGCAAATAGATTTGAATTGATTATGCAGTAAGAATAGAATATCAAATAAGGAACCCCAGAGTTGGGGGTGGGAGGGAAGTGGCAGAAAATGTAGGCTGAATTTGTTTAAATTTAAATGTTGTTGAAACATTGTAGAATGTAAAAATGAATATATATATATATATATATATATATATATATATATATGAATGAAGGGATGGGGGTGGTGCTGTGGTCTAAACCACTGAGCCCAGGGCTTGCCGATCAGAAGGTCAGCGGTTCGAATCCCCACAACAGGGTGAGCTGCCGTTGCTCAGTCCCAGCTCCTGCCAACCTAGCAGTTCGAAAGCACGTCAAAGTGCAAGTAGATAAATAGGTACTGCTCTGGCGGGAAGGTAAATGGCATTTCCGTGCGCTGCTCTGGTTTCGCCAGAAGCGGCTTAGTCATGCTGGCCACATGACCCGGAAGCTGTCTGCGGACAAACACCAGCTCCCTTGGCCAGTAAAGCAAGATGAGCACTGCAACCCCAGAGTCATCCGCGACTGGACTTAAGGGTCAGGGGTCCTTTACCTTTTATAAGAATGAAGCCTCCTTTTAAAAGGTTTGGGCAGTTCAGACCAGCCTGATCTCTGTTTAAGGTAAAGGGACCCCTGACAATTAAGATCTCTGTTTAGAAAGGCGTAATTGGAGGAAGTACATTCCCAGACCAAACAGTCCTCCATTCAAGGTGACTTGTTGGAAGCCCAGCTGCTGAAGGCAGCGCTACTGAGCTCCCTCACAATAGAGATATATGTTTGGAATTTCAGAACAGATCTCGTGATCCAACTAGGAGCCTTACTGAGAGAGGCCAGGATACCACGATTCTCCTCTGTAACCTCCTTATGCAGAGCTCTCTGGTCAGGATCCAGCAACACCCACTCCTCCTCCGTGAAACAAACAGTGACATCTTCAAAGCACACTAGACCCTAAGAGGAAATAAAAAGGTCCATATTTGCAGTGTATTCCATGTTCAGGCAATGGTCATTCTTGTCGTGGTTACCAGATGAGTTATAAATTCTTTGTTTTCTGACTGTACAGGTTAAGCAAAGCCAGTCCTGGGGTCACAGGTTCTGTCTGTCTTGTGATCAAAGAAATCTTTGCAAAAACCTTTTGCCAGAACTCATGTATTTCTGGACACACCCACCATGTGTGTCGGCAGTGCTATTTTTCAGAAAAGGAGGTGTCAGAACTTACCGGGAACATCTCATTTGTTCTCTTATAAAGGTAAAAACGGTAAATAACCAGTTATAATTGCTATATTTCTGTTCTCGCTTAATCTCGTGGCTAAGAGCCTACATAGCCCTACAGATAGAGCTCCCGTAAGGAGCTAAATAGAGACACATCCATCACAACTTAGGTCCCATTGTAAAACCAGGGCACAGTCACGCTGCTTGCAGTGTATGTTATTAGAGTCCCTCAAGGTCAGAGCAAGCATTTGGCCAATTGTGCATGATGAACTTTGAATTTTGAGGCCTCAAAAATGATTTCTGCGTCAACCCGTGGGCGTTGAGATCCATCCCCCCGCTTGCTGGAGGGAGGGAGTCATGTTCTGTCTGGCCACCCAAGTTCACAGCTGGGCTCCTCTCACTCGTCCGCTGACTTCAGCCTAGGGGTGGAGCAGATCCAATGCAAAACATCGGATAAGTCCGAGTTCTTCGATGCGTTATCCCTCGCATTGTTGTTGTTGTTCCCAAGGGTCCTGACTTGCCTCAGGTCCTTGGTTCCCTGCTGCCCTGCATTCAGAACAGAGGCAATCAGGCCTTTAAGCAGTGGGTCGGCACCACCGTATTAGATGGCTTGCTAGCTGCTGAGAAGCCGATTTTAGTGCCCAGTGATAAATATAAAAAACGAAACTGCAAGGACTGAGAAATAACACTAGTGTCATTCTAAGGTGAGGTGACTGTTCCTTATTCTCAGCAGATAAACATTATGGGATGGCATTTTCTGAAGAGCTGCTGTGACAGAAGCAAAGAGGTGCAGAGAAACTTGTTCTGTCTCAGAAACGCCCTGTCTCCCCCTCCCCCCCGCCTCTTTCCCCGCGAGGCTCCTTCCCCGCACCTGATCCGGTTCCTCAGCCGCTGCTTCCCCTCCACCAGGATGAAGAGATGGAGGAGGAGGTCTTGCCGGCATCCTTTTTTCACCTGCGAGAGACAAAGGGAAGTGGGGAGACGGGAGTGCAGGATGCTTCTCTCAGAGCTGAAGCAGTGCAACTACAGATTAAGAAATACTCCCCTGTACCTATTTCAGATTTAATTGTGCAAAATTATTTATCAGGCTCCTCTGGGCTCAGGGCCTCAAGTGTCTTCCCCAAAAAGATCAAAAGAACCACTAGATTACTTTCAACACCAACAGAATGGGACCAAACTGAGAAAATACTCCTTCCTTCTTACCCAGTGGCTTATCTCTGGTGTCCAACAGAGACTTCTCTACTTCAGAGGAATCAGGACACAATTCAGCAAATGGATCCTTTCCCTGAAACAGCAACAAGGATTCAAAACAGAGACGGGGAAAAGAATCAGAATAGGAATGGCAGAGGCAAAAACTTTAGCAGCATCTGATATCCTTCCCTGGATGTTTCCGAAAAAGGATGAGATTTAGGGACCCGCTCCCTCCTATTTGGAGCCCCTTGGGAGCATCCAGAGGAAAGTCTCTCTCACCTGCTTCTCCGCCTGCTTCCTCTCCTCCGCCTGACTCAGGAGGAAACCTTCGGCCAGGGCCACTGCCTGGGAACTGGTCTCTGCTCCGCATTCCCTCACCCAGCTCTCCATCTCCGCTGGAAGGACAGCCAGGAACTGCTCCAAGATCACCAGGTCCAGCATCTCAGCTTTCGTGTGCCTTTCTGGCTTCAGCCACTGGTGGCAAAGGTGGTGGAGTCGGCTGCAAACCTCACGGGGTCCTTTGGCCTCCTGGAAGCAGAACTGCCCGAATTGTTGGCTCTGCACCTCTGAGCGAAGGGTGTCCTCCTCTCCCAGGATCTTCTGCCCAGAGCCTTCCCAGAATCCTGCACTGCTTCCCGTTTCCATGACCGGGCCTCTTCCTGCTTCAGGGCCAGCTGAGTCTTGCTCATCCATCTGTGCTCTCAGGAAGCCTCCAAGAGACAGGAAGGATCCCCTTGGTCCTCTGCCAAGTTCTGTTTGTCCAAATTAGAGGCGCTAGAAAAGCCAACAAAGAAAAAACATTATAAAATTATAAAATCACAACACTGTTATAAAATCACAACACGGACAAGAGAAGAAAAATATTCCCTGAGCAAGCGAGGATGAGTCTCGCTAGGAACCAAGGCTGGATTGCAGCACTGGCCGGACTTTGAGCTTTGCTTAAGAAGAGAAAGGAGAAGTAATGCTCTTGCCCTCCTAGAAGTAAAGTGACCATCCCAGATGTGCAGGCAAGTGAAGGGATTTCTGTGAAATGAATCAGCCTGGTTGATCCTGCCTTTCCGTGTTTGCAGTCAAGGAATAAAGTCAGAATGGCGATTGACAAGTGAGTCATTTGTACCAAGTGTAACGTGGAAACCCGGCTATAGCGAGGCTCCTCATCCTGGGCTCTCCCCCACCCCCACTTCAGGGACAGTTTCTTTCCTCCTTCTCTCTCGTTTTCTAGCTTGTGGGAGTTTCCACCTCCTCAAGACAAACTACTGAGATGGGGTCCTTTTTTCCTTGTTCTGAGGGCCAGATCCTCATCTGGGAAACCCCCTGAGGGCCAAGTGGGTGAGGCCAAAGGACAGAACTCAAAAGCAGGTAAAGTAGGACCTACCTTCTTTCTGTGATTGTAAGTTGTTTTAAACTGTTTTAAATGTTGTGTTTTAATCCTGAAATTTGCCCTGGGAATTCAGGAGGGTGGCTGTGTCCTTAATAATGTGACACAGCGCAACCCCCACATCTGCGTGGGGTACTTCTGGATGAGTCCCTTTGTGGCCAGGGGACTCCATGCTCTGCTTCTGGTGGGATATTTGCAATGCCCTCCATGCGAAGCTGCGCTTGAAGATGACTCGGAAAGCGATGGAAAGCAGGGACCAAATTACGGGCTGGCTTCCCTCTCTTTATTCACGACATTTCTATCCACCTTTCCCCCCATGAGCTCCAAAAGGCAGCCATGGGTCTCGCTCATCCGTATCCTGACCAGCATTTGAGTGGCGATTCCTGCATTGCTCATCTTTGGCCTAGGTGACTCTCGTGGTTCCCTCCCCACCCTAGAATTCTGAAATTCAATTCAACCCCCCCCCCCCGGATCCTTTGCAGAGAGGACCCTCTGCTCCCTGATTTGGGGGGGTCTCCCTGCACCCTCCCCTTCCCCCCAAAGCACCCCAGGCAAGAAGAGAGAGACTCACTCGATGCCGGAGGCGCCTCCGAGGAGACAACAGCTGCCTCTTGACAGGAAGGGGCTGGGGAGGGCGGGGCTTGGACACCTTCATTTCTGGTCCTCTCTAGGAATCCAGCTCAGCTCCTCTTAACCCGGCTGAAAGACCCAGATGAAATCTCGTTGGAACAAATCTCGCGGCAACATTTCACGAGCCATTTCCTCCGCGGGTTCTTGTCTCTCTTCTTCTCTTTGCCTGCCCCTTCCTTCTGCCCCAGCAATGAGAGCTCAGCGCCCCCTCAGAGCAGCCCCACTTTCAAGGCAGTTCCAGAAAGCGGCAATACTAAGCAGTGGGTCGGGGGTGGGGGAGAGAGATGGACAGCTGAGGCCGGGCCGAGTCTGGAGCTGCAGTCCCTCAGAAACGCCACCAGGGGGCGGGGCCTCTCTCTGATTGGCTATCCAGACAGACAGAGGCGGGGGCGGAGCCAGCCCTTTTGGCGGGAAGATGAGGAGCCTTTTCTGAGGGAGTTTTGAGGCTGGAGCTGAGATGGGAGGAAGGGAGGAGGAGGAGGAGAGGCTGAGTCTGAGGGAGAAGTGGCTCTGGCCTGAGGAGAATCTCGGGGGCCAGAAGGAGGAGAGAGGAAGAGGGGCTGAGTCGGGGGGGAAAGAAGAGGGCCGAGGGATCCCCTGGGTCTGGCGCCCAAAATAAAACGCCTCAGGAGGGGCATTGCTGAGAGAGAGGGAGGCTGAGGGAAAGGAACCTGGGCTGGGTCAAAAGGATTGAACTGCTACACCTCCATAACTAAGGAAAGGAGTGAGTGAAAAGTAACAGAAACCGAAATGAGCATTTTCCCACTTCGTCTAGAAACAGGAACATCTGTTTACCTGAAGTGTAACAGCTCATTTTAGCAACTGAAGTTTAAGGAAAGGTGTGCCTATGCTACTGGTCTACCTTATAGGAATGTTATGTTTATTTTTATGGAGCACTTTGAAAAACGCTTCAGAATGTACCATGCGGAGGTTGTTTCTCTCCCCATGTTGCGCCCACCCCCTCCTGCTCCACCTTCATTCAAGGGGCACAGCTGGGCCTTTCAGCAAACACCCCCCCCCTTTATTCCCACTGCCACCGACCTGAACACTTAACCCCCAACGTAGCGAAGAATGAGGTGTGAGGTGGAGTACAACTGATTTATTAAAAATAAACACTAATTTCATGATAACTTGGTGTAGATAGGTTAGGGCTACTATAAGTCCAGATTTTCCAGGATCTTGGCATTGTCATAAAATTGGGGGGGGGGGGTCCCTAAAAAAAGCACAGCAATGTTTGGGTCTTCCTAAAAAATGCTCAATAGCTTTCGGTGTGTCCTGGTTTTTACTTTTTTAATAATAATAATAATAATAATAATAATAATAATAATTTATTGTTTGTACCCCACACATCTGGCTGGGTTTCCCCAGCCACTCTGGGCGGCTTCCAACAAAGACCAAAAATACACTAATAAGTGTATGGTTTCAAATCTTCTGGGGTTTTTTTCCTTTCTTTTGTTACTTTATTACTACTGTAACAATGGCTACTACTGTACAAGGCTATTCCTCTACTACTGAGCTCAACCTCCAACTGTTTCCTTGCAGGCTTTCTCCACCAGCCTGAGGGGGCCAGATCCAAGGTGATGAATAGATGGACTCCAGCTACAAAAGCTGAGACTGCGGAAGAGGACAGAGACCATCTTGGCTGTGAGTCCTCTAAGACCTTCTCCTTCCTTGCAGGCCTTTTCCCATGTGGCCTAGGAAAGTCCAGACTGACTCCAGCTACAAAAGCTGGAGCCGCTGAACAAACACCTGGGCTTAGCAGGTTTGTTGTTGGTACAGGTTTTTCTTTCTTTATTTTAGATCTTCTCATGATTTATGTGGCTATTCTTCAGTGTGGTTGTGTATTTTAATGGTTTATTTATTGCTTATTATTACTTTGCTATTTATTTATTTATTTATTTATTCACATTTGTATGGCATCTTTCATCCAAAGATCTCAAGTGTGTTTCACAACATAAAGATGCAAAATAAAAACACAAAATACGTAATAAAAGAAAGAATAACCCCTTCCCACAAACACACTTGAAAGGACATAGATTTAATTAGAATTGACATAGGTTTAATTAACCAAAGCTCTGGTTTTGATGTTGTTGTTACACAAGCGTGCTTCTCATTTCTCAGCTGCAGCACCCCAAACTCACCCTTTCTGCCTCCTTAAAGGTAAAGGACCCCTGCCCATTAGGTCCAGTCGTGGCCAACTCTGGGGTTGCGGCGCTCATCTTGCTTTATTGGCCAAGGGAGCCAGCATACAGCTTCCTGGTCATGTGGCCAGCATGACTAAGCCGCTTCTGGCGAACCAGAGCAGCGCACGGAAACGCCGTTTACCTTCCTGCCAGAGCGATACCTATTTATCTACTTGCACTTTGACGTGCTTTCAAACTGCTAGGTGGGCAGGAGCAGGGACCGAGCAACAGGAGCTCACCCCGTCGCAGGGATTCGGATCTGCCTCCTTAGCTAACAGTAATTTAAATGCACTATTATTATTTTGATCCAATGTGTACACAACTTTAAATACAAGCACCAGAACACTGTGCCTAAACTTAAGAGACGCACATGCATGCACACTTTCCAAGAGTCTCATGACAGAGCTAGTGTGGTATAGTAGTTAGAGTGTCAGAATACGACTTGGCAGTCCTGGGTTCAAGTCCCTACTTAGCCATGATGCTCACCAGGCACTGCTTCACATCTTTCAATATGCGAAGGGCCGTGCCATGGAAGATGGAGAAAACTTGGTTTCTCCTACTCTGGTGGAAGGAGGACCCAAACCAATGGATTTAAGATGGAAGGAAGGAGATTCTGACTAAACATCAGGAAGAACCTTCTAGCAGTAAGAAGTGTTTGATTGTGGAAGAAAGTACTTCAAGTGGTGTGGGACACTTCTGAATTGGAAGCTTTTTAAGCAAAGGTTGGGGGGCCATCTGTCATGAATTATTTTGTTGAATATCCTGCGTTACAGCGGGTTGGAGAAGATGACTCTCACCATCCAACCCAATGCAACAATCCAATGATTCTGGGAGACTGTGATTCTCTCTGCTGTGAGTTCTTTGATGGGAAGTGAGAAAGGACTCCTGACTAAAACACTCTCCACATTCCAAGCATTTATATGGTCTCTCCATAGTATGGATTATTTGATGGGAAATGAGATGGGAGTCCTGACTAAAAGTCCTTCCACATTCCAAGCATTTATGTGGACTCTCCCAGCTATGAGTTCTTTCATGGGAAGTGAGACTTCCCTTGTGACTGAATCTCATTCCACACTCCAAGCACTGAAACGGTTTCTCCCCTGTATGGGTTCTTTGATGGGAAATGAGATTATATTTCCAGTTGAAGCTCTTTCCACATTCCAAGCAATGATAAGGATTCTCCCCTGTGTGAATTATTTGATGGGAAGTGAGCTTGGCCCTTTCCTTGAAGCTCTTTCCACATTCCAAGCACTGGTAAGGTTTCTCCCCTGTATGAATTCTCTGATGGGTAGTGAGATTGGCCTGCTGATTGAAGCTCTTGCCACATTCCACGCACTGATATGGTTTCTCTCCTGTGTGGATTCTTTCATGGACAGTGAGGTGAGCCCTCCAACCAAAGCTCTTTCCACACTCCAAGCACTGATAAGGTTTCTTCCCAATGGGATTCTTCTGATGGGAAGTTGAATGGGAGCTTTGACTGAAGCTCTTTGCACACTCCAAATTTTTATATGGTTTCTCCTCTGTGTGGATTTCGTCATGGTCTCCCTTGTCCTCCATTTCCAGTTCATCACCCCCTGCAACAAAGAGAGAGATGAATAGAGGCTCAGCAAGAAATGGAGCCCCCCCCCCAAATTATTGAACAGTGGTCCTTAACGCTTGTGAGAGAGGAAGAACAGAAAGGAGATAGATGAGATCTTACTTCAGGGTTCACTGGCTTTGTTTACTGGCATTCAGGGATATGGGAAACTGAGATTCCAAAAGCCTGGCTCTTTTCTTGAATGGATTTTGTTTGGTCCAATCATGGAATTTGCTCCATTTCTAATGTCAGTCATCTCTTTGGTGAAGCAAAAGGGACAGAAGCGGTGACTTCCAAGGTGGGGGAGGCTGGCTAGTTCTTGGCTGTTGCCGCTCTGCCAGCAGAGATTCTTATGTGATGATTTATGATAGCCAGGGCAAAGACACCAGTATCACACTCTGTCTTTGAAGATTTGGAGATGAACTGGGGTGAACCTCACATGCTCTGTTTTCAGGGGATTTCAGCATAGAATACAATGAAAGTCAAACTAAATAAAAATATAACAGAGAGGATAAGTAGGAAAAGAAAGTAAGTTGGATAAACAGAAGATGATGAAGAAGAAAAAGAAAAGAAAAACACAAAGCCCTCTAACAAGGCTGTATCTTTACTATTATTCTGGAGCAGAGGATTGGAGGAGCCATGGACTGAAACAGTAAGAAACATTCTGTGATGGCAGAGAGAGAGCTGGGAGAAAAAGGATCTTTCATTCAAGCTGAAGTAAACTCAGGGGGGAAACCACCAAGTAGCTGGTGACTCATCTGGGGCGAGAGGAAAGTAATTGGAAGGTCTTTTCTTCCTAAATAAAGGTGGGAAATCATGCCCAACAGGAGATGGGATAGGGTACAAATTAATGAACATATAATAAATAAAGAATTATAGATTATTATTCTAATAAGGGACACTCATTGTACTGGACCAGAGGAACAATTTTCCTGATAGCGAGTGAGAATAAGAATTGGAGTTTTTGCATGCAAAGGAAAATGAACGAACTTGAAAACACCACCTAGCAGAATGAGGAATAGCTGGGTATTGTCTTGCAATACAGCTGGATAACCCTCCATTCAAGGTGAGCTGTGGGGTGTGAGAATCCTAGATGCTGTAGGTGGCGCTGTTCAGCCCTATCAAAATCTGGGATGTTTCTCACATAGACAGATTAGTACGGAATTTAAAAAAAGATATTAAGATCCAACCGGGAGCCTTACCAAGAGCGGCCATGATCCCACAATTCTCCTTTATGACTTCCGTATGCAGAGCTCTCCGGTCAGGATCCAGCCACACCCACTCTTCACCCGGGAAGGGAACAGCGACGTCTTCAACGGACAGTGAACTCTTTAAAAGAGAGAGAGAAAGGTCCTCCTCTTAGCCAGAATAATGATTATATTACCACAAATTGTTTTGCTGTTTCCTGCCTGTTCCTGCTGTGCTGTTTTAATGGGATTGTTTTGTTTCCCATACATTCTAAGTATGGATGCTTCTTTTAACGTCTTAATGGAATTATTTTATTTTGTGTTTTGTGCCGTGCATTGTTCTTTGTAGGTGGAGGACCCACCCAAAGCCCTAAAAACAACTTCAAGGGGCAGTTTTGACAGAAGCCAAGAGGAAGAGGCGAGAGATTCCTGGGAGTCCAGAGGACCCCTGGCTGCCCCACCCCTTCGCCTCTTTCCCCACAAGACCACTTTCCCCTACCTGAGCTGGTTCCACAGTCACTGCTCCACCAGCAAGAAAAGATGGATGAGGAGGTCTTGCCAGCAATCTTATATCTCCTGCAAGAGACAAAGGTAAGTGGGAAGCCAGTCTAGTGTCCAGATCAAGGGAAGTAATAGCAGCATTCTATACTGCTTGGTCAGACCACACATGGAATACTTTAGCCACATAAGGAAAGGATGTTGACAAGCTGGAACCTGTGCAGAGGAATGTAGCCAAGATGATCAAGGGTCTGGAAGCCAAGCCATATGAGGAATGGTTGAGATGGGGAAAGAGGAACCTGAGGAGGGGAATTGACTTGTGGATTCAAGGAGCTTCTGTCTAAGTATATGAGGGTAAGGGGTGTTCAAGAATGGAACAGCCTCCCTGTGAAGGCTGGTGGACTCTCCTTCCATGGAGATTTTTAAAGCGTCATGGATGCTTTAGTGGTGATTCCTGTAATGCAGGGAGGTCGACTAGATGACTGCCAGGGTCCCTTCCCACTCTACAATTCTGTGATTCTATGAAAGTGTCATTTGCTGAGTGCTCTCTGATTTGGGGGTGTATTGGGCTGTTGTGGATGGGGTGGTGCTGTAGTCTAAACCACAGAGCCTCTTGAGCTTGCCGAATGTAAGGTCGGAGGTTCGAATCTGCGTGACAGGCTGAGCTCCCATTGCTCAAATGGCGTTTCTATGCGCTCTGGCACTCATCACGGTGTCCTGTGGCGCCAGAAGCGGTCTAGTCCTGCTGGCCACTTGACTCTGAATCCTGCCTGGTCAAATGCCGGCTCACTCAGGCTGAAATCAGCGATGAGAGCCACACCTCAAAGCTGAATTCGACTGGACTTAACTGTCCAGGGGTCCTTTACCCACCTGTACCTCACCTTGTCTGGCTCCTTCATGCAGAATTTTGTGGGTGCCCCAGGGAGTTGGCACAATAAGGAACACAGTTTCATACCTGTGGCGAACTCGCCTCCTGCTCTGGTTTGCAGAAAAGAAGGGGCCAGGACCCTCTGCTCCCTCATTTGGGGGTCCCACGCTGCATGGATTGGGAAGACTCCCAATGCACCCTCTGGGGAAGGGAGAAGAGGCTCACCAGATCCCAGAAGAGAGCGGGCAGATCCCTTCCTCTCGAGCAAGGAAGGCGCTGCGGAAGGAGGGGCTTGGGCTCGGGAGGACCAGCCTGCTTCGCCGCCTTTTCCTGTCTGATCTAGGAATGCAGCTCCGCTCCTCTTAACCCTTGGCCTGCCGTGCACCCCTTCTCTCCCTCTCCAAAGCAGGAGCCTCGCCATCCCCGCCAGGGAGGATTTGGGGGCCCCTCTTGGCTGGCGAGCTGAGCTGCTCCCTCCCTTGGAAACAGCAGCAGGAGGGGCAGCTGGAAGGGGGAAACCCCAATGGGGAATCGGGGGGGGGGGTTGGGGGACCCCCAGGGTCATCCCGTCAGCCTCGCCCACCCAGGAAATAGGGGACAAGAAGCGGGAGACCCAGGAGATGGGGGCGAAGAGGGTGGGGCTGGGAGACACCAGGGGCTCCAACTCCTCTCCCAGCCCAGAGGATGCTGCCTTCAGCCCTGCCCTCTCCTGAGGAGTTGCCCCAGCAGGGCAGGAGGGCCAAGCAGGCAGAGCTGGCACCAGACTCTGGGCCCTGTGCCTCTTAGGGGTCCCACGACAACGGATCATCAGAATATTGATTGGGTTTATTGCAATTGCTGGTTGGTAAAATCAGAAAGGGATTCGGAGATCATTTGCGAGGGGACCCAGAGATTTCAACGGCCAGGGGGCCTCCACAGGCTTTAATGGGGTCATGGTCCCCAGGCGACAGGGGCCCCCTCTGCATGCCCACCCCCAGCAGGGTGAATGCCCCTGCTCCCCAGAAGACCCCCGGGTGCTGCTGCCTCCTCGGAAGGGGTACAGGAAGAAGTTGGTGCCTCCTGCCAGGACAGATCCTAGGGTCCCTCCAGCTGCTCCAGGTTCCCAGCCCTGACTGGCAGCCATGACCCTCCAGCCTGACCTTGAGATGCTCACAAGGGAGACTGAGCCTGGGCCCTTCTGCATGCCAAGCAGGTGTCCTGCTCCTGAGCGATGGTGGCCCTTCCCAGAGCACTCAAGGGGCAGAGCTGTGAGCTGCGTCTTGACTGGGTCTTTCACCAAACAGCCCCTTCATTCCAGCTGCCACCCCAGAGTATTTTTATATTTTCCTTTATGATTTATGACCTTATTTTTCATTTATTAAAATTCATATACTGCCTTCATTTGAAGATATCAGGGCAGTACCCAGCATTAACATTCAAAATAAAAACACCAATTACATAATAAAAACAAAAGTGAAACACACCAATATTTCCATCTCCAACAAAGACGCTTAAAATGATAAAGTTTAATTCTCTTGATTGAAAAGGAGGTGAAGAACCATGTGACCCCACAAGAACATAACAAGAAAGAAGATTCTGACTAAACATCAAGAAGATGCATTGCATTGGTTAGACTACATGACCCTCAAGATTCCTCCCAAAGCTACTATTCTATAACTCCAGGATTTTCCCCGCTGAGTTTTTCATGGGAAGTGAGATTTCCTTCCAGCTCTTTCCACATTCCAAGCACTATTCAGGTTTCTCAGTCACTGGAATTCTTTAGTGGGAAATGAGAGTTTGCTTCAAGGTGAATCTCTTTCCGCACTGTTGGCATTGGAATGGTTTCTGTGTGAATTCTTTGATGGCAAGTGAGGTGGTCCTTTCTACTGAAGCTCCTTCCACATTCCACACACTGATAAGGTTTTTCCCCTGTATGAATTCTTCGATGGAAAGTGACACTATCCTTCCTAGAGAAGTTCTTTCCACATTCCAAGCACTGATACGGTTTCTCTCCGCTGTGAATCTTCTGATGTCGACAGAAGTCTCTTCCTGTAGTAAAGCACTTCTCACATTCCAAGCACTGATATAGTTCCTCACCTGTATGAATTCTTTGATGGGAAGTGAGATGACCCCTCTTACGAAAGCTCTTCCCACATTCCAAGCACTGATATGGTTTCTCCCCTGTATGAATTATCTGATGGGAAGTGAGACTTCGCTTTTGACTGAAGCTCCTACCACATTCCAAGCACTGAAATGGTTTCTCCCCTGTGTGAATTCTTTGATGGGAAGTGAGGTTTTGCTTGAAGGTGAATCTCTTTCCGCACTCTTGGCATTGAAATGGTTTCTCCCCAGTGTGAATTCTCTTATGTTGCCATAACTTTTTTGTTGAAGCAAAACACTTTGTGCATTCCAAGCACTGATATGGCTTCTCCCCTGTATGAATTCTTTGATGGGAAGTAAGACTATTATTCCAAATGAAGCTCTTCCCACATTCCAAGCACTGAAATGGTTTCTCCCCTGTATGAATTTTTTGATGGGAAGTGAGATTTTCCTTGAAGGTGAATCTCTTTCCACACTCTTGGCATTGAAATGGTTTCTCCCCAGTGTGAATTCTCTTATGTTGCCATAACTTTTTTGTTGAAGCAAAATACTTTGTGCATTCCAAGCACTGATATGGCTTCTCCCCTGTATGAATTCTTTGATGGGAAGTAAGACTATTATTCCGAGTGAAGCTCTTTCCACACTCCAAACATTGATAGGGCTTCTCACCGGTATGAATTCTTTGATGGGAAGTAAGACTAGTCTTCCCATTGAAGCTCTTTCCACACTCCAAACATTGATAGGGCTTCTCCCCCGTATGAATTCTTTGATGGGCTTTGAGATGTGAGATGTCACTGAAGCTATTCCCACACTCCAAGCACTGATATGGTTTCTCCCCACTGTGAATTCTCTTGTGTCGATGTAAATCTTTTCCTGTAGTAAAGAACTTCTCACATTCCAAGCACTGGTATGGTTTCTCCCCTGTATGATATCTTTGATGGGAAGTGAGATGGTCCTTCCTGGAGAAGCTCTTTCCGCACTCCAAACATTGATATGGTTTCTCCCCTGTATGAATTCTTAGATGGCAAGTAAGACTAATCTTCCGACTGAAGCTATTCCCACACTCCAAGCACTGATATGGTTTCTCCCCAGTGTGAATTCTCTTATGTTGATCAAAGTCTATTCTTGTAGTAAAGCACTTCTCACATTCCACACACTGGTATGGTTTCTCCCCATTGTGATGGGAAGTGGCATGGGAGCTCTGACTGAAGTTCTCCCCACACTCCAAATCTTGATATGGCTTCTCCACTGTGAGGATTTTGTTGTGTTGTCCCTTGTTCTTAATTTCTAATTCATCACTAACTGCAACAAAGAGAGGAACAGGTCAGAGCCTAAGAAAGAAATGGAGTTCCCAGTTTTTGAATAATGCTAATGAACACTTGTGATAAAGGAAGATCTGCAGGGAGTTAGATGGGAAGTCTTACTGCAGAATTCACTGCCTTTGCTGACTAACATTCACTCTTATATTTATGGGAAATTCATATTCAAAAAGCCTGTTCTTTTCAGGGGTGAAATTTCTTTGGCTCAATCATTGAACCAACTCCACCTGCAAGGTCAGAACTCTATTTGAATGTGAATTGGATTCTCTGTCTACCAATTACCTAGCGTCCAGGGGAGAATTAAACTGCTGGGTAATGACAGAATTCTAAATGGGTTTGGGTAATAGATCAAAAAGCTCTAAACTAACTATTGGTGATTTCAAAAGATTAAGCGACGTCCACTTCCCTAGACACTCAGAAAGCCTATCCACACCCTGATCCCTGTGCAAAAAGGCAGAAGGGGAGGGACAATATTCACAGACAAAACAGTCCCCTCCATTCAAGGTGAGCTGTGGGGTGTGAGAATCCCAGTTGCTCTGGCAACGTTGGGATCCATCCAAATATGGGAGGATTGTCCCAGAGAAATATCTCCTGAATTCCAAAACAGATATTATGACCCAAGCGGGAACTTTACCCAGAGAGATCATGGTCCTACAAGTCTCCTCCATGACTTCCTTATGCAGAGCTCTCTGGGCAGGATCCAGCAATGCCCACTCCTCAGCCGTGAAACGAACAGCGACATCTTCAAAAGAAACTGAGCCCTGAAAGAAAAAGATCCTTCTCTTAGGCAGCATGAAGATTATTTCCTGCACGTTGCTCTTTTGCTTCCTGCCTGGATTGTTTTAATTGGATTGGTCTGCTGCACATTCGGATTATTGGTGCTTATTTTAATGAACTCCACGTTGTTTTATTCAGATCAATTTGTCTGTGCAAGCGTCCCAGTTTGCCAAATGGAAGAATCCCTCTCTCCTCTCCCTGTGTGTTGTTCTGGGATGGAAAGACTCTCCAAATGTCCTAAAGACAATTTATAATGAATAATACTAGCGACATTCAGAGTTAAGGTGAAGTGGCTACTCATTATCCTCAGCACATAAACCTTCATAAATGGCATTTTCAGCCTTTGTTAAGGGCAGCTTTGACAGAAGTCAAGATGGGGTTCATTTGCCCCCAGAAATGCCCTGTCTCCCCACCCCCCAGCCCCTTTCCCCCCAGGCTCCTTCCACCTACCTGCTCCGGTTCCTCAGCCGCTGCTTCCCCTCCACCAGGATGAAGAGATGGAGGAGGTGGTCTTGCCGGCATCCTTCTTTCACCTGCGAGAGACAAAGGGAAGTGGGGAGCCAATAGTGCATGGTGCTTCTCTCAGAGGTGCATTTGGGAGTTTGTCCCCATTTCATATTTTAGTTATGTTCAAATATATCTCATCTCCTTTGGGTTCTTGGCCCCAAGTGGCTTCTCCCAAAAGATTAGTTTCAGAATCAACAGAATGGAATCAAAAGAAGAAAAACTTCCTCCTTACCCAGCGGCCTCTCTCTGGTGTCCAACAAAGTCCTCTCTGCCTCAGAGGAATCAGGACACGTTTCTGCCAACAGATCCTTTTCCTGAAAGAGCAACAAGAATTTGTAATAGAGAATGTAGAGAATGTTTAAAAAAGGGAAAAGGATGAGCAATTAGAGAATGTGGAGATGGGTTTGAAAAGGAATGGCTGGGACAAAAAAAAGGATGAGATTTAGGGACCCACTCCCTCCTGTTTGGAGCCCCTTGGGAGCATCCGGAGGAAAGTCTCTCTCACCTGCTTCCTCTCCTCCACCTGACTCAGGAGGAAACCTTCGGCCAGGGCCACTGCCTGGGAACTGGTCTCCGCTCCGCATTCCCTCACCCAGCTCTCCATCTCCGCTGGAAGGACAGCCAGGAACTGCTCCAAGATCACCAGGTCCAGCATCTCAGCTTTCGTGTGCCTTTCTGGCTTCAGCCACTGGTGGCAAAGGTGGTAGAGTTGGCTGCAAACTTCTCGGGGTCCTTTGGCCTCCTGGAAGCAGAACCACCTGAACTGCTGGCTCTGCACCTCTGAGCGAAGGGTGTCCTCCTCTCCCAGGATCTTCTGCCCAGAGCTTTCCCAGAATCCCCCACTGCTCCCAGTTTCCATAGCATGACCTCTTCCTGCTTCAGGGCCAGCTGAGTCTTGCTCATCCATCTTTAGGAAGGAATCCAGTTTTTCCTTGGCCAAGTTCTGCCTGTCTGATTTAGAGGTGCTGGCAAATACTGCAAAGGAAATATATTGTTCTGTTATGAAATTGGCACACGGTCAGCAGAAGAAGGAGGTCCCCTGAGCAAGTGTGGATGAGTGTTGCTAGGAACCAGGACTGGACTGCACCACAGGCCAGACTCTGAGCTTTCTGTAAGAAAAAAAGGAAGGAGGAAGGAGAAGAAGAAATCCTCTCGCCCTCCTAGGGGGAAAGTGACCAGGCCAAAAGTGGAGGCAATGGAAGCGATTTCTGTGAGATGAATTAGCCTGGTGGGCAAGAGGAGTTTCTCCTCCTCCCTGCATTGGACTAGATCACCCTCGGGCTCCCTTCCAACTCTACGATTCCATGTTCCTATGATTCTCACAGGGGCCACCCAGGGGCCTGAATGGGAAGCCCCCCAGCAGGTTGGGGCGCAAGAGCCCCTCTCTCCCCCTGCGCTCCTTCCAGCAACTGGGATTCAGCAGCATCTCTGGGGAGACAAGAAGCCAAGCAGAGCCCCTCCTCCTCCCCCCCCCCGCCCTGGTCCCAGCCTGGCCTCAAGTGGCAGGGAGTTCCGCAGGCTTGACTCTGCACTGCACCAAGAAGCGCTTTCTTTTCTTTGCCCCCTCCCCTCTTCCAACAGTCTCAACTGATTGCATGGCTCGTGCTTCCCTATTGTTATTATTTGAATCTATTTTCCGTACAAATCTTTCTTTCCCACTACGACGTCTTGATTCCTGGGTCTGAAGGGGGCTTCTTTGCAGGCCCTTTTCTTCCTTCCCCGAAGGGATCGAAAGGGATCCTGTGCCCTCGCCCCCACCCGGGCTTTGCAGAGAGGGGGGGCAGGAGCCTCTGCCCCTTGACTTGGGGGTCCCCCTGCTCCCCCCTGCATCCCGGGGACCCCTCTCTTCTCCCCAATGCAGAGACTCACCGGCTTCCCGGAGGCACCATGAATGCAGCACGTGCAGAAGAGAGAGACAAAGGCCCCTCCTCCTCTGGGGGAGTTCCCGGTCCTCCCCCCCTCGCTTGACTTCCTCTCCCCTCTAGGAATCCAGCTCAATCCCCTTTAACCCTTGGCAAGCCAGCTCCCCCTCTCTCCGGTGTCCTGTGCCGGGGAGTTCCGCAGGTGAACTCTGCCTTGCGTTTAATTTTACCTGTCCTGAATCTTCCAACATACTGATTAATTGGATGTCTTTGAGTTCCACTGTCAGGAGATGCAACTCTCCATCCACTTTCTCTAGTCCAGGCTTGGCTTTTGAAAATTGGGGGGGGGGGTGTGTCAGTAATTAGCTAATTGGGAACCACTGCTCTAAAGTCTAAAGAGCCCCAAAGGCTACAACATTTCTTCATAGCAAAGTCCGCCTTGATCATTTTGGCAGCCCTTTTCTGAACCTTCTCCAACTCCTCAAACATCCTTCATGAGGAGAGGCGACTGCACCCCCCAAGAGGTTACGCCATAGATTTGTGACCAGGGGGGGCTGCAGGGATCTGTCCGGGGCCTGTTTTGCTCCATCTGTCAATCTTGGATGGAGGAAATGAGGGGATGCTCGTCCAGTTTGCAGATGACACCAAACTGGGAGGGAAGGCACAAAGGACAGAATCGGGAATCAAGATTACCATTTACAGATTGGAGAACTGGGGGCAAGCAAGCAAAATGAATTTTCATAGGGACAAAGGTCAGGTTCTGCACTTAGGAAGGAAGAACCAGATGCACAAATATAGAACGGGGGACATAGCAGTGCATGTGAAAAAGATCGAGGGGTCTTGGTGGGCCACAAGCTCCACCTGAGTTCACAGTGTGATGCAGCTGAGAAGAAGCGAATGCTATTCTGGGCAGCGTCCACAGAGGTCCAGTGTCCAGATCAAGGGAAGAAATAGTACTGCGCCATTATGACTTGGTCAGCCCACACCTGGAAGACTGTGTCCAATTCTGGGCAAAACAATTTAAGAAGGACGTTGACCAGCGGGAAGGTGTGCAGATGAGGAACGGTTGAAGGAGCTGGTTGTGTTTAGCCTGGAGGAGACTGAGATGAGAGCCATCTTCTAATATTGTAAGGGCTGTTCCATGAAAGATGGAGCAAGCCTGTTGTTTTCCTGCTTTGGAGGGGAGGACCAGAACCAATGGATTCAAGTTACAAGAAAGGAGTCCGACCTCTGCAGCAGTGCAGGAATCTTTTCCCCATGTGCCGACCCCATTATATATTTGAGGGGGGGCATGCAAGTGGGAGGGAGCATGCAACCTGCAGCAGGAGATGGAGGATGGGGTGCTGCTGCTGAGTCAGAGGGCACTCATTTATGCTCAGGAGGGACGCAGGAGACAAGAGGAAGAAGCTGCTGCTATGGGTTGCCAGCACTGACTGGCAGCCTTGACCCTCCAGGGGGCCAGACGGGGAATGTTCCCAGTCCAACCCTGAGATGCTGCCGAGGTGTGTGTGTGTGTGTGTGAAGCCTGGACCCTTCCACATGCCAAGCAGGTGCCCTTCCAGTGATCTTTGTAGCCTTGTTCATATTATGGGGGTGTTAAGGACAGCCGGGTTAGTTTCCATGAAGCGCTTTTAATGCTTCAGGATGCGCCATACAGAGCAGCGTAAGAAACTCACCTATATCAGCTGGGGTGCCAAGGGGCACTTTCAGCCTAAGTTAGTCACCAATAACAGGGTCCTTTCCAGCACTTCAATTCTACGATTCTATTATCTCAGCTGCGTTGCTGGATTTTAGTTTGCTCTTACAACAGTTCACTTCTCCCAGTATGCAAGAAGGAGAAACACACACAGTGGAAATGGAAATTGTATTAACTATGGACTAAGGACTAATCTTTTAAACTGGGGTCACGAACCCAGAAATCTCCATGTAGTCACAATTGGACCTGTGCCAGCAGCAAAATGCGCCTGGCACCTGGCTAATTTCTAACACTATTTTTTTAAGTAACGGACCCCTGGACGGTTAAGTCCAAAGGCAACTTTGGGGAGCGGCGCTCATCTCGCTTTCAGGCCAGGGGAGCTGGCGTTTGTCCAGAGAATAGTCAGCTTAGCCTAGCAGTTACTTTGCAGATTCAACAATTGCTTAACAGATCTTTGATTAAAAAAAAGAAAAAAGTAGCAAAGAATGAGGCGTTTGGTGGAATACAACCGATTTATTAGAAAATAAACAGGTTCAGGCTAAATTTGTGTACATATCATTTCAAGTGTTCCTGTTCCTTGTTCCTCTCCTCCTGATCCAACCAACTCTGGCTGACAATTCCCTCTCGCTCTCCACCTCCAAGGGTCTCTCCTGAAGAGGCCAGAGACCACCTTGGCTGCTTTGAGTCCTGGAAGACCCGCTCCCTGCCTTGCAGGCCTTTTCCCATCTGACCACAGGGATGTGCAGCTGGGGTTGTTTGTATCTGTTTTAAGTCATTGCTGTGATTTGTGTGGAAATTGCTGGCTTTGGTTGTGTATTTTTTGATGTTTCATTTCTTGTATACGACCACTTTCTTATATACCATCTATTAAACTGATATATCGCCCTCAACCGAAAATCTCAGGATAGTTTCCAGCATTAAAATACAAAATAAAACACAGAATAAAGAATAGAAACCAGAAAAAATGAAGCAAACCAATAATTCACCTCCCATAATTGCATTTAAAAGGACATTGAATATTAAATCTGTCTAAGGCCATCCTTTCGAATTCCCCGCCAATCACCTCTCACCCCCAGCATTCCAAACTGGCCCCTCCCCCTCCCTAGCAATGACCCTCAGCGTCCCTTCCAGCACTACAATCTTATAATTCTATTATATTCCCCGCTGCAAGTTATTTGATGGGAAGTGAAACTTTCAATCAAGATGAAGCTCTTTCCACATTCCAAGCACTATTAGGGTTTCTTCCCTCTATGAATTCTTTGATGGTAAGACAAATATATCTTCCAACTGAAGCTCGTTCCACATTCCAAACACTGATATGGTTTCTCCCCTGTATGAATTCTTTGATGAGAAGTGAGATCAATATTCCGATCGAAGCTCTTTCCACATTCCAAACACTGATAGGGTTTCTGCCTTTTATGGATTTTTTGATGGGAAGTGACATAGGCCTTTGAACTGAAGCTCTTCCCGCATTCCAAGCACTGAAACGCTTTCTCCCCTGTATGAATTGTTTGATGGGTAGTGAGATGGGACCTCTGACTGAAGCGCTTTCCACATTCCAAGCACTGATATGGTTTCTCCCTTGTATGAATTCTTTCATGGATAGTGAGTTGGGACCTCTGATTGAAGCTCTTCCCACATTCCAGGCACTGATAGGGTTTCTCCCTTGTATGAATTCTTTGATGGGAAGTGACATTGGCCTTTGTAATGAAGCTCTTCCCACATTCCAAGCACTGATATGGTTTCTCTCCTTTATGAAATCTTTGATGGACCGTGAGATAAGAGCTGCGACTGAAGCTCTTCCCACATTCCAAGCACTGATACTTTTTCTTCCCAGTGGGAATTCTTGGATGGGATAAGGAATGAGAGCTCTCTCCATACTCCACATATTGATAGGGGTTCTCCACTGTGTGGATTTTGTCATGGATTCGCTGGTTCTTAATTTCTAATTCATCACCACCTGCAACAAAGAGAGATATGGATTTTCAACATCTACATGCAGCCACTGGGAGAGATCATCAGGGGGTTTGGGCTGGGTGTTTGTCAGTATGATGATGATACCCAGCTCTACCTCTCTTTCAAATCAGAACCAGTGAAGGCGGTGAAGGTCCTGTGTGAGTGTCTAGAGGCGGTTGGAGGATGGTTGGCGGCTAACAGATTGAGGTTGAATCCTGACAAGACAGAAGTACTCTTTTAGGGGGACAGGAGGCGGGCGGGTGTGGAGGACTCTCTGGTCCTGAATGGGCTAACTGTGCCCCTGAAGGACCAGGTGCGCAGTCTGGGAGTCATTTTGGACTCACAGCTGTCCATGGAGGCGCAGGTCAATTCTGTTTCCAGGGCAGCTGTCTACCAACTTCACCTGGTACGCAGGCTGAGACCCTACCTGCCTGCCTGTGTACTGTCTGGCCAGAGCGGTGCATGCTCTAGTTATCTCTCGCTTAGACTACTGCAATGCGCTCTATGTGGGGCTACCATTGAAGGTGACCCAGAAAGACAAACAGGTCAAATCACTGATGATACATTGAGCAATGGATATATGATATAACATTGAAATGGCAGCATGGGAAATATTGTGGAATGGAGAATTGAAATTTACAGCATGTTATGAGTTAAAAGAACACTATAGGAAAATGATGTATAGATGGCATTTGACTCCTAGTAACTTAGCTAAAATGTACAAGACCAAATCAAATGCCTGCTGGGAATGTCAAGGGAAGTATATTCCCTTGTTGTTTCACATGTTGTGTTCGTGTAAGATAGTAAAAGTCTTCGGGGAAATGATTTATAATGAGTTGAAAAAAATGCTGAAAATAATCTTTGTTAAAAAACCGGAAGCTTCCCTTTCAGGTATAATGAGGGGAAAGGTACGCAAAGATGAGGGGGAAAACCTGTTTATGTATGCTACCACAGCTGCCTGAATGGTATAGGCCCAAAGATGGAAAGAAAAAGCAGTACCAACAAAAGAAGATTGGCAGTTAAAAAAGGCTCCCTTTACCTTTTATAAGAATGAAGCCTCCTTTTAAAAGGTTTGGGCAGTTCAGACCAGCCTGATCTCTGTTTAAGGTAAAGGGACTCCTGACAATTAAGATCTCTGTTTAGAAAGGCACAATTGGAGGAAGTATATTCCCAGACCAAACAGTCCTCCATTCAAGGTGACTTGTTGGAAGCCCAGCTGCTGAAGGCAGCGCTATTGAGTTCCATCACAATAGAGATATATGTATGGAATTGCAAAACAGATCTCATGATCCAACTAGGAGCCTTACTGAGAGAGGCCAGGATACCACGATTCTCCTCTGTAACCTCCTTATGCAGAGCTCTCTGGGCAGGATCCAGCAACGCCCACTCCTCAGCCGTAAAACAAACAGCGACATCTTCAAAAGAAACTGAGCTCTGAAAGAAAAATATCCTGCAAGATTATTTCCTGCATGTTGCTCTTTTGCTTCCTGCCTGGATTGTTTTAATCAGATTGGTCTGCTGCACATTTAGATTATTGATGCTTATTTTAATGCTTTAATGGAGTCCTTCATAGTGTACCGTATTTTTCGCCCTATAGGACGCACCGGCCCATAGGACGCACCTAGATTTTGGGTGGGGGAAATAAAGGGGAACAAAAGTATTCCCCCAGGCGCAGGGCTGGGGCGGGGGAAGCCAGAGCTTCCCCCGACCCCAGCTCCCAGAACGGGACCCAGAGCCATGCCGAAGCTGCGTGCAGCTTTGGCATCGCTCTGGGAGGTTGCGGGGCTGGGGGCGGAGACCCCAGCCCCCAGAACAGGCTGCCGTCCCAAGCCTTGCGCGCCCGGTGGGACCTCCCGCCGGGCGCGGGAGGCTTGCGGACACCTTCCCGAAGCACGGGGCGTCCTCCGGAGGGCGCCCCGTGCTCCGGGCTGCTGCCCGCAAGCCTTGCAAGCCCGCGGGAACTCCCCCAGGCTCGCAAGGCTTGCAGATAGCTTCGATGCCTCTTGCTCTCCAGGCTTCAGCGAAAGCCTGCATTCGCCCCATAGGACGCACACACATTTCCCCTTCATTTTTGGAGGGGGAAAAGTGCGTCCTATAGGGCGAAAAATACGGTATTGTAATGATGGGTATGAATCTTAGTGAAAATGGGTGGAACTCCACCTTGTTTTATTCAGATCATTCTCTCTGTGCAAGCTTTTCAGTTTGCCAAATGGAAGAATCCCTCTCTCCTCTCCCTGCGTGTTGCTCTGGGATGGAAAGACTCTCCAGATGTCCTAAAGACAATTTATAATGAATAATTCTAGTGACAAGAGGAGGTGAGAGATTTGTTCTGTCTCAGAAAAACCCTGTCTCTCCCCCCCCCCCGCCTCTTTCCCCACAAGGCTCCTTCCCCGCACCTGATCCGGTTCCTCAGCCGCTGCTTCCCCTCCACCAGAACGAAGAGATGGAGGAGGAGGTCTTGCCGGCATCCTTTTTTCACCTGCGAGAGACAAAGGGAAGTGGGGTGACAGGAGTGCATGATGCTTCTCTCAGAGCTGAAGCAGTGCATCTCTGACTACAGATTAAGAAATACTCCCCGGTACCTATTTCAGATTTAATTGTGCAAAATTATTTATCAGGCTCCTCTGGGCTCAGGGCCTCAAGTGTCTTCCCCAAAAAGATCAAAAGAACCACTAGATTACTTTCAACACCAACAGAATAGGACCAAACTGAGAAAATACTCCTTCCTTCTTACCCAGTGGCTTATCTCTGGTGTCCAACAGAGACTTCTCTACTTCAGAGGAATCAGGACACAATTCAGCAAATGGATCCTTTCCCTGAAACAGCAACAAGGATTCAAAACAGAGACGGGGAAAAGAATCAGAATAGGAATGGCAGAGGCAAAAACTTTAGCAGCATCTGATATCCTTCCCTGGATGTTTCCGAAAAAGGATGAGATTTAGGGACCCGCTCCTCCTATTTGGAGCCCCTTGGGAGCATCCAGAGGAAAGTCTCTCTCACCTGCTTCTCCGCCTGCTTCCTCTCCTCCGCCTGACTCAGGAGGAAACCTTCGGCCAGGGCCACTGCCTGGGAACTGGTCTCTGCTCCGCATTCCCTCACCCAGCTCTCCATCTCCGCTGGAAGGACAGCCAGGAACTGCTCCAAGATCACCAGGTCCAGCATCTCAGCTTTCGTGTGCCTTTCTGGCTTCAGCCACTGGTGGCAAAGGTGGTAGAGCTGGCTGCAAACCTCACGGGGTCCTTCAGCCTCCTGGTAACAGAACCAGCTGAACTGCTGGCTCTGCACCTCTGAGCGAAGGGTGTCCTCCTCTCCCAGGATCTTCTGCACAGAGCTCTCCCAGAATCCTGCACTGCTTCCCGTTTCCATGACCGGGCCTCTTCCTGCTTCAGGGCCAGCTGAGTCTTGCTCATCCATCTTCGCTCTCAGGAAGCCTCCAAGAGACAGGAAAGATCCCCTTGGTCCTCTGCCAAGTTCTGTTTGTCCAAATTAGAGGCGCTAGAAAAGCCAACAAAGAAAAAACATTATAAAATTATAAAATCACAACACTGTTATAAAATCACAACACGGACAAGAGAAGAAAAATATTCCCTGAGCAAGCGAGGATGAGTCTCGCTAGGAACCAAGGCTGGATTGCAGCACTGGCCGGACTTTGAGCTTTGCTTAAGAAGAGAAAGGAGAAGTAATGCTCTTGCCCTCCTAGAAGGAAAATGACCATCCCAGATGTGCAGGCAAGTGAAGGCATTTCTGTGAAATGAATCAGCCTGGTTGATCCTGCCTGTCAGTGTTTGCAGTCAAGGAATAAAGTCAGAACGGCGATTGACAAGTGAGTCATTCGTACCAAGTGTAACGTGGAAACCAGGCTATAGCGAGGAGTTCCCACCTCCTCAAGACAAACTACTGAGATGGGGTCCTTTTTCCCTTGTTCTGAGGGCCAGAACTTCATCAGGGAAACACCCTGAGGGCCAAGTGGGTGAGGTCAAAGGACAGTACTCAAAAGCAGGTAAAGTAGGACCTAGCTTCTTTCTGTGATTGCAACTGTTTTCAAGGTTGTGTTTTAATCCGGGAATTTGCCCTGGGAATTCAGGAGGGTGGCTGTGTCCTTAATAATGTGACACAGCGCAACCCCCACATCTGCGTGGGGTACTTCTGGATCCAACATAGTCCCTTGAGTGTCCACTTCAACATCCCACTAGTGTGCCAACCTCAGTCCCTTTGTGGCCAGGGGACTCCACGCTCTGCTTCTGGTGGGATATTTGCAATGCCCTCCATGCGAAGCTGCGCTTGAAGATGACTCGGAAAGCGATGGAAAGCAGGGACCAAATTACGGGCTGGCTTCCCTCTCTTTATTCACGGCATTTCTATTCACCTTTCCCCCCATGAACTCCAAAAGGCAGCCATGGGTCTCGCTCATTCGTATCCTGACCAGCATTTGAGTGGCGATTCCTGCATTGCTCATCTTTGGCCTAGGTGACTCTCGTGGTTCCCTCCCCACCCTAGAATTCTGAAATTCAATTCAACCCCCCCCCCCCGGATCCTTTGCAGAGAGGACCCTCTGCTCCCTGATTTGGGTGGGTCTCCCTTCACCCTCCCCTTCCCCCCAAAGCACCCCAGGCAAGAAGAGAGAGACTCACTCGATGCCGGAGGCGCCTCCGAGGAGACAACAGCTGCCTCTTGACAGGAAGGGGCTGGGGAGGGCGGGGCTTGGACACCTTCATTTCTGGTCCTCTCTAGGAATCCAGCTCAGCTCCTCTTAACCCGGCTGAAAGACCCAGATGAAATCTCGTTGGAACAAATCTCGCGGCAACATTTCACGAGCCATTTCCTCCGCGGGTTCTTGTCTCTCTTCTTCTCTTTGCCTGCCCCTTCCTTCTGCCCCAGCAATGAGAGCTCAGCGCCCCCTCAGAGCAGCCCCACTTTCAAGGCAGTTCCAGAAAGCGGCAATACTAAGCAGTGGGTCGGGGGTGGGGGAGAGAGATGGACAGCTGAGGCCGGGCCGAGTCTGGAGCTGCAGTCCCTCAGAAACGCCACCAGGGGGCGGGGCCTCTCTCTGATTGGCTATCCAGACAGACAGAGGCGGGGGCGGAGCCAGCCCTTTTGGCGGGAAGATGAGGAGCCTTTTCTGAGGGAGTTTTGAGGCTGGAGCTGAGATGGGAGGAAGGGAGGAGGAGGAGGAGAGGCTGAGTCTGAGGGAGAAGTGGCTCTGGCCTGAGGAGAATCTCGGGGGCCAGAAGGAGGAGAGAGGAAGAGGGGCTGAGTCGGGGGGGGGGGGAGAAGAGGGCCGAGGGATCCCCTGGGTCTGGCGCCCAAAATAAAAGGCCTCAGGAGGGGCATTGCTGAGAGACAGGGAGGCTGAGGGAAAGGAACCTGGGCTGGGTCAAAAGGATTGAACTGCTACACCTCCATAACTAAGGAAAGGAGTGAGTGAAAAGTAACAGAAACCGAAATGAGCATTTTCCCACTTCGTCTAGAAACAGGAACATCTGTTTACCTGAAGTGTAACAGCTCATTTTAACAACTGAAGTTTAAGGAAAGCTATGCATATCCTACTGGTCTACCTTATAGGAATGTTATAAAAGTTTTTTTATATTAAGAACTTTGAAATGTACCACACGGAGGCTGTTTCCCCCCCATGTTGCGCCCACCCCTCCTGCTCCCTCTTCCCTCTGCATTCAGGGGGCACAGCTGGGCCTTTCACCAGCCCCCTCCTTATTCCCACTGCCACCCCAGAACTCTGACCTGAACACTTCACCCCCAACATAGTGAAGAATGAGGTGTGAGGTGGAGTACAACTGATTTATTAAAAACAAACACTAATTTCAAGATAACTTGGTGTAGATAAGTTAGGGCTGCCATAAGTCCAGATTTTCTTGGATCTTAGCTAAATCAATAAAAAAATCAGGTTATTTTGGCATTGTCATAAAATTTGGGGGGGTTCCTAAAAAAAGCACAACAATGTTGGGGTCTTCCTAAAAAATGCTCAACAGCTTTCAGGGTGTCCTGCTTTTTACTTTTTCAAATATGGCAACCCTAACATAAGTGTATGGTTTCAAATCTTCCAGTTTTTTCTGTTCATTCTTCATTACTTTAGTACTACTGTAACAATGGGTATTACAAGGATGTTCCTCTACTACTGAGCTCAACCTCCAACTGTTTCCTTGCAGGCTTTCTCCACCAGCCTGAGGGGGCCAGATCCAAGGTGATGAATAGATGGACTCCAGCTACAAAAGCTGAGACTGCGGAAGAGGACAGAGACCATCTTGGCTGTGAGTCCTCTAAGACCTTCTCCTTCCTTGCAGGCCTTTTCCCATGTGGCCTAGGAAAGTCCAGACTGACTCCAGCTACAAAAGCTGGAGCCGCTGAACAAACACCTGGGCTTAGCAGGTTTGTTGTTGCTACAGGTTTTTATGGAGCACTTTCAAAAACGCTTCAGAATGTGCCATGCGGAGGTTGTTTCTCTCCCATGTATAATTAAAGCTCTGGTTTTCCCAGTAGTGATGTATGGAAGTGAGAGCTGGACCATAAAGAAGGTTGATCGCAGGAGAATTGATGCTTTTGAATTCTGGTGCTGGAGGAGACTCTTGAGAGTCCCACGGACTGCAAGAAGATCAAACCTCTCCATTCTGAAGGAAATCAGCCCTGAGTGCTCACTGGAAGGACAGATCCTGAAGCTGAGGCTCCAAGACTTTGGCCACCTCATGAGAAGACTCCTTGGAAAAGACCCTGATGTTGGGAAAGATGGAGGGCACAAGGAGAAGGGGAGGACAGAGGACGAGATGGTGGGACAGTGTTCTCGAAGCTACCAGCATGAGTCTGACCAAACTGCGGGAGGCAGTGGAAGACAGGAGTGCCTGGCGTGCTCTGGTCCAGGGGGTCACGAAGAGGCAAACACGACTAAACAACTCAACAACAACAACAATTGCATTTAAAAGGACATTGAATATTAAATCTGTCTAAGGCCATCCTTTCGAGTTCCCCGCCAATCACCTCTCACCCCCAGCATTCCAAACTGGCCCTCCCCTCCCTAGCAATGACCCTCAGCGTCCCTTCCAGCACTACAATCTTATAATTCTATTATATTCCCCGCTGCAAGTTATTTGATGGGAAGTGAAGCTTTCAATCAAGATGAAGCTCTTTCCACATTTCAAGCACTATTAGGGTTTCTCTGTCATATGAATTCTTTGATGGGAAGTGAGACTTTTCTTGTGGGTGAAGCTCGTTCCACATTCCAAGCACTGAAACGCTTTCTCCCCTGTATGAATTCTTTGATGAGAAGTGAGATGGGACCTCTGACTGAAGCACTTTCCACATTCCAAGCACTGGTATGGTTTCTCCCTTGTATGAATTCTTTTATGGGCTTTGAGATGTGAGCTGTGATTGAAGCTCTTCCCACATTCCAGGCACTGATAGGGTTTCTCCCTTGTATGAATTCTTTGATGGGAAGTGACATAGGCCTTTGAACTGAAGCTCTTCCCGCATTCCAAGCACTGAAACGGTTTCTCCCCTGTATGAATTATTTGATGGGTAGTGAGATGGGACCTCTGACTGAAGCGCTTTCCACATTCCAAGCACTGATATGGTTTCTCCCTTGTATGAATTCTTTCATGGATAGTGAGTTGGGACCTCTGATTGAAGCTGTTCCCACATTCCAGGCACTGATAGGGTTTCTCCCTTGTATGAATTCTTTGATGGGAAGTGACATAGGCCTTTGAACTGAAGCTCTTTCCACATTCCAAGCACTGATATGGTTTCTCCCCTGTATGAATTCTTTCATGATAACTGAGACTGGAGCTCTGGCTAAAGCGCTTTCCACATTCCAAGCACCGATATGGTTTCTCCCCTGTATGAATTCTTTCATGGATAGTGAGATGGGACCTCTGATTGAAGCTCTTCCCACATTCCAGGCACTGATAGGGTTTCTCCCTTGTATGAATTCTTTGATGGGAAGTGACATTGGCCTTTGTAATGAAGCTCTTCCCACATTCCAAGCACTGATATGGTTTCTCTCCTTTATGAAATCTTTGATGGACCGTGAGATAAGAGCTGCGACTGAAGCTCTTCCCACATTCCAAGCACTGATACTTTTTCTTCCCAGTGGGAATTCTTGGATGGGATAAGGAATGAGAGCTCTCTCCATACTCCACATATTGATAGGGTTCTCCACTGTGTGGATTTTGTCATGGATTCGCTGGTTCTTAATTTCTAATTCATCACCACCTGCAACAAAGAGAGATATGGATTTTCAACATCTACATGCAGCCACTGGGAGAGATCATCAGGGGGTTTGGGCTGGGTGTTTGTCAGTATGATGATGATACCCAGCTCTACCTCTCTTTCAAATCAGAACCAGTGAAGGCGGTGAAGGTCCTGTGTGAGTGTCTAGAGGCGGTTGGAGGATGGTTGGCGGCTAACAGATTGAGGTTGAATCCTGACAAGACAGAAGTACTCTTTTAGGGGGACAGGAGGCGGGCGGGTGTGGAGGACTCTCTGGTCCTGAATGGGCTAACTGTGCCCCTGAAGGACCAGGTGCGCAGCCTGGGAGTCATTTTGGACTCTCAGCTTTCCATGGAGGCGCAGGTCAATTCTGTTTCCAGGGCAGCTGTCTACCAACTTCACCTGGTACGCAGGCTGAGACCCTACCTGCCTGCCTGTGTACTGTCTGGCCAGAGCGGTGCATGCTCTAGTTATCTCTCGCTTAGACTACTGCAATGCGCTCTATGTGGGGCTACCATTGAAGGTGACCCAGAAAGACAAACAGGTCAAATCACTGATGATACATTGAGCAATGGATATATGATATAACATTGAAATGGCAGCATGGGAAATATTGTGGAATGGAGAACTGAAATTTACAGCATGTTATGAGTTAAAAGAACACTATAGGAAAATGATGTATAGATGGCATTTGACTCCTAGTAACTTAGCTAAAATGTACAAGACCAAATCAAATGCCTGCTGGGAATGTCAAGGGAAGTATATTCCCTTGTTGTTTCACATGTTGTGTTCGTGTAAGATAGTAAAAGTCTTCGGGGAAATGATTTATAATGAGTTGAAAAAAATGCTGAAAATAATCTTTGTTAAAAAAACCGGAAGCTTCCCTTTCAGGTATAATGAGGGGAAAGGTACGCAAAGATGAGGGGGAAAACCTGTTTATGTATGCTACCACAGCTGCCTGAATGGTATAGGCCCAAAGATGGAAAGAAAAAGCAGTACCAACAAAAGAAGATTGGCAGTTAAAAAAGGCTCCCTTTACCTTTTATAAGAATGAAGCCTCCTTTTAAAAGGTTTGGGCAGTTCAGACCAGCCTGATCTCTGTTTAAGGTAAAGGGACTCCTGACAATTAAGATCTCTGTTTAGAAAGGCACAATTGGAGGAAGTATATTCCCAGACCAAACAGTCCTCCATTCAAGGTGACTTGTTGGAAGCCCAGCTGCTGAAGGCAGCGCTATTGAGTTCCATCACAATAGAGATATATGTATGGAATTGCAAAACAGATCTCATGATCCAACTAGGAGCCTTACTGAGAGAGGCCAGGATACCACGATTCTCCTCTGTAACCTCCTTATGCAGAGCTCTCTGGGCAGGATCCAGCAACGCCCACTCCTCAGCCAGTAAAACAAACAGCGACATCTTCAAAAGAAACTGAGCTCTGAAAGAAAAATATCCTGCAAGATTATTTCCTGCATGTTGCTCTTTTGCTTCCTGCCTGGATTGTTTTAATCAGATTGGTCTGCTGCACATTTAGATTATTGATGCTTATTTTAATGCTTTAATGGAGTCCTTCATAGTGTACCGTATTTTTCGCCCTATAGGACGCACCGGCCCATAGGACGCACCTAGATTTTGGGTGGGGGAAATAAAGGGGGAAAAAATTATTCCCCCCCCCCCAGGCGCAGGGCTGGGGCGGGGGAAGCCAGAGCTTCCCCCGACCCCAGCTCCCAGAACGGGACCCAGAGCCATGCCGAAGCTGCGTGCAGCTTTGGCATCGCTCTGGGAGGTTGCGGGGCTGGGGGGCGGAGACCCCAGCCCCCAGAACAGGCTGCCGCCCCAAGCCTTGCGCGCCCGGTGGGACCTCCTGCCGGGCGCGGGAGGCTTGCGGACACCTTCCCGAAGCACGGGGCGTCCTCCGGAGGGCGCCCCGTGCTCCGGGCTGCTGCCCGCAAGCCTTGCAAGCCCGCGGGAACTCCCCCAGGCTCGCAAGGCTTGCAGATAGCTTCGATGCCTCTTGCTCTCCAGGCTTCAGCGAAAGCCTGCATTCGCCCCATAGGACGCACACACATTTCCCCTTCATTTTTGGAGGGGGAAAAGTGCGTCCTATAGGGCGAAAAATACGGTATTGTAATGATGGGTATGAATCTTAGTGAAAATGGGTGGAACTCCACCTTGTTTTATTCAGATCATTCTCTCTGTGCAAGCTTTTCAGTTTGCCAAATGGAAGAATCCCTCTCTCCTCTCCCTGCGTGTTGCTCTGGGATGGAAAGACTCTCCAGATGTCCTAAAGACAATTTATAATGAATAATTCTAGTGACAAGAGGAGGTGAGAGATTTGTTCTGTCTCAGAAAAACCCTGTCTCTCCCCCCCCCCCGCCTCTTTCCCCACAAGGCTCCTTCCCCGCACCTGATCCGGTTCCTCAGCCGCTGCTTCCCCTCCACCAGGACGAAGAGATGGAGGAGGAGGTCTTGCCGGCATCCTTTTTTCACCTGCGAGAGACAAAGGGAAGTGGGGTGACAGGAGTGCATGATGCTTCTCTCAGAGCTGAAGCAGTGCATCTCTGACTACAGATTAAGAAATACTCCCCTGTACCTATTTCAGATTTAATTGTGCAAAATTATTTATCAGGCTCCTCTGGGCTCAGGGCCTCAAGTGTCTTCCCCAAAAAGATCAAAAGAACCACTAGATTACTTTCAACACCAACAGAATAGGACCAAACTGAGAAAATACTCCTTCCTTCTTACCCAGTGGCTTATCTCTGGTGTCCAACAGAGACTTCTCTACTTCAGAGGAATCAGGACACAATTCAGCAAATGGATCCTTTCCCTGAAACAGCAACAAGGATTCAAAACAGAGACGGGGAAAAGAATCAGAATAGGAATGGCAGAGGCAAAAACTTTAGCAGCATCTGATATCCTTCCCTGGATGTTTCCGAAAAAGGATGAGATTTAGGGACCCGCTCCCTCCTATTTGGAGCCCCTTGGGAGCATCCAGAGGAAAGTCTCTCTCACCTGCTTCTCCGCCTGCTTCCTCTCCTCCGCCTGACTCAGGAGGAAACCTTCGGCCAGGGCCACTGCCTGGGAACTGGTCTCTGCTCCGCATTCCCTCACCCAGCTCTCCATCTCCGCTGGAAGGACAGCCAGGAACTGCTCCAAGATCACCAGGTCCAGCATCTCAGCTTTCGTGTGCCTTTCTGGCTTCAGCCACTGGTGGCAAAGGTGGTAGAGCTGGCTGCAAACCTCACGGGGTCCTTCAGCCTCCTGGTAACAGAACCAGCTGAACTGCTGGCTCTGCACCTCTGAGCGAAGGGTGTCCTCCTCTCCCAGGATCTTCTGCACAGAGCTCTCCCAGAATCCTGCACTGCTTCCCGTTTCCATGACCGGGCCTCTTCCTGCTTCAGGGCCAGCTGAGTCTTGCTCATCCATCTTCGCTCTCAGGAAGCCTCCAAGAGACAGGAAAGATCCCCTTGGTCCTCTGTCAAGTTCTGTTCGTCCAAATTAGAGGCGCTAGAAAAGCCAACAAAAAAAAATTGTTCTGTTATAAAATCACAACACGGACAAGAGGAGAAAAATGTTCCCTGAGCAAGCAAGGATGAGTCTCGCTAGGAACCAAGGCTGGACTGCAGCACTGGCCGGACTTTGAGCTTTGCTTAAGAAGAAAAAGGAGAAGTAATGCTCTTGCCCTCCTAGAAGGAAAATGACCATCCCAGATGTGCAGGCAAGTGAAGGCATTTCTGTGAAATGAATCAGCCTGGTTGATCCTGCCTGTCAGTGTTTGCAGTCAAGGAATAAAGTCAGAACGGCGATTGACAAGTGAGTCATTCGTACCAAGTGTAACGTGGAAACCAGGCTATAGCGAGGAGTTCCCACCTCCTCAAGACAAACTACTGAGATGGGGTCCTTTTTCCCTTGTTCTGAGGGCCAGAACTTCATCAGGGAAACACCCTGAGGGCCAAGTGGGTGAGGTCAAAGGACAGTACTCAAAAGCAGGTAAAGTAGGACCTAGCTTCTTTCTGTGATTGCAACTGTTTTCAAGGTTGTGTTTTAATCCGGGAATTTGCCCTGGGAATTCAGGAGGGTGGCTGTGTCCTTAATAATGTGACACAGCGCAACCCCCACATCTGCGTGGGGTACTTCTGGATCCAACATAGTCCCTTGAGTGTCCACTTCAACATCCCACTAGTGTGCCAACCTCAGTCCCTTTGTGGCCAGGGGACTCCACGCTCTGCTTCTGGTGGGATATTTGCAATGCCCTCCATGCGAAGCTGCGCTTGAAGATGACTCGGAAAGCGATGGAAAGCAGGGACCAAATTATGGGCTGGTTTCCCTCTCTTTATTCACGGCATTTCTATCCACCTTTCCCCATGAACTCCAAAAGGCAGCCATGGGTCTCGCTCATTCGTATCCTGACCAGCATTTGAGTGGCGATTCCTGCATTGCTCATCTTTGGCCTAGGTGACTCTCGTGGTTCCCTCCCCACCCTAGAATTCTGAAATGCAATTCAACCCCCCCCCCGGATTCTTTGCAGAGAAGACCCTCTGCTCCCTGATTTGCGGGGGTCTCCCTTCCCCTCCCCCCCAAAGCACCCCAGGCAAGAAGAGAGAGACTCACTCGATGCCGGAGGCGCCTCCGAGGAGACAACAGCTGCCTCTTGACAGGAAGGGGCTGGGGAGGGCGGGGCTTGGACACCTTCATTTCTGGTCCTCTCTAGGAATCCAGCTCAGCTCCTCTTAACCCGGCTGAAAGACCCAGATGAAATCTCGTTGGAACAAATCTCGCGGCCACATTTCACGAGCCATTTCCTCCGCGGGTTCTTTTCTCTCTTCTTCTCTTTGCCTGCCCCTTCCTTCTGCCCCAGCAATGAGAGCTCAGCGCCCCCTCAGAGCAGCCCCACTTTCAAGGCAGTTCCAGAAAGCGGCAGGGGTGCAATACTAAGCAGTGGGTCGGGGGTGGGGGAGAGAGATGGACAGCTGAGGCCGGGCCGAGTCTGGAGCTGCAGTCCCTCAGAAACGCCACCAGGGGGCGGGGCCTCTCTCTGATTGGCTATCCAGACAGACAGAGGCGGGGGCGGAGCCAGCCCTTTTGGCGGGAAGATGAGGAGCCTTTTCTGAGGGAGTTTTGAGGCTGGAGCTGAGATGGGAGGAAGGGAGGAGGAGGAGGAGAGGCTGAGTCTGAGGGAGAAGTGGCTCTGGCCTGAGGAGAATCTCGGGGGCCAGAAGGAGGAGAGAGGAAGAGGGGCTGAGTCGGGGGGGGGGGGAGAAGAGGGCCGAGGGATCCCCTGGGTCTGGCGCCCAAAATAAAAGGCCTCAGGAGGGGCATTGCTGAGAGACAGGGAGGCTGAGGGAAAGGAACCTGGGCTGGGTCAAAAGGATTGAACTGCTACACCTCCATAACTAAGGAAAGGAGTGAGTGAAAAGTAACAGAAACCGAAATGAGCATTTTCCCACTTCGTCTAGAAACAGGAACATCTGTTTACCTGAAGTGTAACAGCTCATTTTAACAACTGAAGTCTAAGGAAAGCTATGCATATCCTACTGGTCTACCTTATAGGAATGTTATAAAAGTTTTTTTATATTAAGAACTTTGAAATGTACCACACGGAGGCTGTTTCCCCCCCATGTTGCGCCCACCCCCTCCTGCTCCCTCTTCCCTCTGCATTCAGGGGGCACAGCTGGGCCTTTCACCAACCCCCCCTCCCTTATTCCCACTGCCACCCCAGAACTCTGACCTGAACACTTCACCCCCAACATAGTGAAGAATGAGGTGTGAGGTGGAGTACAACTGATTTATTAAAAACAAACACTAATTTCAAGATAACTTGGTGTAGATAAGTTAGGGCTGCCATAAGTCCAGATTTTCTTGGATCTTAGCTAAATCAATAAAAAAATCAGGTTATTTTGGCATTGTCATAAAATTTGGGGGGGTTCCTAAAAAAAGCACAACAATGTTGGGGTCTTCCTAAAAAATGCTCAACAGCTTTCAGGGTGTCCTGCTTTTTACTTTTTCAAATATGGCAACCCTAACATAAGTGTATGGTTTCAAATCTTCCAGTTTTTCTGTTCATTCTTCATTACTTTAGTACTACTGTAACAATGGGTATTACAAGGATGTTCCTCTACTACTGAGCTCAACCTCCAACTGTTTCCTTGCAGGCTTTCTCCACCAGCCTGAGGGGGCCAGATCCAAGGTGATGAATAGATGGACTCCAGCTACAAAAGCTGAGACTGCGGAAGAGGACAGAGACCATCTTGGCTGTGAGTCCTCTAAGACCTTCTCCTTCCTTGCAGGCCTTTTCCCATGTGGCCTAGGAAAGTCCAGACTGACTCCAGCTACAAAAGCTGGAGCCGCTGAACAAACACCTGGGCTTAGCAGGTTTGTTGTTGCTACAGGTTTTTATGGAGCACTTTCAAAAACGCTTCAGAATGTGCCATGCGGAGGTTGTTTCTCTCCCATGTATAATTAAAGCTCTGGTTTTCCCAGTAGTGATGTATGGAAGTGAGAGCTGGACCATAAAGAAGGTTGATCGCAGGAGAATGGATGCTTTTGAATTCTGGTGCTGGAGGAGACTCTTGAGAGTCCCACGGACTGCAAGAAGATCAAACCTCTCCATTCTGAAGGAAATCAGCCCTGAGTGCTCACTGGAAGGACAGATCCTGAAGCTGAGGCTCCAAGACTTTGGCCACCTCATGAGAGAAGACTCCTTGGAAAAGACCCTGATGTTGGGAAAGATGGAGGGCACAAGGAGAAGGGGAGGACAGAGGACGAGATGGTGGGACAGTGTTCTCGAAGCTACCAGCATGAGTCTGACCAAACTGCGGGAGGCAGTGGAAGACAGGAGGGCCTGGCGTGCTCTGGTCCAGGGGGTCACGAAGAGGCAAACACGACTAAACAACTCAACAACAACAACAATTGCATTTAAAAGGACATTGAATATTAAATCTGTCTAAGGCCATCCTTTCGAGTTCCCCGCCAATCACCTCTCACCCCCAGCATTCCAAACTGGCCCCTCCCCCTCCCTAGCAATGACCCTCAGCGTCCCTTCCAGCACTACAATCTTATAATTCTATTATATTCCCCGCTGCAAGTTATTTGATGGGAAGTGAAGCTTTCAATCAAGATGAAGCTCTTTCCACATTTCAAGCACTATTAGGGTTTCTCTGTCATATGAATTCTGTGATGGGAAGTGAGTGTTTGCTTCAAGGTGAAGCTCTTTCCGCACTCTTGGCATTGAAATGGTTTCTCCCCACTGTGAATTCTCTGATGTCACAGAAGCGCTCTTCTTGCAGTAAAGCCCATCGTGCATTCTAAGGACTGATATAGTTTCTGCCCTGTATGAATTATTTGGTGGGAAGTGAGACTTTTCTTGTGGGTGAAGATCTTTCCACATTCCAAGCATTATTAGGGTTTCTTCCCTCTATGAATTCTTTGATGGTAAGACAAATATATCTTCCAACTGAAGCTCTGTCCACATTCCAAACACTGATAGGGTTTCTGTCTTGTATGAATTATTAGATGGGAAGTGAGACTGGAGCTGCAACTGAAACTCTTTCCACATTCCAAGCACTGATAGGGTTTTTCTCCTGTATGAATTCTTTGATGGGAAGTGAGACGGTCCTTCCTGTCAAAGCTCTTTCCACAATGCAAGCACTGATAGGGTTTCTGCCCTGTATGAATTGTTTGATGGGAAGTGAGATAGGAACTGCAACTGAAGCTCTTTCCACATTCCAAGCACTGATAGGGTTTCTCTCCTGTATGAATTCTTTGATGGGAAGTGAGACGGTCCTTCCTGTCAAAGCTCTTTCCACAATGCAAGCACTGATAGGGTTTCTGCCCTGTATGAATTGTTTGATGGGAAGTGAGAGAGGAGCCCTGACTGAAGCTCTTTCCACAATCTAAGCACTGATACGGTTTCTGCCCTGTATGGATTCTTTGATGGCAAGTGAGATTATCTTTTCTCCTGAAGCTCTTTCCACAATCCAAGCACTGATATGGTTTTTGCCCTGTATGAATTTTTTGATGGCAAGTGAGATTGTCCTTTCTCCTGAAGCTCTTTCCACAAGCCAAGCACAGATATGGTTTCTTCCCAATGGGATTTTGATGAGACATGGAATCGGAGCTGTTAGTGAAGTTATCTCCACATTCCAAAGGCTGATATGGCTTATGCACTGTGTGGATCTTCTCATGGTTTCCCCTGTTCTTCATTTCTAATTCCTCAGCACCTAAAATGAAGAGAGAGGTGAATCAGAGCGTCAGGAAGCCCCCAATTATTGAACAATGCTCATTAGCGCTTGTGATCGAGGAAGAACTGAAAGGATTTAGATGACGAGCGTAAGCAGCGCACCCTTCCCTCCCTCCCTGAGTTTTCTTTCTCCAGAGCAGGAGCCCAGGACCAGCTGCGTGTGTCAGGCACCCCAGAGGTGCTTTCTTTGGGAAAACCTTTTGGCAGACATGCTGAGCTGCTTCTTCCCTTAGATACAGAAGCAGGAGGAACAGCTTCGTGCCCATGGGAAGGTTCAGGAGAAGGGGGGCAGCCCCCACCATTCCTCCTCAGTCCAGCCCCTGACAATAGGAGAGGGGGCAGTGATTCCTACAATTTCTATAATTCCATCAAGATCTTCCTGCCTCTTTCTCACCTTGCCCATCTTTGGTCATCCTGTTTCCGTTTAACAAAAAGGCGAAAGACTTGCGATCGTGAGCAATGATCTGAACCTAGACATCTCTGTCTCCAACCTGCCTTTACACCCCCTTGCCAGGGGGTGGGTGGATCCCACTTTGGAGCTGAGAATCCTGCAATGAGCAACCCTATATTTGCATGTGTTGATAATGCCTGATGTGTGTGAACTCAGGATATTCCTGAATGCCTTTCAGGATGCAGACACCATGGGGGCTTTCATGTCATATTAGAGTTATGTCAATCTCATACAGAGATAAACCATACCATGAATTCAGATTAACACATATCTCCTGATACTCTAGGTGGCAAAGTTGAGATCCATCAAAATCTGGGAGGTTTTTGATCTAAAAATATTGACTGAATTTCTAAACAAGTATTATGACCAAACAGGGAACCTTACCGGGAGAGTTCATGATCCTCCAAGTCTCCTCCATGACTTCCTTATGCAGAGCTCTCTGGGCAGGATCCAGCAACGCCCACTCCTCAGCCGTGAAACAAACAGCAACATCTTCAAAACAAACTGGACCCTAAAAAAAAAAGTCCATTTCTTACACAACATAAAGATTATTTACTGCACATTCCTCTTTCTGCCTGCATTGTATTACTCGGATTTGTTTGTTGCACATTTTGACTGTGGGTGCATAATTTAATGTTTTGGGAACTTTTCATACTTTTCATACTATTTTTAATGATGGGTATGAATCTTAGTGAAAATAGATGGAACTGTATATTTATTTCTTCAAATCATTCTGTCTGTGCAAGCACGCCAGTTTTCCAGATTTGACAGAAGAAAAAAACAGGAGAGAGATTCATTTGCCCCCAGAAACGCCCTGTCTCCCTCACCCCTCATTCTTCCCCCCCCCCAAGGCTCCTTCCCCGCACCTGATCCAGTTCCTCAGCTGCTGCTTCCCCTCCACCAGGATGAAGAGATGGAGGAGGAGGTCTTGCCGGCATCCTTCTTTCACCTGCAAGAGACAAAGGGAAGTGGGGAGACAGGAGTGCAGGATGCTTCTCCCAGAGGTGCACTTGGAGTTTGTCCCCATTTCATATTTTACTTATGTTCAAATATATCTGATCCTTTTTGGGTTCTTGGCCCCAAGTGTCATACCGAAAAATACTGACAGAAACCACAGATTATTTTGAGAATAATAGGATGTGGCCAGACTGAGAAGAAATTCCTTCCTCCTTACCCAGCAGCCTCTCTCTGGTGTCCAACAAAGTCCTCTCTGCCTCAAAGGAATCAGGACCCGTTTCTGCAGACAGATCCTTTTCCTGAAAGAGCAACAAGAATTTGTAATAGAGAATGTGGGGAAGGGTTAGAAAAGGAGTGGCAGAGGAAAAAAACTTCAGATATACCACATCTCATTCCTTGGATGTTTCCGAAAAAGGATGGCCCTCCTGTTTGGAGCCCCTTGGGAGCATCCAGAGGAAAGTCTCTCTCACCTGCTGCTTCTCCACCTGCTTCCTCTCCTCTGCCTGACTCAGGAGGAAACCTTCAGCCAGAGCCACTGCCTGGGAACTGGTCTCTGCTCCGCATTCCCTCACCCAGCTCTCCATCTCCGGCGGAAGGACAGGCAGGAACTGCTCCAAGATCACCAGGTCCAGCATCTCAGCTTTCGTGTGCCTTTCTGGCTTCAGCCACTGGTGGCAAAGGTGGTGGAGTTGGCTGCAAACTTTTCGGGGTCCTTTGGCCTCCTGGGAGCAGAACTGCCTCAACAGCTGGCTCTGCGCCTCTGAGCGAAGGGTGTTCTCCTCTCCCAGGATCTTCTGCCCAGAGCTTTCCCAGAATCCCCCACTGCTCCCAGTTTCCATAGCATGGTCTCTTCCTGCTTCAGGGCCAGCTGAGTCTTGCTCATGCATCTTCACTCTCAGGAAGTCCCCAAAAGATCAGAAGGAACCCCTTGGGCCTCTTCCAAGTTCTGTTCGTCTGAAAATTAGGTGCTGGCAAATTCTACAAACAAATACATTGTTCTGTTATAAAACTTCCTCTTCATCCTGGAGAAGAGTGACTAGTGGGGTGCCACAGGGTTCTGTCTTGGGCCCGGTCTTATTCAACATCTTTATCAACGACTTGGATGATGGACTCAAGGGCATCCTGATCAAATTTGCAGATGACACCAAACTGGGAGGGGTGGCTAACACCCCAGAGGACAGGATCACACTTCAAAACGACTTTGACAGATTAGAGAACTGGGCCAAAACAAACAAGATGAATTTTAACAGGGAGAAATGTAAAGTATTGCACTTGGGCAAAAAAATGAGAGGCACAAATACAAGATGGGTGACACCTGGCTTGAGAGCAGTACATGTGAAAAGGATCTAGGAGTCTTGGTTGACCACAAACTTGACATGAGCCAACAGTGTGACGCGGCAGCTAAAAAGCCAATGCAATTCTGGGCTGCATCAATAGGAGTATAGCATCTAGATCAAGGGAAGTAATAGTGCCACTGTATTCTGCTCTGGTCAGACCTCACCTGGAGTACTGTGTCCAGTTCTGGGCACCACAGTTCAAGAAGGACACTGACAAACTGGAACGTGTCCAGAGGAGGGCAACCAAAATGGTCAAAGGCCTGGAAACGATGCCTTATGAGGAACGGCTAAGAGAGCTGGGCATGTTTAGCCTGGAGAAGAGGAGGTTAAGGGGTGATATGATAGCCATGTTCAAATATATAAAAGGATGTCACATAGAGGAGGGAGAAAGGTTGTTTTCTGCTGCTCCAGAGAAGCGGACACGGAGCAATGGATCCAAACTACAAGAAAGAAGATTCCACCTCAACATTAGGAAGAACTTCCTGACAGTAAGAGCTGTTTGACAGTGGAATTTGCTGCCAAGGAGTGTGGTGGAGTCTCCTTCTTTGGAGGTCTTTAAGCAGAGGCTTGACAACCATATGTCAGGAGTGCTCTGATGGTGTTTCCTGCTTGGCAGGGGGTTGGACTCGATGGCCCTTGTGGTCTCTTCCAGCTCTATGATTCTATGATTCTATGAAAACTGGTACACGGGAAGCAGAAGAAGGTGGTTCCCTGCGTAAGCGTAGATGAGTCTTGGAAGGAACCAGGACTGGACTGCACCCCAGCCCAGACTCTGAGCTTTCTTTAAGGAAAAAAGGAAGAAGTAGAAATCTTCTAGTTATAGTTTGAAACTATTTTTCCTAAAGTGTTTTAATGTTGAAATCTGCCCTGGAATCATAAGGTGAAGCGCATTTAAATACAGTGGTACCTCGGGTTACATACGCTTTAGGTTACAGACTCCGCTAACCCAGAAATAGTGGTTCAGGTTAAGAAGTTTGCTTCAGGGTGAGAACAGAAATTGTGCTTCTGGGCCCAGTTCAAGGTCCTCACAGGAGCCAAATATCTAAACAAAGCCCTCCTTTGCTATACCCCCCCTTGGGGGCTCAGGGGGGCAGAGGGGCCCTCTTGGTGGTTTCCCCACTCAAGAGCTTTGGGTGGCCAAAGAGAGGGCAGCCTGGTGGCGGTTCCTCCTGGGGAATATCCTGCCCCCTTCTCCTCTTGACTGAGCTCTCGGATGCCTGCCCCACCCCACAAGCTTCTTTCACTGAACCCCAGAACTGGAAGGGGCACTGGGGGTCATGTGACCCAACTCCATGCAATGTAGGAATCTCAACTCACACATCCTTGAGAGGTGGACATCCAAACTCTGCTTGGAAACCTTCAGGGAAGCAGAGATTCCTGCATTGCAGGGGGTTGGACTAGATGACCCTCGGGCTCCCTTCCAGCTCTACGATTCCATGTTCCTATGATTCTCACAGGGGCCACCCAGGGGCCTGAATGGGAAGCCCCCCAGCAGGATGGGGCGCAAGAGCCCCTCTCTCCCCCTGCGCTCCTTCCAGCAACTGGGATTCAGCAGCATCGCTGGGGAGACAAGAGCTCAGCCCTCGAGGATGAAGCCAGCAGGAGCCCCTCCTCCTCCTCCCTGGACTTGGGGTCCCCCTGCAGCCCCGGGACCCCCTTCCCCCCACTGCGCCCTCGGGGGGGAGACAGAGAGGAGCCTCACCCCAGGCAGAAGCTGCACAGACCAGCGACCAGAGGCCCCTCTTTGGCCCCGGAGGTCCCGCCCCCTCGCCCCCTCTTTCCTGTCCCCTCTAGGAACCCGGCTCAGTTCCTCTTAACCCTTGGAGCGCCGAGCACCCCACTTCTCCCTCCTTGCTCTGGAGGACCTGCCCCCTCCCGCAGGATTTCCGTCCGCTCTAGGAAGGCAGGTCACTTGCTTTTAACCCTTGGGACGGGGAAGATGTTCTTTCAGGGATTGTTGTTGTTCAGTCGTGTCCGCCTCTTCGTGCCCCCTGGACCAGAGCAGGCCAGGCCCTCCTGCCTCCCGCATTTTATGGTTTAGGAATACGTACATTATTCCTATGGGGAGCCAGAAGCCCCTTGCTGATCAAAGGCCCAGCTTGCCTCACCCAGAGTAGTTTAATTCTGTAGAAGAGAGGAATGGAAGCCAGACTGAGAGAGGGAGGAATTGAATAGTGGGTGGACATAGCAGACGACACAGAGATTTCTCCAAGTACAGTGGTACCTCGGGTTAAGTACTGAATTCGTTCTGGAGGTCTGTACTTAACCTGGAACTGTTCTTAACCTGAAGCACCACTTGAGCTAATGGGACCTCCTGCTGCCGCCGCGCGATTTCTGTTCTCATCCTGAAGCAAAGTTCTTAACCCGAGGTACTATTTCTGGGTTAGCGGAGTCTGTAACCTGAAGTGTATGTAACCCGAGGTACCACTGTAGTTCTTTATAAGTAAGCCGGAACTGGACTAAACTGAAAACAGTTTTATAGGCAGCCAGCTGTCAACATTGTAACAACAACCCGGGGTTTCCTGCCTAAATTAACTGAGGTGGACCTGAGTGAAAACTATGTACACATGATGATACCCCTGGTGGCCAGGGTGAGAACTTCAAGACATAACACCAGGAATTCTATCCGGGAAGAAAAAGCCAGAGGAGGTGCAGCTTTAATAAGGAGACGGGAACAGCAGAATGACCTAGCAGTGTCTATTATTCTGGATAGTATTTCAGACAGTCAAATGGTCCACACTGATGGATTTTATTAATAATGATTTAAAAATCAGGACATTTGCCACTCTCATAGATGGCAAACCAAGGTTCAGGCTCACTGATGTCATTGGCCATCTGAGAAAAGTGTGTGGAGAAAAGAGCAATCACTCCAGCCAGGAATGGAAATTCCAGTGATTCAAAATACATGTCACAGTCTCAGAAGAGAGCCAAGGCTCCATCCCAAAGAGTCATTTGCTTCAGATATAACAAAGAGGGACACGTATCCCGATTTTGTGAAGCTCCAAACCAGCAAAATACCCTTCATTTTAGGAACCAAATCAAAATCAGAGAAGCAGAGATCAAGAAAGCAATCTTCTTTTGCAACAGAAGCATCTAGCTGTAAACAGATGTGATACAAAAAGAAAGAACTCAAACCAATGGTTGCTCGATTATGGATGTTCTTCATATATGTGTTAGGATGAAGATTTACTTGGCGGCCTGGACAATCTTAAGCTGTCAGTGGGGATGGCCATATTCCAATTGCAAATGGAGAAGCCATCAAGTGATACATTACAGGTTCAGGAACCCAAAACTGAAAGGCAAACAGTCAATGAAGAGATAACCATGTGGAGAGTGTCATATATATGTCTCACACTTTGAATAAAACTCACCAGAAACCAACAAGCTACTATTCTAAGCACTTATGCACAAACACTGGGTGCTGATGAAGACATTAAAGAACATTTATACTCTCAGTATAAAGACGCCTATCAGAGGCGCCTATCAGAGGAGGATCAAATTATTCTCCTGGGTGATTTTAATGCAAGAGTTGGGCGAGATTTCGATCTGGGGCCTGGGAATATTGGGAAAGGAGGAACTGGCAACAGCAACCAGAACGCAATGTTACTTTTGACAATATGTGCAGTGCACTACCTAATTGTCTGAGCTGAAGATTGAATTGCAACCTGGCCAGTGACCAAAGATGGCCAGGTGTGTGCAGAAGTGATTTGATGAAGACGGCCTATGAGACTAATCTCTCAGAAATCCAGACTGCAGACGTGGCACACAAAAGCCAGAAGGACGACGCAGACCCAGAACTCTGTGCTTGGGGACAACCAAGTGTGTAAGTTGCATTACTAAGTAAACCTCTTTTCCCGCCACGCACTGAAAAGAGAAGTACCAGGGTGCTAGATTTAATCGCCGGGGATGTGTGTGGTCCACCCAGGGGTGAATGTGCCATAGGGGTTCGTAGCTGTCGGGTTTTTTGCATCTCTGTTTTTTAGCTCCTTGGGATCTATGTGGAAATGGTTCATTGTGGTTGGACTTTTTTATGCTCCCTTCCAACTCTACAACTCCATGATCCTATGATTCTCACAGGGGGCTCAAGGGGAAGCCCCCCAGCAGGATGGGGCGCAAGATCCCCTCTCTCCCCCTGCGCTTCCTTCCAGCAACTGGGATTCAGAAGCATCTCTGGGGAGACAAGAGCTCAGCCCTCCTGCATGAAGCCAAGCAGAGCCTCTCCTCCTCCTCCCTGCCCTGGTCCCAGCCTGGCCTCCTGGGGCAGGGAGTTCCATAGGCTTGACTCTGCACTGCACCAAGAAGCGCTTTCTTTTCTCTGCCCCCTCCCTTCTCCAAACATATTTCTTTGCTCTCAGGAAGTCTCCAAAAGATCAGAAGGAACCCCTTGGTTCTCTGTCAAGTTCTGTCTGTCCGAATGAGAGGTGCTGGCAAACTCTACAAAGGAAATATATTGTTCTGTTATAAAATTGACCCGCTGTCAGGAGAATAGAACGGTTCTCTGAGCAAGTGTGGATGAGTCTTGCTAGGAACCAGGACTGGACTGCACCACAGGCCAGACTCTGAGCTTTGTTGAAGAAGGAAGGAAGAAGGAAGGAGGAGAAGAAGAAATCCTCTTTGACCAGGCCAAAAGTGGAGGCAACGGAAGGGATTTCTGTCCGACGAAGGAGCCTGGTGGCTCCTGCCTCTCGGTGTTTTCAGCCCAGGGATAGAAGCAGAACAGTGATGGAGAAGTGAATCATTTGTTCCAAGTGTGGACACTATTGAGGGTCCTCATCCTGGGCTCCTCAAGAGTTGCTCTCCATCCCAGCCCCTTCAGGACACATTTCTGCTTCTAGCACTTTGCATCTCCAACATCTCCAGACAGACTCCTGGGGTGGGATCCCTTTTTCTTGTTCTGAGGGCCAAATCCTGATCTGGCCAAGCCCCTGAGGGCCACATGCATGAGACTAAGGTTCATGTGAGCGGGAAAGTGCTAAAAAGCCAGGAAAAGAACAACTCAGTTTCTTTCTGTCACTGCAACTTGTTTTAAATGGTTTTAATGGTGTCCTCTTCCCTGGGAACTTAAGGGAAAGCATGGGTTATAAATTAATAATATTAATAATAATAATAAGTGTTACACAGCTTAACCCCCGCAGAGCCAGATATGCGTTGCTATTTGGAAACCCCTGAGGAGTGGGATTGCCAAGAGAGAGGGGAAGTGACGGAAAGGGAGCCCCAGTTTTAAGCAGAGAAGGAAGCTGGGCTGCGTCCAAAGGATTGAACTCAGAACTGAGTAAAGGAATGAGAGGGAGGAAAGAGGAACCGAGTGAAGCATTTCACCTCCTCTTCTAGAAAGTGGAACATCTACCTTTGATTTTTAGCCAGAGAAGTTGAAGAGAAGCTGTGCGTTTACTTCTTTGTTTTAACGGCTGAAAGCTCTTTAGGTTTAGTGTCATGAATAAGTTCACTGTTTCCTGAAAGGACACAACTCCTGACCCTTCTTTGTTTTACCAACTTGGTTTTGTAAATGAAACCTTTCTTATCCGTTCAACGTCTCCCTGAGTCTCCAAGCATCTAAGGTTTCCCTCACACAAAATCCAAGAGAGAACCTGTGGTGGTTAAATATATATATATCTCTAGGAGTCCTAGAGAGTTGGAGGGTTTGCCTCAAATGGTGGAAGAGTCATGACAGGAAGTATAACTCAGGAGGAGAATGAATTCCGGCAGAAAGTTGTCTATTTTGTGAGGGAAAGAGAGTTCTGTGAGGAGAAGGCCCCACCGTGACCCAGGACTCCTGAAGGGAAGAGAGAGTCAGGCAGAAGCAGAAACGGAGGGAAAACCTCTGAGGGAATTTCAGTCAGGAGACAAAATGGAGGAAACCCAAACCTGACAGAGAAGCTCAGGCTTTGAAGAAAACAGATTCAGTTGGCGGGAAAAAGGCGGACAAGGAAAAAGAGGCTGCGCTGAAGAGAAAACGTCAAATATTGTGAGCCAAAACTCAGGCGGAAGATGCAGAAAGAGGCCCAAAAAGAAATGTCCCTCAGGCACAGGAGATGCAGCTGAGGGCAGAGAAGGGAGAAATGAATTCCCTCAGGGGGAAAAAGGGGAAATTCCCAGAGACCAGGCGGGAAAATGCAGGGAAGAAGGAGCCTTTCTGCTTGGTCTTGAAAGGACTCTGTTGTCCCAAAGGGGAGAAAACGGAAATCGCTTCAGAGACACTGGTCAAGCGGAGCAGAGCCGGCCGGGGAGAGAGTTATGGGGAGGACTATAAATGCAATTAATAATAATAATAATAATAATTAATAATAATAATGGCAGCCAAGGAGGGGCTGAGGGGATTGAGGGATCTGAGGGGACTTGAATCCAGGCCAAGATGGTGCAAAGAGAGGCCAGAATCTGGCAGGGAAATGGTGGCCTGGAGGCTGAGGCGAAGGAGGCAGGAACTATTATTTTATTCATTTAATTGATTTTCATTTTATGAAATGACAGGAATTAGGGTGCCTTTGGGCTGTTTATCTATTCCCACTTGTGTCTGCCTGAACCCACATTCGCAGACGTGAATACAGATGCCTTTAATCTGATTATTCTTGCATTTGGAAGCTGCCTAGCAGAGATCAGAAACTCTGGTGCGGTTTTTAATAATGTTGGCGCAGATTTTGTTTAAGAGGACAGTTCCATCAAGGATGCGAAGACAAGTTATACTTCATTTTTCTATTTGCCACCAAAGAAACCAGTTTTGAACGTTAAGGTTTTTTTTAAAAAAGATATATTATGCAGATTAGCCCCCTAGTCTTCATTCATAGCTGCAGGGAGAACTTACAAATACATTAATTAAAATATGTAGGATTATGACGAGACTCAATTCAATACTGCAGATTTCATGCATCAGAGGTTTTAATTAATTTCATTAGTATACTGCTCTGGCCCCTCCCCCTCCCTATCAGCTAACATTACCTTAAATCTATTCTATTACTGTACTTTCTATTATTACATTAATTACTTTGTTAGAGGTGTATACACGTTTAAATACAAACACCAGAACATCACACTCAAATTTTAAGGCACAACATCCAAGAGTCTCCTTGAGAGTAAGACCTGGATGAAGCTGGTTGAGGATCTTGGGGGGGGGGCAGGGACTGAGGGGAAAGCTGTTTCCTGGTCCTGGTGGATCTCTCAGCGGCCTTTGAAGAAGAAGAGGAGTTTGGATTTGACATCCCGCTTTATCACTACCCTAAGGAGTCTCAAAGCGGCCAACATTCTCCTTTCCCTTCCTCCCCCACAACAAACACTCTGTGAGGTGAGTGGGGCTGAGAGACTTCAGAGAAGTGTGACTGGCCCAAGGTCACCCAGCAGCTGCAGGTGGAGGAGCGGGGAAGCGAACCCGGTTCACCAGATTACGAGTCCACCCCTCTTCACCACACCACACTGGCTCCCATCAACCATGACATCCTTCTTTGACACCATCAACCATGACATCCTTCTTAAACGTCCAGAGGAGCTGGGGGCACTGTCATACAGTGGTTCCGCTCCTTCCTCCTGGGCCGTGTCAGGAAAGTGGTGGTGGGGGATAAGTGTTCAGACCCCTGGGCTCTCACTTGTGGGGTGCCCCAGGACTCTGTCCTCCCCCCATGCTTTTAACATCTATATGAAGATGCTGGGAGAGATCAGGGGTTTTTGGCTAGGTGTTCATCAATATGCGGATGACACCCAGCTCTACCTCTCTTTTTAATCAGAACCAGTGAAGGTCCTGTATGAGTGCCTGGAGGCAGTTGGAGGATGGCTAACAGATTGAGGTTGAATCCTGACAAGACAGAAGTAGTTTTCGGGGGGACGGGGCAGGTGGGTGTGGGGGACTCCCTGGTCCTAAATGGGGTCACTGTGCCCGTGAAGGACCAGGTGCGCAGCCTGGGAGTCATTTTGAGCGCCAGTGTGGTGTAGTGGTTAAGAGTGGTAGACTCGTAATCTGGTGAACCGGGTTCGCGTCTCTGCTCCTCCACATGCAGCTGTTGGGTGACCTTGGGATAGTCACACTTCTCTGAAGTCTCTCAGCCCCACTCACCTCACAGAGTGTTTGTTGTGGGGGAGGAAGGGAAAGGAGAATGTTAGCCACTTTGAGACTCCTTAAAGGGAGTGAAAGGCGGGATATCAAATCCAAACTCTTCTTCTTCTTCTTCTTGGACTCACAGCAGTCCATGGAGGCACAGGTCAAGTCTGTGTCCCGGGCAGCTGTCTACCACCTCTATTTGGTACGCAGGCTGAGACCCTACCTGCCCGCGGACTGTCGTGCCAGAGTAGTGCATGCTCTAGGTATCTCCCGCTTGGACTACTGCAATGCGCTCTATGTGGGGCTACCGTTGAAGGTGACCCGGAAACTACAACTAATCCAGAATGCGGCAGCCAGACTGGTGACTGGGATCAGCCGCCGAGACCATATAACACCAGTCTTGAAAGACCTACACTGGCTCCCAGTATGTTTCCGAGCACAATTCAAAGTGCTGGTGTTGACCTTTAAAGCCCTAAACAGCCTCAGTCCAGTATACCTGAAGAAGCGTCTCCACCCGCATTGTTCTTCCCAGACACAGAGGTCCAGCTCCAAGGGCTTTCTGGATGTTCCCTCACTGCAAGAAGCGAAGTTACAGGGAACCAGGCAGAGGGCCTCCTCGGTAGTGGCACCCGCACTGTGGAACAGCCTCCCATTAGATGTCAAGGAAATAAATAACTACACAACTTTTAGAAGAAATCTGAAGGCAGTCCTGTTTAGGGAAGTTTTTAATGTTTGATTATATATATATATATATATATATGGGACGCGGGTGGCGCTGTGGGTAAAACCTCAGAGCCTAGGACTTGCCGATCATCAGGTCGGCGGTTCGAATCCCCGTGGCGGGGTGCGCTCCCGTTGCTCGGTCCCAGCGCCTGCCAACCTAGCAGTTTGAAAGCACCCCCGGGTGCAAGTAGATAAATAGGGACCACTTACTAGCGGGAAGGTAAACGGCGTTTCCGTGTGCTGCGCTGGTTTGCCAGATGCAGCTTGTCACGCTGGCCACGTGACCCGGAAGTGTCTTCGGACAGCGCTGGCCCCCGGCCTCTTGAGATGGGCGCACAACCCTAGAGTCGGACACGACTGGCCCGTATGGGCAGGGGTACCTTTACCTTATATATATATATATATATATATGCTGTAAGCCGCCTATAGTGGCTCAGGAAACCCAGCCAGATGGGCGGGGTATAAATGTAACAACAACAACAGCAACAGCAGCACAATTATTATTATTACTATTGCTATTAAAATCCTTCTCAGCCATGAAGATCACTGGCTGACCTTGAGGACCAGGCACTACTTCACAACATTGCCAGGGGGTTGGACAAGATGACCCTCAGCGTCCCTTCAAACACTACAATCTTATAATTCTATTATATTCCCCCTGCAAGTTATTTGATGGGAAGTGAAACTTTCATTCCAGCTGAAGCTTTTTCCACATTTCAAGCATTATTAGGGTTTCTCCCCTGTATGAATTCTTTGATGGTAAGACAAATATATCTTCCAACTGAAGCTCTGTCCACATTCCGAACACTGATATGGTTTCTCCCCTGTATGAATTCTTTGATGGGAAGTGAGATCAATATTCCGACTGAAGCTGTTTCCACATTCCAAACACTGATAGGGTTTCTGTCTTGTATGAATTTTTAGATGAGAAGTGAGACTGGAGCTGCAACTGAAGCTCTTTCCACATTCCAAGCACTGATAGGGTTTTTCTCCTGTATGAACTCTTTGATGGGAAGTAAGACTGTCCTTCCTGGTGAAGCTCTTTCCACATTCCAAGCACTTATAAGGTTTTTCCTCTGTATGAATTCGTTGATGTGAAGTGAGATAGTATTTCTTACTGAAACTCTTTCCACATTCCAAGCACTGATAGGGTTTCTCCCCTGTATGACCTCTTTGGTGGGAAGTGAGATAGGCCTTCATACTGAAGCTCTTTCCACATTCCAAGCACTGATAGGGTTTCTCCCCTGTATGGATTCTTTGGTGGAAAGTGAGACTGACCCTCTGACGGAAGCTCTTTCCACATTCCAAGCACTGATAGGGTTTCTCCCCTGTATGAATTCTTTGATGGGAAGTGAGATAGGCCTTCATACTGAAGCTCCTTCCACAGTCCAAGCACTGATAGGGTTTCTCCCCTGTATGGATTCTTTGATGGCAAGTGAGATCGGAGCTCTTACTGAAGCTCTTTCCACATTCCAAGCACTGATAGGGTTTCTCTCCTTTATGACTTCTTTGGTGGAAAGTGAGATTGTCCTTTCTACTGAAGCTCTTTCCACAAGCCAAGCACTGATATGGTTTCTTCCCAATGGGATTTTGATGAGACATGGAATTGGAGCTGTTAGTGAAGTTATCTCCACATTCCAAAGACTGATATGGCTTCTGCACTGTGTGGATCTTCTCATGGTTTCCCTTGTTCTTCATTTCTAATTCCTCAGCACCTAAAATGAAGAGAGAGATGAATTAGAGCATCAGGATGATATGAAGCCCCCAATTATTGAACAATGCTCATTAGCGCTTGTGAGAGAGGAAGAACTGAAAGGATTTAGATGGGAAATATTAATACAAGGAAATATTAATACAATCCACAGCCATCTTTATGGCAACCTCAGATTCGAAAAGTCTGGCTCTTTTCTGGGATGGATTTTGTTTGGCCCGTTCATGAAATCGTCTTCATCTCTAAAGTTAGTCATCTCTTTGGTCCCCCAAAAATTGACAGAAACAAATAAAAAATGAGCAAGTTTGGATGAATCTGGCTCAGAAACCAGGACTGGACTGCACCAGAGCCCAGGTGTTGCCACCGAAGCACCATTTGCAAAGGAGACCACAGCCCCCTCCTCTTGCAGGAAGGGACTGGGGAGGAAGGGGCTTTTCCTCTGAAAGGCCAGCCCGTCTTAGATTTATTTCCTGTTCTCTCTAGGAATCTAGCTCAGTTCTTTTTAACCCTTGGGAATATGAGCTTAAGCAGCGCACCCTTCCCTCCCTCTCTTGAGTTTCCTTTCTCCAGAGCAGGAGCCCAGGACCAGCTGCGTGTGTCAGGCACCCCAGAGGTGCTTTCTTTTAACAAAATTAAAAATAAAAAAAGAAAAATACACAATTCAGAAATACACAATACATAATCAAAAAAAAAAAAAAAGACAAAAAAAACCAGTTAAAAACAGTACCACTTTTTCATCACCCTTTTTAAATTTACTTATTTTCTGGACCTCCTCATACCTCCCTCTTTTGTATTCCAGTTCAATTTGTTTGTCCAGCAATTTCTTTCCCTCTTTTTTAATCCCAATCCTTAATCTTAATATAACATTAAATTTTTTACCTCTTAAAAACCAACTTTCCATTTCCTTTAACTTTTTTTTAATCCTAATCCTTAATCTTAATCTATATATAACTTTAAAGCCTGTATAGCTAGAAGCCACTTATTTTCAATCCAACATCACTCTAACATTCTTTAATTTTGAAATGTTTCTGCAGATAGTCTTTGAATTTCTTCCAATCTTCCTCCACGACTCTTCTCCCTGGTCACGGATTCTACCAGTCATTTTCGCCAATTCCATATAGTCCATCAGTTTCATCTGCCATTCCTCCAGTGTGGGGAGCTCTTGTGTCTTCCAATACTTTGCAATAAGTATTCTTGCTGCTGTTGTTGCATACATAAAGAAGGTTCTATCCTTTTTTAACACCGTTTGGCCGACTATGCCCAGGAGAAAGGCCTCTAGTTTCTTCAAGAAGGTATATTTAAATACCTTTTTTAATTCATTATATATCATTTCCCAGAAAGCCTTAATCTTTGGGCACGTCCACCAGAGGTGAAAAAATGTACCTTCAGTTTCTTTACATTTCCAACATTTGTTATCGGGCAAATGATAGATTTTTGCAAGCTTGACTGGGGTTATGTACCACCTGTATATCATTTTCATAATATTCTCTCTTAGGGCATTACATGCCGTAAATTTCATACCTGTGGTCCATAACTGTTCCCAGTCAGCAAACATAATGTTGTGTCCAACGTCTTGTGCCCATTTAATCATAGCAGATTTTACCGTTTCATCCTGAGTGTTCCATTTCAGCAGCAAGTTATACATTCTTGACAAATTCTTGGTTTTGGGTTCTAACAATTCAGTTTCTAATTTTGATTTTTCCACCTGGAAGCCAATTTTCTTGTCCAATTTAAATGCCTCCGTTATCTGATAATAATGAAGCCAGTCTCGCACTTTGTTTTTTAGTTTTTCGAAACTCTGCAATTTCAGTCTATCTCCATCTTGTTCCAAAATTTCCCAATATTTCGGCCATTTGACCTCAATATTGACCTTTTTCAAGGCTTTCGCTTCCATTGGTGACAGCCACCTTGGGGTTTTGTTTTCTAGCAAATCCTTATATCTTATCCAAACATTAAACAGCGCTTTCCTGACAATGTGGTTTTTAAATGCTTTATGTGCTTTGACCTTATCATACCACAGATATGCATGCCATCCAAATACATTGTTAAAACCTTCTAGGTCCAAAATGTCAGTGTTTTCAAGAAGCAGCCATTCTTTCAACCAGCAAAAAGCTGCTGATTCATAATAAAGTTTGAGATCTGGCAGGGGTGCTTTCTTTGGGAAAACCTTTTTGGCAGACATGCTGAGCTGCTTCTTCCCTTAGATACAGAAGCAGGAGGAACAGCTTCGTGCCCATGGGAAGGTTCAGGAGAAGGGGGGCAGCCCCCACCATTCCTCCTCAGTCCAGCCCCTGACAATAGGAGAGGGGGCAGTGATTCCTACAATTTCTATAATTCCATCAAGATCTTCCTGCCTCTTTCTCACCTTGCCCATCTTTGGTCATCCTGTTTCCGTTTAACAACAAGGTGAAAGACTTGCGATCGTGAGCAATGATCTAAACCTAGACATCTCTGTCTCCAACCTGCCTTTACACCCCCTTGCCAGGGGGTGGGTGGATCCCACTGGAGAGCTGAGAATCCTGCAATGAGCAACCCTATATTTGCATGTGTTGATAATGCCTGATGTGTGTGAACTCAGGATATTCCTGAATGCCTTTCAGGATGCAGACACCATGGGGGCTTTCATGTCATATTAGAGTTATGTCAATCTCATACAGAGATAAACTATATCATGAATTCAGATTAACACATATCTCCTGATACTCTAGGTGGCAAAGTTGAGATCCATCAAAATCTGGGTGGTTTGTAATATAAAAATATTGACTGAATGTCAAAACAACTATTATAACCAAACAGGGAATCTTACCGGGAGAGTTCATGATCCTCCAAGTCTCCTCCATGACTTCCTTATGCAGAGCTCTCTGGGCAGGATCCAGCAACGCCCACTCCTCAGCCGTGAAACAAACAGCAACATCTTCAAAACAAACTGGACCCTAAAAGAAAAAAGGTCCATTTCTTACACAACATAAAGATTATTTCCTGCACGTTGCTCTTTCTGCCTGCATTGCATTAATCAGATTTGTTTGCTGCACATTTTGACTGTGGGTGCATAATTTAATGTTTTGGGAATCTTTCATGCTGTTTTTAATGATGGGCATGAATCTTAGTGAAAATGGATGGAACTGTATGTTTATTTCTTCAAATCATTCTGTCTCTGCAAGCACGCTAGTTTTCCAGATTTGACAGAAGAAAAAAGAGCAGGAGAGAGATTCATTTGCCCCCAGAAATGCCCTGTCTCCCCACAAATCATCCTTCCCCCCCTCCAAGGCTCCTTCCCCGCACCTGATCCGGTTTCTTAGCCGCTGCTTCCCCTCCACCAGGATGAAGAGATGGAGGAGGAGGTCTTGCCGGCATCCTTCTTTCACCTGCGAGAGACAAAGGGAAGTGGGGAGACAGGAGTGCATGATGCTTCTCTCAGAGGTGCATTTGGGAGTTTGTCCCCACTTCATATTTTACTTATGTTCAAATATATCTCATCTCCCTTGGCCTCTTGGCCTCAAGTGTCATACCCAAAACACTGACAGAAACCACAGATTGTTTTGAGAATAACAGGATGTGGCCAGACTGAGAAGAAATTCCTTCTTCCTTACCCAGTGGCCCCTCTCTGGTGTCCAACGAAGTCCTCTCTGCCTCAGAGGAATCAGGACCGATTTTTGCAAAAATATCCTTTCCCTGTAAGAGCAACAAGGATTCAAACAAAGAATGAGAACTATTAAAAAAGGAATGGCAGGAGCAAAATATTTAGGGATGTCCAATATAGCACCTTGGATACTTTCCAAAAAGGATGAGATTTAGGGATCTTCTCCCTCCTGTTTGGAGCCCCTTGGGAGCATCCAGAGGAAAGTCTCTCTCACCTGCTTCTTCTCCGCCTGCTTCCTCTCCTCTGCCTGACTCAGGAGGAAACCTTCGGCCAGGGCCACTGCCTGGGAACTGGTCTCCGCTCCGCATTCCCTCACCCAGCTCTCCATCTCCGGCGGAAGGACAGCCAGGAACTGCTCCAAGATCACCAGGTCCAGCATCTCAGCTTTCGTGTGCCTTTCTGGCTTCAGCCACTGGTGGCAAAGGTGGTAGAGCTGGCTGCAAACCTCTCGGGGTCCTTTGGCCTCCTGGGAGCAGAACTGCCTGAACTGCTGGCTCTGCGCCTCTGAGCGAAGGGTGTCCTCCTCTCCCAGGATCTTCTGCCCAGAGCTTTCCCAGAATCCCCCACTGCTCCCAGTTTCCATAGCATGGTCTCTTCCTGCTTCAGGGCCAGCTGAGTCTTGCTCATGCATCTTCACTCTCAGGAAGTCCCCAAAAGATCAGAAGGAACCCCTTGGGCCTCTGCAAAGTTCTGTTCGTCTGAAAATTAGGTGCTGGCAAATTCTACAAACAAATACATTGTTCTGTTATAAAACTGATACATGGGAAGAAGGTGGTTCCCTGCGTAAGCGTAGATGAGTCTTGGACGGAACCAGGACTGGACTGCACCCCAGCCCAGACTCTGAGCTTTCTTTAAGGAAAAAAAGGAAGAAGTAGAAATCTACTAGTCCTAGTTTTAAACTCTTTTTCTTATAGTGTTTTAATGTTGAAATCTGTCCTGGAATCATGAGGTGAAGCGCATTTAAATAATAGGATGACTAATTTATAATTATAATAATTAAAGTAACAATAATGTGGCATAGCATAACCCCCACCACCACCACCACATCTGCTTAGAGGTTCCCAGGTGGCCTCAGTGACTAGCAGTGCCCCCTTCCAGCTCTGGCAAGTTTGCCAGCCCCAGTCTCTTTGGGACGAGAGGAGGAGGCCATGGTATTCCATGCTCTGGATCCAATGGGATCATTACAATGCCCTCCATGTGCAGCTGCCCTTGAAGACAACTCAGAAACGGATGCAAAATGCAGTCCTCGGATTATGGGCTGGGCTCCTTCTCTTTATTAATTTCATTCACTTCTGGGTCCAGTTCAAGGGACTCACAGGAGCTGTTCTTTTTGGCCCCCAAGTATCTGAAGAAAGGCCTCCTTCGCTACACCCCCCCTTGGGGCTCAGGGGGGCAGAGGGGCCCTCTTGGTGGTTTCCCCACTCAAGAGCTTTGGGTGGCCAAAGAGAGGGCAGCCTGGTGGCGGTTCCTCTCTCGGGACATTTCCTGCCCCCTTCCCCTCTTGACTGAGCTCTCGGATGCCTGCCCCACCCCACAAGCTTCTTTCACTGAACCCCAGAACTGCAGAGCTGGAAGGGACACCGGGGGTCATGTGACCCAACTCCCTGCAATGTAGGAATCTCAACTCACACATCCTTGAGAGGTGGACATCCAAACTCTGCTCAGAAACCTTCAGGGAAGCAGAGATTCCTGCATTGTAGGGGGTTGGACTAGATGACCCTCGGGCTCCCTTCCAGCTCTACGATTCCATGTTCCTATGATTCTCACAGGGGCCACCCAGGGGCCTGAATGGGAAGCCCCCCAGCCGGACTGGGGCTGGGGCTCTCTCCCCCTGCGCTCCTTCCAGCAACTGGGATTCAGCAGCATCGCTGGGGAGACAAGAGCTCAGCCCTCGAGGATGAAACCAAGCAGAGCCTCTCCTCCCTGCCCTGGTCCCGGTCTCGCCTCCTGGGGCAGGGAGTTCCGCAGGCTTGTTTCTGCCCCGCAGGAAGAAGCGCTTTCTCTTCTCTGCCCCCTCCCCTCTTCCAACAGTCTCAATTGATTGCATGGGTCTCGCTTTCCTTTTTCTCTTTATTGTATTTTACGTACAAATCTTTCTGTCCGACTACAACGTAGATGGCCCGGATTCCTTGGTATGGAGGGGGTTTATTTTCAGGCCCTTTCCTTCCCTCCCCAAAGCTATGGATGCAAAGGAAGGAAAACGTCGCAGACATCCTGTGCCCTGGTCCCCCTCTTCCATGCTTTGTAGAGAGTAAGGGGGCAGGAGCCTCTGTCTCCCTGGACTTGGGGGTCCCTCCATGCATGAGCTGAGCACACACACCAGGGTCATAGCTTCAGGGTAGGCCCCCACCAGGGGCGCAGGCGGGAAGGGGGCCTGTATGTCCATGATATGTCCCCGAGGGCTGCGCTTGGGCAGTCAGTGAGGTACAGGGTGGCAAGGAAGGGGTTGAGAAGTGGGGCCACAAGAGAGCGGGGCAAGGTGGGTGTTGAATGAATAAATAAATATTTATGTGCATCAGCCACCAGCCATAGCAATAACATAAAATGCAGCTTACAGAGGATAAAAGTAAAAAGTTGATTACATAAAATACATTTTGGGGGTGAGGACCAATAGTCAAATGATGGTTCTTATTCTAATTGACCCGGTTAAAACCCTTGCACCTTTTGCTGTCACCTGTACATCTTGATCTGCCAAGAGAATGGAGACTGCAACAATGGTTGGGCGACCCGGAATAGACAATAATAGAGGGATAACAACCTCCCTCCTCAAACCTTGTGAAGAGAGACATGAGCCACTGACTCCATACTGCCGTCTCCACAGGGACATAACTGTGTTTCCAGTGGGATTTTTGAGAGTCGCCCCTGGAAGACAGCCGAAGGCAGTATATTCGACCTTGCGAGAGTAAAAGCGTGTCTCCATTTTGGAATTATTAAGTTACGCAAAGAGGGTGGCAAAGAGTCAGAATAACTTGGTACAGGGCGGGCGTTGTGCGGGGGGGGGGGAAGCTCCCCTCCCCAGTGACCCAAGTTTGCTCTCCTCTTTGGGGAGCGATCCTGCTTCCCCCAGCAGCGGGGGGGGGGGGCTCCTCCTTTGCCCCCTCCCTAAGAATAAGAGTTGGGGGGGTTGCTTCCCCTCGCCTTCCTCTCCTGGGGGGGGGGAGAGAAAGGTGTCCCCTTTCGCCTCCCCCCGGACCAAGAAGAAGGAGCTGCTCGGAGGCCTTCGTGTTTCCAGAGGGGGGCAGCCTGCCCCCTCCCTGTCCCCAATTCCTCGCCTCTGGACCCTCAGCAAACCTGGATCTATTCCCCCTCCCCCCGCGGAAGTTCCTTGGGGGGCCAGAGACTTTCCCTCCAACCACCTGCATCAGGGATGCTGAGAGAGGAGAGAGAGCAAGGAAGGAAGGAAGGAAGGGGCTTCCAGAGCCGGGGGGGGGGCGGCCTTGCCTGGGGGGCGCCCTCTGGACGGCTCTCCCCCCCCCCCGCCTCCTGACGGAAGAGAGAGGAGACTCACCCGCCCGGCGAGGCCGCCTTGGCAAGAGCGAGCAGAGCCCCACTTCCGGGGGAGGGGCTTGGGCGCCGAAGGACCTGCCCCATCCACTATTTCCTGTCCCCTCTAGGAACCCAGCTCCGCTCCTCTTTAACGCTTGGAATGCCGGGCGCTCTCTCTCCAATCCCGAGAGATTTCCTAGAGGGACCCTCGCCCCCGCGCCAGGATTCCCCGTCCCCTCTAGGAAGGAGGGCCGGCTGCTTTTAACCCTTGCGGCGGGGAGGAGCCGGGGGAGGGGCCCGGCCAGGCGCCCTGGCTGATAGAGATGCTGCTGGGAGCTTGGAGCCTGGGCCCTTCTGCAGGCCAAGCAGGTGTCCTGCTCCAGCCCTTCCAACCCAAGCAGCTCCACGCTGTCTGCGCTGCCCTTGGCAAGCCTCCCGGTGTGGCTGGACTACAACTCCCATCAGCCCCAGCCCGCTGGCTCCATGGCGAGGGATGAGGGGAGCCGCAGCCCACCAGCTTGGGGCAGGCTCATTGGCAGGAGGTCTCTTTCCGCAGGGGATGCTGCCAGGGCGGACGGGAACCAGGCCCTTCTGCATGCCAAGCAGGTGTCCTGCTCCTGAGCGATGGTGGCCCTTCCCAGAGCACTCAAGGGGCAGAGCTGTGAGCTGCGTCTTGACTGGGTCTTTCACCAAACAGCCCCTTCGTTCCAGCTGCCACCCCAGAGAATTTTTATATTTTCCTTTATGATTTATGACCTTATTTTTCATTTATTAAAATTCATATACTGCCTTCATTTGAAGATATCAGGGCAGTACCCAGCATTAACATTCAAAATAAAAACACCAATTACATCATAAAAACAAAAATAAAACACACCAATATTTCCATCTCCCACAAAGACGCTTAAAATGATAAAGTTTAATTAGCCAAAGGCCTGATGGTTATGTTGTACTTACTTAAACACCCTTCCAAACTCTCAGCCAATCAACAGCCCCTCCCCCAGATAACATTGCCTTAAATCTATTATAATATTGAACTTGACTTACTATTATTACATAAATGACTTTGCTAGAGGAGTATACAACTTTAGACACAAACACCAGAATATGGCACCCAAATTTTAAGCAGACACAAATGCATGAACAATTTTTAAGAGTCTCATAGGAGGGCCAGTGTAGTATATTGCCAGAGTATTTGACTACACCCTGGGAGACCTGGGTTCAAATCCCTCCTTGGCCATGAAGCTCACTGGACAGCCTTGGGGAGCCTAACCTAACACTCAGTTATTCTCATGATTGAAAAGGAGGTGAAGAACCATGTGACCCCACAAGAACAGAACAAGAAAGGAGATTCTGACTAAACATCAAGAGGATTCATTGCAGTTGGTTAGACTAGATGACCCTCAAGATTCCTCCCAAAGCTACTACAGTGGTACCTCGGGTTAAGAACTTAATTCGTTCTGGAGGTCCGTTCTTAACCTGAAACTGTTCTTAACCTGAGTTACCACTTTAGCTAATAGGCCTTCTGCTGCCACCGGAGCCTGATTTCTGTTCTCATCCTCCTGAAGCTTCTGTAACCCGAGGTACCACTGTATTCTATAACTCCAGGCTTTCCCCCGCTGTGAGTTCTTTCATGGGAAGTGAGATTTTCTTCCAGCTGAAGCTCTTTCCATATTTTAAGCACTATTCGGGTTTCTCCGTCATATGAATTCTTTGGTGGGAAGTGAGACTAGCCTTCCGACTGAAGCTCTTTCGACACTCCAAGCAATTAAATGGTTTCTCCCTTGTATGAATTCTTTGATGGGTTTTGAGATGTGAGCTGTGATTGAAGCTCTTCCCACATTCCAGGCACTGATATGGTTTCTCCCCACTGTGAATTCTTTTATGTCGATGGAAGTCTCTTCTTATAGTAAAAAACTTATCACATTCTAAGCACTGATATAGTTTCTCCCTTGTATGAATTCTTTGATGGGACGTAAGACTATCCTTCCGACTGAAGCTCTTCCCACACTCTAAGCACTGATAGGGTTTCCCCCCACTGTGAATTCTCTTATGTTGATGGAAGTCTCTTCTTGTAGTAAAGAACTTCTCACATTCCAGGGACTGAAATGGTTTTCCACCTATATGAATTCTTTGATGGTAAGTAAGACTATTATTCCAAGTGAAACTCTTTCCACACTCTAAGCATTGACATGGTTTCTCCCGTGTATGAATTCTTCGATGAGAAGTGAGACCGGAGCTCTGACTGAAGCTCTTTCCACACTCCAGGCAGTGATAGGGCTTCTCTCCCGTATGAATTCTTTGATGGGTTTTGAGATGTGAGCTGTGATTGAAGCTCTTCCCACATTCCAAACACTGATATGGTTTCTCCCCACTGTGAATTCTCTTATGTCGATGGAAGTCTCTTCTTGTAGTAAAGAACTTATCACATTCTAAACACTGATATAGTTTCTCCCCTGAATGAATTCTTTGATGGGAAGTAAGACTATCCTTCCGACTGAAGCTCTTTCCACATTCCAGGCACTGAAAGGGTTTCTTCCCAATAGGATTTCTTTGATGGGAAGTGGCATGGGAGCTCTGACTGAAGTTCTCCCCACACTCCAAATCTTGATATGGCTTCTCCACTGTGTGGATTTTGTCCTGTTGTCCCTTGTTCTTAATTTCTAATTCATCACCACCTGCAACAAAGAGAGGAACAGATCAGAGCCTAAGAAAGAAATGGAGTTCTCAGTTTTTGAATAATGCTAATGAACATTTGTGATAAATGAAGATCTGAAGATGGGAAGTCTTTTTTGAATTTTCATATCTTGGATAAGGGAGGATACACACAGGAAGGTGATGGAGAGCAGATGAAGGGCTGAGGAAAGGGGACGAGGCTCCCAGGTGGGAGCTGGGAGGGTTCGCTCTTCTGTGTCTGGAATAAGGATACAAAGAGCTTGGGCTTAACATACTCTAATTTCTATTCTATTTTAATTGGAAAACTTCCAATAAAAATCAATTTCTTAAAATAAAAAGTCCCTTTGCTCAACCAAAAATGGACAGAAACAAAAACCTGACAGAAGCAACACTTAGAAAGCCTATCCACATCCTGATCCCTGTGCAAAAAGACAGAAGCAGAGGAACAATATTCACAGACAAAACAGTCCCCTCCATTCAAGGTGAGCTGTGGGGTGTGAGAATCCCAGGTGCTCTAGGTGGCAACATTGGGATCCATCCAAATATGGAAGGTTTGTCCCAGAGAAATATCTACTGAATTCCAAAAAAGATATTATGACCCAAGCGGGAACTTTACCCAGAGAGATCATGGTCCTACAAGTCTCCTCCATGACTTCCTTATGCAGAGCTCTCTGGGCAGGATCCAGCAACGCCCACTCCTCAGCCGTGAAACGAACAGCGACATCTTCAAAAGAAACTGAGCTCTGAAAGAAAAATATCCTTCTCTTAGGCAGCATGAAGATTATTTCCTGCACGTTGCTCTTTTGCTTCCTGCCTGGATTGTTTTAATTGGATTGGTCTGCTCCACATTTGGATTATTGATGCTTATTTTAATGCTTTAATCGAGTTCTTTCATAGTGTATTTTAATGATGGGTATGAATCTTAGTGAAAATGGGGGAACTCCACCTTGTTTTATTCAGATCAATATGTCTATGCAAGTCTCAGAATCCCCTGTCTCCCCCACCCCTCATCCTTCCTCCCCCCAAGGCTCCTTCCCCCTACCTGATCCGGTTCCTCAGCCGCTGCTTCCCCTCCACCAAGATGAAGAGATGGAGGAGGAGGTCTTGCCGGCATCCTTCTTTCACCTGCGAGAGACAAAGGGAAGTGGGGAGACAGGAGTGCAGGATGTTTCTCTCAGAGGTGCTTTCTGGCCTTTGTACCCATTTCATATTATGTTAAAATACATCTCCTCTTATTTGGATTCTTGGCCCCATGTATCTCCCCCAAAATATTGAATGAACCCGCAGATTAGTTTGAGAATCGCCAGAATGTGACCACACAGAGGAAAAACTTCCTTCCTCCTTACCCAGCAGCCTCTCTCTGGTGTCCAACAAAGTCCTCTCTACCTCAGAGGAATCTGGTCCCGTTTCTGCAGACAGATCCTTTTCCTGAAAGAGCAACAAGAATTTGTAATAAAGAATGTGGAGAATAGTTAAAGAAGGGAAAAGGATGAGCAATTAGAGAATGCGGCGATGGGTTTGAAAAGGAATGGCTGGGACAAAAACTTGAGGGGTGTCATTCCAAAAAAAGGATGGGATTTAGGGATCTTCTCCCTCCTGTCGGAGCCCCTTGGGAGCATCCAGAGGAAAGTCTCACCTGCTTCTCCAACTGCTTCCTCTCCTCCGCCTGACTCAGGAGGAAACCTTCGGCCAGGGCCACTGCCTGGGAACTGGTCTCTGCTCCGCATTCCCTCACCCAGCTCTCCATCTCCGCTGGAAGGACAGCCAGGAACTGCTCCAAGATCACCAGGTCCAGCATCTCAGCTTTCGTGTGCCTTTCTGGCTTCAGCCACTGGTGGCAAAGGTGGTGGAGTCGGCTGCAAACTTCTCGGGGTCCTTTGGCCTCCTGGGAGCAGAACTGCCTCAACAGCTGGCTCTGCATCTCTGAGCGAAGGGTGTCCTCCTCTCCCAGGATCTTCTGCACAGAGCTTTCCCAGAATCTCCCACTGCTCCCAGTTTCCATAGCATGGCCTCTTCCTGCTCCAGGGTCAGCTGAGTCTTGCTCATGCATCTTTAGGAAGGAATCCAGTTTTTATTTGACCAAGTTCTGACTGTCTGATTTAGAGGTGCTGCCAAATACTGCAAAGGAAATATATTGTTCTGTTATAAAATTGACCCGCTGTCAGGAGAATAGAACGGTTCTCTGAGCAAGTGTGGATGAGTCTTGCTAGGAACCAGGACTGGACTGCACCACATGCCAGACTCTGAGCTTTGTTTAAGAAGGAAAGGAAGAAGGAAGGAGAAGAAGAAATCCTCTCGCCCTCCTAGGGGGAAAGTGACCAGCCCCAAAGTGGAGGCAAATGAAGGTGTTTTTGTGAGATGAATCAACCTAGTGGCTCCTGCCTCTCAGTGTTTTCAGCCCAGGAATGAAGTCAGAACAATGATTCCTTGGTTCCGAGTGTAATGTGGGCACTAGGCCAGAGTGGGGCTCCTCAAGAGTTGCTCCCCTCCCACCCCCCATTTCAGGGCACTCTCCTTTTCTGTTTCTGTCTCATTTTCTAGCACTGTGCATCTCCAACGTCCTCCAGACACACTGCTGGGGTGGGATCCCTTTTTCTCTGTTCTGAGGGTCAGTTCCTGATCTGGCCAAGCCCTTGAGGGCCACATGCATGAGGCCAAAGTTCATGTGGGACAGCACTAAGAAGCAAGTGCAATATTGAGCTTTAATCTTGTGTTTTAATGTTGGCAGCTGCTCTGGGACCTTAAGGAGAAAGGCAGGTAATGATTAATCATAAAAATAAAAATACTGTGACGTAGCTTGACCTCCCCCCAGCCAGCATGTCTGGGGCTTCTCCTGGATCCCACACACTCACTGGGGGCTCCGGTGGCCTCAGTGACTAGCAGGATCCCTTTCCAGCTCAGAGAGAGAGGACGAGGCCAGGGTCCTCCACGCTCTGGACCCCACGAGGCCATGGCAGTGCCCTCTAGGCGGAGCTGCCCAAATGCAAAAGTGGCCGGGCTCCCTCTCTTGATTCCTTGTCTTTCTCTCTCCCCCTTTTCTCCAGGGGGCATCCATGGGGCCCCCCCTCCTCACTGAAGCCCCACAACCTTGAGAACACATCTAATTCCCCTCTCAAACAGCTGCTTGGATGGCCAGTTCATTTCCTGGCCCAATTCAAGGGGCTCACATTTGGTACCCCAAATATCGGAACACCAGCAGGACTGGGGCGCAAGAGCCCCTCTCTCCCCCTGCGCTTCCTTCCAGCAACTGGACCCCCCCTGCATCCCGGGGACCCCCCTCTTCTCCCCATTGCACCCTTTGCAAGAAGAGCAAAGACTCGCCGGCTCCCCGGAGGCGCCAGGGATGCAGCACGTGCAGAAGAGAGAGACAAAGGCCCCTCCTCCCTTGGAGGCAGGCGGGAGAGGGAGGGGCTTGGGCTGGGGGGTTTCTCCCCCCCAACCCCCCCTTGACTTCCTCTCCTCTCTAGGAATCCCACTCAATCTCCTTTAACCCTTGGCAAGCCAGCTCCCCCTCTCTCCCTCTCCCTCCTGTGCCGGGGAGTTCCACAGGTGAACTCTGCCTTGCGTGTAATTTCATCTGTCCTGAATCTTCCAACATTCCGACTCCTTGGATGTCTTTGAGTTCCACTGTCAGGAGATGCAACTCTCCATCCACTTTCTCTAGGCCAGGCTTGGCTTTTGAAAATTAGGGGGGGGGGGCTCAGTAATTAGCTAATTGGGAAGAGCCCCAAAGGCTGCAACCTTTCTTCATAGCAAAGTCCGCCTTGATCATTTTGGCAGCCCTTTTCTGACCCTTTTCCAACTCCTCACTGCACCCCCCATGAGGTTACGCCATAGAGTTGTGACCAGGGGGGCTGCAGGGCTCTGTCCGGGGCCTGTTTTGCTCCATCTGTCAATCTTGGATGGAGGAATTGAGGGGATGCTCGTCCAGTTTGCAGATGACACCAAACTGGGAGGGGCAGCTAATGGCACAGAAGACAGAATCGGGATTCAGGATTACCATTTACAGATTGGAGAACTGGGGGCAAGCAAGCAAAATGAATTTCCATAGGGACAAAGGTCAGATTCTGCACTTAGGCAGGAAGAACCAGATGCACAAATATAGAACGGGGGACATAGCAGTGCATGTGAAAAAGATCTTAGGGGTCTTGGTGGGCCACAAGCTCCACATGAGTTCACAGTGTGATGCAGCTGATAAAAAGCAAATGCTATTCTAGGCTGCATCCAAAGAAGTCCAGTGTAATACAGTGTAAATAAATACGTAGTTTAGATCTACGGATGGCTCATTCTTCTTGCTGTGCAATGACAGAAGATTAGTGTGCATAAATCAAGCTGGTTTATGTCGCTGAAGGGCACACTGGAATGAGGGGACGTGCCATTCCAGAGTTGTGCTTACTGGGAGGACGCCCGGAAAGGTCAGGGAGACTGAGGGGTCAACCCCAGAGCATCATAAATCCCAACAGGAGTTCCGCTCCTTCCTCCTGGGCCCTGTCAGGAAAGTGGTATTGGGGGGATGAGTGTTCAGACCCCTGGGCTCTCACTTGTGGGGTGCCCCAGGGCTCCGTCCTCCCCCCCTGCTTTGCAATATCTACATGCAGCTGCTGGAAGAGATCATCAGGAGGTTTGGGCTGGGTGTTCATCAGTATGCGGATGATACCCAGCTCTACCTCTCTTTTAAATCAGAACCAGTGAAGGCGGTGAAGGTCCTGTGTGAGTGGAGGCAGTTGGAGGACGGGTGGCAGCTAATGGATTGAGGTTGAATCCTGACAAGACAGAAAGTACTGTTTTGGGGGGGACAGGGGGCAGGTGGGTGTGGGGAACTCCCTGGTCCTAAATGGGGTGGGTGCACAGCCTAGGAGTCAATTTGGACTCACAGCTGTCCATGGAGGCGCAGGTCAACTCTGTGTCCAGGGCAGCTGTCTACCAGCTCCATCTGGTACCCGGACTGAGTCCCTACCTGCCCACAGACTGTCTTGCCAGAGTGGTGCATGCTTTGGTTATCTCCCGCTTGGACTACTGCAATGCGCTCTACGTGGGGCTGCATTTGAAGGTGACCCGGAAACTACAACTAATCCAGAATGCAGCAGCTATACGGGTGACTGGGAGCAGCTGCTGAGACTATATAACACCAGACCTGAATGACCTACATTGGCTCCTAGTACATTTCCGAGCACAATTCAAAGTGTTGGTGCTGACCTTGAAAGCCCTAAATGGCCTCGGCCAAGTAGACCTGATGGAGCATCTCCACCCCCATCGTCCAGTCTGGACACTGAGGTCCAGCTCCGAGGGCTTTCTGGAAGTTCCCTCACTGCGAGAAGCGAAGTTACAGGGAACCAGGCAGAGGGCCTTCTTAGTAGTGGCACCCGCCCTGTGGAACACCCCTCCCATCAGATGTCAAGGAGATAAAGAACAACACAACTTTTAGAAGAAATCTGAAGGCAGCCCTGTTTAGGGAGGTTTTTAATGTTTGATTTATTATTATTTATATAGATATATTTGTTGGAAGCTGCCCATAGTGGCTCAGGAAACCCAGCCAGATGGGTGGGGTATAAATATAACAACTACAACACAACAATTACTACTACTAATACTACTACTACTAAAATCCCTTCTCAGCCATGAAGATCACTGGCTGATCTTGAGGACCAGGCACTACTTCACAACATTGCCAGGGGGTTGGACAAGATGACCCTCAGCGTCCCTTCCAACACTACAATCTTATAATTCTATTATATTCCCCGCTGCAAGTTATTTGATGGGAAGTGAAACTTTCATTCCAGGTGAAGCTTTTTCCACATTTCAAGCACTATTAGGGTTTCTCTGTCGTATGAATTCTTTGATGGGAAGAGAGTGTTTGCTTCAAGGTGAAGCTCTTTCCGCACTCCTGGCATTGAAATGGTTTCCCCCCACTGTGAATTCTCTGTTGTCAGAGAAGCGCTCTTCTTGCAGGAAGGCCCAATGTGCATTCTAAGGACTGATATAGTTTCTGCGCTGCATGAATTATTTCGTGGGAAGTGAGATGGTCTTTCCTGCTGAAGCTCTTTCCACATTCTAAGCACTGATAGGGTTTCTCCCCTGTATGAATTCTTTCATGAGAACTGAGAGTGGAGCGGTGATTGAAGTTCTTTCCACATTCCAAGCACTGATAGGGTTTCTCCCCTGTATGAACTCTTTGATGGGAAGTGAGATAGGTCTTCATATTGAAGCTCTTTCCACATTCCAAGCATTGATATGGTTTCTCCCCTATATGAATTCTTTGATGGGAAGTGAGATAGGTCTTCATACTGAAGCTCTTCCCACATTCCAAGCACTGATAGGGTTTCTCCCCTGTATGAGTTCTTTGATGGGAAGTGAGACTGACCTTGTGAATGAAGCTCTTTCCACATTCCAAGCACTGATAGGGTTTCTCCCCTGTATGAGTTCTTTGATGGAAAGTGAAAGAGTCGCGTCGACTAAAGCTCTTTCCACATTCCAAGCACTGAAATGGTTTCTCCCCTTTATGAGTTATTTGATGGGCAGTGAGTTTGATGCTGTCACTGAAGCGCTTTCCACATTCCAAGCACTGATAGGGTTTCTCCCCTATATGAATTCTTTGATGGGACCCAAGGGAGCGGCTATTATTGAAGCTCTTTCCACATTCCATGCACTGATAGGGTTTCTCCCCTGTATGAATTCCTTGATGGGACCCAAGGGAGCGGCTATTATTGAAGCTCTTTCCACATTCCATGCACTGATAGGGTTTCTCCCCACTATGAGTTCTTTGATGGTCAGTGAGATATTGCTTTGTTCTGAAGTTCCTTCCACTGTTTGAGCACTGATACAGTTTATTCCAAATGGGATTTTGATGAGACATGGAATCGGAGCTGTTAGTGAAGTTATCTCCACATTCCAAAGACTGACATGGTTTCTGCACTGTGTGGATCTTCTCATGGTTTCCCTTGTTCTTCATTTCTAATTCCTCAGCACCTAAAATGAAGAGAGAGATGAATTAGAGCATCAGGATGATATGAAGCCCCCAATTATTGAACAATGCTCATTAGCGCTTGTGAGAGAGGAAGAACTGAAAGGATTTAGATGACGAGCGTAAGCAGCGCACCCTTCCCTCCCTCCCTGAGTTTTCTTTCTCCAGAGCAGGAGCCCAGGACCAGCTGCGTGTGTCAGGCACCCCAGAGGTGCTTTCTTTGGTGAACCCTCTTGGCTGACATGCTGAGCTGCTTCTTCCCTTAGATACAGAAGCAGGAGGAACAGCTTTGTGTGAAAAAGGCTCTAGAAGCAGGAAACCCTTTCTGAGAAGGAGAGAGTTGCAAGCGAACCCCCGGGGTGATCTAGTCCTGTCCCCTGAAATGCAGGAATCTCAACTTACACACCCAACCTCTGCTTGCAAAACTCCAATGATTCCTTCTGCAGAGGCTGGGAAATCTCCCGATGTTACCTCCCATTCTGCCACATCCCAGATAAGTGATGTCTAATGTCAAGAAGGTGACAGATTCAAGATGGGAGACGGTACATCCATCCCAGTAAACATTTTTAACTGCATTGGGCTTCCGTTTCCGGACTGCGCCAGGAATGGATGACTCCTTTGACATCGCCGGGAAATGCAGATAAAGAGGATGGTGGGGTTAAAGCATTCTCTGGATTCCTCTCAGGGCAGGGGAGGAACGGGCCCTGGGGTCTGGCATTCGCTTCCCCATGGAAGACAGGCACTGGGGCAGGAGCACTTTGTCTGCTGCAACCCCCCCACCCCACCCACCCCCCGACTCCGTTTCTGGAAGCAGAGGTCATCCTACAAATTGGATGTTAATTGGCAATTAAAGTAAAGGCATGGGCTGGAGGAGATGCAACAACAATCTGTGGTACATTCAGCTGCATGGATTTAAGGTTTGAACTGAGATAAGATTTCATTCTGTGTAAGAGATGGTTGGGGGAGAGAATCCCATGGTTGTTTATTTTGAGTTTTTCTCTTTTCTTTTTTGATATGGCAACCCTCTCCAGAATGCAGGTTTAAGAAATATATACAAGTGAGGATGGAATAAGTTGGAGTAACATTAAGATTAACAAACAACAACAGAGATTGTGTGTGATTTGAAAGGAAGGGGAAAGCGGAAAGTTTGGACTATGCTGGCAATATAGAGCCAACCCGCCACTTTTTATAGTTTTGAGAGGCTATTTTATTCAGCAAAGTGTGTATCAGAGGAAAGTAAGGGAAGGGAAGAAACTGGATACATCTAACAAGCTAATAAAGAAAGAGAAGGATTTCTTTACAAAAGTGGGAAATAAAGACATAGTGCAAGAGATATAGACATTACCGATACAATACTCAATGCTTGCAAAGCAATGCTTGTTCTCCTGCCCTCAATGCTCGCCTGGTCCTGGGAGAAGGGGGTCAAGAATGCTTTCCAAAGACACAAGTCTGTCAGCTGTCCCTCCCTAGCGTTTCTTCTTCCTGCTGTTCCTCTTCCAATACTTCCCCGCTTCACCCCTCCGCAGCCTCTGAACTATGACCTTCCGCAAACCACGGTTCTAAATCTATACTGTCCTCTTGCCCACGGGAAGGTTCAGGAGAAGGGGGGCAGCCCCCACCATTCCTCCTCAGTCCAGCCCCTGACAATAGGAGAGGGGGCAGTGATTCCTACAATTTCTATAATTCCATCAAGATCTTCCTGCCTCTTTCTCACCTTGCCCATCTTTGGTCATCCTGTTTCCGTTTAACAAAAAGGCGAAAGACTTGCGATCGTGAGCAAGGATCTGAACCTAGACATCTCTGTCTCCAACCTGCCTTTACACCCCCTTGCCATGGGGTGGGTGGATCCCACTGCGGAGCCGAGAATCCTGCAATGAGCAACCCTATATTTGCATGTGTTGATAATGCCTGATGTGTGTGAACTCAGGATATTCCTGAATGCCTTTCAGGATGCAGACACCATGGGGGCTTTTATGTCATATTAGAGTTATGTCAATCTCATACAGAGATAAACCATATCATGAATTCAGATTAACACATATCTCCTGATACTCTAGGTGGCAAAGTTGAGATCCATCAAAATCTGGGTGGTTTGTGATATAAAAATATTGACTGAATGTCAAAACAACTATTATAACCAAACAGGAAACCTTACCGGGAGAGTTCATGATCCTCCAAGTCTCCTCCATGACTTCCTTATGCAGAGCTCTCTGGGCAGGATCCAGCAACGCCCACTCCTCAGCCGTGAAACAAACAGCAACATCTTCAAAACAAACTGGACCCTAAAAGAAAAAAGGTCCATTTCTTACACAACATAAAGATTATTTCCTGCACGTTGCTCTTTCTGCCTGCATTGCATTAATCAGATTTGTTTGCTGCACATTTTGACTGTGGGTGCATAATTTAATGTTTTGGGAATCTTTCATGCTGTTTTTAATGATGGGCATGAATCTTAGTGAAAATGGATGGAACTGTATGTTTATTTCTTCAAATCATTCTGTCTCTGCAAGCACGCTAGTTTTCCAGATTTGACAGAAGAAAAAAGAGGAGGGGAGAGATTCATTTGCCCCCATAAATGCCCTGTCTCCCCACACCTCATCCTTCCCCCCCCCCCCCAGCTCCTTCCCCGCACCTGATCCGGTTCCTCAGCCGCTGCTTCCCCTCCACCAGGATGAAGAGATGGAGGAGGAGGTCTTGCCGGCATCCTTCTTTCACCTGCGAGAGACAAAGGGAAGTGGGGAGACAGGAGTGCATGATACTTCTCTCAGGGGTATGAAATTTGTCCCCATTTCATATTTTAGTTATGCTGAAATATATCTGATCTCCTTTGGGTTCTTGGCCCCAAGTGTCATACCCAAAACACAGACAGAAACCACAGATTATTTTGAGAATAATAGGATGTGGCTGGACTGAGAAGAAATTCCTTCCTCCTTACCCAGCAGCCTCTCTCTGGTGTCCATCGAAGTCCTCTCTGCCTCAAAGGAATCAGGACCTGTTTCTGCAGACAGATCCTTTTCCTGAAAGAGCAACAAGAATTTGTAATAGAGAATGTGGGGAAGGGTTAGAAAAGGAGTGGCAGAGGAAAAAAACTTCAGATATACCACATCTCATTCCTTGGATGTTTCCGAAAAAGGATGGCCCTCCTGTTTGGAGCCCCTTGGGAGCATCCAGAGGAAAGTCTCTCTCACCCGCTTCCTCTCCTCTGCTTGACTCAGGAGGAAACCTTCGGCCAGAGCCACTGCCTGGGAACTGGTCTCTGCTCCGCATTCCCTCACCCAGCTCTCCATCTCCGCTGGAAGGACAGCCAGGAACTGCTCCAAGATCACCAGGTCCAGCATCTCAGCTTTCGTGTGCCTTTCTGGCTTCAGCCACTGGTGGCAAAAGTGATAGAGTTGGCTGCAAACTTCACGGGGTCCTTTGACTTGCAGGTAGCAGAACCAGTGGAACTGCCGGCTCTGCGCCTCTGAGCGAAGGGTGTTCTCCTCTCCCAGGATCTTCTGCACAGAGTTTTCCCAGAATCCTGCACTGCTCCCAGTTTCCATAGCATGGTCTCTTCCTGCTCCAGGGCCAGCTGAGTCTTGCTTATGCATCTTCACTCTCAGGAAGTCTCCAAAAGATCAGAAGGAACCCTTTGGTCCTCTTCCAAGTTCTGTCTGTCCGAAAGTGAGGTGCTGGCAAATTCTACAAAGAAAGACATTGTTCTGTTATAAAACTGATAGACGGGAAGGAGAAGAAGGTGGTTCCCTGAGTAAGCGTAGATGAGTCTTGGAAGGAACCAGGACCCAGACTCTGAGCTTTCTTTAAGAAAAAAAGGAAGAAGGAAGAAGAAGAAATCATCTAGTCCCCCTACAAGGAACGTGATTTATCTGGCAACACCTTGAGGGCCAAGTGGGTGAGCCCAAAGTTCATGTGGGCAGGGCCAAAGGACAGCGCTAAAAGAAAGTACAGTAGGATTCACCTTATTTCTTTGATTATAAGTGGTTTTAAACTGTTTTTGTTATACTGTTGTAATGTTGAAATCTGCCCTAAAATCATAAGGAAGGGTAATTAATAATAATTAAAATAACAATAATGTGGCATAGCATAACCCCACCACCACCACCACATCTGCTTAGAGGTTCTCTGTGACTAGCAGTGCCCCCTTCCAGCTCTGGCAAGTTTGCCAGCCCCAGTCTCTTTGGGACGAGAGGAGGAGGCCATGGTTTTCCATGCTCTGGATCCAATGGGATCATTGCAATGCCCTCCATGTGCAGCTGCCCTTGAAGACAACTCAGAAACAGCTGCAAAATGCAGTCCTCGGATTATGGGCTGGGCTCCTTCTCTTTATTAATTTCATTCACTTCTGGGTCCAGTTCAAGGGACTCACAGGAGCCAAATATCTAAACAAAGCCCTCCTTTGCTATACCCCCCCTTGGGGGCTCAGGGGGGCAGAGGGGCCCTCTTGGTGGTTTCCCCACTCAAGAGCTTTGGGTGGCCAAAGAGAGGGCAGCCTGGTGGCGGTTCCTCCTGGGGAATATCCTGCCCCCTTCTCCTCTTGACTGAGCTCTCGGATGCCTGCCCCACCCCTCAAGCTTCTTTCACTGAACCCCAGAGCTGGAAGGGGCACTGGGGGTCATGTGACCCAACTCCATGCAATGTAGGAATCTCAACTCACACATCCTTGAGAGGTGGACATCCAAACTCTGCTTGGAAACCTTCAGGGAAGCAGAGATTCCTGCATTGCAGGGGGTTGGACTAGATGACCCTCGGGCTCCCTTCCAGCTCTACGATTCCATGTTCCTATGATTCTTACAGGGGCCACCCAGGGGCCTGAATGGGAAGCCCCCCAGCAGGATGGGGCGCAAGAGCCCCTCTCTCCCCCTGCGCTCCTTCCAGCAACTGGGATTCAGCAGCATCGCTGGGGAGACAAGAAGCCAAGCAGAGCCCCCCCTCCTCCTCCCTGGACTTGGGGTCCCCCTGCAGCCCCGGGACCCCCTTCCCCCCACTGCGCCCTCGGGGGGGAGAGAGAGAGGAGCCTCACCCCAGGCAGAAGCTGCACAGACCAGCGACCAGAGGCCCCTCTTTGGCCCCGCCCCCTCGCCCACTCTTTCCTGTCCCCTCTAGGAACCCGGCTCTGTTCCTCTTAACCCTTGGAGCGCCGAGCACCCCACTTCTCCCTCCTTGCTCTGGAGGACCTGCCCCCTCCCGCAGGATTTCCGTCCGCTCTAGGAAGGCAGGTCACTTGCTTTTAACCCTTGGGACGGGGAAGATGTTCTTTTAGGGATTGTTGTTGTTCAGTCGTGTCCGCCTCTTCGTGCCCCCTGGACCAGAGCAGGCCAGGCCCTCCTGCCTCCCGCATTTTATGGTTTAGGAATACGTACATTATTCCTATGGGGAGCCAGAAGCCCCTTGCTGATCAAAGGCCCAGCTTGCCTCACCCAGAGTAGTTTAATTCTGTAGAAGAGAGGAATGGAAGCCAGACTGAGAGAGGGGGAATTGAAGAGTGGGTGGACGTAGCAGACGACACAGAGATTTCTCCAAGTACAGTGGTACCTCAGGTTAAGTACTGAATTCGTTCTGGAGGTCTGTACTCAACCTGGAACTGTTCTTAACCTGAAGCACCACTTGAGCTAATGGGACCTCCTGCTGCCGCCGCGCGATTTCTGTTCTCATCCTGAAGCAAAGTTCTTAACCCGAGGTACTATTTCTGGGTTAGCGGAGTCTGTAACCTGAAGTGTATGTAACCCGAGGTACCACTGTAGTTCTTTATAAGTAAGCCGGAACTGGACTAAACTGAAAACAGTTTTATAGGCAGCCAGCTGTCAACATTGTAACAACAACCCGGGGTTTCCTGCCTAAATTAACTGAGGTGGACCTGAGTGAAAACTATGTACACATTATGATAGCCCTGGTGGCCAGGGTGAGAACTTCAAGACATAACACCAGGAATTCTATCCGGGAAGAAAAAGCCAGAGGAGGTGCAGCTTTAATAAGGAGACGGGAACAGCAGAATGACCTAGCAGTGTCTATTATTCTGGATAGTATTTCAGACAGTCAAATGGTCCACACTGATGGATTTTATTAATAATGATTTAAAAATCAGGACATTTGCCACTCTCATAGATGGCAAACCAAGGTTCAGGCTCACTGATGTCATTGGCCATCTGAGAAAAGTGTGTGGAGAAAAGAGCAATCACTCCAGCCAGGAATGGAAATTCCAGTGATTCAAAATACATGTCACAGTCTCAGAAGAGAGCCAAGGCTCCATCCCAAAGAGTCATTTGCTTCAGATATAACAAAGAGGGACACATATCCCGATTTTGTGAAGCTCCAAACCAACAAAATCCCCTTCATTTTAGCAACCAAATCAAAATCAGAGAAGCAGAGATCAAGAAAGCAATCTTCTTTTGCAACAGAAGCATCTAGCTGTAAACAGATGTGATACAAAAAGAAAGAACTCAAACCAATGGTTGCTCAATTATGGATGTTCTTCATATATGTGTTAGGATGAAGATTTACTTGGCGGCCTGGACAATCTTAAGCTGTCAGTGGGGATGGCCATATTCCAATTGCAAATGGAGAAGCCATAAAGTGATACATTACAGGTTCAGGAACCCAAAACTGAAAGGCAAACAGTCAATGAAGAGATAATCATGTGGAGAGTGTCATATGTATGTCTCACACTTTGAATAAAACTCACCAGAAACCAACAGGCTACTATTCTAAGCACTTATGCACAAACACTGGGTGCTGATGAAGACATTAAAGAACATTTTTATTTTCAGCTGGATACCATCCTATCACAGACGCCTAAGGAGGATCAAATTATCCTCCTGGGCGATTTTAATGCAAGAGTTGGGCGAGATTTCGATCCGGGGCCTGGGAATACTGGGAAAGGAGGAATTGGCAACAGCAACCAGAACGGAATCTTACTTTTGACGATATGTGCAGCGCACTACCTTGTTATTACCAACACACTCTTTCGACAAAATAAATTCAAAACATCTTGGAGGCACCCTCTGTCAAACCACTGGCACCTCTTAGACTATGTACTAATTGTCTGAGCTGAAGATTGAATTGCAACCTGGCCAGTGACCAAAGATGGCCAGGTGTGTGCAGAAGCGCATTTGATGAAGAGGGCCTATGAGACTAATCTCTCAGAAAGCTAGACTGCAGACGTGGCACACAAAAGCCAGAAGGACGACGCAGACCCAGAACTCTGCGCTTTGGGACAACCAAGTGTGTAAGTTACATTACTGAGTAAACCTCCTTTCCTGCCACGCACTGAAAAGACAAGTACCAGGGTGCTAGATTTAATCTCCGGGGGTGAATGTGCCATAGGGGTTCGTAGCTGTCGGGTTTTTTGCATCTCTGCTTTTTAGCTCCTTGGGATCTATGTGGAAATGGTTCACCGTGGTTGGTCTTTTTTATGTTTTATTGCTTATGACTACTTTTTAGTATTTATTTAATAAATTTGTATATGACCCTTCATCTGAAGATATCGGGCAGTTCACAGCACAAAACTACAGAACAAAAACAGAAAATACAGAATAAAAACAAGAACAAAATCCCCGCTTCCCACAAGCACATTTAAAAGGACACAGAATGTTTAATTAGCCAAAGTCATGATTGTTCTGTTGTCGTCATTCAAACCCCTTTCAAACTCCCAGCCAATCACCTCTCACCCCCAGCATTCCAAACTCCCCCTCCCTAGCCATCTTTACCATAAATCTTCTAGTATACTGTACTTACTTCTGTTACGTTAATTATTTTGCTATAGGTGTATACAACTTTGAATTCAAACACCAGAACATCACAACTGAGCTTTAAGGAAACACACATGCACATGCAGTTTCTGAGAGTCTCACTAGAGAACAAGTGTGGCATAGTGGGTAAAGGCTCAGATCTGGGAGACCTGGATTCAAATCCCTACTTAGCTGGGTGACCCTGGGGAGCAGGCACTGCATCACAGCCTAACCAACCTCACAGGATTATTGTCCGTGTTAAATCAGGAGGGCAAGAGCCAGGTGACACCACTGGGAGCTCTCTGGAGAAAAAAATGGCCTTTAAACGCCATAAAGGAATTTCAGTAAGGACAAATGTCAGGTTCTGCATATAGGCAGGTATCATCAGCAAATATATAAGATGGGGGACATCTGGCTTCCCAGTAGTACATGTGAAAACGATCCAGGAGTCAAAAGTGTGACGTAGCAGCAAAGAAAGCAAATGCTATCCAAGGGCGCATCAACAGAAGTCGAGTGTCCAGATAAAGGGAAACCACAGCACTGTTATCTTCTTCCTTGGTCAGACCACGTCTGGAGTGCTGTGTCTTGTTTTGGGTGTCACAATTTGAATAGGATACTGACAAGCTGGAAGCATGACCAAGGGCCTGGAAACAAAGCCTTAAGTGGAACAGTTGAGGGAATGGATATGTTTAGCCTGGAAAAGAGGAAACTGGGAGAAAACAGAATAGCAGTCTTCAAATATCTAGAGGACTGTCCCAGGCAAGATGCAGCAAGCTTGTTTTCTCCTGTTCTGGAGGGTAAGACCTGAACCAATGCATTCAAGTTACCAAAAATGAGATTCCGACTCAATATCAGGAGGAAGCTTCTGGTGGTATAAGCTGCTCAGCAGTGGAACAGATTCCTATGAGAGATGTCATCTCCTTCCTTGGAGGTTTTTAATAAGAGATTAGATGGTTATATGTCATGGATGCTTTAGCTGAGATTCCTGTACTAGATGACTAACACAGCCCCTTCCAACACTACAATTCTATTATTCTGCTATTTTCCCTGCTGTGCGATCTTTGATGGGAAATGAGACTTTCCTTACAGGTGAAGCTCTTTCCACATTCCAAGCACTAATGTGCTTTCTCCCCTGTATGAATTCTTTGATGGGAAATAAGACTGACTCTCTGCCTGAAGCTCTTTCCACATTCCAAGCACTGATGTGGTTTCTCCCCTGTATGAATTCTTCGATGGGAAGTGAGACTGGTCTTTTGTATGAAGCTTTTTCCACATTCCAAGCACTGATGTGGCTTCTCCCCTGTATGAATTCTTTCATGAGAAGTGAGAGTATCCCGCCGAGGGAAGCTCTTTCCACATTCCACGCACTGATATGGCTTCTCCCCACTATGAGTTCTTTGATGGTAAGTGAGATGTTGCTTTGTTCTGAAGTTCCTTCCACAGTCTGAGCACTGATATGGTTTGTCCTCACTGTGAGTTATTCGATGGTAAGAGAGACTTGCTTTTGAGGTGAAGTTCCTTGCACAGTCCAAGCACTGATATGGTTTCTCCCCTGTATGAATTCTTTGATGGGAAGTGAAACCTGCCTTTGAGGTGAAGTTCCTTGCACATTCCAAGCACTGATGTGGTTTCTCCCCTGCATGAATTCTTTGATGGGAAGTGAGACGGTACTTCCGAATGAAGCTCTTTCCACATTCCACGCACTGATATGGCTTCTCCCCACTATGAGTTATTTGATGGTAAGTGAGTTGTTGCTTTGTTCTGAAGTTCCTTCCACAGTCTGAGCACTGATATGGCTTCTCCCCTGTATGAATATTTAGATGGGTGGTGAGACTCACCTTCTGACTGAAGCTCCTTCCACACTCCAAGCACTGATGTGGTTTCTCCCCTGTATGAATTCTTTGATGGATAGTGAGATGAGATCTGTGACTGAAGCTCTTTCCACACTCCAAGCACTGATGTGGTTTCTCCCCTGTATGAATTCTTTGATGGGAAGTGAGATGAGATCTGTGACTGAAGCTCTTTCCACATTCCACGCATTGATATGGCTTCTCCCCTGCATGAATTCTTTCATGAGAAGTGAGACTATCTTTCCAAATGAAACTCTTTCCGCATTCCAGGCACTGATATGGTTTCTCCCCTGTATGAATTCTTTCATGAGAACTGAGACTGGAGTGCTGACTGAAGCTCTTTCCACATTCCACACACTGATATGGTTTATCCCCACTATGAGTTCTTTGATGGTAAGTGAGATGTTGCTTTGTTTTGAAGTTCCTTCCACAGTCTAAGCACTGATATGGTTCCTCACCTGTATGAATTCTTTGATGGGAAGTAAGACTCTTTTTCCAACTGAAGCTCTTTCCACATTCCAAGCAGTGATATGGTTTCTGGCCCATATGAATTCTTAGATGGGAAATGAGATATTCCTTTCTACTGAAGCTCTTTCCACACTCCAAACACTGATATGATTTCTCCCCTGTATGAATTTTTAGATGGGTGGTGAGAATCACCTGCTTACTAAAGCTCTTTCCACACTCCAAGCACTGATGTGGTCTCTCCCCTGTATGAGTTCTTTGATGGGAAGTGGAATAGGAACTCTGACTGAAGCTTTTGCCAGACTCCAGATATGTATAGGGTTTCTCCACTGTGTGAACTTTGTCTTGGTCTCCCTTGTTCTGAATTTCTAATTCATCACCACCTGCAATGAACAGAGAAATGGATTAGAGCCTCAAGAAGAATTGTACTTCCAGGTCAGCCATGATCACAAGAGCAGCTTCTCCGAGCTTGGGGAAGTCTCAGATGCAGAAATTGGGGTAGCGAAGGCAAACATTCCTTAAGACCCTGAGTGTAGCAGGGTGACAAGCCCGTTTCTCTGCCGCTCCCTGCTTGGAGGAAGTTGGAGGACCCTGTTCCAGGCTGGTTGAGAGGCAAGGCACTGGCAAAAACATTTCTGTTGTTTTTTTTAATGATATTTATTAAAATTTCAGAGAATACAAGAATTACACAAAAACAAAAAGTAAAAATACAAGAAAATACAAAATACAAATTACAAAAAAAGAGTAAAAGACACTTAAAAAGAGGGGGGGAAAGAAAAATAGATCATTCTTTCCATAACTTACATTTATATCCTTGTTTCCCTGACCTCCTCATACCTCCCTTTATTGTATTCCAGTTCAATTAGTTAAGTCAGCAATTTCTTTCCCTCTTTGTTTTCTCATAATTCTTTAACTTAATATACTATAATTTTAAATTTTCATCTGTTATCAGTCCTTTTTTACCTACACCATTTTAACATTACTGCTTAAACCACCTAACTTCATTCCAACATCATTCTAACATTCATTAATTTTACAATATTTCTGTAAATAGTCTTTAAATTTCTTCCAATCTTCTTCCACCGATTCTTCTCCCTGGTCTCGGATTCTGCCAGTCATTTCCGCCAATTCCATGTAGTCCATCACCTTCATCTGCAATTCTTCCAGAGTGGGTAGGTCTTGTGTCTTCCAATACTTTGCAATAAGTATTCTTGCTGCTGTTGTGGCATACATAAAGAAAGTTCTGTCCTTCTTTGGCACCATTTGGCCGATCATGCTCAGGAGAAAGGCCTCTGGTTTCTTAGGAAAGGTATATTTAAATACCCTTTTCATTTCATTATAAATCATCTCCCAGAAAGCCTTAATCCTTGGACACGTCCACCAAAGGTGAAAGAATGTACCTTCAGTTTCTTTACATTTCCAACATTCATTATCGGGCAAGTGATAGATTTTTGCAAGCTTGACTGGTGTCATGTACCACCTGTATATCATTTTCATAATATTCTCTCTTAAAGCATTACATGCCGTAAACTTCAAACCTGTGGTCCATAACTGTTCCCAGTCAGCCATCATTATGTTATGTCCAACGTCCTGTGCCCATTTAATCATAGCAGATTTCACCGTTTCATCCTGAGTATTCCATTTCAACAGCAAGTTATACATTCTTGACAAATTCTTAGTTTTGGGTTCTAACAGTTCTGTTTCCAATTTTGATTTTTCCACCTGGAAGCCAATTTTCTTGTCCAAATTATATGCCTCCATTATCTGGTAATAATGAAGCCAGTCTCGCACTTTGTTTTTTAATTTTTCAAAACTGTAATTTCAGTCTATCCCCATCTTGTTCCAAAATTTCCCAATATTTCGGCCATTTGGCCTCCATATTGAGCCTTTTCAAAGCTTTCGCTTCCATCGGTGACAGCCACCTTGGGGTTTTGTTTTCCAATAAATCCTTGTATCTTATCCAAACATTAAACAATGCTTTCCTGACAATATGGTTTTTAAATGCTTTATGTGCTTTGACTTTGTCATACCACAAATATGCATGCCATCCAAATACATTGTTAAAACCTTCTAGATCCAAAATGTCAGTGTTTTCAAGAAGCAGCCATTCTTTCAACCAGCAAAAAACTGCTGATTCATAATAAAGTTTCAAGTCTGGCAGGGCAAATCCACCTCTTTCCTTTGCATCTGTTAATATTTTAAATTTTATTCTAGGCTTCTTGCCCTGCCAGACAAATCTAGAAATATCTCTCTGCCACCTCTTGAAACAATCCATTTTGTCCACAATTTGCAATGTTTGAAACAAAAACAACATTCTAGACAATACATTCATTTTTACCGCAGCAATACGACCCAACAGTGAAAGCTTCAAATTTGACCAGATTTCTAAATCTTTTTTCACTTCAGCCCAACATTTTTCATAGTTGTCTTTAAATAAATTCCCGTTTTTTACTGTCATGTTAATCCCCAAGTATTTAACTTTCTTGACCACTGTTAAACCTGTCTCATTCTGAAACCTCTCTCTCTCCTTTGGTGTTAATTTTTTCTCTAAAACCTTGGTTTATAACTTATTCAATTTAAATCCTGCAACTTGACCAAATTCTTGAATCAGTTCTAAAACCCTTTTGGTACTAGATTCTGGCTCCTGTAACGTCAATACTAAGTCATCTGCAAATGCTCTCAATTTGTACTGTTTGGCTCCGACCTGTATCCCTTTAACCAACTGGTCCCTTCTAATCATATTCAGCAAAACCTCCAGGACCGATATAAAAAGCAATGGGGAGATTGGGCAACCTTGTCGTGTCCCTTTTTCTATCTTAAATTCTTCCGTCACCACATTATTTACAATTAATTTAGCCTTTTGTTCAGAATATATTGCACTTATACCGTTTCCAAAGCCTTGGCCTACCCCCATCCCCTGTAGGTTCTTCTTCATAAAACTCCAAGAAATGTTGTCAAAAGCTTTCTCCGCGTCCACAAATATTAAAACTGCCTTAGTATTTATATTCTCTTGTAATTTTTCTAAAATATTGATTATGTTTCTCACATTGTCAGATAGATGTCGCAAAAACATTTCTGACTCAATTACTGAGAAGACTCAGAGGCGATCGTGTAAGTGGCTGACTTCCTTATAAATTGGACTTGACTTAAATTTAAAGACACTTTACCATAAAGGGTGGGCAGCAGCTGCAGGGGAAAATTCTGGCTGCTGGTGTGTGAAGAAAAGAGTGAAAGAAGTAAAAAAAAAAAAAAAATCGCTGCCACAAAGGAGAAGGGAGAGGAGAGGGATGGAAGGGAGAATGTTGATACAAAGCTATAAATTCCTTGGGAGAATACTACCCAATCCTCATGGCTAATGGAATAAAGAGCACTAGAATCCAAAAGGGGACTGTCTGGGTACAATTTGACTTTGCCATATAAAGAGAGAGCTAAGAGAGAGAGCGCTTGGAATATTGCTAGCAGAGTGGAGGTGCACGGTGGGACGGAGCAGGCTGAAATGTTATGTCTGAATGAGAGAGATCTGCAGAACAAAACTTGCCCCAGAAGGACTGTTGTTTAAGCATGGATTATAGAAGTGAATTACAGTACTATGACGACCAGAACCAAAGAAAAAAACCTGAACCAGCCAACCTCACAGAGGGCAACATCTGTAACAGCAGAATTGACAAGGCAGCAATGGATTTAAATGAAACATGGATAGCAATCAAGTTGGCACTGGAGGCAAATTCCAATGCAATATCCCAACTTTCTTGTAACATCCAGGATTTAACTAAAAGAACTGCTTCAGTGGGAGAGACTGTTAATAAGCTTTCTTATGGGAATCGTGAAACCAAGAAGCAAGCAGAGACAATGCAGGGGGAAGTGACAGAAATAAAGCAACAAGGAGAGCTGCTGTCAGATCAAATGGAAGTTTTGGAAATGCGACAAAAGGAGTCCTTTTTGATATTCCGTGGGATCCTGGAACTAGGCGATTAAATCCAAGAGAAACTGGTGAAGCAGTTGGTGGAATTCCTTGAGATGGAAGCGGAGGAGATAATCTAAGTTTTCTGTATAAAGTCGGCCTTTGCAAGCACAAAGAAACTACCAGGAGTTTGTTTGGTTCAGTTCTGCTCAAGAAAAATCAAGGATAGAATTCTTCAAACCCACTTCCAATAGATGGACAAAGGATTATATAGTGGAACCTTAGGTTACAGATGCTTCAGGATACAGACTCCGCTAACCCAGAAATAGTACCTCGGGTTAAGAACTTGGCTTCATGATGAGAACAGAAATCGCACAGCGGCAGTGGGAGGCCCCGTTAGCTAAAGTGGTGCTTCAGGTTAAGAACAGTTTCAGGTTAAGAACGGACCTCTGGAACGAATTAAGTTCTTAACCCGAGGTACCACTGTAATGATATATCATGAAATGAAGAAGACGTAAGAATTGGTAATTTTCAAAAACCTGAAGCTTTTCTTTTAGGGATATTGGGGACAAATGTCCTGAAGAATATGATTAAACTATTTGTGTACGCAGCAACACTTTATATGCACAAAACTGGAAAGAAGAAACAAAGAAGAATGGCTTGTAAAAACTTTGGAGTATGCAAAATTGGCAAAGTTGAGAGCAAGAGTGAGAGACCAAACTTTTTACTGAAGAGTAGAAACCCTTTTTGGAATATCTGAGAAAGAATTTTAGTCAAATGATATAATGGGCAGGATTGGAATTATGAGCAGCGGATTGGAAATGATAATAAATGTAATAGATGAAATATGTATTAGATATAGTTTGATATATATCAGCAGCAGGAAAAGATGGGAATGAAAGCACCACGGAAATGAGGGAAGAAGTCACCTCACTGTTGTTTTTTGGTAAAAGAAGCATATATTGAATTTGAAGTTAATTTGTTAAAGTTTTCTAAACTGAATAAAAATTATTATGCAAAGAAGAGGAAGAAATGGAGTTGCCAATTATTGAATAACGCTAATGAACACCTGTGATGAAGGAAGAACTGAAGTTAATTTCTTACTGCAGAATTCACTGCCTTTGTTGACTGACATACCGTATTTTTCGCTCTATAACACGCACCTGACCATAACACGCACGTAGTTTTTAGAGGAGGAAAACAAGAAAAAAAATATTCTGAATCAAATGTTGTACTAAACTATTTAATAAACAACCGGTATATCAGAATCATATTACAACCATGTAAAGTGAACAGCAGTGGCATTAAGAACCATCATCACTGTCATTAACAAATGAAGAGAGAATTATAGGTTCGAGTACTCTTCTAGTCTTCTGTGAACCCCAAGAATTTATCAGTGCCAGAGTCAGAATTTATGAAGCTCAGTTGCTCACAATCACTGACATCACTTTCTTCGCTATCTTCATGTAAAATGTCATCTTCTTTTGCATCCAAACCATTGCTAATGCCACATTTTTTGAATGACTGTGCAACGATTTCCTCCTTCACAGAGTGCCATGATGTTTTCACCCATTCACAAACTTGAGTGATAGTGGGCCTCTTCATTCGTCCAGTAGGTGTCAGATCATGATTACCAGCAGCCATCCATTTGTTCCACTCTTCTTGCATAACGACCTTAAATGGCTTGTTGATGGAAACATCGAGAGGTTGCAACTGGCTGGTAAGACCTCCAGGAATTACAGCTAGATGAGTCTTCGCTTCTTTAAAGCACTTTTTTGTAGTTTCGCTAATATGTGCTCTAAACTGGTCCAGTACTAATAAGGCAGGTTTTTTCAAAAGCCCTCCAGGACGTTTGGACCACACTTTTTCAACCCATACTCTCATTCCATTTTCGTCCATCCATCCTTTCTCATGAACATGTACAACAATTCCTCGTGGAATCACTTCTTTTGGAAATGTTTTCCTTTTGAAAATTAACATGGGTGGCAATTTGGTGCCATCTGCACAGCAAGACAACACAACCGTGTAATGGGTTTTCTCATGTCCGGAGGTTTTCACAGCAATAGTTTTGGCACCTTTCAGATCAACAGTCCTATTAGATGGCACATCAAAGGTTAGCGGGACTTCATCCATATTCCCAATCTGGCCAATTTCAAATCCATTTCTCTTCCTAGCATCAATTACAAATTTATAAAAAGACAGAATCTTAGATTCATATTCTTCTGGCATTTTTTGTGCAATTCTAGTTTTCGTGCACATAGCAAGGCCACATCGCTTCATAAATCTGTAGCACCATGATGGTGAGCCAGTAAAATCGTGAATGCCTTTCTCTAAAGCAATGCGTTTGGCTTCATATATTATCATTTTTGTAGAGACTGTGAAGCCATTATTCTGGTGATATGTGATCCATTCTTTCATGGCAATGTCCATCTGTGGCCACTTTGCAGCATGTCCACGAAAAGTGTGCTTGCTTTTATCTGCTTTTTGCAGCTGATCCTCCTGTTTCCTCCAACCTCTTATCATTCTTTCTGTTGGAGGTGGCCCAAAATGTCTCTCTGCTGCTCTGTTTCCATGCTCCTTAGCATATTTTACTACCTCTAGTTTAAAAGGAATCTTATATGCTAGTCTTCTCTGCTTTATCATCCTTATCAGAACGGGGGAGGTTTGCTGCAAGAAAATACAGTTTTCTGCAAGAAAATGATGAAGGAACTGTCAATAATGTATGGTATCTCCAATACAGGGATGAAGGAAGAGGGGGGGGAGCTCACATTTGTCCTAGGCAAAGCAGCCAACTCCTATAGGCCTAGGTGCCTCCCCCCCCCATTAATATTTGAGGGAGTCATCCTCCCCCCATGCTGATGGGCATTGCCATTCATATAAGGTACCAGTGTGCATGCACTTTGTCTTGAGATCCATTGCAGTCTGTGAGATGGGGCTTACCTGTACCTGCCCCCCCCCCAATATTTTATTGAAGTTGGAAGAGGGAGGGAGGGAAGAGAGATGGAGAGCTCACATTTGTCCTAGGCAAAGCAGCCAACTCCTATGGGCCTAGGTGCCTTCACCCCCCATTAAATATTTGAGGGAGTCATCCCCCACCCCCCATTGTGGTATGTGAGGTGGGGCTTACCTGGCCGCCCCCCAATATTTTTTGAAGTTGGAAGAGGGAGGGAGGGAGGGAAGAGAGGGGGAGCTCACATTTGTGCAGCTGCCTTGCCTCGAACCGGAGAAAAAGAGGAGGAGGAGATGCAGGGACACGAGCCTTGTAAGCCGCTTTGTTTGAATTTACCGGTGAGGTGCTGGGGGAGGGACAGAAGGGGATGCCCTCTTTGTCCCTCCTTCCGGCTCATTGTAAAGAAAGCAGAGTAAGAGCCGCTTACATGTGTGTAAGCGGCTCTCCCTTTGCTTGAATTACAGTCAGCCCATCAGACTATAAAGTCACCTCGCCAAAAAGCCATAGAGCAGGCAGACACGGAGGAAGAGAGGCTGCCTCCCTTCTCCCACCTCGACGAAAAGCCAGCAAGAGCAGCTCTTCCCGCCTGCATTCACTCCATAACGCGCACACACATTTCCCTTTACCTTTTAGGGGGGAAAACTGAGTATTATGGTGCGAAAAATACGGTACTTATGGGAAACTGAAATTCAAAATGCCTGTTACTTTCTGCAATGAATTTTCTTTGGCTCAATCATGGAATCTGCTCCATCTCCAGCGTCAGAAGAATTTTTGCAAAACCAAGAACCGACAGAAGCAAAAAGAAAAACACAAAACCTGACAGAAGCTACTTCCACTTTCCTAAATATTCAGGAAGCCTACAATTTTAAAAGGCCTGGGCAGCTCAGACCAGCCTGATGCTTGTTTAAAAAGGCATAAGTGGTGGAAGAATATTGGCAGGCAAAACAGTCAGTAGCCTCCATTCAAGGTAAATTGTGTGGGTGCGAGAATCCCAGGTGCTGTAGGTGGCGCTGTCAAAATCCATCAAAATCTAGGAGCTTCATCACACAGAGATATATGCATGGAATTTTGAAACAGATGTTGTAATAATATGAGCTATACCAAGAGAATCTATGGTCCCACGATTCTCCTCCATGACTTCCGTATGCAGAGCTCTCTGGTCAGGATCTAGCAACGCCCACTCCTCCTCTTTGAAACAAACAGAGACATCTTCAAAGCACACTGGACCCTAAAAGCAAAAGGGAAAGTTCCTCCTCTTAGACTGCATAAAGATTATCTACTACACATGCTCTGTTGTTTCCTGCCTGTTAAAAGCTCCGTTGATTTCATGGGAATATTTTGCTGCAGATTTTAAGTAGAGATGCTCCTTTTAATGTCTTAATGGAATTGTTTTATTGTGTATTTCACTGTGATTGGGGGGGGGGCCCTCCTGATGCCAACTTCAAGGGGCGCATGGGGGCCACAAGGAGGACAAAAACCCTTTTTGCAGTGGATGGGGGTCATTAGGTGAATCCTGGCTGCAGTTTTTTATTGTTTCTTGATTCCATAGAAGCCTATTTTAGCATTTCACAATAAATTGACAAATAAAATAGCAACTACTGATAAATACTAGTGACATTCAGAAGGCGAGTTAAGGTGAGCTGGTTGTTCATTATACGTTCTCTTTCTTAAGGGCAGCTACGACAGAAGCAAAGAAGAGGACAGATTTGTTTGGCCCCCAGAGACACCCTGGTTGCCCCACCCCTCAGCCTCTTTCCCGCAAAGGCTCCTTCCCTTTACCTGATCCGGTTCCACAGCCGCTGCTTCCCCTCCATCACCAAGAAAAGATGGAAGAGGAGTTCTTGCCAGTTCTGCCAGTATTATTCCGCCACCTGCGAGAGACAAAGGTAAGTGGGAACCATGAGAGCATGCTTCTCTTGGAGAAAAAGCCTCACCTGCTGACTGCATTTCGGTGTTTGTACCCATTTCATAGTTTAGTTGTGCAAAATTACATCTCCCCTCCTCTTAGCTCCTGGACCCAAGTGTCTTCCCCCAAAATGATGAAAAGAACCCATGGAATCACTTCGAAACCCACAGAATGTGACCTAACTGAGAAGAAACTACTTCCTCCTTACCTAGTGAACTCTCTCTGGTGTCTAACGGAGTCCTCTCTGCCCCAAAGGAATCAGGACCCATTTCCGCAAACAGATCATTTTCCTGAAAGAGAAACAAGGATTCCAAACAGACAATGGGGACAAGGATTAAAAAAGGAAAAAGGATGAGCAACTAGGAGAGTTTTTTTAGGATCTTCTCCCTCCTTGGAGCCCCTTGGGAGTATCCGGAGGAAAGTCTCTCTCACCTGCTTCCTCTCCTCCACCTGACTCAGGAGGAAACCTTCGGCCAGGGCCACTGCCTGGGAACTGGTCTCTGCTCCGCATTCCCTCACCCAGCTCTCCATCTCCGCTGGAAGGACAGCCAGGAACTGCTCCAAGATCACCAGGTCCAGCATCTCAGCTTTCGTGTGCCTTTCTGGCTTCAGCCATTGATGGTCAAGGTGGTAGAACCAACTGCAAACCTCTCGTGGTCCTTCAGTCTCCTGGAAGCAGAACCATCTGAACTGCAGGCTCTGCGCCTCTGAGCGAAGGGTGTCCTCCTCTCCCAGGAGCTTCTGTACACAGTTTTCCCAGAATCCTTCACTGCTCCCAGTTTCCATAGCATGACCTCTTCCTGCTCCAGGGCCAGCTGAGTCTTGCTCATCCATCTTTAGGAAGGAATCCAGTTTTTCCTTGGCCAAGTTCTGCCTGTCTGATTTAGAGGTGCTGGCAAATGCTGCAAAGGAAATATATTGTTCTGTTATGAAATTGGCACACGGTCAGCAGAAGGAGAAGGTCCCCTGAGCAAGTGTGGATGAGTCTTGCTAGGAACCAGGGCTGGACTGTACCACAGGCCAGACTCTGAGCTTTCTGTAAGAAAAAAAGGAAGGAGAAGAAATTATCTTGCCCTCCTAGGGGGAAAGTGACCAAGCCAAAAGTGGAGGCAACGGAAGAGATTTCTGTCTGACGAATGAGCCTGGAGGCTCCTGCCTCTCGGTGTTTTCAGCCCAGAGATAGAAGCAGAACAGTGATGGAGAAGTGAATCATTTGTTCCAAGTGTGGAATATCTGATGAATTGTTGTATTGTAATATTTTGCTGGAAGCCGCCCAGAGTGGCTGGGGATACCCAGCCAGATGGGTGGGGTATAAATAATATATGGACACTAGTCTCTATTGAGGGTCCTAATCATGGGCTCCTCAAGAGTTGCTCTCCTTCCCAACCCCACTTGAGGGCACATTTCCTTTCTGCTTCTGTCTCGTTTTCTACCCCTTTGCATCTCCAACGTCCCTTTTTCTTCTTCTGAGGGCCAGATCCTGATCTGGCCAAGCCCCTGAGGGCCAAGTGGGTGAGGCCAAAGTTCCTGTGGGTAGGAAAGTGCTAAAAAGCCAGGAAAAGAACAACTCAGTTTCCTTCTGTCATTGTAACTTGTTTTAAATGGCTTTTAAAATTGTGTTTTAATGGTGTCCTCTTCCCCGGGGAACTTAAGGGAATGTATGGGTTGTAAATTAATAATATTAATAATAATAATAATAAGTGTTACACAGCTTAACCCCCGCAGAGCCAGATATGCGTTGCTATTTGGAAACCCCTGAGGAGTGGGATTGCCAAGAGAGAGGGGAAGTGACGGAAAGGGAGCCCCAGTTTTAAGCAGAGAAGGAAGCTGGGCTGCGTCCAAAGGATTGAACTCAGAACTGAGTAAAGGAATGAGAGGGAGGAAAGAGGAACCGAGTGAAGCATTTCACCTCCTCTTCTAGAAGGTGGAACATCTACCTTTGATTTTTAGCCAGAGAAGTTGAAGAGAAGCTGTGCGTTTACTTCTTTGTTTTAACGCCTGAAAGCTCTTTAGGTTTAGTGTCATTAAAAAGTTCACTGTTTCCTGAAAGGACACAACTCCTGACCCTTCTTTGTTTTACCAACTTGGTTTTGTAAATAAAACCTTTCTTATCCGTTCAACGTCTCCCTGAGTCTCCAAGCATCTAAGGTTTCCCTCACACAAAATCCAAGAGAGAACCTGTGGTGGTTAAATATATATATATCTCTAGGAGTCCTAGAGAGTTGGAGGGTTTGCCTCAAATGGTGGAAGAGTCATGACAGGAAGTATAACTCAGGAGGAGAATGAATTCCTGCAGAAAGTTGTCTATTTTGTGAGGGAAAGAGAGTTCTGTGAGGAGAAGGCCCCACCGTGACCCAGGACTCCTGAAGGGAAGAGAGAGTCAGGCAGAAGCAGAAACGGAGGAAAAAACCTCTGAGGGAATTTCAGTCAGGAGACAAAATGGAGGAAACCCAAACCTGACAGAGAAGCTCAGGCTTTGAAGAAAACAGATTCAGTTGGCGGGAAAAAGGCGGACAAGGAAAAAGAGGCTGCGCTGAAGAGAAAACGTCAAATATTGTGAGCCAAAACTCAGGCGGAAGATGCAGAAAGAGGCCCCAAAAGAAATGTCCCTCAGGCACAGGAGATGCAGCTGGGGGCAGAGAAGGGAGAAATGAATTCCCTCAGGGGGAAAAAGGGGAAATTCCCAGAGACCAGGCGGGAAAATGGAGGGAAGAAGGAGCCTTTCTGCTTGGTTTGGAAAGGACTCTGTTGTCCCAAAGGGGAGAAAACGGAAATCGCTTCAGAGACACTGGTCAAGCGGAGCAGAGCCGGCCGGAGAAAATTCAATTAATAATAATAATAATAATAATAATAATAATAATGGCAGCCAAGGAGGGGCTGAGGGGATTGAGGGATCTGAGGGCCAAGATGGTGCAAAGAGAGGCCAGAATCTGGCAGGGAAATGGTGGCCGGGAGGCTGAGGCAAAGGAGGCAGGAACTATTATTTTATTCATTTAATTGATTTTCATTTTATGAAATGCCAGGAATTAGGGTGCCCTTTGGCTGCTTATCTGTTCTAATGTCTGCCTGAACCCACATTCACAGACATGAATAGAGACGCCTTTAATCGGATAATTCTTGCATTTGGAAGCTGCCTAGCAGAGATCAGAAACTCTGGTGCGGTTTCTTAAAATGTTGGTGGAGTAATTAAGAGAGATTTCCCTTCATAGGAGACCAGGATGCGAAGCCGGGCGTCCCGAGATCTCCCTTGTCTGATTCGCGAGGAGCAGGAGAGGAGCCCTGCAGGATCAGGCCCTTGGGCCCCTCTGGACTCCCCCCTCCCGTTCCCACTGGGGCCTGAATGGGAAGCCCCCCAGCAGGATGGGGCGCAAGAGCCCCTCTCTCCCCCTGCGCTCCTTCCAACAACTGGGATTCAGCAGCATCTCTGGGGAGACAAGAAGCCAAGCAGAGCCCCTCCTCCTCCTCCTCCTCCTCCCCGCCCTGCTCCCAGCCTGGCCTCAAGTGGCAGGGAGTTCCGCAGGCTCGACTCTGCACCGCACCAAGAAGCGCCTTCTCTTCTCTGCCCCTTCCCTCTTCCAGCAGTCAGGCTTTCCTTTATATTTCTTCGGTGCATTTTATGTCCAAATATTTCCGTCCCTCTACAACCTCTGCTGATAAATGGGACTGATTCCTCAGACTGGGGGGTTTTATTTCCAGGCCCTTTTCTTCCCTCCCCGAAGGGATCCAAAGGAAGATAATACTTGCAGAGCTTCTGTGCCCTCGCCCCCTGGCTTTGCGGAGGGGGGGGCAGGACTTGGGGGTCCCCCCTGCACCCTCTTCTCCCCAATGCAGAGACTCACCGGCTCCCCGGAGGCGCCACGGATGCAGCACGTGCAGAAGAGAGAGACAAAGGCCCCTCCTCCCTTGGAGGCAGGCGGGAGAGGGAGGGGCTTGGGCTCGGGGGTTTCTCCCCCCCAACCCCCCCTTGACTTCCTCTCCCCTCTAGGAATCCAGATCAATCCCCTTTAACCCTTGGCAAGCCAGCTCCCCCTCTCTCCGGTGTCCTGTGCCGGGGAGTTCCGCAGGTGAACTCTGCTTTGCGTGTAATTTTACCTGTCCTGAATCTTCCAACATTCCGACTCCTTGGATGTCTTTGAGTTCCACTGTCAGGAGATGCAACTCTCCCTCCACTTTCTCTAGGCCAGTCTTGGCTTTTGAAAATTGGAGGGGGGGGGGCTCAGTAATTAGCTAATTGGGAAGCACTGCTCTGAAGTCTAAAGAGCCCCAAAGGCTGCAACCTTTCTTCATAGCAAAGTCCGCCTTGATCATTTTGGCAGCCCTTTTCTGAACCTTTTCCAACTCCTCACTGCACCCCCCATGAGGTTACGCCATAGAGTTGTGACCAGGGGGGCTGCAGGGCTCTGTCCGGGGCCTGTTTTGCTCCATCTGTCAATCTTGGATGGAGGAAATGAGGGGATGCTCGTCCAGTTTGCAGATGACACCAAACTGGGAGGGGCAGCTAATGGCACAGAATTACCATTACAGATTGGAGAACTGGGGGCAAGTTAACAAATTTAATCTCAATAGGGATACTTGTCATTATTATTTTTGATGGGGGAATGTGTGTAGAATTGCCTAAAGAATGTGTAAGTACAAATAAAAATGATTGCCTAGTATTCAGTTATCTATATTAGGTATGACCTATACATATTTTATATTAAATTTTGTATTACAATCACACACACATTGACAAGCACCTCTAGGCCACTGGAGGGGATTCCACTGCTGTTATGGGTGTGTGTCCATGCACTGGGTAGAGGTCAAGCTTGGTCCGAAGCTGATCTGCTTGGTTTGTGCCCTTCACACTGACGAGCAACCCAACTGCAGCATTCAAGGGGAGGTTGTCTGGCAGGAGGCTAGAGACGGCTGGCTGCAGAACTTGACACTGCTCCTTCACTCACCAAGCTCAGCTGCGGAGCCTCTTACTTCACGGAGCGACAATATCAAAAAGGCTCTGCCCTACTGATCAAGTGTGCAGGTGTTGGATCACACAGGAAAACCTGACTCCCAAAGGTCATCTAGTCCAACCCCCTGCAATGCAGGAATCTCAACGAAAGCATCCATGACTCCTTTCTCGTTTGTTCAGATGCTGCCCTCCGGAGCAGCAGAAATCTTCCACCTTGACCCCCCCCCGCTGCCTTTGCCCCCGCTGCACCACAAACCGAGGTGAACATGCAGTATAAAGAAATTTTATTGAATGTCTTTTGTATTAAAAAAACAACAAACAAACCCAAAACCTTCCTCCCCTCAAAACACAAACACATAAAAAATAGAATATGGAGGCTCCTAAGTCCAGAAGGCAGTGATGCGCAGAGTGGGGAATGTCTGTTTCAGGGATCACAGTGCCCCCCTTCTCAGCCCCCAATTCGCCCACCACCGTTGACCACGGCGGATCCAGCGCTCCCTCAGGAACTGGGTTCGGACGGCACCTTCTCCTCATCTGGGGGACAGTCCACAAAGTCCGCCAACATGGCTTCTGTTTCATCCACTTCTGTGCCCTGCAGGGGAAGAGAATTAGGTGGGGTCACTTCATTGTAGTTGGCATGACAACTCACCCCACCACCCACCGGAAGTATCCCCCCGAAAAGCGTCAATATATTAGGGCGCTCGGCCGAACAAAGTTTTGAAGACTGGCGGAAAAGACAGCATTTCGGCACTCAATCTAAAAAAAGACGTACACACACAGAGCAAACCCAGAATGCAGGCCTTAGAGAATCACAGAATTGTAGGCTTCCAGTCCAACCCCCCCCCCCCCGAAATGCAGGAATCAAAGCTGAAGCATCGCTGGCAGGCGGCCGTCCAACCTATTAAAAAACCTTCCGAGGGAGTCGCTCTGCCACAGATGGGCTCTTACCCTCAGGAAAGCCTAAACGTTGAGTATCTCCTTTCTTGGAGTTTGAAACCATGGGTTTAGACCCTGCCCTCCAGAGCAGGAGATAACAAGCTTGCTCCTGGAGGCAACCCTTCAGATACTGGCAGACGGTTCTCCCGTCTCCTCTTTTCCAGGCTAAATATCTCCATCTCCCCCCAGCTCTTCCTCGTAAACAAGGCTTGTTTTCCAGACCCTTCAAAATCCTGCTCACCCTCTTCTGCGCACCTTCCATCTTCTCACCAATATCCTTCTGGAACTGGGGTGCCCAAAACTGGACCCAGGTGGGGTCTGACCATTGTTCCCAGCTGCCACTGCAAGACCCCTCGCTGCTCCCTCCAAAGTTGGAGACTGCAGAACACACAACACCTCCCCCCCCCCCCGCACACAATAAACCATCCCAGCTCCAGACTTAGGAATCTGCCCTAGACACACCCTCCCCCCAGACTCTCTGCCGCCCCAGAGGACTTTTTCCGCCATCCAAAGTGTAGCCAGAATTATTTGGATTGTTCTTAATGACCATTTGTGCTCTTAAAAAACAAGGCGCCGTCAAAATATTCCACAACACGGCGGCCTGGTTGCATCCTCCTCCAGCGAAGGCTTCTCTGGGTGGGCTTCCCCAACCAGAAGGGTTTGGGCGGTTGCTGATAAAGAGTACAGCAAAGACGCCTGCCTCATCTCAAGTTCCAAAGGGCAGGGGCTGCCAGAGTTCTTACAAAAGCAGAACGGGTGTCGTGTGGCGCCTGCAGCAGGGCCAGATGCGCCGGCTGAACCGGCCAAGTGGGAGCAGGTGGGGCAAAGCGATCTCACAGGTAAACTGCTTTCAGACAACCACCCACATTACGAAGTGCATGCGAGTTCCTGATCTGTTTTCGGGTTTTTGCCGTGTTAGCTGTTCAAAAGCCTTAATGTTGTTGCTGCAAACTTTTCTGATTGACAATTTATCATCATCATCATCCTTTTGCAAACCACTTTGAGGTTTACTTATTTGCTTCATAAAATCTTTATGTGGTTTCACTGAGAAAACCTTTCCGGCTTCGAGGCTTTTCCCTCTACAATCCATCAGCAAAGAGATTTTGTGAAGCAAAACAAACCAATAAATAGAAAACAGCACCGTGTAGAAGTCAAACAAACAGCTTAATTTGGAGAGAGAAGAGCCAACTCTAAACTGATATAAATTCACTCCCTCTTTTGCCCTTTCTTGGGTGGGGGGGAGGAGATCAGACCCGGGACAGAGGACAGAACCAGAGAACTGCGAGTATCTGGAAGGGGGTCCCAAGGGATCGTTGTTCTTATTTTTATTATGCATTTTGCATTTATTAGATTGTAATTTTACACTGCGAAAGGCCTGAAATCTATGGGTCTACAAATTTACCAAACAAAACAAAACTCTCTGCCTGTAATGCCTTCATACTTAGAATAATGGAGTCACAGAACTGGGAAGTTGGGGGGCACCTAGTCCCACCCCCTGCAGTGCAGGATTCTTTTGCCCGATGTGGGGCTTGACCCCACGACTCTGAGATGAAGGGTCTCCTGCTCTGCCGACTGAGCCGTCCCAGGTTCCTTTCCCCTTGGAACGTCAACGTCACACCCTGAGCTCCACTATCGCCCCAGAGTGGAAGATGCACCGTACAGAGTTCAGTTAACGAGGGAATATTCTTCCCCACATGTGCCGTGACCTCTCTTCCCGCCCTGCCCCTCATGCCCACCTCCTCGCCCGGCGGCGGCTCCTGCTTCTCCGCCTCTCCCTGCAGCGCTGCAGCCTCGGGGGCCGCCCCTCCTGGCTCCCTCCGGCCCCCTTCGTGCACCACGACTTCCTCCTCCTCCTCTTCCTCCTGCCCCTGTGGAGTCGTGGTCCGGGGGGCAGCTGCAGCCGCGGGGCCCTCCTGCTCCTCCTGGGGGGGCTGCTTCTCGCCCTGCTCCTCCTCCAGCTTCACGGAGGGCAGGGGGGCCGCGCTGGGGAGGGGGGACTGCCCTTCAGCCGTCCGCAGAGGAGACGCCTGGCCTTCTGCCTTCCCCGGGTCCCGCTCCAGCCGGCCCCCTTCCTCTTCCTCCTCTGCCATTTCCTCTGGGGGGTGGAAGGCTTCCTCGTCCACCTCCATCAGGAGTCCGGCGGCTGCCTCTTCGTCTTCGTTTTCTTCCTCTTCCTCCTCCTCCAACTTGGGGGGCTCCTCCTTGATGGGCAAGACCTCCGGCGGCTCCTCGTCGCTCCGGTGGGGCGGCAGTGGGGGCGGCAGTGAGGGCAGCACCCTCTGCTCCTCCTCCTCCCCTTCTTCTTCCTCCTCCTCCTCCTCTTCTGTCAGGCCTTCCTCCTCGTCCTCTTCCTCCTCCGTCAGGCCTTCCTCCTCGTCAAACTCCTCGTCCTCTTCCTCCTCCAGATCCTCCCCAAACTCCTCGTCCTCCTCGTCGTACTCTTCCTCCTGGCCAGCAAAAAAAAGGGTGGGTGGGAGAGAATCAGGACTGCAGCGTTGGGAGAGGGCCACCCAAAGGCCATCCAGCCCAACCCCGGTGCGCAGGAACCACAGCCTGATGGGCACCCAGCAAAGGGCAGCCTGCTACCTTGTGAGGGACCCCACTGAGGGTCATGCAGCCCAACCCCTCACCCCCCAGGGCGGAAAGAAACATGGCTGCAAAGGGACCCCTTGCCCTCATCCCGCAACCCCTACTCGGGGCCCAGAGCAAGCCCTCTCTTCACCTGTCAGGTGTGGGGCTGACAGCTGGGGCTTGGGAGTGATGTCAACATTAGAGACCAAAGGTGTCTGTTTTTGATTTTAAAAACAATATTTCAAAATGAACGGCATTTAACCTCAAGATGAAATCCATCAGGGAATGACTTCTGTGAGGCTCCTGTGTGTCGACATTTTACAACCCTTGTGCTCTCTAGGCCATAAACTAAAATTGCTATCTAACCCCCAAAGTGGCAGAAACAGCCAATGGTGATGCTTTCCTAAGTCTGTTTCAAGCTGGCAATCCAGCATCTTCTTGAAGCTTCCCGAGATTTCCCCAGGGACGAGGGAAGTGGAGTGGGGCTGCCCAAGGCCTGCTAAGGGCGACAACTGAGACCCAAACAGCCTGAGCACTTGGGGGGAGCAGAGACAGGTATGGAGCCAGGCGTGTTTTACATCCCATGACCTGCAACCTTTCTCAATGAACGTAGAAACATGTCTGATGTTTTATGGCTATTTGCGTGTGACCCGTTTGCAGCTACTATATAAGCTCTGTTAAGTTGAGCTCTGTCCTACTGCAAGAGCAGATAATAAACCGGGTCCCTAACGGGGCTGCTGGACTTATTTCCTCGGTTCTGTGTTTTATTTCAAGGTGTTCCCTTCACCTGGGTAATGTCCCGGTGGTGGCGAAGTTCTTACCCCAGGGGGGAAAGCAGGGATGAATTTGACCCACAGGGTCACAGCACCTCCCGCCCCACAAGTCCTGCCTCTTCGCTGCCTGGCCATCATAATAAAAATAATTAACATGCCGCCCGTCTGACCGGCCCCTGCCTCCCCAGTGCACCTCTTCCTCGTCCTCTTCAAAGTATTCCTCGTCCTCCGGGTAGTCGTCTTCATCATCCTCTTCCTCCTCGCTGCTGTTGATGTTGATGACGGTGGGGTCTTCCTCCACCAAGGCGGGGAACGGGGGGTCCATGGCCGCGGGGGAAGGGGAGGCGGGCAGCGCCAGGACAGCGGCGGGGGCAGGGGGCAGGGGCACACCCAGGGAGAGGGGTGGGGCGGGCGGCTCCGGAGGGGTCTCCTCGGAGGCTGGTGGGGGGGAAGGGGGTGCAGGGGGGGCTGGCGGAGGAGCGGGCGGGGTGGGGGCCTGGGCTGCGATGGCCGCCACGACCATGGCGCTCCCGGGACCCTTGCCGAGCTGCCCCTTGGGCACGATGACCACCGAGTCGTCCGAGTCGCTCTCCAGGGAGATCTCCACGTCCTCCTCCTCCTCCTTGTCGTAGTGGACGAAGACCGAGCGGCGCAGCTTGGCTCCCAGAGCCGCCTCGGCTGCCCCGGGGGACGTGGGCAGGGAGGGCTCCTCGGGGGCCAGGCGGGGGGGCAGCTGGGCGGGGGAGGCCAGGCCAGGGGGGGGCAGCCCCAGGGGATTGGCTGCCGAGGAGGCGGGGGGAGGGAGGAGGAGGCGGGGGGCCGAGAAGGGGGCTGGGGGCGCCGGGCGGAAGGGCGAGGCCAGGGCGGGGGAGAGCTCCGAGGGGCCCGGAGGGGGGGCCTGGGGACCCCCCGGGGGGGCGGCCAGAGGGAGCTGCAGGGAGGGCACACGGGGGTGCAGGAGGGCGTTGCAGACAGCCAGGGCCTCTGTGCAGAAGGAAGAGACCTGCGGAGGGAGGAAGAGGAGGAGAAAAATAAAGGCCAAATTGTTTTCATTATTTTCATTCTTGCATTTTTCTTATTACTATTAAAATTTGTAATTTGCAAACCGCCTTCCATCCGTTGATCTCAGGGCAGTCCACAACATAAAAATACAAGACGAAAGCACAAAACACAGATTATGTTATATCCTTATTTATACATGATATAGTTATTTATATCTAACGGAACTCAATTTCATTTAGCAGATAAAAATAAGAGCAGGCTGAAGACTTAAGGGGGTGGGGGAGAAACAACAATTAAAAAATGATTAAACATCCACAGAATTAAAGCTATACACCCACCCATTAAAACTATGCAAATAATTACAGTACGATTAGAGGTGCGATCTCCTTTCTGATGCACAGATACGGGGAAATGGAGGGAGAGGACAAATGGGAAATGTATCTCCCATCTGCATAAAAGGAAGAGTTTTGGGTTGAGCTTAGATCAGAACCAGGACACATAGAGGAGAAAATGGGGTGGGGGGAGATTCAGGCCAGAGAATAGCCAGGAAATCCCGGGAGCTGGGGCTAAAGGAGAACTATTTCAAAACTGCCTATGAATGGTATTTGAGCAGCGTATAGACTGAACTCAATATGCCAGTCAAGATCAGACAAATGCTGGAGACCCGGATTAAATAAAGCAGAGGACGCACATGTCCTTTGGATTTGTTCCCAAAGAGAAATATTCCAGAAATCAGTGCAGGCCAATATATCTGACATGCCAGGATATTTTCTACCTTGCTATCCAAAAAATGTTATTCTGGAAAATGAACGAGAAATAACGCTCAACCTCATTGCTGCGGCTAACATATACCGTATTTTTTGCTCTATAAGACTCACTTTTTCCCTCCTTAAAAGTAAAGGGAAATGTGTGTTCGTCTTATGGAGTGAATGCAGGCTGCGCAGCTATCCCAGAAGCCAGAACAGCAAGAGGGATTGCTGCTTTCACTGCGCAGCGATCCCTCTTGCTGTTCTGGCTTCTGAGATTCAGAATATTTTTTTTCTTGTTTTCCTCCTCCAAAAACTAGGTGCGTCTTGTGGTCTGGTGCGTCTTATAGAGCGAAAAACACGGTAAATGGTTCCGAATGGGAGAAAAGGCCATTTCCTACTCTAGCTGAAGAGAGGGAGGAAACTGGCTTTGCGGCAGCTACAACTCACCCCCACCTTCTTGCAAAAGAAAACCTACTAAAGCAGCAGCCCCACAGGCTTGGGGGGGGGGGGAGTGGGCCTTTTCTGTGCTGCTCTGGAGCAACAAACTCAAGGATCGAGCCCAACCTTAAGCTGCTTCCAACCAACTGTAGCAGTTACTGCCTTACCTTGGTTTACTTTCTAATAATAGTATTATTACAGGTGAAACTCAAAAAATTAGAATATCGTGGAAAAGTTCCTTGATTTCCGTATTCCAACTTGAAAGGTGAAGCTAATAAATGAGATAGACTCGTGACATGCAAAGCGAGATCTGTCAAGCCTTGATTTGTTATCATTGCAATGATCACGGTGTACAGCTGATGAAAACCCCAAATTAACAATCTCAGAAAATGAGAATATTCAAGGAAATCAGCAAAACAAGGATTGCAAATTGAGCAAGACTGGACCCCTGAGAAGTAGAAGCACATCTCGCTTTGCATGTCGTGAGTCGATCTCATATATTAGTTTCACCAATTAAGTTGAATTACTGAAGTAAAGGAACTTTCCCACGATATTCTAATTTTCCGAGCTTCCCATGTATTATGTATATGCTGCCCATTTGAATGCGTTGCCCCAGCCACTCCTGGGCGGCTTTCAACAGAATATTAACACACTAAAAACTCAAAACATTAAAAACCACCCCGTATTATTTATGAATAAAGTAAAGCAATCCTTTTAGGAAACAGGGCCCAGCCAGTGGGTTGACTTCCCGCCTCCAGGACTGGCGAAGGAGGAGAGGAGGATGGACGGATGGGCTGGCGAAGGAGGACCCTCCAGGCTGTGAGGCAGTCTACTTGCTGTGCAGAGACTAGGCCCTCCAGGGGGTGGGGAGAGATGCCCAATGTGAGGAGGGGGCTCTTCCCTTCCTGCCCTGCTCCCCAGCTGCCCTTTGGGCCAAACCCCAAGTGGGTGTTGGGGGGAAAAGAGAGAGAGAGAGAGAGAGACTGACTCACCTGGAGGTTGGGGTCGGCGCGCCCCTGGCTGAACAAGCGGAGGGCGCAGTGGAAAGGGGGCGGCCAGGAGGGTGGGGGGGCCAGCACCAGCGCCAGCAGGAGGCGGTGCAGCTCCCTGCGGCAGGGGGCGCTGGCGTAGGGGGACCCCAGGGGGGTCTCGGCCTGACCCAGTCGGATGAGCAGAGGGACCACCAGCTCCTGCAGCCTCTGTGGGGAGGAAGAAGATCAAAAGAAGTTGCTTTGGGGGGACATGCAAGACGGTCTGGGGGATCCTCCTGGCGGAACGGGGGTTCCCTAGCCCCCACCATGAGGGAAAGGAGGCAGACGGTCAACCAACAGACTCCCTGCCCTGCTCTGACTATCATTCTATCCTGTATCTTGTGTTTTATGCTGGAAGCTGCCCTCTCGTCTCTCCAACGAAGGGAGGGATATAAATTTAACAATTAAAAAAGGCGCTTCAGGTTGTCATGACCAAAAAACCCCACAACAACAAAGCAGTTGGTCAGCTTATTTATTTCAAGTCAACCCCGAAGCAGCTTCACAAAGAGAATAAAATAGCCATTGATTTAAGGAACTATTTACAACATTCAACAGGACTGAAATCAACAAACAGATTCGAACATAGTAATAGTGATCACAGATCTCCTTTGAAATTCTCCTTCTCCTTGTCTTCCTCAAACCTCTCCGTCTCATTTTCCCGCCCTGAAAGCTCCTTGGGGCAGAGACGCCACCGGCCAAGCACCACGGCGCTGCAAGGGGAAGGCTCTCTCCGGAAACCAAGAGCCGGGCTCGGCCGCCAGGACTGGCACTCCACCCCACCCCCTTGCCTGGCAGCCCAGACCCCCAGGATCCCCAGGGCTGCCCCACAGCCCCCTCACCTTGTGGACCTGCTCCTTCATCAGGCTTCCGGTCAGGAGGACGGCACGGCTCAGGCCTGGGGGGCAGGGAGAGAAGAGTTTAGTGGGGGGTGTGAGTTTGGGGTGAGTGGGACTGGAGGAAGCAGAGCCCCAGGCCCGGCCCCCTCTCCACCCCGCTGCTGAGCTACAGGTTTCCTTACCTCGCAAAGCAGCCAGGCAGGTGCTGCTGTTGGCCTGGGAGTCCTGCTTGGGGTGCAGGGACCCCAAAGTGCCCAGGTCAGACAGCTTGGGCTTCTTGGGGGCGCTGGGCTTCAGGTCTGAGGCCGGCCGGCTGTCCCGCATCTGGACGGGGGCAGAGAGAGAAGGGGATGGGGAAGTTTTGGATGTTTTATTACACTTTTATAGTTGCTGGAGGCCACAGAGAGTGGCTGGGGCAGCCCAGTCAGATGGGTGGGGTACAAATGACAAAATAGTAATTATTGTTGTTATTATTTTAAAAAGAGGGAGAGAGGCCTTAAACCGGAGGCCAGGAGGGAGGGGTGGGGGAGAGAATTCATCAGCGCAGCTAAAATACTTCATTCGTATCAAATTTCAATTTGAGATTTTCTCCTAATACAACCAGATTGCAGCTACCTAAGATGCTAAACAAGGAAAAGAAGCAGAAGAAAATAAGAGATAAAGGGAGAGGAAAAGAGAGAGAGAGAGAGAGAGAGAGAGAGAGAGAGAGAGAGAAAGAAAGAAAGAAAGAAAGAAAGAAAGAAAGAAAGAAGAAAAGGGGAAATATTAGCAAAAATTACAAAAGAAGGAATATTTTCCATGCACTAGATGAAAATATAATTATTTAAAACTACCAGTCAAGTCAGTACAACAAACTATCAGCTCCACTCTCGGTTCAACAATATTTCCTGCTGCGCCTCGTGGTCCTTCATTTTCTTTTCCCTTTCCAATACTTCTTTCTTCATGGGGGGGGGGGGCGGCTCACCTTGAGGGTGTCGGCCGGGGGGCTGATGTCGCTGATCAGGTGACCCAGCAGGGCCTCGCTCTGGGTCCTGGGTCCCTGCAGGATGCCACAGGCCGCCCCAGCCGACTGGACCCACAGATCCAGGACTTCGTAGAGCCGAGTCCGCACCGCACTGAGGAGGAAGGAAGAGGAGCTGGAGGAGGGGACAGCCTGGCAGGCCCCACACCTCACCCGGGGCTGGCTTCATGGCAATGCAGAATTGGACGGGGGCCCCAAAGGTCATCCAGCCCAACCCCCTGGAACCCGGGAATCGCAGCTAGAGAACCCCGGACAGGGGGGCACTTGACCTCCAAGAAAGGAGGAGAGGCCGAGAGAGAGGAAGGCCTGACCCTGGCAACCCTGCAGGGGCGTCGCTAATGCTGGACTAAGCAGGGGAGGCAACAGCTGGTGCTGTTGGGGGGGGGGGAGGCAGCTTTCTGGAGAGACAGGGTGGCGTCGCCTTCCAGCTCCCCCATCTTGGCTGTGATGTGCCCTGGGAGACCTCAAGGGCTGGCAGGTGCTTCTCAGCCGAAACTCCCTCGCAGGGCTGTTGTGGGGAGAACCACGAACACGCTGCCTTGCTCCCTCCTTCTCTAGGCCCCCCCCCGGGGGTGGTGGCACACATTGGCCCAGAGCAGCAAGGGCCCCCCTTCCTCAGCTCCCCACATACCTGTAGGGGCGCTCCTGCCCGGGGGGGAAGAGGTCTCGGCCGCTGCTCCAGGTGGTCAGGACCTGGGGGAAGAGGCGGCCGAGGGTGGCCCCAAAGCGCACCAGGCGGGGGCCGCACCTGCAAAGGGAAAGCGAGAGGAGGGGGGCGTCAGAGAAGGGACAGCCAGGGCTGGGGGTGTGGAGCCCGGTGGGGGTTCCCAACGCCCTCTCCCCTCCCCGAGACTTACGCCAAGATGAGCGCCGAAAGGAGGTCCAGGGTCTCCAGGTGGACGGAGGGCAAGAGGAGCATCCGCAGGGGGCCGTCACCAAACCAGCTCTGGAAGGGAGGGGGGGTCAGGGGCGGAAGGGAGCAGCACCCCCCCACTTCCCACCCCCCCCATTATAAAGTGACCAAGGTCACTGGATGAATCTGTCTACTAGGCTGCATTATTTTTTCTAGCATTACTGTACGCAGTAATAATAATAGCAATAGCCACAGGCATAGGCATAGCAGTAAACAACAATTCTACTAATCTTCATGATCCCTTAAGGCAGTCCTGGCCAAACTTGGCCCTCCAGCTGTTTTTGATCTACAACTCCCATCATCCCTAGCTAACAGGAACAGTGGTCAGGGATGATAGGAATTGTAGTCCCAAAACATCCAGAGGGCCAAGTTTGGCCATCACTCCATCACTGCCTTAAGGGATAAGTTTTCAAGCGATATATATATATATATATATATATATGTGTGTGTGTGTGTGTGGTGTATATGTATATGTATACACACACACACACACACACACACACACGCCCATTGCAAAAAATAAACCCATTACAAAAGAAACAACAATTCTCATAATAATTATTTTGACAATGTAACATGTATATATGTGGGTTTTACGTACACATATGCATATGGCATTAACGTATGACAGCAACATATAATTATAATTCTGCTATACTCTGTTATTCCTTAAATGTCAGCTTGTAAGTCATTTATATTTCCTCCCCCATAAATAAATAAAGCATGCATCCATGTACAAAACAGCTATTCAAGGAGCACACCTGTTTGCTACTGCACTGGACACAAAAGGTCAAATTAGAGGGAGGAATTAAAACAACATAGGGGCTTCCCTTGCCCTGGAATTCTACCTTCCAATAACAAACAAGCCCCATTTTTCATTTAATCTTTACGATGCCCTCTCCTCCAGCACCTCTTTGGTCCAGGTTAGAAGGAAGGAGGAGGTCCCTACTAAGCACTTCCTGACGGAAGGAGCTGTTTGAGAGGGGAGGGGGCTCCCTTGGAGGGAGGGGGGCTCCCCTTCCTTGGCGGCTTTCCAGAAGAAGCGAAGAGGCCCATCGTCTTGGATGCTTTAGCTGAGGTTCCTGCACTGCGGGGGGTTGAGCTAGATGAGCCCTGGGGGGCTCTCCCAGCTCGAAAGTTCTTCCGTGTTGGTGCTGACCTTGAAAGCCCTCAACGGCCTCAAAGGCCCAGTAGACCTGGAGGAGCGTCTCCACCCGCATTGCTCAGCCCGGACACTGAGGTCCAGCGCCGAGGGCCTTCTGGCAGTTCCCTCTCTGAAGAAGCCAAGTTACAGGGAAGCAGGCAGAGGGCCTTCTCGGTAGTGGCACCTGCCCTGTGGAACGCCCTCCCACCAGATGTCAAAGAGAAGAACAACTACCAGACTTTTAGAAGACATCTGAAGGCAGCCCTGTTCAGGGAAGCTTTTAATGTTTAATAGGTTATTGTATTTTAATATTCTGTTGGAGGCCGCCCAGAGTGGCTGGTGAGGCCCAGCCAGATGGGCAGGGTATAATTAATAATTATAATTATGATGATGATGATGATTCTGGGGCCAAAATAAGCACAGGAGCAGCCGAGAGGGGCTTTGCTGAGACAGGCACTGCCAGCCTCTTGCAGGGACAGACTCTGGTCATCTTTGGTACTACGATGCCCTGAATGAGGCACTGGGCACCCCCAGAAGAGTTCTTCTCCACAGTGGATCTTCTCAGTTGTGTGCCCCCTCGGCTCGGGGACCTGCCCGCCCCACCCTGACCCCAACGCTGCCCCCATGGCTACTCACGATGTTCTTTGTGGAGATGTTGAGGGCGCGGCAAACGAGGTCCAGGATGTCTTGAACTGGGACGGAGACGGGAGCCACAAAGTCGTTACTGGAGCGGCAAATGAAGTGCTTGTTTTAGAGGGAGGGGGGTCTCAAGTACAGCGGCAAGGCTGGAAAGGCGGGGGGGGGGGAGAGGGGCCCCTGACCTGAGCATCTGGCAGAGGCATTTGGCCAGTCCGGAGAAGCGATGCTTCAGGCGGAGGATGAAGTTCACCTCTCCATCTTCGGGGGTCGGGAGCAGGATTTCCACGCCAGGCCCTTCGTAGTGCAGGGGATCTGGAGGAGAAGGAGGAATGGGGGAGAGAGAACCCATCAGGTCCGGTTGCATAGGTGGAAGAGGACCCCCAAAGGTCATCTGTCCCAACCTGCAGAACAAAGGACAGCTCTAAAGTGGCCCGCAAGGTGGTCCAATGTGCAGCACTTGGCAACATTCAAGAAGAAACATCTTAAAGCACTTAAACATTTGTTTTTTGTGCATATTTACTTATTAAATCTGTATTCCGACCTATAGCCAAACACACCTGTGTATTAGTTCAGTTTAAATACGTTATATCTACGAACTCTATTTAATGATATATATTTAATTAAGTATATGAATCGCGTATGTTAAATATATGGCAGGCCTTTCCATTCACAGTACGGAAATTTAATTCAGCATGTGGCTTGTGGGTTCTGCGATCTGAGAGGTCAGACTGCCCTGGTCTAAGATGCTCATTTAGAGTGCCGATAAGGAACAAAAATTAAGAACATGTTGCCCAAAGAATCTTTGATCTCAAGTAAGAGCTTGAGGGCTGGGCGGTATCTGGTTTTCAACATCGCGGTACATCCCCAGCTAAACATTGCAATACTGTTGCATTGCATCACGATCTCTGACACTTAGATGGCGCTATGTAGAGGTACCGACCGGCTTCACGGTTTCTCCTTCGTTGTGATTTTTGCATAACACATACCAGGATTTGTGATATATTACCAGGTCAAAAACTGCGAAACCTATATCACGATATGGGCTTCAAACCAGTTTTGGATGATATATGGATATATTGCTTGGCTCTCTTAGACTGAGGTAAGAGGGTGCTTCTTGCAATTAAAAGATGCCCCCCAGAAAAGATGGTAGGAGAGCCACTGCAAGCTCTTTTAAAATACTGGACCACAAGGACAGTATTTTAATTTTTTAATTTTATTAATACAAGCTCATAGACCAGTGTTTTTCAACCACTGTTCCGCGGCACACTAGAGATGTTGCCTGGTGTGCCGTGGGAAAAATTCGAAAGATAAAAAAAAAAAAACTTTCAAATTTTCGCCCACTAGGCGGGCGCCGGACTGTGTCCTGGGTATGGGGGGGGGGTTTGACCCCACCCTCAGCCAGCAGGGGCGCCGATTGGCGCTCCTCAGGGGGACACCCTCCACTTTTCTGATGTCCGGGCTGTGATTGGTCCAGACTCCAGCCTGGACCTATCACAGTAGGACACCATCTTCCGACTTCCTTCCCGCCCGAGCACAGTGTGCGCAGCAGCGGAGAGAAGAAGACGTCGCGACTCGAGTCACCAGGAGGACCGGAGACGTTGTCATTTTATTTCTTTTCAGTCTCCACTGAATGCCTTGACTGGGTTAGGGACCCTTATAGCTCAGCATCAGTTGGTGGAAAGGACATGACTTTACAGGAGCAGGAGGAACTAACTGAACTGAGACAAAATTGTGGTTTCAAGCTAAGATTTGCTGATCTACCTTTGGACAGTTTTTGGTTGGATACTGCCAAGGAGTTCCCCCTTCTGGCAAACAGAGCTATTTTGACATTGCTCCCATTTTCCACTACATATCTGTGTGAGATGAGCTTTTCAAGCATGATTGCTATAAAAACTAAATACAGAGAGAGACTGAGAGCTGTTGACGAAGAGCTACGTGTGTGTCTTTCCTCGATTCCAGCCAGAATATCAGCTTTGTGTTCAGCCAAACAGGCCCAGGTTGCGCACTGAATAAAGTATTTTATATAAAGTATTTTTCATATTTCTGTTTACTTATTATTTCATAATAAAGTAATTATAAAATACTTTCTTTGTGTTTATTTGATTCCTATTCAAGAGAATTACTTTATATATAGTCAATATAGGCACAGAGTTAAATTTTTTAACATTTTCTAATGGTGGTGTGCCTCGTGATTTTTTTCATGAAACAAGTGTGCCTTTGCCCAAAAAAGTTTGAAAAACACTGTCAAAGACAATACAGTAAAAGTCATAAGCGCAGCCAATAAAAAAAAGCATATAGAAATAAATTAAATAAAATGGAGACACAATGGGGAGGAAGACCCAGAAATCAACTGAGAATACAATACTGCACTCAACTATCATAAATGAAAAGAAAAGGAAAAAAGAGAGAGGGGGGAGTCAATTAAGTTCTCAATAATATCTGTCCACATATTTATCTGTGGAGCAGAGGGTTTAGTGCGCTGTTCATGGGAGAACAACTTATACCACGCTGAGTGGAAACTTAAGGACTGTTGCTTATATAGAATCATGGAAGGGATGCCAGGGGTCATCTAGTCCAACCCCCGCAATGGAGGAAGGCAGGGCAACGGCCCAGACTTTTGCTCGCTCTTCCTCTGGGGAAGGAGTTCCTTGGGCTTCCCATGGGAGGCCACTGCTTCCAGCTGCAGCCAGACGGCCAGGAAAGGGGAATTTGGGGGAGACAGGCAAACGGGCTGAAACGCAATGATCACGCAACGGGACGGCGGTCTGGGATTTGGCCCGTCTCCTCCGCTGTCAACATCCATCACTGGTCCTGTTTCCGTTATGTGGGCTCCGCACAACACGTCCAATCGGCTCGTCAACAAAGCACTTATCTTAATTGCTCCCGCAAGGGCAGGAGACGCCCCGCCCTCAAATTAGCTGGCGGGGCGCATGACGTGAGCAGGTCTGCTGGGAATATGGCCGCTGCAAAACAAGAGCCTCCTGGCTGGGGCTGGGGCTTGGTTTGCGCCCTCCCCCCATGTGGGGCTTCCCTCGCGCTTGATCCGGAAGCTGCCGTTGGTGCAGCATACTGCAGCACAATTGCTGATGGGAGGGAGGTCTTATCGATAGAGAACATCTGTACTGCCTGCAAATTTGCAGCTGAACTGAGTTCAAGGTGTTGCTATTGGTACAAGAAAGCCTTCGAAATCTGGGACCAGTTTATCTGCAATTTTTTATGTTTTATTAATAACTAAATAAATTCAGCAAAGTTTTTAATGTGTGACATTTTAATGTATTTTTAATCTTTGTTGGAAGCAGCCCAGAGTGGCTGGGGAAGCCCAGCCAGATGGGCGGGGTACAAATAATAATAATAATAATAATAATAATAATAATAATAATAAATTTTTATGCGCCAGGCGAAAACGTATTTTACAGCTATTTAAATGAGTCTGTGGAAAGGGGGAGGTTACTGTTTTGCTGTTTTGTTTTACTTATTGACTTGTTTTTATCCTGCATTTTATTCTATGAACTGCCCTGAGATCTTACGATGAAGTGTGGTACATAAATGTAATAAAATAATAATAATATTTATATCCCACCTTCCTCCCTTATTTTACAGATAAAAATAAGAACCGCTAAAAACTAGCGACAACAATTAACTATGACAACTATGACAACAATTAACAATTAACTAGTTGTTTGCGGCTCCTGCTCAGGCTGCACAGAAAAAGCACTTTGGTTCTTGAAATTCGTTCCGATTGTGCAGATGAAATAGAACTGAGAGAATTCTACAGGCTGTGTGTGTGGTAGTGTGTGAAAACAGTCCGGCTCCAAGGACCCCCCAAGGGTGGCGATGTCAAGGCACCATCGTCGCAAGTAGCCGACAGCCAGGTGCCAAATGCGCCTGGCAAATTCCGAGCCCTGCTAACCCCCCCCCCCAAAGTAAGAGCAATATCAACGTTCAAAGTCTGAGGAGACGCACCTGTCTCTGCTCCCTCGTAGAGCGTCCCCAGCAGGCTGTGGAGCGTGGCCAGGAGGCAGTGGGCCTGCTGCCCCCAGCACTCCGTGTACTTCAGCCCCTGCGTGAAGCCGGCGCCCAGGGAGGGCAGGAGGGCGTAGCAGTCGCAGGCCAGCTGGGGGGAGGAGGAGGAGGAGGCAGAGCATCAGTGGGGCAGCCCACAAGGGGAAAGGGGGGCGGGATCCCAAGGAGTCCTGGGTTCAAATCCCCACCTCACAGCGTTCTCTTGGGGATTCAATGACATTTAGGGCCTGGGAGAGCCGGGTTCAAGCCCCCCCCCCCTGCTTTGAAGCTTGGCGGGGGTGACTTTGGGGGCCAGTCACAGGCTTCTCTCAGCCTGGCCTACCTCACAGGGTTGTTATAGGGATAAAGTGGGGGAGCTGCACACGCCAGCTTGGGGAGCGAAGGCGGGCTATAGAAATATGAATTATAAAATAACTACGAAGCTTCTGACGGTTATTCAGGCCCTGCTGGTGGGATTCTTCCCCTTGGGGGCACGTGGTCGGCCAGGTGTGGGGGGACCGGGATTCGGGGCCCCTCTGGCCTGAGCCAACTGCTCTGGGGCTCTTCCCAGGTCCCACAACCACCCCCCTGCCCCCAGGGGACTTTCCCAGTTTAAAACAAAAGGCAGAGGTCCCTGCACAGCGGAAGGGAAGGCAAGAGAGGTTGGTTTTTACCTGTTGCAGGTGGGGCGTCTCTGCATCCACACGGGCCAGGAAATAGGCCGCCAGTTTGCCCTGGGGGGCAGAAAGTAAAGGGGGGAGAGGGGTCAGTGGGGATTCTGCAACCCAGTGCTGCTCCTCTGCCCCCCCAAAACAGAAGACTTACCCGCAAAGAGCCACATGCCCTGGGGTAAAACATCATGCAGGCCTTGCTTCCTTCCAGGGTGGAAATCTGGCACTAGGAAGAGTCCCGGGGGAGGCAAGGGGGGGTCAGAAAAGAGAAAAGGGTTAGATAAAAGTTTCCTCTCTTGTAACACCAGAGCCGGTGGGAGACAGCCAGAGAAGCCAGATGCGGGGAGATCCAGGAGGGATCAAAGGAAGCCCTTCTTTGTTGAACTGCGGAACTCCCCGCCACAAGAGGCAGAGATGCCCCCCCCCCAATAGAAGAGGACTGGTCAAATTTGTGGAGGAGAAGAGGGCTACTGGTGGCTGTGCTCTGCCTCCACGGCCAATAAATGCTTCTAAACACCAGATACTGAAACACGCAGGATGGGGAGCTGCTCTTGCATTCGAATCCTGAGTCCGGGGTTCCCATAATGGGCACTTGGTTGGCCGCTGTGGCCTATGCCTGACCCAGCAGCCAGGCTCTTCTGTCCTTATGGAGCCTCCAGCTGCAGAGGCAGTCTACTTCAACCCCTCGGTGTGAAGAGGTCTCTGGCCACTGGAACCTCACCCAGCCAGGCTCTGACGTTCTTACGTAAGGGGGGGGGAGTCACATTATGGGGGTTGCATCTATTTAATTAGCTCATTGATTGTTACATTCCATTTTGACTGTTTTAATATTTATGTAAAAATTATGTTGAATTTCTGGTTTTACCAAGCTGGCTGTTTTGCCATACTAAACAATATTCACTCATTCAATTTGTGGGTTTTGTTTTATGCCTTCAGACATGTACATGGGGCCGGGGGGGGGGGGTGCAGGCCACCCCCAGTTCCCCAACCAGGGCGGGTTGGGGGTCTCACCTCGGGTTTGAGAGCCAGCAAGGAGGTGAGCAGCCCCGGAATGTGGTTGGTGCCAATGTCTCGTGCCAGCTCAGGGATCTGGCAGGAATACTCCAGCAGGTCACGGAGGATGAGGACGGCCAGCTCCATCGTGGGGGGCGGATCCTGAGACTTGAGGGGGGAGGAGAAGGAAATGAGGTTAGTGGGGGGGCAGCCTTCCTCATCTAACACCTCCCACCCAAAAGGAGAATTAAGGCACCCAAAACATCCGAGCCACCCAGCCTTCCTGGGCCCAGAAAGGTGGGTGCAGCTGTGGAGCTCTTGGGCCTGGGGGGAGGCAAAGAGGGTGGGGGGCACTGGCGCCCCCCCTCACCTGAATGAGGTGCTGCAGGCTGCGCAGCCATCCCAGGCAGTTCTGGCTGAAGGCTTCGGTGGAGCTCTCTGTCACCAGCAGGGAGAGGAGGCAGAGGCCCTCAAACCTTTGCAGGGGGAAGAAGAAGCAGGGCAGAATCAGAGCACTGGAGGGCTGGGAGGGGTCCCCAAGGGTCATCCAAACCAACCCCCGGCCAGACGATGATGTCAAGAGAAAAAGTCCCGGTAGCCTGCGGGTGGTGGGGTTGGACTAGATGCCCCCTTGGGTCCCCATTCTGAGACACCTGTGGGTCCCCCCGAGGGCCCATGGGCGACAGCGATGCGCCGGTTTTGGAGTGGTGCCGCAAGACCCCTGCCGCCAAATGGGTAGAGTGAGAAGAGACCCCCAGGGTCATCTATCCCAACCCCTTGCCAGGCAGGAATGGCAGCTCCAGAATCCAGGACCAAGGACTGCCCCAAAATCTGCAAGTCCACAGCACCTGGGGGCATTGTGGGGGGGAAGGAGAGAGGCAGCTACTCACCGGGTTTTGATGGAGCCCAGGCGGGTGTTGCTGAGGCTCACCAGCCCCCCCAGGGTGGGCGACGCCTGGAGGGAGACAAAGGGACCCGCTCAGAGAGCAGCGCTGGGTAGGGGAGGCACTCTGCTCATGCTCAGGAGACCGAGGGGCGCCCTGGGGACCCCGCCCTGAGAAGGAGGCGCCAAGGGGATGCTCCCCCCACCCTCCCTTTGGGTCACTGGGAAGCAAGGCCGAGACAGTATTTGGGGGCGCAGGCCCCTCCCCCCCGGGGGAAAGGCCATTCTGGGTCCGGGGGGGGCAGGTGGGGGGAGTGGCGCCCCCGGAGTGTTGTTGCCGCTGCCCTCCCCCCTCCCCCCGGGGGGGTCCCTCTCTCTCTCACCTGGGCGCCCCCTCCCCCCCCACCCTCCCTTTGGGTCGCTGGGAAACAAGGCCAAGACGGTATTTGGGGGCGCCGGGCCCCCCCCCCCGGGGAAAGGCCATTCTGGGTCGGGGGGGCCCGGGTGGGGGGAGTGGCGCCCCCGGAGTGTTGTTGCCGCTGCCCTCCCCCCTCCCCCCGGGGGGGTCCCTCTCTCTCTCTCACCTGGGCGCCCCCTCCCCCCCACCCTCCCTTGGGGTCACTGGGAAGCAAGGCCGAGACGGTATTTGGGGGCGCCGGGCCCCCCCCGGGGGAAAGGCCATTCTGGGTCGGGGGGGCCCGGGTGGGGGGAGTGGCGCCCCCGGAGTGTTGTTGCCGCTGCCCTCCCCCCTCCCCCCGGGGGGGTCCCTCTCTCTCTCTCTCTCTCTCACCTGGGCGCCCCCTCCCCCGCCGGCCTCCCTGGCGCAGCGCAGCAGCCCGGCCAGGCCTGGCGTCGTCTCCGGGCCCCCCCCCGCCTGCGCGCCCCCCCGCAGCAGCCCCGCCAGGGTCTCCAGCACCAGCCGCCCCGACGGCGCCGCCCCCCCGGGACCCCCCAGCACGGAGGAGGAGGAGCAGGACCCCGCCGACAACCCCGAGGCCGCCATCGCGCTCCCCGGGCCCAGGGCGCAGGCGCGGGCAGGGCGCGAGGCATGCCGGGACGCGGCCCGGGGGGCCTGGAAACGCCCCCGCCAAGCCGCGCCCCGGGGAGGGCCCCGCGAAACCGCCAGAGCCCCGGGGCGCGTGCAGAGGGCGGGCGGGGGGCGGGGGCGCTCTGCACATGCTCGGGCCCCGCTCCCGCCCCCCCCGCCCCTCCCGCCGCGCCGCTGACGTCGCCCCCCACCCCGCCTCCCGGGCCCGCCCTGGGATTGGCTGCCGAGGCGCCCACGTGACCGCGGCCCGGAGGCCAGCCATGGCTTCACTGTGGTCCGCTCCGCCCTGCAGCCCGGACTCGGGGCCGGAGCGCTAGAGGAGGAGGAGGAGGAGGAGGAGGAGGAGGAGGAGGAGGAAGGCGAGCGGCGGCGGCGGCATGGGGGAGAAGGCGGGAACCAGGTAGGAAGGGACCCAGGCGTCCGGGCGCCCCCCCCCGCCAAGGGACCCAGGAGTCCGAGACCCCCCGAGGAGGGGCCAGTGGTCCCGGACTCCCCCCTCCGTCCCCTGACCAAAGCGCCCCCACGCTGGGGGACCCAGGCGTCCGAGCGCCTCTTCAAGACTTCTCCCCTCACCCCACCCCTCTGGAGAACCCAGGTGTCCTGGCCGCTGGCTGGAGCCCCTGCTCCCCCCGAGGACCCAGGCGTCCGGGTCCCAGATTGCGCAGAAGGGCTGGGGGTTCTTGGGGGGGGCGGGTGGACTTGGCTGCAAGGAGGGGGCCCCGCCGTCCTCCTGGGGGGCTGCCGTGCCTGAGCCAGGAGGCATTGGGGTACCAGGCGGGGGGGGGCTGGCAGCCGCCCCAGCACCCAAAGGCTCTCCTGCCATTTCCCCCGGGGGGGGACCCCCTTCCCCGCCCAGACTCCTGCCAGCTGGCATGTCTCTTCCCAATGCTTCTTGCGGGGGTGCCCTTTCTCTCCCCCCCCTTTGCCTTGGGTGGGGCAGAAAAGAGAAGTTACTTCTCCCTCCCTCCCTCTCTCCCCTCCGTTATTTACTTTTATTAGTTGGCTATTAACCTCTTCCCGGAGCCAGGCGGGAGTTGGCACCAGAGCCCCAGATGTTGTGGGGGGAGAGGGAGGGCCGGCCACGTCCGCCTGTGTACACACAACACACACAAACACACACACACACACTCTGGCCTCTGGACCCGGAGCTGAGAGGGGGCCGGACCCGGCCAGGGCGGTTATTCCCCTTTATTAGTTGCATTCATACCCTGCGCTGGGAGCTGAAGGTGCTTCTTCAAGACTCACACCAGCCCTGCGAGGCCCAGAGGCAGACACTGGCTGCCCCCTTCGGGATGGCCAAGTGGGCAGGATTGGAACCCTGCTCCCCCCAAGGCCCTCACTCATCCCCATTCCATCCCCAGGACAGCCCTGCAAAGCGGGCACAGCCCCCCAGGCTCTTTGGGCGGTGGGCGGAAATCAAACCCAGGTCTGAACTCTACCCACTCTGCCTGCTTTCCTCCACTTGCTTCCAGACACAAAGCCCCAAACAGGATGATTTTCCAGCGCAGAGGGGAGGGGGAGAGAACGAAAACGCCCTATTTATAAGGAAGCAGTTTCTCGCCTCCCCATCTCTGCACAAAAACAGGAAGTCATCTGCAGGGTGACATTTGGAAGAGGGTGTAAATAACTTTTTCTGCTCCGCACCCGCCGTCCCTCTGGACAGCTCTTCTTCCGCTCTGCCAGGCTCCCCCCCCCCAACACAGCCCAGGATGGAGGTTTCTGCACCAACATGCAATAGGATGCAGCGCCGCTCCCTGCGGGGATGGCCAGCCCCCCTTGAACTTCGGAGAAAGGAGGGGCAGATGGCAGGTCTCTCTGCCTCCCCGGTTTTCCTGCCCTGATGAATCCTCCATTGGGCTTCCATAGGGCAGGGAGGGAGGTGTGTTTATAAGGGGGGGCCCTGTAGCTGCAGAGCTGGAAGGGACCCCCGACCGATCCGCAGCAGGCAGCTGCCCCACCTCTGCTTACAAAATTCCAGTGAAGGAGAGCCCAGGCAGTAGAGCTCTTTGTCTCAGGGTTGTGAGTTCGAGTCTCTTGTTGGGCAAGGCATTGCACGGGGTGAGGCCAAGTCTAGATTCCAAGGTAGAAACATTGGCCTTTGCTGAGGAGACGGTTCTGGGGAGGGGTCCTGAGAGCCTGTTCCCCACCCCTTTCCCTCCCCCTTTGGGGCAAGAGCCCCCCCCCAGGAGAACAGGATATTTGGAATAAGTGCAGCGTGTTCTTAAATTCTCCTGCATCACCATCCCGTTCCTTTTAAGGTCTCAGAGCGCTTGTGCCAAAAGTTTGGATTGGGGGGGGCAAGGAAAGAGATGGCTGGTTTATTATTATTACTTTTCCAGATGGGGCTCATGGGGGCTGCGATTTGTGAGCTCAGTGGCACCCGCTCCAGGTTCAAATCCTGCAGATGGCATTTCCAGGCTGGGGGAGACTCCTGGCCTGGGTCCGTCCAGAGAGCAGCAGCTGCCAGCCCGTGTGGGCACAGCAGAGCTGGCGGGACCCCCAGCGACAGCCTCTGTCTCTGCTGGGCTGGACACCCCCCCCCCGCCATGCCCAGCCCGGAAAAGAGGTTCCCCAGCGGACTTTGCCCTCCCCACCCAACCCCTTGACAACAGGGTGACAGCTGCTCCCGTTGCTGCGGCAACCCTCAGGCACCTGGTCCTGATGCGGTTCCCACGGCAACACATTGTACTAAGCCCTGCTGGTGGTGGATTTCTGTTCCTGGGGGAGAGAGGGAGCCGGCCTGAGCATTGGAGCATTGGATAATTTAATGGTGGGGAGAGGAGAAGGGGGTGGTGGGAGGGACGGTGTTTCTTTTTTGGAGGGGGTGTCCTACTTGGGGGGGGGGAGATGCTGCACGGGCCCCACTTATCCTAACTGCCTTGTCCTCTTTCTCCCTCTCTGCTGTTGAAAACAGGGTTTTCAAGAAGTCCAGCCCCAACTGCAAAGTAAGTGACCCCCTTTCACCCGGCTTCTCCCCCTCCCTCTGCAAAACACCCCCTTCCCAGACTGATGGGTGCTGTACAAATAATAATCATAATAATAATAATATTAGCAGTAGTATTTCCTGCAAAGTCAGCCCAAATCCTCCGCTCTGAGCTTGGTGCCTGGGCAAAAAGGCACGTTTAACGGTTTATTCATGTGGCCTCCTCTCTCCGCCCCCCCCGCCATCTCTCCCTTTGTGGGTTTCCTGTCAGCCGCCCTCCCCCTCCCAGCTTCCTTCCTCCCCAACAGGCAAGCGCGACTCTCGAACCAGGAACTGAGTCCCGCCTGCCGCTGCCTCTCTCTTTCTCCTTGCTCTGCGCACTCTGCTTCTCCCCCCCCCACCTGTCAGTCGCCCGATAACCCCCCCTCGTTCTTTGCGGGTGGCGCTCCTTCTCTCCCCACCACGTGCAGCAAAAAGGATCTCTTGCGTTAGGGTCTGGCTGGTGGATCAGGCCCACCCATCCCAGCAGCCTCTTCTCGCAGTGGCCAACCAGATGCAAAATACACCCTTTCAGGATTCGAACTCGGGAGCAGCTTCTCCCCTCTTGGAGTTTCCAGTTTGCTGCCTCTGGAAGCAGAGCTTTTGCATATTCCATCGCATTTAATGTCCATCCGCTACCCTCCTCCATGATTTTTAAAAATTCATCCAGGTTGGTGGGCCATTGCTGCCTCCTGTGGCAGGGAGTTCCGCAGTTCAACTCTGAATGAAGAAGGACTATTCTCTCTCCTGCGTCTTCCAGCATTCAGCCTCCTTGCATGTCATAGTAGGGGGAACTTTTCTCTGCCCAGTTTCTTCATGCCATGCATAATTTTGCATTCTTTATAAGTTGATTTTATAAACTTAGTTGCACAAGAACACCCCCCGCCTCACCCTTGCCAAAAGAGATCTCTCTTCTTGCTGATGGGGTGTGGGAAGGGGGGGGAGAGGTACAGATTGGGGGGGCCTGGCTTTTCAGGGAGTCTGAAGGAGGAGAGTTGGGCTCCCGCACTTTGCAGGGAGGGCACGGAGGCGATGAACTGGAAAAGTCCATTTTTGAGCTGGTTGCGGGGGGTGATCTTGAGGGGTTGAGAAAACCACTGTTGGTGCAAGGGAGGGGGAAAGCGCCCTTGTGGTGATGGTGGGGCTTTTGTTTGGGGGGGGCAGCGAGGAACCTGCTTTCGAAGCAAAACACCTGGTGGAATCCTGAATCTTGGGCACGGCAGCTGAGAGGCAAGGATGGAGGCAGGCAAACACATATCTTTCCTTTCTTTCTTTCTTTCTTTCTTTCTTTCTTTCTTTCTCTTTCTCTCTTTCTCTCTCTCTCTCTCTTTCTCTCTCTCTCTCCCCCCCCTTCTCTATCCTGGTTTATTAGGGGGTTGGGCTAGATGAGCGCTGGGGCATCTCTTCTTCGGAGGTTCTTAAGCGAGGCCCGGGTGCCCCTCTGCCAGGGATCCTCTGGCTGTTCTTGCAGCGTTTCAGGGGGTTGGGCTAGATGTCCCCTGGGGTCCCTCCCAAGCCTCCAACGCTCTTTGTTGACTCCCGGCGTCTCCGTGGTGATGCTGCCCCCCCTCCCTCCCTGGGGGGCAACCCACAACGCAGACTCCAGGCAGGGTAGGGCAGCCAGAAAGCGCTGCAGGCCAAACAGCGTTGGGGGCTGGGGGGGGAGTGAAGGGGGGGCAGCTGGGACCAACGGAGGACGTGGGGAGGGCAGGATGGAGCCCCTGGAGCTGGACCGGATCTGGTGCGAGGTGCCGCCTCGGGGGGTGCAGGTTTATCGGAAGCAGCTCAGCAGCCAGGTGGGGCTCTTTGGCGGATGGCGATGGGGGGGGGTCCTTCCTTGCAGCTTCCTCCCCCAAAAAGCCACTTGCAGGTTATGGATTTTGGTCTGGGAGGAGGAGGGTGGGGCTGGAAGTGTGCTTAAGGGGCCCCAGTTCCAGGTCTTGGGGGAGGATGAGGAGAAGACGGGGGGCCTTGGCTGTGTGAGGGGGGGCAGACACTTGATTTCACAAGATTTGGGGTATTTCCAGTGTCCTATGACCCTTATCTGTGCCACCGATACAGAATCGGAGAGCCGTAGGTTTGGAAGGGCCCCCCAGGTGTGACGCAGCCCAACCCCCTGGCATGCAGGAGCCGCAACCAAGGATCCCTGACAGATGCCCCCCCCCCGACCTCTGCTGAAAAATCCCCAGGGAATCCGGGAATTGTAGAGTCAGGCGGGGCTCCCGAGGGCCATCTAGCCCACCCCCTGCCATGTTGGATTGGGGGGAGGGGCTGTTTCCCTAGAGATGCCCCCCTTGGAGGAGGTGTCCCCTCTCGTCTCCACCTAATGGGGGTCTGCCTCTCCTCCCTCCAGCTCACCGTCTACCTGGGCAAGAGGGACTTTGTGGACCACCTGGACAGAGTGGACCCCGTAGGTGAGTAGGGGGCAGAGGGGGGGAGAGCCCCTGGGGCAGTCGGGGGTGCAAGGGGGGAGAAGAGGAAAGTGAGTTATGGGGTGGGCCCTTCCAATTTATTTGGGGTCCATCAAAGTCATCCCCCCCCCGGCTCCATTCAGGGGACATTGCCTTTTTAAAAACTGCACTTTTAGACCCCTTTATTTTCCCGCAAGGAGCTCAAGACTGCAGGAAGGCAGCGCCTGGTCCCTGATTCCCCCCCCCGGGGGGTCACAGCTTCCAAGTCGGAGCATTTGAACCCGGGTCTTTTTTAAAGCAAAGGGCTTTAATAGTGCTGTGCTGCTGTAGTTTTTAATTACATGTACCGTATTTTAATAGGCATGGCTTTCAAGTATTCTTGCAGTTCTGTTAGAGTCTGATCACATTTTTCGACAGCGATAGTAGATCATAGAGGTATACCTTAATAAATTCGGATACTGCCCTTCACCTGTAGATCTTAGCACAAAATTACAAGACCCAAACCCCAAATGTGTATTGAAACGAATACAAAACCAAAGCAATACCTGCCCCACAAACACACTGAAAATTGTATAGGGTATTAATCAGCTTTTAGCTTTTTGTATCGTAACTTTATTGGTTTCATTTTGTTTATTCCATGAAATTTATACACTGCTTTATTTTTATTTATTTTAAAAACACCCCCCCCAATATAAACAATAAACTTATCAATAAGGAAGAAGAATAACAGGAACGACTTAATAATCTGCGCAAGCTGACTTATTTAACATTCGTCGCTTGTCGCCCAAAGACACACACACACAATGCCATAAACTGTGCCTGCTTTTTAATTGTTAATTTTAATCACCTCATTTGTTTATTCACTGTTTGCCCCTCTCTGCATTCCACGGGATCCTGACCGCAGCACGATAAAACGCAGCGTCAGAAATGTAGGCAGCAATGAAATTGCAATTTAAAGTCCGTGAGACTAGTTTGGGTGTATGTGTATGTGTGGGAACCATTTCATTTTATAATGTGGAACCAAATGGAGAGAACCGTCCTGGGAACAGATGGAAACCCAAAGAGGGGAAACTGTAAAATGGGGGCATGGAATGAGGCCAGTTCCTGGGGGGGGGGGGGATGACAGGGGTCCCAAGTAAAGGCCTTATCAGATTATCAAGTCTAGAACCGGGGGCTGGGCTGGGGCTGGGGCGTGTGTGTTGCTGTTTGGGCTGCACCAGTCCAGGGCGACGTGGGTGGGAATGGAGGTTTGCACTCCCCCCCTCACCCCCCTGTTTCTTTTCTGCCCCCTTAGATGGTGTCGTTCTGGTGGACCCTGAATACCTCAAGGAGCGGAAGGGTAAGCAGGGGGGCAAGGAGAGGGGCCGGTGCTTGAATTTGGGGGAGCACGGATTTCTGCTTGTTTGCCTTTATTTATTTATTTATTGTGCATTTTGTAGAATCATAGAATTGGAAGGGCCCCCCGGGGTCATCTACTCCAACCCCCTTCAAGGCAGGAATCTCACCTGTTCCTCCAAGGAGCTCAAGGTGACTTGCGTAGTTCTGTCTCTCCCCCCACCATCCAGTCCTCACAACAACCTTGAAAGGTAGGCTAGGTCTCCACTGGCTCCCGGTGGAGTCCAGGATCAGGTTTAAGGTGCTGGTTTTGACCTTTAAAGCCCTATGTGGCCCAGGACCCTCGTACCTACGGGACCGCCTCTCCCGGTCTGTCCCGCAGAGGAACTTACCGTCCTCAAACAAAAACATCTTGGAGGTCCCGGGCCACAGAGAGGTCAGGCTGGCCTCAACCAGAGCCAGGGCTTTTTCGGCCGTGGCCCCGATCTGGTGGAACGCTCTGTCCCAAGAGACCAGGGCCCTGTGGGACTTGACATCTTTCCGCAGGGCCTGCAAGACAGAGCTGTTCCACCAGGCCTTTGGCCAAGGCACAGCCTTTGGTAATCCTCACAGAACTCTAGCCCAATGGTTGCCATTAATTTGATTCTGAACTTATTTTCGAATGTATTTTAATTAATTTACTGTGTGATTTTATGTACACTGTGCTATTTTTACTTGTTTCTTAAAAAAAAATGTATTTAAATATTTTATTTTTTACCAACCACCAAAACACAAACAGTGAAACCCCCCAGGCAGCTGATACATTGGGTATACATATTCAATAATATACATATTCAATAATATTCAATAACATATTCAAATCAGCCATATGTACACTTCTATATACCTTAACACTCCTCCCTCCACAAGGTTTATTTAACGTTTAACATTTTAATTGCCCCAAATTGTTCAGACCTACCCAAATAATTCAGTATCTTCTCAAACCAATCCTCATTTTTACTTGTTAGCTGCGTTGAGCCCAGCTTTGGCTGGGGAGGGTGGGATACAAGTAAAAATTTATGATTATTATTTATTGAAGTCACAGCCAGCAAGCCGAGTGGGGATTTGAACCCTGGTTCCTCCCAGGTCCTAGTCCTCAGGGAATCCCCACGACAGCTCTGGGAGGGAGGCCGGGCTCAGAGGCAGCCCCTGCCGCCTCTCCCAGGTCACGCCCTTGCAGGGAGCTTATTCCATGACCAAGTGGGAGGATTTGAACCCACGTCTCTCCCAGGTCCCAAGGCTCTAACTGCTGCACTCTGGGACCTGCTTGCGTGTAGAAAAAGAAACTCAAAGCGGTTTACAAAAATAAAAATGGAAAATAACTATTTATTTCAGGGTGCGGTATATCGCTATAACAGTTAACAATTACATATATACTTACCTAATAGAGATGTTATCCAAACAGTTATTTCTAATACAATTTTTAACCTACTGTATTTTTACAAAAGAGTTCCAAATCTCATCTCTAAGCAATCTGCTCACTGACGGCAGGGATAGTCAGATCTTCAATCTATTGATTAATTGGAGCGGTACATTAATGATAATAATTTTATTATTCATACCTTGTCCATCTGGCTGGCTTACATCTTCGCAATGCATCAAGATCCGTCTTTCGGCCCTAGTAAGGGCACAGAAAATCAAATCTAATCACGTTGCCAAATCTCATATAGTAGGTATGTCGTTCAAGAGAATATTATCCTCTGAAAATAAATTATTGATGGGAAAAATTAACAGCAATAATTTAAAATGTTCGAAAGGTCGAAATGGCAAAAGTCTGGATGCAGGTTAAAACTCGCATCGACTTTTGAAATGAAACTGCTTTTATCGGGTGCAGAAAGTGTTCAGGTGAGGCCAATATCAATAGGCAGGCAGTTCCAGAGTTCTGCCACATTAATTTCTACAGAGAGAGAGTTGCAGGAGACCCGTCTCTGTGCCATTTTAAGTCGTTTTTGCAAGCAAAGCCCTTTGAATTCCCAAAATCCCAATTGTGCCGTCTGAAGATGGTATTCAAATGGGTGAAGATTTGTTCTGTCTAATTCCCGCACTCCCCGCCAAGCTCAGGGAAGCCTTTTCAGAGAGAAAAAATTAAAACCGTCAGCCTAGAAAAGAGAAGTATTGTTCTCCCGCTCTCAGAAAAGAGATTTTCCCTGCTCCTGACGCCAGTGAAGTTGGCAGCTGTTTGGGGCTTGATGGGAGCCCAGCAGGGCTAATCTGGGAAGTAAAAGCAGGTGTAAACTTTACATTTATGCCTGGAAATGAGTGTCTCTCTCTCTTTTTATAATAATATATAATAATAATTAATTATTTATACCCGCCCATCTGGCTGGGTTTCCCCAGCCACTCCAGGTGGCTCCCAACAGAATTAGTGATGATGATGATAATAATAATAATAATAATAATAATAATAATAATAATGCGATACAACATCAGACATTAAAAACTTCCCTAAACAGGGCTGCCTTCAGATGTCTTCTAAAAGTCAGATAGTTGTTTATTTCCTTGACATTTGAAGGGTGCCACTACCGAGAAGGCCCTGTGCCTGGTTTTTCTGTCTCCAGTCCTTAAGATGCTCCAAATTGCTCAGTGTCTGATCATTTGAGGAGGGCGGGGGCAGCAGAGGAAACTTATCTGGGTAATTCTGTGGAAAAACGGTCAACCTACAAACCCATTTTTCCTGTTCACAAGTGGTCTCTATACTATCCTGAAGATAATTCAGTTCACAGTTTGATTATCAGTCATTCTGCGCAAGATTAGAGCAGCTGGGAGTGTGAAAGGAAGATGACTCAGAATTTCTCTAATTCTCTAATTTCTGCTCAAGACCTCGCCAGAGAAAACAGGCAGTAGGTTAACGACCCTGGACTGTACTGATAGTTTTGCTTCCTCCTCTGGGGAACTGATAAGAAGTGCCATGCTAGGGGCGGAGATCAGGTGCCTGGAGGGCAAGGAAAATTGCGTTGCTTGAGCATGTTACTACGCTGGTCACGGCGGAATCGCCCCCTGATTTCCGTCACTGAGCAGAAGTGGCGAAGCCCTTGCTTTCTGCAAAACCGCAAAATCCTAAATGCCTGGGTTGCATCTTTGGGGGGGGGGAGAGAACAGTTTCCTGTTTCCCGTTCCCCTTTTCTGCGCTTGCCCTCCCCTTTGGCTCCTGTGCTGTGGGACTTGGGGGGCCTGACCCTGTCCCCCTTCTTCCCCCGCAGTCTTTGTGACGCTGACCTGCGCCTTCCGCTACGGCCGCGAGGACCTGGACGTGCTGGGCCTCTCCTTCCGCAAGGACCTCTTCCTGGCCTCCTGGCAGGCCTTCCCGCCCCCCGAGGAGACCGCCGAGCCCCTCACCCGCCTGCAGGAGCGGCTGCTGCGGAAACTGGGGGCCAACGCCCACCCCTTCAGCTTCATAGTAAGAGAGGGACCAAGCCCACTCAGCCTTTGCACCCCAAAAATGCCTGCATTGTAGGGGGTTGGGATAGCTGCCCTTTGGGGGGCCCCCCTTCCAACTCTCTGCAGTTCCGTGGCTCTATGATTTCCTTTCCCTCCCCTGTCACAGAATCAAAGGGCTGTCAGGTTGGAGGGGAACCCAAGGGACATCTAGCCCAACCCCTGGCTTTGAAAGTTGCCATGGAAGGCGCCTGCTGCATTTCCAGTGGCAGGGAGTTCCGCAGGGCTGTTACCTCGGTTTCTGGTCTCTGCGCATGGGGTGGAGAAAGTGGCAAGGGAGGAAAGTGGGGGAGGGGGTCAGGGACTCGGAGGAGAAGTCCTTGGGGTGGGGGCCCCTTGGGTATGGGGTTGGTGACCCCAAAGTTGGAGTTGAGGGGGCAAACTTTTGCACTGCTTTATTTCTTTCTGCGCCCCACAGATCCCACAGAACCTGCCCTGCTCTGTGACGCTGCAGCCGGGTCCAGAGGACACAGGAAAGGTAGGGGGGTTCTGAAGGGGTGGGGGCAGATTTTGGGGGTTCGGGGCATAGAACCGTGTGGATTCTGCCCTGAAAGCAGCATATGGGGCAGAGCTGCTTATGGGGCAGCTTGGGGGGGGAACCACCAGTGCCACTAAGTGGACCCCCCCAATTTCCTCCTCCTCCAGGCTTGCGGTGTCGATTTTGAGATCCGGGCTTTTTGTGCCAAAATTCAAGATGAGAAGATTCACAAAAGGTGAGCCAGCTTTGCAGGGCTGTTCTTCACGGGCAAACAAATCCTTTGGCTGAGAAACTGCAAAAAAACCCCCACAGATTTATTGTTATTTTGGGTGTTACGTAGCCCAGTCTTCCCTGCCAAACTTCTGGGAGTTTCCTAGAATGGAAGACTTTCAAGGGGACCCCCAGGGGTCATCCAGCCCAAACCCCTGCCATGCAGGAACTGCGGTTGATCAGGGAAGGCTGTGGGGCAGGTGGCCAAGGCTGTGTCATTTCCTGTGAAGCCCCTTGCCCCCTTTTCCGCCTGCTTTGCCCATGGCGGGCTCTGGGTTCGGATCCCTGGCAGCACGTCCAGCTCAGGCCAGAAAATACCTTTCTCTAGGGAGAAGCGTTCGGCCCGACCCTGTATTTAATTCTTTGCTATTTATTTCTTTGCCTGATTTATATACTGCCCATTATCCTGGCCCCTTCTCTCAGACTTGCCCACCTCACAGGGTTGTTGTGGGGTTGCAGGGGGGAAGAGAGCCACCTTGAGATTCCTAAAGGGGGGGGCTTCTGTTCATGCAACGGATTAATCGGGCTCTGAACTGCCCCCTCCTCACTTGCCTTGAGGAGAACCCAGGCGTCCTGGGCCGCAGCCCCCTCCTCTTTCAGCCCCTCTCCCTTCTTGCCCCCCCCCCCGACCACAGGAACTCCGTCCGCCTGGTCATCCGGAAAGTGCAATATGCCCCGGAGAAGCCCGGCCCCCAGCCCATGGCCGAGACCACCCGCCACTTCCTGATGTCCGACCGCTCCTTGCACCTGGAGGCTTCGCTCGACAAGGAGGTATTTATTGGGGGGGGGGGCTTTGCAATGCACATATGTGCATTTGCGGGGTGGGCGGGTGTGAAACGTGCTTCTGACTGAGACCCCCGCAGGCCCTCGCCACCAGTCAGGAATCCGGGAGTCGTAGCTCAACGCCCTGCAAGGTGTGAACCGTAGCTCAAGAATCCCTGGGCGCCCGGCCTTCTTAAAAGCAGCCCCCGTCTAGTCCCAGTCTCCCCCACCCCTACAATAGCTGCCCCCTCCCCACAATGCCCCCCCTGCAAGTTCCTGCAATGAGGGAAAAGACCCTTAAAGCATAATAAAACACACACCAGTATCCTCAGTGCTTTTTAAAATAGTTGATAATTCTGATTATTTAAATTTGCTGGAAGCCACCCAGAGCGGCATAGAAATACTGTAATGTGTTATTATTACTATTATTTTAGAGCAATTTCATTTATAAAAGATAAGAGAAAAAGGAAATACGTGAGAAAGAAGATGCAGAAATAAAATCAGTACATTTCCATACATTGAAATAAATGATGTTGTATCCCTGATACGGTGGGGGGGGGAGTATTTGATCCCCCTGCTAAATTTGACCGTTTGCCCTCCAACAAAGAAATGACCAGTTCATAGTTGTAATGGTAGGTTTATTGTAGCTGTGAGAATAACAATAGGAAAACCTCCAGAAACCCAGAAGACAAAAGTCGGAGATTGATGAACACCCTCCCATTAAACCTACCATTAAAATTATGGGCTGGTCATTTCTTCGTCAGGGGGCAAACAAGCAAATTTAGCAGGGGATCAAATATTCCCCCCCCCACTGTACAAGTGTAGCTGTTCGAAACCTAATAAGACATTCTTTGCAAACTCATTCCAAATATCACTATACGTATCCAAACAAAGTATCTGTTGTCCGACTGTCAAGTTCCATACAATAGGTGTCTAGCAGTTCAAGAGAATATTTTCCCCTGAGTATTTTAGCTTTTAGGGGGCTCTGAAAAAAGGCGTCAAGAGGCAGTGAGTTCCAAAGACGGATCTTTTGCGAATGTGGGACTCTTGGCAGCAATGGTTGCAGGTTCCCTGTCCTTCTGGGGTCACCAGCTTCACGGTCGATGTTCCCCGCTATGATTTGGGGGGACGGTGCCCCTTGGGGGGGGTGTTGCAAGAGAGAGGCACCAGGTCCCAGAGGGTCTTCCCTTTGGGGGCCCGCCCTTGGCCCTGTAGCCTGAGCCCCCCTTCTCTCTCCCCCCCTCCAGCTTTATTATCACGGGGAGCCCATCAGCGTCAACGTTCACGTCACAAACAACTCCAGCAAAAGTGTCAAGAAAGTCAAGGTGTCCGGTAGGAAAGGGGGGTCCTGTGGAGCCGGGGGGAGCGCTTTGGGGGTTCTGCTGGTTTGGAAAAAAGGGGTGTATGGGGGACCAGCAGCCAGCTGAGGGCCACCCCCGACACCCCCATTTGGCACTCCCTGGACCTGGCTTCCTCCGGACGTCCCCTGACGCTTTTCCTTCCTCCCGACTCTGCAGTGCGGCAGTATGCGGACATCTGCCTCTTCAGCACAGCCCAGTACAAGTGCCCCGTGGCCCAAATCGAACAGGAGTAAGTCTCCAGCCTCGGAACCGGGATTGGGGCGGGGGGAGGCGGGGTGGGTGATTTCGGAAAGCTCAGCCTTGCATTCGTCATCTCCCCAAGCGTCGAAATGTTCGGGGACGCCCTTCTCTCCTTAAAGACTCCAGTGGAGGAGACTCCTGCAGATCGGATCCCAGAACTGGGTGGGATCCCCAAGGGTCATCCAGCCCAACCCTCTGCAATGCCGGAGTCTCAACCAGACAGAGGGCCTTCTCGGTGGTGGCGCCCGCCCTGTGGAACACCCTCCCACCAGATGTGAAGGAAATAAGCAGCTATCTTATTTTTAAAAGACATCTGAAGGCAGCCCTGTTTAGGGAAGTTTTGAATATTTAATGTTGTCTTGTTTTTAACACTTGATTGGAAGCCGCCCAGAGTGGCTGGGGAAACTCAGCCAGATGGGCAGGGGATAAATAATAAATAATAATTATTATTTTGGCCCTGGCCTGACGCTGTCCCCTGCAGCCCTGCTTGCCATGGGGGCTCAGTGGTTAGAGCAGCTGCCTTGCAGGCCGTTCCCAGGTTCGAGCCCCAAGAGGGTCCTGCCTGACGTGGGCTGGCAAACAGCCTGACTCAGTAGAAAGCAGCTTGCGCCGTTCCTGCCAGGCGGGCCGCACTGGGCCGGCAGGGACCTTGACACCTCTCTCCGGCTTCCCCCGCCAGCGATCAAGTGGCGCCCAGCTCCACCTTCTGCAAGGTCTACACCCTGACGCCGCTGCTGAGCAACAACCGGGAGAAGCGGGGCCTGGCGCTGGACGGGAAGCTCAAGCACGAAGACACCAACCTGGCCTCCTCCACCATGTGAGTCCAGCAATTCAAGGCTGGGACCCCCAGGGGTCATCCAGTCCAACCCCCCGCGGCTAAAGGATCTTAGGACTGCAGAGGGACCAAACGGGTTGCAGACCCCTGGTGGGGGGGAGGGGGCAGGAGGTTCCGGGGGGGGGTGTTAAGAGGCACGGGGACAGGGAATATCGGACACTGCAGAGCTGCTCACCCTGGATTGCTGGATTGATTGCACTCAGTACTGCCAGGTGTTCTCTGTGGGGCTGCCCTGGGTACCGGATGCTGCAGCACGGTTGCTGACAGGAGGGGAGACCCAGTCAGCACACAACCCCTGTGCTTCTCAGAGATTTGCGCTGGCCGAGTTCCAGGTGTTACTCTTAGTATATAAAGCCCTTAAAAAGGGGTTGGACTAGATGTCCACTGGGGTCCCCACTAATTTGTTGAGGCTGTGATTCTAACAACTTGGGACCAGCTTCTCTGCGAGATCACTTGACCGCCTTGAGTCTTCAGGGGAAAAGGTGGGGCATAAATAAATAAATATTATTATGATTATCAATAATATATAGTGGTAGCAGCAACACTTTGGAACCCCCTGCCTTGATATCTTCCCGCACAGTTGCCTTCACTCTATTCTTTTTGTCTCAACATTCCTGTTGAGATGAGTTTGCACAAGTTTCAGTCTATTCTGCTGCGGTTTTAAACGGTGCTTGCAGTGTGTTCCATTGTGGTTTTGCAATTTTAGCGACAATTTTATTGTTTTATCCTTTTTGTAAAACCCTCTCTGAGGCATTTCCCCTTACAATCAAGCGGTATATAAATTTTATGAAGTAAAATACAGTTAGTCTCAGTTGGATTTTGAACAATTTGGCCATTAGCTGCTCCTGCTTTGAGTCTTCTTTAGGGGCTCATGCAAAAAAACCGCTGTTCTGAACAATGCTTTTTGGAGGGGAGGGGCCCCTGGGGGTGAGTTCATGGCACTTTGGGGAACACTGGTTTGTTATGTGGCACAGGAGGAATGCATGGATGGTGAGAAGGGGTAAGAAATGTGAGCGTGGGGAAAAGGGGAGGCCTTTTCAGGTCAGAGCGACCCCCCTGTTTCTTTTTCCTTGGCATTGCAGTGTGAAGGAGGGCGCCAACAAGGAGGTCCTGGGCATCCTGGTCTCCTACCGGGTCAAGGTCAAGCTGGTGGTGTCCCGGGGAGGGTAAGTATGAACATCGGGTGGGTGGCTCTTCTCTCATTGTCCCACGCACCTCCCAAATCCCAACTCTGTTCCAAAGAGATGTTTGGGAGATTCCTGCTCTCTAGTAGATCACTCCAAGTGCATTTAAATTTGGTTAGATTTTGCATCGGCTCTTGCCCACTTTCAAACACACACCTAGGCTAGAATAAATCACAGGCACTTGGCATTGCAGATAAGTGGATATTTTGGGGTTCTTTTAGAAGTTACAGTCGACAAGTCGCAACAGTAAAAAAAAAGGGTGTGTGTGTGTGTTTCCAATCAACCTAAAAAGAAGAGAACGAAAAGTATCGTGCAATATTTGGGATTTGCAAAGATGCAGGCTGCAAAATCTCCCCAAGGAGTTGTAGCAAACCAAGGATTTGAAGGAAGATGCCAGTGGAAGATAAGTCGGGAAGTCTGTGTAAGATTAAGAGTTGTATAGATGCAATGTGCAAAATGCAAAATGATTAAATAACTAAATATGAATGAATATATATATATCTATATAAATTTATATATATTATATATATATAGATATAGATATATATGGCACCTGTTCAGCCTCGACACTGGACCAGCCTCATCCATTTCATATGTCATATTTCATATGGAGCTTCCAAGTCCAGAGGCAGTCTACCTCCATTCCCGGGTCCTACGGGGCATTTGGCTGGGCCAGATGGGCCCCCTTGGGCCTGATCCAGCTGCAGGCTCTTCTCACGATCCTCTCCCGCCCCCCAGGGATGTTTCCGTGGAGCTGCCTTTCGTCCTCATGCACCCCAAGCCCCCTGACCAGGCCTCGCCCACCTTGCAGCCTCAGCTGGGTAAGTCTCTGAATCGGGGTGCAGGCCCTCTCCTACCACCCCAGAGGCAGCTGCGCTTGATGGAAGGGGGGGCAGAAGTTTCACGGGGTAGAAAGAGGAACCTCACGCCTCCCTTTTCCCTTCCAGCCGCCCCCGAGACGGACGCCCCCGTTGACACCAACCTCATCGAGTTTGAAACCAAGTAAGACAAGTCTGGCCCTTTCCCTGGGGGCTCAGAGGCCAGCACCCACAAGGCCCCGCTCTCGGGGATGGGGGGGGGCCCAGGCTGGGCCCAGAGCGTCTCTCTCTCTCTCTGTGCCTAGTTATTTCCCATATATTGACCCAATTATTTAGTAGTATTACTTATTTTCATACCGCCCTTCATCCGTAGAACTCAGGGCAGTTCCCAGCATAAGAACACAAGATGGAAACCCAAAACGCGCAATAAAAACAAAGCAAATAATATGATTTATTATTGCATTTATACCCTGCCTTTCCTCCCAGGTTGTTCAAGGGAATGTACCTTGTTGTCCCCCTCCCCTTCTTATCCCCCCCAACGACAACCCTGCGAGGGAGGTTTGGGGGCCCCAGTCACCCAATGGGCTCCCCAGTCCTAGTTTAGAACTTACAACACCCTGAAATTTCTATTTTCTATTCTGCTAGTTGGAATGGTTGTTTTTTGGTTTTTTTTAATATAGGGCAGGGATAATATAGGGGGGAGCCCACAAACCCCCTTTGAGGACTTCTACGGGGTGTCTGCATTGCCCATCTAACACTTTAGGGGTGGGAGGGAGTTTAATTGGGGTGGGGGGTTTAAAAGTGGAGAATCTGGGTCAGCATTTGGGGAATGGAAAGGAGAACCCACAAGGAGGAGGGGACAGCTGCAAGGGCCCCCCTCCAATTCAGCCCCCCAGGAAAGGAGCTGGAGCTCTGGGTCTTACTCAGAGAGCGACCAGCGGCAGTGTGGTGCAGTGGTCAGAGCACGCGGGTTTGAATCTCTGCATGCCTGGGGGTCTGGTTTCTCCCTTTCAGCCCCAGCCCACCTGGCAGGGTCGTTGCTGCAGAAAAGCGGAGCGAGGAAATTATGGGATGTAGGAATGCAGGGAAACAAGCAATCTTTTACGGGTGCAAAGGGGAAAGAAAAGCCGCCGTTTTTGTGCATATCCGAAGCAGCCTGACTCTGCCCCCGTTTTCTCCTTTCCTTTTTCTCCCCCCCCCCAGCTACGGGCAGGACGACGACATTGTGTTTGAAGACTTTGCCCGCCTGCGCCTGAAGGGGCTGAAGGACGACAAGGAAGAAGACGACCATTTTTGCTAGGGAGGGAGGAACACCCCCCCTCGCCACCACAGGTCCAGCCAAGTGGGGGGGGGGCGGAGAGAGAGGAAAGAGCCGAGAAATGGCCCCCACCCCGTACGAATGTCGCCTCATCCTCTACTCCCCCCTCCTTCCTTATAGGAGCCATCACCCCCCCGCCTTGTGTCTTCATGCTGTATTTGGGGGGGGGGCTTTTAATGTGACTAAAAATGGAGGGGGGAGGGCCGCCACCTCCTCTGCCCCCCCCAGCTTTTAATCTTTATCTGCTGCTGCGTATCTTCTCCACAGATGGATTTTAACGCCACCGTCCTCGTCCGTCCCCCCCTCCCAAATTTTTGTCTAACGCACTGGAACATTTATTGGGCATTATCGTCTGACTGTCGTATCCCCCCCCCAAAAGCACCACGTTGTGTGTGTCTAATCTCTCTGGGCAACCCCCCCTCTCCCCACCTGCTCTTTATATAAATGTCTTATTTTTAAATGCTGTTTTAACTGGTTAGGGAAAACAATTGGTCAGTTGAACTCTCTCCTCTTTCGCTTTTAAAAAAATCAGTGGGGGCTGGGAGGCCCCTTCTGTCTGTCTCCCCCCCCTTCTCTTTTTCAACCCCCCCCCCTCCAGAGATGTGCGTCTGCTGGCCAAGGGGGCGTGAGCTGAGCCCGTCTGCCTGGGATTGGGGGCCCCGCCCCATGCCCCCAAATGCCGAAGGGGGCAGGTGTGTGCCAACGTCTCTGTGCTTTGTGCCCAGTTGTGTCCCCTCCCAAAAAAAAACCCTTGCAGGGCTGCCCCCCTGTACAAACAGGTGCAGGGCAGGCAATGCGTGTAAAAAGAAATTTTAAAAAGGCCATTATTGTTTCCTACATTGTCTGAGCAGAGAGCAACAAATGAAAATTAAAAAACGGTTAACAGATGTCTGGAAGTTTTTATTAAGTGGTTTGAGCATTAAAAACGGGGAGGGTGTGTGGGAGAAGTGGAAAGGGGGCTCCTGTGAAAATAGCAGCCCCCTTGCCAGAGATTCTCAGATCTGCAGCAAGGACTCCCCACTTTGGCTGCACCGCTGTGGGGCCAGACGCTCCCTGACCCCCAGGATTTGCAAGAAGGAAGACCCTCACCCGCAGAAGAGCTATGTGGGGCTTTCGGTAGCTGCCCAACCCCTGACCCCCAAGAACTTGTCGACTCCAGGGTTGTGGGGTGTGGCTTAGCCCCCTTTTCCTGAGCAATTCACACAACCAGCACGCTCTCCGTGACATGAGGTCCAGATGAAGAACCCGGGTGCCATTGCAAGCCTGCTGTGACCACTGAGCAAGCCGACCGACGGCCGTGCAGACATTCTCAGAAAGGGCCAGGCTGCATTCACGGGGCGGGGGCTGCCTCGGGAATCGGACCTGCGGCGAGAAAGAGGGGGCCAAGTTAAGGACCTGGAGGAAGTTTGCTGCCCCACCGACTCCCCGGGAAGGAGGGACAAGGGTACCTGCAGCTGTGCGCTGACCCAGAGGGGATGAGGCCCGAGGGGGGCTGGACTCTGCTGGTCCTGCTTCTGAAACCTAGAAGGAGGGGAAGGAGCGCTAAGAACCGCGGGATTGAGGGGGAACCCCAGGAATCGCAGTTCAGGCATTCCTGACAGGCGGCCACCCAAACTGCTTGAAGACCCCCAACAAAAGAAAGAAAGGTTCTTCCTGACGTTAGCTGGAATCTCCTTGTAAATTGAAGCCATTGCCTCAAGTCCTCTCCTCCGGAGGTCCTCCTCCGAGGGCCTTCTGGCGGTTCCCTCCCTGCGAGAAGTGAGGTTACAGGGAACCAGGCAGAGGGCCTTCTTGGTGGTGGCACCTGCCCTGTGGAACCCTCTCCCATCAGATAACAAGGAAATAAACAACTACCCGACTTTTAGAAGACATCTGAAGGCAGCCCTCTTTAGGGAAGCTTTTAACGTTTGACACACTATTGTATTTTAATATTTTGTTGGAAGCCGCCCAGAGTGGCTGGGGAAACCCAGCCAGATGGGCAGGGTATAAATAATAAATTATTATTACTATTTTTAGGGAGCAGGAGAAAACCAGCTTGCTCCATCTTCCCTGGGACAGCCCTTCAGATATTTGATGGTTCTCATCTCTCCTCTTTCTCAGGCTAAACATCCCCAGCTCCTTCAACCATTCCTCATCAGGCCTGGTTTCCATCCTGCTTGCCCTCTTTCAGCCTGTCAACATCCTTCTTAAATTGTGATGCCCAGAACTGGACACAGGGCTCCAGGTTTGGTCTCACCAAGGCAGAATAAAGCGGTATTATTCCTTCCCTTGATCTGGACGCTCCTGTTGATGCAGCTAGGATAGTATTCCCCTTTTTTGCTGCTGCGTCACACCACTGGCTCCAGGTCTACCAAGCCCCTTGGTCGTTTTCAAGATCGCAATAAACCGAGGTCAAATGGTATGAAAATGCAGCTTGATGCTTTCCTAGAAACCTTCCGCCCTGGAAGAATCTCTCGCCTGAAAGGTGGGGCGCACATTACTTGACTAAATATGCCCCCCCCGCCACACCCACCTTTGGGCTGCTCCCACCTTCTGCGCTGGTTTCCTCGCAAGACGTGCTGAAGGTGCTGTCGCTGGGGGACGATTCTGCAGCTGCCGGCCTGGGAATCCTGCGTCGAGAGAGAGGGGCAGACCGTGTTGGGGGCAGGCAGTTGGGCACCCCCCTTTCCTAAGGAAAAGTGGGGGGCTTTCAGAGCAAAGGCAGCTGCTGCTCAGAAGGCGTGTTCAGAAAGTGGTGGTGGGGGATGAGTGTTCAGACCCCTGGGCCCTCACGTGTGGGGTGCCTCAGGGTTCCGTCCTCTCCCCCATGCTTTTTAACATCTATATGAAGCCGCTGGGAGAGATCATCAGGGGATTTGGACTGGGTGTCCATCAATATGCAGATGATACCCAGCTCTACCTCTCTTTCAAATCAGAACCAGTGAAGGCGGTGAAGGTCCTGTGTGAGTGCCTGGAGGCGGTTGGAGGATGGATGGCGGCTAATGGATTGAGGTTGAATCCTGACAAGACAGAAGTACTGTTTTGGGGGGACAGGGGGTGGGCTGGTGTGGAGGACTCCCTGGTCCTGAATGGGGTAACTGCCCCTGAAGGACCAGGTGCGCAGCCTGGGAGTCATTTTGGACTCACAGCTGTCCATGGAGGCGCAGGTCAATTCTGTATCCAGGGCAGCTGTCTACCAACTCCACCTGGTACGCAGGCTGAGACCCTACCTGCCCACGGACTGTCTCGCCAGAGTGGTGCATGCTCTAGTTATCTCCCGCTTGGACTACTGCAATGCGCTCTACGTGGGGCTACCTTTGAAGGTGACCCGGAAACTACAATTAATCCAGAATGCGGCAGCTAGACGGGTGACTGGGGGCGGCTGCCGAGACCACATAACACCGGTCTTGAAAGACCTACATTGGCTCCCAGTACGTTTCCGAGCACAATTTAAAGTGCTGGTGTTGACCTTTAAAGCCCTAAACGGCCTCGGCCCAGTATACCTGAAGGAGCGTCTCCACCCCCATCGTTCTGCCCGGACGCTGAGGTCCAGCGCCAAGGGCCTTCTGGCGGTTCCCTCCCTGCGAGAAGCAAAGCTACAGGGAACCAGGCAGAGGGCCTTCTCGGTAGTGGCGCCCGCCCTGTGGAACGCCCTTCCAGCAGATGTCAAAGTGATAAATAACTACCTGACATTTAGAAGACATCTTAAGGCAGCCCTGTTCAGGGAAGCTTTTAATCTGTGATATTTTACTGTATTTTTTGTTTCTATGGAAGCCGCCCAGAGTGGCTGGGGAAACCCAGCCAGATGGGCGGGGTACAAATAATAAATTATTATTATTATTATTATTATTATTATTAGGCATGGCCAGCCTCTACAAACTGAATCTTCTTAGAAAATGGCACCCTGCTTTCCCCGCAGAGGGAAATTGAAAACATTTAAAACTGTGAAAAACGAAACGCTCAATCTAGGACTCTCCTCCCTTGGAGGTTTTTAAGCAGAGTCGAGTGATTTCAATACCGCTTTACATTTTAAAAACATCTCTAAGCAGGTCTACAAAAAACAGGCAACTTAAAGTGTTGCAAAAACACACAAGTTTATTTTTTTTAACAATAATTCAAAGGTTTGGTAGCCTATAAGGCAGGATTGAAGCAGCTGTCCTCTCTCTCACAAAACGGGGAGAGCAAGGCACCCCAAAACCTTGTGCCAGGACTGATAACCCCCATGGAAGGCCCCAAGGGGAGCCCCTCCTCCTGTTCTCCCAGGGGCAAATGCCCCCAAGAACTGAGGAATGGAGGTAGACTGCCTCTGGAGCTGGAGGTTCCCCAAGGACACCATGGCTGGGTCAGGGCAACGGGGGGCCGCCTAGTCCCGCCTCCTGGCCTCGCAGTGGCCAATCAGACGCCCATCATGGGAACCCGCAGGCAGGATCCGAGCGCAAGAGCAACTCCCCCCTCCTGTGGCTTCGGCAACTGGGATTCAGAAGCACGGCCACCTCCAACTGCGGAGATGGAGCAGACCCGCCGATGGCCCATGAATCTGCCTCGTCTCCGCCTTTCACCGCTGCCTCCTGTGGGAGGGAGTTCCCCAGTTCAACTCCGCGCTGCGTGCCAGAGTGGCCCAGGGAGCTTCAAGGCCCAGCGGGGATGGCAGCCCCACCAGAGAGGGACACCCCCTTGCCCTCCCTCAGGAAAAGGAGACGGACTCACATGCCGGCCGCTTCCCTCGCCTCCTGCAGCTTCTCTTGGAGGCGTCGGACTCTCCGCTGATACCTGGGGCGGGGGGGGGGGGAGAGAGACGGAGTTGGGGCTGCAGTGGATTTCAGGGAAGAAAAGCCTTGTGCAAAGAGGGCAGCATATGAATTCTGACCCAAATGTCTTGTCACTCCAATGTTTTGGCTCCTGAACGCCGCAAACCCAGAAGTGAGTGTTTTGGTTTGCGAATGTTGGTTGGAACCCGGACATCCGACGGGGCTCCAAACGCATTGTAAGGAGTCTCTATGGGAGTATATTGTATTTAAAAATGGGGTATCAGTTTTTAGGGAGCTAACCAGGTTGGGATAGCAGGCTTGTTGGGTTTTGAATGTCTTATGTAGATTTTTCAATTTCGTTGTTCTGTATGGGAAAATGACAACAAAGATTATCGTACTGTATCGAGCTTGCTGCAGCCACTTGGAAGCCGGGCCTCGGTTCCAGAATGTTTTGGAAGTCGAATGGACTTCCGTTTGGCTTCCGTGGTGCGACTGCACCTCCCCAGCCCCCTGCCTGAGCACCTTTCCGGACAGAGCCCCTCTGCTCACCGGTCGTGCTGCTCGTTGGCCTGGTTCAGCCGGCCGGCCTCCAGCGCCTTCTCGCGCACCCAGCGCACCTCCAGCTCCTCCCTTTTCCGCCGCGCCTCCTGCATGAGTCCCTGCGCCTCGGCCAGCTCCCGGCGCAGCCCCTCGGCCTCCTGGGAAAGCGCCCAGGCCTGGCACTGCGCCTCCTCGTGCCGGCGGGTCAGGGCAGCTAGATCCTGGGCCAGGCGCCTCGTCCTGCGGAGGGGCAGAAAGCACCGGATCCTAGAGAAAGCCAGGAGGGACACCCAGGGGTCATCCAGCCCAACCCCCGCCGATGAAAGATTTCATTTTCTAACGTTTTGTGGGCTTCCTGGTGAATTTTGCAGCAAAGACGGGGGGAACGGAGGAAGGAAAGCTGCTGGGATGCAACGCCGGCGAACCAGCTGCACCCAGCTTCTTTAAAAGGCCGAGCCCCCCTCCCTCCCACACCTGGGGGGCCAGAGAGACCAAGACTCCTACTTTGCCCGCTGCTCCTTGTTCTCTGCCTCCACCTCCCTCAGGATGTCCGTCAGGAGGGCGACACGCTGGTGCAACTGCAAAGCAAGCGCAGCACTTATTCATTTCTCTCCCGCATTTGCACCCCTACGTTTTTTGTCCCGGGAGCAGAGATTGGGTGGCTGTCTGTGGGAGATGTCAGCCTTGAGATTCCAGCACTGCAAGGGGTTGAACTACATGACCCCTGGGGAGCTCCTCCCGCCCCACAATTCCATAATCCGACGGAGCTGGCCCCGATCCAGGCCCTTGCGGAGCCTCCACTCACCTCCTCTCTCTCTTTCCGGAGTTCGATCAGCTCCATCTCCTGCTGCACCCGGACGGAGGCCACTTCCTGGGGGGGCCTGGAAAAAGCCAGAAGAGGGGGACTAGATAAACTAACAGGTAGGATTCGAACCTTCGAATCTCTGCGGGATCAGAGATTCTCAGAGGACTGGAGTAAACATATGAACTATTTGAAAAGTAATTGTGATGAACAGTTTTGCAAGGTGGATTATTTGAAATATTAGAAGACCACGAAAAGAATTATTAGTTAAGGATAATTAAACGCAATATAGAAATTATGAAATGCAGAATAAGTGATAAAGAATGGAAAATCTTCAGAGGTGCTGACAGAAGTCTAAAACATTTTATGAGAAAATATGTTGTATGACTGTTGGAACTGATATGTTAAAAAATCAATAAAAATGTATAACAAAGAAGGAAAAAGCCAGAAGAGGACCCCCCCCCAGTTCAGCAAATGCCCGTCCTCCCCCCATGCCAGCACCCCACCCCGCGCACTCACCGGCAGGACCACTGCCCCTCCTCCTCCGCCGCTGCCAGCAGGGTCTGCAGAGCATCCAGGCGGCCGTACAGTTTTTCATCTGGAAGAGCAAGGAGGAGCGTCTCAGGAGGGGGCTGGGAAGGAAGGAGGTCTCTGGGCAAAGGGGCTTTTAGAAAGGGCAGCCCCACCCTAGGCCTCCACTGCCCCACTTGCCTCTCAAAAGGCTGGGGAGAGAAAGCAACTTCTTCATGCAGCATGCTGTTAACCTGCGGAACTCCCTCCCACAGGAGGTAGCAAAATGGCCACCGACTTGGACGGCTTTAAAAGAGAGTTGGGCAATTTTGCAGCGGACAGGCCTATCAGTGGCTACTAGGGAGGATGAAGGCCGTTTGCTGGTAATCGTGGGGAGAGCTGCTCTTGTGTTCGAATCCTGCCAGGTGGCTTCCCATCAGAGGCGTCTGTCTGGCTGCTGCGAGATCAGGACGCTGGGCTCGGGGGCCCCACTTTGGCCCCTCCAGCAGGTGGTTCTGATGTTCAAGGCAATGGTTGCCAGCAGAAGGGGCCCTAGGGGTCATCCAGCCCAACCCCCTGCGGTGCAGGAATCACAGCAAAGGAAACACACAAGCCACTTGGTGGCTGCTGGGAGTTGTAGTCCCACAACCTCTGGAAGGCGCCAGGAAAGTAGCAGTTGCAGGATTCTGCACCAGGCAGAGAGCCAAGAAGATCCTATTCTGACTCTATGGCAGGGAAGCGGCCCTCCAGCCCTTTCTGCCCGGCCCTTGAAACTCCTGCCAGGCTTCACGCCTCTCTGCCCTGCTTTATAGCCTCCCAGAGCTTCTGTCTAACCAGAAAACATCTTCAGACTCCCAAAGGTGTGGGCCCAGGGGGTGGCAGCGCGAAAAAGGCCAATCCCCACACCAGGGATCCTTGGCATAATTATGGACGTTATGCAAATCAATGGTGTGACTGTATTTGGAATAACTCTGTGCGGTTCTGGTTATCTCACCTGAAAAAGGATATTGCCAAGTTGGAAAAGGTTCAGAAAAGGGTCACCAAATTATTATTTATTCCTGTTCTATGCTGCCCTTCATCTGAGGGTCACGGGGAAAATGATCAGGGGGCGGGCTTATTTGTCAAGAGAAAAGATGAGGAAGAGGCAGCATGATGGAAGCTGATAAAATTATTACTGTCATGGAGAAAGTGGAGAGAGGAAAGCTTTTCTCCCCCTTTGGTCCCAGCAGAACTTGGGGGCAGCCAAGGAGGCTGAATGGCGGGAGAGGCGTTCTCCTGCGGCGCCTAAAACGGCGGAACTCCCTGCCCCAAGAGGCAGTGGCGGCTGGAGATGGATTATCCAGAATGCGGCAGCTAGACTGGTGACTGGGAGCAGCTGCTGGGACCACAGAACACCGGTTCTGAGAGATCTGCATTGGCTCCCAGGATGTTTCCAAGCACAGTTCAAAGGGTTGGTGCTGACCTTGAAAGCCCTAAACGGCCTCGGTCCAGTATCCCTGAAGGAGCGTCTCCACCCCCATCGTTCTGCCTGGACACCGAGGTCCAGCTCCGAGGGCCTTCTGGCGGTTCCCTCCCTGCGAGAGGCCAAGTTACAGGGCACCAGACAGAGGGCCTTCTCGGTGGTGGCACCCACCCTGTGGAATGCCCTCCCACCAGATGTCAAGGAAAGAAGCAGCTCTCCTATCTTTAAAAACCCCTGAAGGCAGTTTTTACTATTTAATGCTGCCTTGTTTTTAACCCTCGCTTGGGAGCTGCCCAGAGTGGCCGGGGAAACTGAGCCGGAGGGGTGGGGTCTAATGGAGGAGGGGGCTGGGCGGAGGAGCTCCCAGCCGCCCTGCGGGGATGTGGCCCCCGCCCCGCTGACCAGGGCGCCCCCGGGAAGAGGCCCCAGTGGCGGGGAGTCCCCTCGGCCCTCTCACGTCGCTCCAGCAGCAGCCGCAGGCCCCGCGCGCGCCGCTCCCGCCGCTGCAGCTCCGCGCGCACGTGCCGCCGCCAGCCCGCGCCCGGCATGGCCCCGCCCAGCGGGGACGGAGAGGACGACGGGAGGCGGAGGGCGGAAGCGGCGCCTTTCAAGGCCTCACCTCAGAGCGGCGCATGCGCGCGCGGCACCGCCAAGAGAGCGCGGGGCGCGCCGGGAGACGTAGTGCTTGATGCTGGGCGCATGCGCAGGCGTGCGGGCGGGAGGCGGGCAGGAGCGCGATGGCGGCGGGCTCCTCGGCGGCGGCGGCGGCGGCGGCGGCGTCCGTGTCGGGCTCGGGCGCCTACGGGCTGGGCTTGGCCAACGAGCGGCTGCGGCTGCTGGAGGAGCTGGAGCGAGAGATCGGCGCGGCCATGCAGAGCGCGGGTGGGCGGGGCCTGGGGAAAGAGGGGCGGGGCCTCGAGCTGTGCTCTGCGAGGGAGGAGACTTCTGGGCGGAGCCTAGGGGCCTCTGGGGGCGGGTGGGCGGGGCTACGAGGGGCGGGTCCTGCTGCTGTGGGCGGGGCCAGGCGGTCCCGTGGGCGGAGCTGGGTGGAAACCCCCCTGGGCCTGAGGGGGCCACCTGCTTGCCCCGCCCACCACTGACATCCCCCCCCTTCTCCCCCCCCCGCAGGCACCGTGATCCTGGAGCTGTCGAAGGAGAAGCCCAACTGGAGCCTGCTGGAGCGCCAGACCTCCCAGTTCATGGGCTCCGTCCAGAAGGTGGAGTCGGAGCTCTCCGCCCAGATCCGCTACCTGACGCAGGTGGGTGGGCGGGGCTGGCGCTTGGGGGGGGCTCCTGTCAGGGAGCCCAGCCCCACCCAGCACCCCAGAAGCCGCAGTAACAAGAATAGGAGACGGAGGCGATATGTCTCAATTGACGACCCAGCTGGGGAAAAGTCCCCCGTTCTTTCTGGAAAGGTCAGATCATGGCCACCTGCCATATCTGGAGAGGGATGCTCAGAGCTCTGAGGACTTGCTTGGGGCTCCTGGGCTGGTGGCTGCCGTGGCCACCAAGTGGGGTGGCTCTAAAAGCTGAGGAAGCCGATTCATGGGGGGTGAGAAAGGTTGTCTGTGGCTGCCAGCCATGCTCTGCTTGCACAGCCAGAGGCAGCAACGGGGCTCCTGGCTACCAGTGGCTGGAAACTCACCGCAGGAGGGCACCTTGCTGCTCTTGGGCTCGGATCCTGCTGCCAGATTCCCCCCCTTGTGGGCCAGTGTGAGAACTTGAGGCTGGGCTGGAAGGTCCCCCTTTGCTCTCCTCCAGGGGCGGCGGCGGCTGCAAGACTATTCTGATGATCAAAGACTGACTTACAAAGCTAAGCCAGACCCCGTGTGGTTTCAGATGAGGTGATGGGGGACGGCATGCTGAGATTCCTGCATTTCAGGGGGCTGGACTAGATGGCCCTCGAGATCCCTTCTAGCTCTACGATTCTTTGAAAAGAAGACATTGTGCACTGTTTGAGGGAAGGGGGGGGGGAACAGGTTGCAGGGGACCAAGCAGAACTTTATACAGTATATCAATGTTATTTCCTTGTTGCATTGCTATTTCATCTTTTCCTTCAAGGCGTGCAGAGTGGCTTACATGCTTTCCCTGCTCTGCATTTAAACCCTATGAGGTAGGAGAGGCTGAAAGAGGCAGGACAGCCCCCCCCCCCCCGGTCACATCCAGCGTTTTATCATGGCTGGGTGGGGAATTCAAACCCTGGCTTCTCCCAGGTCCTAGTTCTCATTTAATCCCACACCAACCCTGCAAGGTAGACTAGGCTGAGAGGGACGGGAATGGACCTAGGGTCACCCAGTGAACTTCACAGCTGAGGAGTTGGCATCCGTCTGTCTCGGGAGACCCTGGAGAAGGGTGCCTTCGGGGAGTGAAGTCAAACACATAGAGCGTTACATCGCCTGCTGGGGCTGTGGAGACCGATGTGCAAGAGACAGGTGTTGTGGCAGCCAGCATTAGAAGCTAAGGTATATAATAAGCAAAGCGCCAAAAGCTAACTTAAACCTGAGTTTGGTCACCACAACGGAATGTCTGTTTGATTCTTTTATTCTATTATCTCAGTTGTGTTGTCTGACCTTTGCTTGCTCTTCCAACACACACAGTGGAAACGGAAACAGTGTTCACTATGGACTAAGGCGGAGGCTTTTAAACTGGGCTTGCCCAGAAATCTCCACGCAGTCTGGACAGTAGCATAATGTGCCTGGCTAATTTGGAGTCCTGGTTGCAGCCGGGGCAAGGAAGGCGCCTGCTTGTGCTGTTGCAGCTGCAGCCTGGCGTTCCTTCTCTCTGCGCTCCCCAAAGCGGCCATTCCTCCCCTGGTTACTGCTAGAGATGCGCAAGCTGCCTGTCTCCAGGCACGGCTGTCGTCTGCAAGGGATTCCCACATGGCTGATGTTGCCAGCTGTCGTGCCACGTTTGCAGACGTCTTTGTAGTGCAGAGTTGGTCTGTGATGGGCCTGGTGCCTGGGGGGGATTTGAACCCTTGCCTCCCGCTTCCTAGTCCGACACTCTGCCCATTACGCCGCACCGGCAAGGGGGCAGGTCCTTCCTCTGAGCCGCCGGCTGCCCTCTCACCTGGCCTGCTTTCCTCTTCCCTCCAGGTGGCCACAGGGCAGCCCCACGAAGGCTCCAGCTACTCGGCCCGCAAGGACTGCCAGATGGCCCTCAAGAGAATCGACTACGCCCGGGTCAAGCTGGGAGAAGTCTCCCGGACCTGCGAGCAGATGCTGGAGCAGTGAGGCCAAGGCGCCGAGGGGAGGCCTGTCCCGGGTGGCCCCTCCTGGCCGCCAGCACTTGCCAGGCTGCTCTTTGTGGACAAGGGACTCTGAGCAGCCCACCTGGCAGGGACGACGGTGGAAACTGCCTGCGGGGCAGAAGAGGAGCAGCAACGTCTCTGTCGCCATTTGCAGTTTCATAGCTTTACTTCCTCCTCTTTGGCTTCTTTCCTGGAACAAACTTGTGATATTTATGAAGCGTTTCCACAATTTTTTCCCACAAAACATTTGTTAGTTTTTCAACAGATTCGCGGTATGCACCTTTTCATTAAATGAGATCTGCCAGAAGGGCATCCGGTGTGGGCTCAGTTCCGTCTTGGCATACCGCATGCAGCCCCTGGACTCTCCTTCCTTGGAGGTTTTTAGGCAGAGGTTGGGTGGCCGTCTGCCTGGGTTTCTTTCGTTGTGATTCCTGCGTTGCAGAGGGTTGGTTTGGATGACCCTTGGGGTCCCTCCCAACTCTCCAATTCTCTGATTCTCCACTCCCGTCTTTCAGCCCAGACACTGATCCAACTCCAAAGGCCTTCTGGTAGTTCTCCCACTGAACTACCAGAGTCTCAATGAAGACTTGGGGAGGGCTTAGATATTGGAAGACCTGGAGAAAAATGGGGGGGAAACCAGGTTTTTTTCTGTTTTTCCCCAAAGCCATTCTTTTCCAGAAAAATGTGGGCGGGGAGGGGGTGGGTGGAATATTCAAACTATATCTCTAGGAGGGCTAGACCCCAAGAATAATGGAATCATAGGTGTGTAGAGTTGGAAGGGACCCCAAGGATCAACTAGACGAGCCCCATGCAATGCAGGAACTTCCCCTGGTTTTTCCCGGCCATCAGCACAACCTCAGCGGATGGGTTTGATGGGAGACTTGAGGCAGGAATTGATCTGCTGTCAGGAGAATAGAAAGGATCACTGAGCAAGCGTAGAGAAGTCGAGCTAGGAACCAGGTCTGGACTTCATCGCATTCCAGACTGAGCTTTCCTTCAGGAAAGGAGAAGGAAGCCTCCGGCCCTCCGAGAAGGAAAGTGACCATACAAAATGTGCCGGCAACTGGAGGGGTTTATGTGCAATGTGTCAGCCTGGTTGCGCCTGCCTTTCACTGTTTGCAGTCCAGGAAGGAAGTCAGAACGGTGATTGACAAGTGAGTTGTTTCTTCCAGGTGTAATTCAGACAAGAGGCTATAGGGAAGACATGCAACCACTTCGATGTCCAGAGGAGACGGAACAGAAAGCCCTGCTGTCATGGACAGCTGAGCCCGGGCCGAGTCTGGAGCTGCAGTCCCTCAGAAACGCCACCAGGGGGCTGGAACTTCTCTCTCTGATTGGCTCCCGAGACTGCCAGCCAGAGGCGGGGGCGGAGCCAGCCCTTTTGGCGGGAAATGAGAGGCGCCTTTTCTGAGGGAGTTTTGAGGCTGGAGCTGAGATGGGAGGAAGGGAGGAGGAGGAGAGGCTGAGTCTGAGGGAGAAGTGGCTCTGGCCTGAGGAGCCAGAGGAGGAGGAGAGAGGAAGAGGGGCTGAGTCGGGGGGGAAAGAAGAGGGCCGAGGGATCCCCTGGGTCTGGCGCCCAAAATAAAACGCCTCAGGAGGGGCATTGCTGAGAGAGAGGGAGGCTGAGGGAAAGGAACCTGGTCTGGGTCAAAAGGATTGAGCTGCCACACCTCCATAACGAAGGAAAGGAACGAGAGACCGATTTGAGCATTTTCCCACCTTGTCTAGAAACAGGAACATCTGTTTACCTGAAGTGTAACAGCTCATTTTAGCAACTGAAGTTTAAGGAAAGGTGTGCATATCCTGCTGTGTTTAAGCCTGTGACATTCCCGTATTTAGTTTAATAAGCTAACCTCTGCCTGAAAGAACGCATCTCCCGACCCAACTTTGTTTCACAAACCTCTTCTTTTTGAAAATAAAACTTTTCTCATTTGATTACCGTATTTTTCGCCCTATAGGACGCACTTTTCCCCCTCCAAAAATGAAGGGGAAATGTGGGTGCGTCCTGTGGGGCGAATGCAGGCTTCAGGCAGACTGGCTCCGATGGCCGCGCAGAGCTGCCTGCAGTCCCGGGCTCAGCGCACTTCTCCCCATCGCCAGCCCCACAAGGCGGAGCGCGCCTTCCCCCTGTTCCCCGACCTGCCTCTTCCAGCCCCACACCTGGGGGGGAAATAATTTTTTTCCCTTTATTTCCCCCCCAAAAAACTAGGTGCGTCCTATGGGGCGCAAAATACGGTACCTCTTGCCCGAGACTCCCTGAATCGAAGTTTCCCTCGCGCAAGACCCCACAAGGCAGCCTGGGGCAAATGGGAGAGATTCATGTCATTGGCAGAATGTTCACTGGTTGTGCTATATTTCACTGGGGGCAGTTAGTGGGATGAGTCCACTACAAATTCATTGGTTAGTGGTGGGATCTGCTACATCATTCATTGATGGTTGTGTCATGATCCAAAATAAAACCCACAAGGAGAATAAAGGACCACAGAGATTTCTGTATTTTGTGAGGGGGAAAGTGATGTGAGGAGAAGGCTCCCAAAGTGAGAGGAAGCACAAACTGAGGGAAAGACTTCTGGTTTTTCTTTTTTTAAAATACATTTTATGTATTTTCAGTTTAACAATAACCACACATAAAACACCCATTTTGACCTCCCTCCACCCTGCCATGGTTTCTTACAAAATCGCTTCCGAAACTGCACTCCCACTTTACACCTTTTACTTAAATTGCTCTCTTAATTTTCTTGCAAGTTAACCTTTTAACCTTGCTTGTATTTCAATTAATCCTGCTGTTGTATTTAGTCGTTTACAATAATTTTTCAGGGAAGCCCCATAATTCCCCCGTCCTTCATGGAAATCTTTTTTCTTCTTGATTCCTTATTCTTCCCGTTTTGCCCTTGCCTTTCTCTGCTATTCCTCGGCTGGGACCAAACTGAGGGGAGAAACACCGGAGGGAATGGATGAAACTAACATGTGAGCTTTTGGTCTTGGGTCGCTCTGGGGGTCCTGCCCCCCCGTCATAGGGGCAACTCCTGGGGGCGGCCAGGGGGGCTTCAGCGCCCCCAATAAAATACTTGAGGGGGCCGAGACCCCCATTGGTGAGCATCGCCATCCAAATAGCGCGCCCGCATCCCTCGCCCGCCCCCCATATTCTAGTCAACTTGGCGCCCCTGCCGCTGAGCCCCCCCCCCCCGAGCGCATGCGCGAAGCGGGACCCGGCGCTCAGCCACAGCGCAGGCGCGAGCTGCAGGCGCCCCCCCCCGGGGAGTCCAGGCGGGGCTCGCCCCATAAAAGAGACCCCCCCCTTCTCCTGGGCAATTTAGTCCTTTGTTCCTGCGCAACCGACCTGCCCCACAGGGGAAATAAAGGTAGGAAGCGAAACAAAGGGAAAGGGGCGGGAGAAGCCCCCCCCCGTCAACTGTCAAGTCAAGCTGGCTTTCAATGAAGCCCTGAGATTCCTGCTGCCTTGCGGGGGTTGGACTGGATGACCCCGGGGGGGGACCCTTCCAGTGCTACGATTCTGCGATTCATTGGAGGTGATCCGGGGCTCTTTAACTGCTCCGATCTTGCAGCGCATATGGGACCTGGGGGGGGGGGTGTTGTCTTTTCCTTCTCTTAACTTCTTTTGGGGGGGGGGTTGGGGTTGGGTTAGAAACAAGGATCAGGGAGTAATGAAGGATAGAAACAAAGATTTCTCCCGAGCTCGGCTTGCCAAGGGTTAAAATGAACTTGAGGCGGATTCCTAGAGAGGACCGGGGGAGGGAGTTCCTCCCAAGTCCCGGCCCCGCCCTGCCCAGCCTTTCCTGCAAAGGGGCGTGGCTTGTGTCTCCCTGCAAGAGGCGCGGGGGCTCCGGGGTCTCCCCCTCGGGATCTGGTGAGTCTCCTCTTTCTTCTTGCATAAGGCGCATTGCAGAGGAAGATGCCTGGGGGGGGCGCTCGTCTCAGGAATGGGGGGCTCCCAAGTCGGGGAGCAGAGGGTCCTCCCTCTTCCTCTCTGCAAAGCCAGAGGAGAGCCGAGGGAGAGGCACCTTGACAGAATCTCCGTCTGGCAGAATTATGCCTGGCCTGGAAAAAGGGGGAAAAGAAAAGGGTTTCTAGAGAAGGAGAGAGAGAAAAAACCAAGGCGGTTGAGATGTGCTCCTGAGCAAAAGCCCCTCCCTCTCAAGTGCCCTTCTGCAAGGGGAGGGGGGCTTTGTCTCTCTCTTCTGCAGCCTGGGATGTGGGGAGTCGGGGGGAATGCAGGGGTGGGTCTTCTCAGCTCATGCAGCAGGGGACCCCCAAGTCAGGGAGCAGAGGATCCTCCCGTCATCTCTCTGCAAAGCCCGGGAGGCGTCACAGGAAGGCTGCAAATGTATTTTTTCATTGATTTAAAGATAACTATGAAAAATGTTGAGCTGAAGTGAAAAAAGATTTAGAAATTTGGTCAAATTTGAAGCTTTCACTGCTGGGCCGTATTGCTGCGATAAAAATGAATGTATTGCCTAGAATGTTGTTTTTGTTTCAAACTTTGCAAATTGTGGACAGAATGGATTGTTTCAAGAGGTGGCAGAAAGATATTTCTAGATTTGTCTGGCAGGGCAAGAAGCCCAGAATAAAATTTAAAATACTAACGGATGCAAAGGAAAGAGGTGGATTTGCCCTGCCAGACCTCAAACTTTACTATGAATCAGCAGCTTTTTGCTGGTTGAAAGAATGGCTTGAAAACACTGACATTTTGGACCTAGAAGGTTTTAACAATGTATTTGGATGGCATGCATATCTATGGTATGATAAGGTCAAAGCACATAAAGCATTTAAAAACCACATTGTCAGGAAAGCGCTGTTTAATGTTTGGATAAGATATAAGGATTTGCTAGAAAACAAAACCCCAAGGTGGCTGTCACCAATGGAAGCGAAAGCCTTGAAAAAGCTCAATATGGAGGTCAAGTGGCCGAAATATTGGGAAATTTTGGAACAAGATGGAGATAGACTGAAATTGCAGAGCTTTGAAAAACTAAAAAACAAAGTGCGAGACTGGCTTCATTATTTTCAGATAATGGAGGCATTTAAATTGGACAAGAAAATTGGCTTCCAGGTGGAAAAATCAAAATTAGAAACTGAACTGTTAGAACCCAAAACTAAGAATTTGTCAAGAATGTATAACTTGCTGCTGAAATGGAATACTCAGGATGAAACGGTAAAATCGGCTATGATTAAATGGGCACAGGACGTTGGACATAACATTATGTTTGCTGACTGGGAACAGTTGTGGACCACAGGTATGAAATTTACGGCATGTAATGCCTTAAGAGAGAATATTATGAAAATGATATACAGGTGGTACATAA